CAAGTGTATTCTCTGCAAGTGGTAGGATAGCTCGTGGATCAGCACGTGCTCAAGGATACACTTCCTCGTATCTTCCGTCCTTTTCCTATTATATTTTAGGGTCAAATAAAAATGATATAATAAGATGGTGTAAACGATCTCAACAAAAATTATCACATTATATTTATGCTGAGTTAAAAGAGAGAAGAGAAAAGAAAAGACAAATACATAGATTTGTAGCCAACTACGATATAGCCTTCAAAAAATCATGAGGTAGTGAAGTGGGATAAAGTATTATGGCCTCTTCGGATTGAGGGATTTTTAGAGGAGTACTATAGATAGGAAATATTTCCTTTCATGTCGTTCAGTTCACATGAATCAATCCGAAGGAAAATTAAAGGAGACATTCCTTTCCTGTGGAATCAATAGAGAAACAAAGAAAAATTTACATCCACTCCTACCTCATTTTTTCCATTTCCTACGTTTTTACTCTGTCTATCCGAACACATGTTTACCAATCATAGCTACAGAATTTCTGTGTTTTTCAATCCTCTATTTTATCTATGCATTCCTATCATATTCCTATGATTTTTCTATTCCTACATTTTTACAATCCCGTGATCCGAATAAGCCCTTAATGCTGTAGTCTGAATAAATAGCTAGCTAATGTGTATTATTAGGCTATTAGGTTAAATGAAGATGATATGGCAAGATATAGGGATTCTACTATTAACTTTGCTCTAGCTATATGCAGCAGTTCCATTTCAGCAAAGGACAGAAAAAAAAAGAACTATACTATAACAGGGAGCAGTCGCTAAAACCATGCTATTTCTCGTAAACAGACGGTGATAAATGGTTTGCCACCATCTAATTAGCCCTTCAGATTGCAGGGATTTGAAAAGAACAAGTTCGTCGAGCCAAATACCCTTTTCAAAGGAGACCTTTACAAATAGAAAAACTACGCTATCATGTGTTTCATCATGCATGTGAGGAGGATATCGAAAGAAGATGCCGAATAACAAGCTTTCGGAAAACTATTTTCTTGCATTTTCACAACATGCATTCCATGTGCACGCGAACGTCCTTTTTCGCTTACGCGTGAAGAGATCGTGAAACAAGTTTAAGGTTGATTCTAAAGAAAGCCATAGGAGAAAAAAATCAACATATAACTAGTACTATCTCGGTCGACAAGTATATCAAATATTCTTATAAAAGATTCTATTTTTTAGAGAGTACTTTTTTACCCAACCTATATATTCAATCGGATATATATAGTCTTTTTAAATTTAAAACTTAACCCATCAGATAACTCAATCTGAAATTCACTTATATAGAAATTTAAACTTAGAAATTTGGGGTGCTACTCAGATCGATCCCGTAGCAGGTTCAGACAGGCCACAGCGCTGAATGAGTTCTCTGTACGCAGATCTCACCATAAATATGCCCGTAGATGTCTTTTCGCTATAAAAGATTCTATGTAATTTAATTAAGGCTAAAAATAAGTTTAATATATCACAAGTCATCTATATAGCCAGCTTATCCTCTACTTTATGCAACCCAACACAATTTTGATGTTATAACTTTTACCATATTATTTATACTTGCATCAACTTATTATACTTGTTATAAGATAAGATCATCTATAATTTACTTGATCAGAAAAAAAACATGTTTAGGAGTGGTTTTGAAAAAAAACTATAATCAAAGTCCTTTGTATTTCTGAATAAATTTTTAAGCCTGGAAATCCAGACAAAGGGAGCATTATACTTCCTCCATCAAAGAAATTAAGTTTGTTTTCACCATCTCACACATATCAATATAAAACAAAAAAATATAACACCTCATTTATCAAATTACAATGCAATTATTCTTCTCTTTATTTACTCGCAAATACATTTATCTTCTATTTAAACTATGATGTGCTAATTACTAGTAAAAACAAACTTATTTTAATACAAACAGAAAAGGAAAAAGAAAAGGAACTTGTCTGAGTCGAAAAGAAACGCACGTGAGCTAGGCGTGCCTATGTACGCAGTCGCGTGCAGTACGTCGCGTCAAGGGAACGCGACCACCCAGGCGTGGCCTATGAACAGTGACACCCTACCAGTGCTCTACTACCGGTACATGCGAATGATGGTCAGCTTGTGTACATCGCCATTAATAACTCCAAAAGAAAAAAAAATATGTGTACTGTTTGGTGCACATATATACCGTGTCGTGAAGAGCTCGTAGCCTCGTACTACCTCTGTTCAACCACACCAGTACACCGCAATTTAATTGATGGTCCGGTCGAGCCCATCCACCATTGAGCATGCGGCTCCTTGTTTTTACACGGATTATTTACTGGTAATTACTTCGGATTATTTCCTTCACTCTTTTATGGCCGTGGATTATTTCCTCTGTCCCAAATTATAGGACGCCCCTTTTTCAAGAAAATAAAACTTGATAGATTTTGACTAATAATCATACTAATTATATCTATACTAAGTATTATACATGTTATACCACTAAATTCATATTTTTAAGTACTTACATATGATGCTAATTTTATATTTGTTGGAGAATGAAATAAGAATGCTTGTCAAAGTATGTTATTATAGATCGTGCAAAAAAAAATATAAGCCTTATAATTTGGAACAGAAGAAGTATTTAGTAAGTTTATTTCTATTCCTAAATTTAATGTACTGTTATTATAATTACGTATTATCCCGTCCTAAAATAAAATATAGTAACCTAAAACTTGATGGAACATATCCTATCCTAGTCAACGAATCTGGACAACCTCTTATCCAGATTGATCTATCTAGGATATATCACTCTAATATCAAATTATTATATTTTAGAATGGATAGAGTAATAATTACTAAATAGTAAAACTATTCGGATAAATCCGGTAAATGAAAAGGGCCAACCTGCTAGGCTGTTACTGCTAACTGTACATGTGCAAGTGTGGTTGAAAAAGTACACCGACATCAATACGACTATACGAGCCACAGGCTCTGCGGTGCCCGGCTAAATATCTTGAACTGCAGTGCGACCACATCAATTTTCATTGAAGTTGCGATTGAGGAAATGGTATGGAAATTTTTGCTGTACTTTGTGCCGGTTAATAATGGCAGGTTATATCCATATCGGTGTTTTAAATAAAAGAGATCCAACAGGGTCTGTGTAATCAGTTATATCAAATATTAGGTGGGTAACCTGTTGAGTAACGATGTTTGTACGTACAATCGGCTTTAGAGCAGTGTTGCAATATCTCGGTAATTTTACGTTTTTTTTAACCGAACCGTAGTAACATATCTTGATTATCTCTTTTGCCTTACAAAAATTGTAATAATCCGTACAACTTTTATCGGCAAATCTTAAACTTTTCACACTAACCGTGCTATCGCTGGGTCAGATAACTCCCTCTTCGAGGTTATTTACAAACATTATAGTCATGATTCTCGATTATATTTCGGACTACTTTTTTTATAAATAAAATCTCAACATCATAGTATAAGATTTTCCATACCGTGCGGCGTAAATTTTCATTCTCTTTTCCTTTTCTAATTCTTCCAGCATGATCTGGTTGCTGTTGTGTTGAACAATCAATGTGCTATTATCCCTTGTGATGGAAGCATTCGTTTGCCTCGCTGCCCCGATAGGGGACCGAGCTCTGTGTGTTCCAGGCGCGTATTGGAAACCGGACGCCTCTCCTGCCTCTTGGCTCAGCTCAGCTCGAGGAATCCGAGGCCGAATCGGCAAAATCCCCACGCCCAAACCAAAACCGGCCGGGTCGCCGTCGCGAGGACGAGCAAGAAGCAGCTAGCAGCAACATGAGCTGGGAAAAAAAAGCTTCATATCGTATCACGCCCGGTTGGACGGTCCAGATCACGGAGAATGAGGATGAGATGACAATTGATTAGTGAATGAATCAGACGAATTGATCGGATAGTGGGTTATCATCATAATTATGGATATGCTTTAAATATTTTGATAAATAAATCTACCACACACTAACTTAGTTTCGTCCCAAATACAAGAAGTTTTGGTTGGATGATACACATATGTTCAGATTCGTAGCACTGTGATATGCCTCACCCCATCTAACCAAAGCTTCTTATATCTTGGGATAAATAGAATATTACTTATTAGAAGAGTTTATAGTTGCGGTAACTTTTCCCGAAATCTCCGGCCTACAAAATCAGATTCCCACTTAAAATTTTTGAATTCATAGATATAGAATTAAAAAAAAGTAAAAAACTATAAGCCACAAGTTTGAAAACCCATCTCAGTAGAATTTTAGAATCTAATTACTAACTAGCTGATTCTTAAAGTATTATAGAGCCATCATTTCACTTGGAATAAGCAAAACAAAATATTTGCAAATCAAAAGTAATATGTGAATAAAACTTTTATATACTTGTTCTTAGCGACTTAAAAGTAAAGACTGAGAAAAAAAACTTCGATGAAAAACCTCAAAATTAGCTCCAAATCTAAAGGTGGAAATTCAAATGTTAGCTGATAAGTATAAGCATAAGCGAAAAAATGAGGCTCTTAAGTTCCCGAAATAGTCCAATAATGGATCTAAGCAGTATATATGCATTTTTATAAAAAAAAAGAGAGAAACTTTAGAGGTGGAACAAATAATCCGCGACAATAATCGGGTGAAGTGGTGAAAAGCTCATGATGTTTGCTCCCTCTTGGTGAGACTGACGAGGTGGCCCCACATGGCAGAAACAGCTAAGCTGAAACTGAAGGAGGTGGACACTCGCCAGATTGCCAGATTCTCTCAAGTCCCAATCCTCACTGGCTCACTGACCGAAAGGGACAGAGATAATATAACTAGTCTAGCCAGCATCAAGTTAAACAACAACTGTCTGGTCTGATGATCCCACAGGGAAATCAGATCCTTAACAAGACTCCCCTCCATAATTAAATCCGGCTTGAAATGCATACTTTCACACCGAAATTATGAAAGAGACAGCAGCAGGTGCGCAGGGGAAAAAAAGAGATGTTAGGAAACATTAATTCTTGATGAGAGAGAAAGTGAGAGAAGGATAGAGAGAGAAAGAGAGTGGGTGAGAAGGATCAGCAGGAAGAGCTAAGAGGAGGAGGAGGAGGAGGAGGAGAGAGAATAAAAAGACCAGATGCCAACAAATCTGCTGTGATTGCTCGTAGTTTAGAAGAAGGTCGTTCCATTCTCTTCCTCAGAGGAGAGAGAGAAAGGGACCAAACAACACCCATCCAAGAACCCCACAAAAGGAGAAAATTTCCATTATTTTTATTTTTTGGGGGGAGAAGGAGAAGAAAGAAGAAGTGCGTCGTCATTCTTTGAGGCAAGAACAGCAACAACAGCAAGAACCAACCACCCCCTTCCTCCTCATCCTCCTCCTCTTGCTTGTTCTTCTTCCTCCGTGGCCCATCGAATCCAATTATCCTCCACCTCGATCGATCGCCTCTCTCTCTCTCTCTCTTACCCTGGAATTTTGGTTCGGATTTAGCCCATAAAAAATCCTGCCTCTTGAGGTCAACCTGGGACTCTTTGATGCTGGGTTTCTAGCGGGGACATGGCCGTGGTGGTGCCTGCGAGGCTGTTCGTCCTCCGGATGCTGCGTGTCGTCAGGCTCAACCCTCTCCAGCGCGGTGCCGCGAGCGTCGTCGAGGTGAACCAAATGTTATGAGAGCTTGGGTTTTATCACTTGTGTGATGCTTTTGTTGCTGTAAAAAAAAAGAAAAGAAGAAAAAAAACCGTGCAGTTTTCCTGCCTTTTCTGCTCGGGCAATTCGATTTTGCGCTGTGGGTTTATTGGCTGAAATTTTCGGTTGAAGTTGGTGAAAATTTCGACTTCTTTTTTGATGAACTGATGGCGATGGATAAAATCTTTCTTTCTTTCTTTCTTTCTTTCTGCCCTGAAAGGCGTGATTTTTAGAGGGAGGGAGTGACTTTGTCCGAGTTGGTTGAGCTACCGCGTATCGAGGGGGGTTGACTTGTATTGTCTCCCGCACGACGACGAGCCGACAGCCGCGCCGCCGCCGCCGCCATCCATGCATGTCTTCTCCGGCCACGGCGGCCGGCGGTGAGGTCGTCACCCAGATCCGGCGACTCGGTCGGGGCCGGCAGCCGCAGATCCAGTGGATCCATCGGAAGCCGCCCCGGATCGAGGTCCCCGCGTGAGGGATACACCTGGCCTCGAGCTCTGCGACGCTGGATTTGCTCGTGGAGGCCACATCCCCGGTCAAGTTGGGCTCCTGAGCTCGAGAAGGCAAGTTGGGGGGCACCCAGATTTCATGGGATTTCTTCGCCTCCGCTCTCGCCTGCCTTCTCAGATCAGATGGAGATGGCCTTGTCTGGGAATGCTTGAATTCGATCATAGCATCAGGAAAAAAAAGTTGCAAACTTCTCCTAGAAGCTCACATTTGGAAACGAGTGATAGGACCACCTGAAGATCATCATAGGCTTTAGTGGCTCACGCCATAGCTTAGTGTTCTTTCGTTATGTTTTCTCTTGAATGGAAAAAAAACTGAACTACTCTCCTTCAATTTCTTAAAAATGTAAGCTGCTTCTTTCGATGCAAAGTTCGTTTTCTGGGGGGAATATTAGATAGGAATGGTGCGCTTTGATATTGTGTTTCATCCGTGCTATGATACACTTTCGTATTTTGTTTGGTAGATCATCGTAGTACTCACTACAGTATTTCTTGAACAGGATATTTCTTGAAGCACCATTCAAACTGGGAAGCCATATTGGTTGATCATACAGCTGGATTGGTTGAGCTATCCATTTGGCTGATCAGTTCAGAACAGTGAAGAGTCGCATTGTATATTTCCGTTGTGTCGACTCTCCAATTTTTGACTTGGTGCACTTGATGCGAAGATTGCAAAACACTCACAGGCTGGTTCCATTCCACGGCAACGGGGGATCGTATATGATCAATGCAGGCGTCTTGTTTTGGTATTTATTCTATGGAAGCTTGAAATAACTTATTTTTGCATGTCTCTGTTTGACATTACTTAGCTGCTCTACTTATGCTGCTTGCTGCCAATTTTAAGTACCGCAATTTAGCTGATCAGATCGTCTTAAATCTTATCAATTTTCCTTTGCTGAATTGTTGCTTAGGGTGATGCTCTTAGAATTACCTGTGAGTAGGTACTATGCTTATGTTACTTGTATTGAAGCTTTTGTGCCTCTCAAATTTGTTGTAAGAAAATGTGATTTGGCATTATGCCTGTAAATGTACTACAAACCATGAAAGTGAAGTTTTGTCTTTCTCAGCGTTTATGGTTGACCATCGTGTTAGTTTCCAGTTTACTCTTTCTGTTTCCTTCTTCAAGAAAATTAAAAATGCCCATTTGTTGTTTTGCTATATTTGAGGTTGATATTGCAAAAGTGGTAACTGGTCTTGTTTCACTTTGTATAATTCAAAATTTTGAATGTTCTGTTGAACAGATTAGCAAGAATGGGAGCAAAGGTAGAAGGTGACAATTACATGCTTGGATATTATGCCATGGGGGATTTCAACATGGATGCAAATGGTAGGTGGTCTCCATACCATGATGAGAAGATGTCGAATGGTCATATGTGCAATGGCTTCATGACAAAACCAGCAAATGGTTATTCAGAATACGACAAAGAGATGCTCACGCGTACTATGCTTGAACATGAAGCTATATTTAGGCAACAAGTGAGTATCCTGACATGACTTACATAAGCATCTTAATCCATCATTATAAGGCAAAACAGCACAGCAGTAATTTTCATTTCCCCCCTCATGTTTCCTTATGTCATACCTGACAATCCTGCCAATATCCAGGTGTATGAATTGCACCGGGTTTACAAAATACAGAGAGACCTGATGAAACAATATCAAAACAAAGATATATATGCATACCCAATGCTGGAAGATGCATCAAAGACGAATTCACCATCACAGCTTCCACCAAATGGTGCAAAGATGAGTTGGCCGATTCAGACACCTCCTATGTCCATAACATACAAAAAGGCTTCTATTGCAGAGCATGGTGTTATGAATCATCCCTTGAAGTTCCTTAGAGAAGGCAGTGTACAGTCCTCTCCAAATGGATTTCCCCCAAGCGATGTTGCTTTGAACGCCAGACAAGGCACTTTTGACCTTCAGCTTTCTGCTGATCATTATGTTGATGATGACAATGCATCAGATAATGGCCCTATAGATTTCCTTGGTGTAGCACCAGACAAAAAACCTCAGAATAATGCTGACCTCACATTAGTTAGTCCGGAAGGTTTAGGGAGGTTCAGTGATAATAGTTCAACCTCAGGATTGCATGCTACAAATAATGTAGGAGGCCGGCAAGTTGTTGACCTGAATGAGCCAATTACAGGCACATATATGGGTAGAGCTAACGGGTCAGTATCCAGAGGTCTTTCCTATACCTTGGAAAACTCATGGCACCAATCTATATTGAAACCAAGCACAGCTAACTTCAATTACAATAAAGAATACTCCAAAGAGAAACATTTGGATGAAGGAACAAGCTCAAATTTCTTTGCTGCAAATGCCAAGACAAAGCAGGAGGAGAAACAGTTGATTGATAAAGGTAATGATATGCATTATGCAAACTTATTTATTCATGGCCAGATGAGTCATTTTTATGTTTGGACGATAAAAATCTTAATACCATACTTACCAGATTTATTTTACTGGAAACAAATTTGTGTGCATGGTATGGGTTCATTGTGGAATTTGGGACGAAATGATCAGCAGAAAGCTGAAGGTCAAAAGTACTACCATTTGTTTTACAAGGACGTTGATACTAGAGTGACTAGATTCCAACGTCCTTGTAACTATGGTCAATACAGTACTACCATTAGTACAGTTTTCTAATTTTCTAAGTCCAATAGGGACATAACTAGTTGCGACAACAAGCAGCAAAGAGAAACATACCATGCGTGTTAGGAATGACATAGCAGCCTATTGCTAAGCTGAAAATGATAAATATATTGAGTTTCTAGTCTCAGTTGTGTGTAACAGTTCTCTCCTGTACATTCAAAACTGTGTTTCCTTTAACTATGCTAGTTTCTCATTCCCATGCTATACTTGATTGTGGTTGGAACACCTTCATGAGTCATGACCTTAAACCTTTCTTTTCGTTCAGTCAGTGCTTTGACCTGATAGATGTGATTTATAGCATGGACCATATAGTGTGCAGGTTGGTTTTTTCTAGTCCTGTAGTTCTGCATTAATGTAGTAATTGATAAATTAATAGTTACTTCTTGTCTGTGGCTTCCTAGCATTCTTGTTTTGTTGATTAAACTTGTAACCCTTTTTTCTTTCTGATACCGTAACCTACTTGTGTTTGAATGCACTGCATATCCATTTTTTGTGTGTGTTTCATATGTTGCTCTCCACTTCTTTAGTCTCTACTACATGTGGACACTTGGGTATCATTATGCATAGAGCCTAGGAAGCATATGTGGATGCTCTTTTCAGTAGCTGGCACATTTGTTTACTGGTCTTTTTCTTACAACTGATTCGATCCAGTCTAAATGTCTTAACATTTATTCTGTCTCTTGCTTCATCCATCAGGTAAACAGGTCAGCAGCATACATGTTTTCACACCCAGATACAGCGATGCAAATCCACAAATGTCCATGAAAGGTGTTGATGGGAGATCTGCAAGCAATAACCAGTTTTTTCACCAAGGTCAAAATGGTTCAATTGGATGGTTTGCAAGAAGTCCTCTGGAAGCCCCTGCCATCAATAATTTTCCTAGGCTTGATCGGTCACATAATTCAAGTCTTGGTGCACTTGCTCCTCCGATGTCTATTCCTCGCATAGACCATCCTTCAGGTGCTTCCCCGATAGGTTCCTGTACGGTAGATCCAAGGAGCAGTGCTATCAATAACGCTACATTCCAACCGATTCCAAGCTTCAAAGGTTCTTCAACTGTGAACCAAAGCATTGGAACTTCGATTCTTAAGGTGAAGAAGAATGAGGACTTAGATGGCAACTGTCCAGGTTTTGCACTTGATCCGTTTTGTGCATCAAGGCCACAGCATCAGGTGGCAATTTCAAGTGACGAGGAGCAAACCGAGTGCTTGATGTTTGAACATTCAGCACGGCATCGTGAGAATCCTCATTTTGCAAATGACAAGGGCCCAAAGAACTTTAACTTGAATGAAGCATTATCGGATGGACAGGAAGATTATCTTGTAGAACAAGATGGGGGAAGCGTTAGTAGCTTACCACAGAGTAAAGCCAGTGGGTTCCCGTGGCTCATAAAAACAACAGATACATGTACTCGCCCATCAGATTTGCAAAATCCAAGGAAGGTTTTTGCCCATTCAAATAGGATTGTAATCGATCTGAACAGCAATACTGATAGGAAAGAAGCAGCTTTGACTATTCATAGCCTGTCAGATTCTGCTTCAACATCCCTAGACTGTGGGGTTAAGAAGGAATCCCAGGATTGCGGGATTAAAAAGGATGAGGCGTTCGGGGACATTACCACTAGAACTGAGGTGGCATGTAATACGACTCAGGAGAGTGCTACATGTTTACCTGTTCTATGCCAGGAATATGTGCCTGGAGATGATAAAGCTGCTAATGGAGGTGACAAGAAAAGCAGTGCTCCTGTAAGGAATTTCATTGATCTGAATGATGATGCACCAAATGAAGACAATTCAGAGTCATCTGTGGTGTCACATGAATGCCATGTGGTCTCCTTACAGAACAACCATGGTAAACGCAAATTTGTCATTGATTTAGAAGTGCCTGCTTGTGAAGAAGGTGTGGCCTGGGATTTTAATCAGGAATGTTCTCCTTCTGGCAAACTTGATGTAACTCAGGAGGCTGATGATGCACATTTTACATGCACTAAAATTGCAGCAGAGAGCATTATTGCTTTGTCCATGCATGTGCCAACAATTGCAGAGACGCCTGATGATATGCTGCAGTGGTTTGCAGATCTTGCTTTATCAAGCACTGATGACCACGTTGAGCAAGCAGAAGCCCATGATTGCGTGAATAATTCCAGTGATGATGGTCTGGATTCATTTGAATCGTTGACACTGAAGCTGGAAGAGACCAAGATTGATGAGTACTGGAGCAGGCCACAGGCTCCTGAAATACCAAATGATGAACAAGCAGGATTATCAGTGAACCTTCTCACTAAGCCAAAACGAGGCCAGCAAAGGAGGAGGCGGCAGAAGCGCGATTTTCAGAAAGATATCTTGCCTGGCCTTACATCACTTGCGAGACCTGAAATCATAGAGGACATTCAGTTACTTGAGGGGTTAGTACAGGCATCTGGTGGATCTTGGCAATCAAGTTTAACTAGGCGAGGAAGATATGGTGGGCGGCCAAGAGGAAGAAAACCTCGCAAGAATCTGTCAGAAACTATAGAGGAAGAAGAAGTCCCGGTTAGTCCACCGGCAAAACCGGATACTGCAAAGCCAGATGCTGCGGAGATAGAAGCTAGTGATAGGGGGATCATTGGTTGGGGGCGAACAACGAGACGTTGTCGCAGACCGAGGTGTCCATCAGGCTACAACATTTCTGCCGCATCTTGAAAAGATGCCGACAGAAAACATCGGACTATATTTGGATTTGTAGTAGAGATCTTGATGGAGTGGTATAAGAAGGTAAGTATAGCCATGAGTGCACATACCTCGTTGGCCTATTTGGGCTCCCAACTTTCATGCTTTGGGGTTGAGACATGGTGTACATTTTTAATAAGAAATTCTTAAATTAGTTCATAAGATATTTCTGCAACAACATTGTATTAAGCTGTTCCGATGAAATATGGTATGATTCGTTATGAGAATTGCCAGGGATGTAACTCTGGCTGATATCTGAAGAAAAGCCTATGAAGAATGATAGCAGCAAAATGGGTGTACAAATGAGAGTTCTAGCCTGTATGAGTGTACTATGCTTTAGCAGGTTATGCATGTGCTGAATTGCCAATATTCAGAAACTGAAATACCAATTGATTCTTCCAATTCCCTGAATCTTGCATGCTTGTAGTTTTTGGACAGCTTGCAAGTGATGCTTCGGTGTATGGCTGTATCAAAAGGAGGTTGATAAATGGAGCACAAAAACTTGTTCAAAGCGGCAACAAAAGATGCAATCTTGTCACCTGAATGTTGCTTTCTGGATTAATTGCGGAATTAGAGAGTTTGATCATAACCTTTATATGTGCTAATAACAGCTCTTATATAAATGCATTTTCGTCAAAATGTCTGTCCACGGATGGAATCAAAAGCGTGTGTTTATTGACTCTGAACACAAACTTTACTTTCCGATCTGATGCGTGTTACATACTTGGCATGTCAAACAATTTGACCCTGACTTACCTAGATTCAAATACTCAATACATGCGTATAATTTATACAAACATTCCAAACCGGATCCTAATTTGGCGAATTACATGCCAGACCAAAAGGGGCTCACAAACAAAAATGTATATTTGGTTTTAACGTTAAAAAACCAAATAAAATCAAACTAATCGACGGAGCCCAAACACGAAAGCCCAACATTACTGGGCCAAGGTGGCCCAACAGCAGGTGGCCTGCTTGCTGCGGCCCACGGACAAGGCAAGTTCACCAGCGGGAAAAAAAGAGCGGCTAAAAACTCAAAACTCGAAACCCCACCACTCTCCTCGAAGTCTCCGGCGCTCGCAGCAAATCCAGCATCGGCGGTGAATCGATGGGATGGCGGCGGCGGGAGGGCGGCGGCGCCGTCGCCGGCGCGGCCTCGAGGCTTCGGTTCGCGCCGTCCTCCAACCACCTGCTCGTCTCCTCGTGGGATTCGGTGAGATTCCTTCTCCTCCTCATCCCCTCTCGTGATTTAGGGTGGCTTCGCCGTTTGGGGTTGGATGGATTGGGCGCGTGGGGGTGCTTCTGACTTGGTCCAGTTCGTAGGAGGAACCTGGGCGGGTTCTGAATTGTTTGCGAGCTTCCGGTTTTGAGTTGTCTCATCTCGTGAAAATGCGAAATCGGAGGAGGACGGAGAGGCCTGATTAGTGTTTTTTTTGCTTCCCATTTTGGTGGGATTTGTTCCGTAGGGGCTGAGGCTGTACGACGCAGACGCGTGCGAGCTCCGGATGGAGGCGAAATCGGAGGCGGCGCTTCTAGACTGCTGCTTCCAGGATGAGGCCGTGGCGCTCACAGGTGGCTCCGATGGATCCATAACCAGGTAACATTCCTATAAAAGTGGGCTGCAATCGGTGGTGCGATGGTGTTGTACGTTGGGCAGTGCAAGATAGGAACCCCTCCCCACGCACGTAAAATAGAGCAACGGATTAGTGCATGATTAGTTAAGTATTAGCTTAAAAAGACTTCAACATGGATTAATATTTTTTTTAAAGCAACTTTCCGACAGAAACTTTTTCTACAAAAAAAAAACGTACTAGCATTTAGCAGTTCGAGAAACGTGCGGGTGGAAAACGAAGGACCCAATAGCTTAAAAAAACTTCAAAATGAATTAATATGTTTGGAACTCACCCTTAGTTAATATGCTCACTGCTTCATTTCCTTAGATGATCTTTATCTGCTGAATTTTGGACCAAGTTAAGAGTTATCAGCTCGTGTTCGCATGTATTGTTGTGGGGTGCATGACGGCACTAGTCCTATTAGGTTGTTTATACTGATATTGAATTCTATATGTAGCATTTCGTGCAAATACTAAGCAATGCTCCATTCTCCATGTTATATAATTTAAATATGGAAATTTTATGTATTAGTACTTTGGGAAATGTTCTCAGGTATGACTTGCATTCAGGGGCTCAAGGTACTATTGGGCAACACCACGAAGTGGTTTCCTGCATCGAGTTCTCCCAGATAACTGGTAAGGGGCAGTTCATTGCGTTGATGCTTTTCTTGGTTCGATGGACGCTTGGCCCGGGCATCCAATAGGTGAAAACTTTAACACTGCCTGCCTATGTGTCCTTATTTGCTGAAAAGTTTTCAGCATCTGACATTTTCTGTACGCAAATAATAATAATGATACTAGGAAAGAAAGTTATGCTAGTATGTGACTATAGTTTTTTTGGTATTTGTAAATGGATTCCTGTAATAATTATCTATTTAGTGAGTTCTTTTTATTTTTTGCGTCGAATCTATTTAGCGAGTTTCATAATAGAAATGACAACCTTTACTTATTAATTTGTGTTTATTGTTGTGTCGTGTTCTTATCAGGTCAAGTTGTAACTGCTACCCTTGACAAAAAGTTAATGTTCTGGGATTCTCAAACAAGAAATGTGAACCCGAACAGCATAAAAAATTTGGATTCAGATGTGGCATCACTTTCAGTCTGCGAAATGTATATATTAGCAGCAATTGAGAGAGAAGTTTACATTTATGACATGAGGAACCTGATAGGACCAGTAAAAGTAAAAGATTCCCCTGTGGAATATCATTTAAGAAGCCTTCACTCTTCTCCAGAGTGGAAAGGTAGGGTTTCTATTTATATTTATGAGTTCTTATATATTTTTCTTGATACTAATGAAGGCTAAGACTAGTTTCCTTTCCGAAGTTCTCAATGCGAAGATGAAATTTGTAACAACAGTAGTTGTTATAAATATTACCATTGTTGTCCCGCTATAAAACCTAGCCCAGAGCCCTCTTTGTTTCGTCTTCCTTAAGAAAAAGGAAATCCTTACCAGTGATGGTCATCATCTTGTAGATGGTGATATCTTTTCGAGAATGGGGACACCCATGTAACCTAGTATTAAAACATACGATATTGTTGATGGTATGTGTTGAAGTCTCCATTCTCGTTTAAATCAAACATATGTACATTCAGACGTTCTCGTACTTATTCTTTTCTTTATTTTATATCCTTCCAAGGTGTTACTGATTGTTTGTTTATCTGAAACAGTTATTTTTGAACAACAGATAATCAACTTATGATTGGCTTTTTTTCCCCAGGATACGCAGCAGGATCTGTGGATGGAGTTGTTGCAGTGAAGTACTTTGATCGTGGAACCGATGGTGATATGGGGTATTTTTTTGTGCTTTCACTAGAGAAATCAATGGCAAATGTTTAAAACAAATAATCGATGACCGCTAATTCACTATAAAGAGAAGATCATTTCTTATTTGAATAGAGATAGCGTGGAAATTTACTCACATTTTCAGGCCTCTTCTCTCAAACTATATCTATTTGCTGTGAAGTAGAAACTTATTCTAATCCAAAAGACAAGAATAATAACACATAATTTTTTTGCATGATATATCTTTTTAGACAAATTTCTTATGTGCTGAGTTAGTTTGTCTTTTTTTTTTGTGTGTGTGTGTGTGTGAAAGGACCAACTTGGAACAAAAGGTGGTGATGCATGAATCAATCTTGACGTCTTATTAAGTTTTATGTAGCGGAACCAAAACAAGTCCTATAATAATGTATTATGTATAGATGCCCAAAGTACTCACCCTCAGAACTTAATTGAGATACTTGTATTTTTGCAGATATGTTTTCCGGTGTCATCCAAAATCTAGAGATGGAAGATCCAGTATGGTTCCCATTAATAGCATCGGAATTCATCCGTTGTATGTTTTGTATTTTTTTTTTGTGCATCTTCCAGCTGTCCTGTTCCTCAAAGTGATTTTTTTTTTTGAAACGAACCTCAAAGTGATGTGGACACACTGGTTTCTGATTGGCAGTGACAAAACTTTTGTTACTGGAGATAATGAAGGATATGTCATTGCCTGGGATGCTCAATCAAAAAAGAAGCTGCATGAGGTAACATGTGATCCTTGAGGTGAAAGCATATTGTCTGCAACTGTTTTGATTGTGGCAATTTAAAATTGACTAAGAATGAAATGACTTACCTGTAGGCCCTTCTGCTAACTCTTCTCTCACCCTGCTTTCACTTATCTCTCCTATTGCCTTCTGTAAATACTGTTAGCATCTATTTTCTGAGGACTTAGTTGCAAAAGAATATTTCTAATGTTATATATATATTAGAGCAATGTTGCAGAAGTGTACACTGCAAATGTCCAGTGATCAAGATTGGATTGTTCTTAATTCCTATGGTTCTCTGTGTTAAATGACGGATGCTGTCTTGAACAACTATAAATGAAACTTGGCTGTTGTATCCTGTGTGCAATAGCAATTCAATTTTCCTAACGCAGTTTAGTTAATCAGTATATGTACCTCTTTTCTGTTGGCGGGTTAATAATTTAGATCTGTATTTTACCTGTGCAGTTTCCTATCTACTCAGGCAGTGTGGCATCGATAGCGTTCAATCATAATGGTCAAATTTTTGCAGTTGCTTCAAACAGCAACTATCAAGAATCAGATAAAATGTGAGTAGCTACTGAACCAGAAAATTACCTATTGCTTCATTGTCATCAATAATTGCCATTACATTCAATATTTATTCAGATGTAATCATGTGATGGTAGAACATGGTTTCCTATCAAAATCTATTGCACAAGACGTTTCCACTTATAAGTTATAAATATCTAAATTTGGCTGGTGAACCCCCTTTTTTTTTAGAAAGAGAGGGGTCGTCTCCCATTTTCATTACCAGAAATGAAGGTTCAACAAGCACTAACCTGGCAACCACGACTAAACCAGAGTCACCAAAGTGCTAATTAAGGTGCCATCTCACCATTATAGCACTTCTGGTGAAAGTTTTCTACTAAATAATCTACTGTCAGCTATTTAGGCAAATAGGAAAGCAGTTTACAGCCTACTATGTTTAACCTATTGCATTCCCAGGAAGAGTTTTGCTTCCAATATATAAACCACATGTGTGTTGTACATGGAAGGTATGCATGGAGGGGTCTGGTAGTTGAGCGTTCTGATTATTTCATTCAACCAAGTAACCTTTCCATTTGCTGCATACGTGCAGCAATCTTTTCTTAGTTGATCAGTACGCTGATTACTTGATGCTTGGTCTTTTGTCATTGCCTTCAATTTGTGGTTGTTTGTTTTGGAAAAAAGTGGTCCACTGTCATACCTAACTATGCTTCTTTCTGATGAGAAGCACTTCTCCTCATTCTCTGATATGATTACAAAGTATCCTAAACATTTGGATTTGGTTACTATAGTGATAGTATTTCATCTTTGTTGAATCGAAGTATCATGTTTGTTCCACCTCATCATTAAGAAAGCATTCAATCTACCTACTGATCATCTCGCTTGCACGTTTTCAGGGTAGAGGAGCACCAGATATTTTTCGAAATGAAGCAGCACTTCTAAGGAGGTGTGCCTCACCTTTTAGCAGGAGGTCCCTACCTTCATGTTGTACAACTAATCGAGCTAAACTTATTCGTAGGTATTCTTTTCCACCCCATCATTTTGTTAGCTGCGCAGGATGTAGCTGAACGTTGTTGTATTGTTGTATGGGGAAGCATTATACTCATACAAATTAGCAGGTTTACCTATCTCAGCTTGTGTAGGCATGTGATTGTTCTCAAGCAAGGGCAGGGTAGATTTGTAGCGACTGTGTGTAAACTAGTACATCATGTACTGTATGTTCAAACTGCTATTAGGAAATGTAACACATGTTATTGGACATTTGGACTTGGATCTGGTTATGCAAAATGGTTGAAGCAAATTTGAGTTTTTCTTTTCTGCTAGTAGGGAAACGAGTAGGAATATTTTCTCGAGAGGAATCTTTTGCTTCTCAAGCACATTCTTTCTTTTGGAGTTGATCCAGACATTGAATTGTGTCTCTTTTGGTGTTGCTCCAGACATATTGAAGTGTGTGTATCTGTTTGACCTGATGCGTTTGCGTCTGGAATCTTTGCTGCACTAGGATGCTGTGACTTCCAGCTAGTGCTATGTTGCTAGTATCTGGCTTTCCCCTTTTCTGGGTTTTTCACCATTTGATCTTTTAGAACATTTATTTAACAAATAGATAAAAAAAAGACTTATTCTGATTCTTTTTTTGGCACCACCGTTATTGGTCTCGTGGTTCAACATGACCGTGCCAATGACATTGGCGCTGTTCTACATTCTCCGGTGGACTAATGTGAAGTGATGCCAATATCATTGGCGTTGTTACGTTGGACCACAACGTCAATAATGTTAATGTTGTGAAAATGATTTATTCCTAAATATGTTTTTTTAATTCTATTTTTAAAATCAATTTTTTAAAAGGATTATAATGTGAAAAATCTGGCTCCCCATTCTTAGGGATGTAAATTTTCAGACGGTAACCTTACTGCTTAAAAGTATTATGGAAAGGCTCACCGGGGGTATGTATGGATCATGTCAAATGACTCAGTAGAGCACAAAAGTGCTTTCTGGGTTTATCTTAACCTTTGTACCGTCCATTTATCGGTAGGAGAACACGTGCCATTTTTTGCTGGCTTACAGATATATCGTGACAGGTGACAAACACGCAAAGGTACATTTCAGCCGACCAAAAAAAATGTTGTACAGTGAACTGCAATCTGCAATTTTCATCGTGCACTACTCCTGCTAGTGCACCACGACGACACGCAATCCCAGGCGAAGCGGCTTCTGCGCGCTGCGAAAAGTCAGCAGCAAAACCGCCGCCTGCCGTTGGGTGGGCCCCACGTCTATGAAAAGGACGAGCCGCTTTTGTCTCACGTGCGGCCGGATCCGGCTGGACCCTTTCGATCCGACGGCTACGCTAGGTACGCGCGGGCGCCACCCGGCCGACCAAAGTAACTATCACGACGGGCCGAGCCGAATGGGCCGGCGGAAAAGCCCATCCCACGGCCCGCTCTCCGCGGATGCGGCGCCTCATACATAAATGTCTCGCTGAGCTCCGCCCGTCCGGAACCCTAGTCGCCGGATCGCGTCTCTCCCATCCTCTCGCGCATCCTCCTCCGACTACCTCGGTGAGCCGCCGCCGCCTCTTCCACTCTCGTCTTCTTGATCTGATCTAGGGGGTCGCGGCGTTCCTGACCTGTGCGCGCCTGGTGGTGGTTGTTGTTGTTGGTGGCAGGTTGGGTTTTGGGGGCGGCTGGAGATGTCGGACTCCGAGGAGCACCACTTCGAGTCGAAGGCCGACGCCGGCGCGTCCAAGACCTACCCGCAGCAGGCTGGTACTATTCGCAAGAACGGTCATATTGTCATCAAGAACCGCCCATGCAAGGTCTGGATCCCCGTTTCTGTCCCCCTCTTTTTCGCTTAGATTTGTTTTGAGTTAGGAGTTGTCCTCTGTGTTCTTGTCTGCTCTGTAAACTCGAAAGGTTGGCGCTGATTACTGCGGGATTCGGCTGGTTTGTTAGTTCCAATAATAATCTATTAGTAGCCATTTGTAAATTTTTATACCTTATATGTTCATACGTTTAGATTTATCTGTGTAGTCTGAATTGTGCTTATGCAATTTTCTGGATAGTGTCGCAACTGTGGGTTTAATTCCCCTTTTGCACTTTCTTTTTTTTTTTGCGTCAGCAGTGACCAGCCATTTTTGTTATACAGCGCTAACTAGTCAACTTTTTGTTGTTGAATCTATTTTGTTTTGTTTCGTTCATCATGGAAATGATGATTTTGCAATTGTGGTGTTTGTAATGCATGGTATTTGCTGATTTGGGGTTGTGCTCACTATTTCTCTTGCCGGGTGTATTTTCATCCATATATAGTCACTGTCATTGTTGTAGTGTGGATATGATTATGTTATCTCAAAGGCAAAAGTACTGTTTCTGCGGGTGACTTGACTATTGATGATTTCAGCCAAAAGGTTGAAATGAAATTTGCACGCCCTTTTTAGCTTTTTGTTAGTGCAACGCTTTGCCTGTTACCAAACTAATACCTCATTTCATCACTGCGATTCAGGCCTTAATTTAAAATACTCATTTTGTCAATGCGACGTGTGCTTTAATTTAAAATGCCTTAATGTGGTTATCATATTTTGTGCTATCTTCTTGCAATTATTGGTTGGTGAACGACTCCTGTTTTCTTTTCTTTGATGAATGTTATAGTGGAGTGGGAACCATGCTAGTCTTCTTGTTGATACGAAGGTTTGATGACCACATAATGCATTTATACAAGTATCTTATCTTCTCCTTCCTTTTGTAGGTTGTTGAGGTCTCCACTTTTTATACAAGTATCTTATCTTCTCCTTCCTTTTGTAGGTTGTTGAGGTCTCCACCTCCAAGACTGGGAAGCATGGACATGCAAAATGCCACTTTGTGGCCATTGACATCTTCAATGGGAAGAAGCTTGAAGATATTGTGCCCTCCTCCCACAACTGTGACGTAAGTATAAATTCTTAACCATGTTAAGACTACTGTTTGCTTGGTTCGTGCTGTGTGGTTTACTTGTTTTCCTTCTTCTGTGCAGGTCCCCCACGTGAACCGTACTGATTATCAGCTGATTGACATTTCTGAAGATGGATTTGTATGTTTCTTTAGTCCTTTTAGCTATCTCTTGATTATTTCTCTTTTAGCTATCTCTTGATTATTTCTGAAGATGGATTTGTATGTTTCTTTAGTCCTTTTAAGATGGATTTGTATGTTTCTTTAGTCCTTTTAAGATGGATTTGTATGTTTCTTTAGTCCTTTTAGCTATCTCTTGATTATTTCTGAAGATGGATTTGTATGTTTCTTTAGTCCTTTTAGCTATCTCTTGATTTGGCTCTTGGTATTATTTAGTCTGTAATGCACGTCTCACACATTCCACAGGTCAGCCTCCTGACTGAAAGTGGAGGCACTAAGGATGACCTGAGGCTCCCTAGTGATGAGGCTCTGCTTACTCAGGTTAGTGATTTGGTCTTAAGCTGTAGCTTTGGCATCCACATCTTCTTTCCAGAATTGCTCAAACTCTTTTTCTTGTTGTTGTTGCTATAAGATCAAGGATGGATTCGCCGAGGGGAAGGATCTGATTGTTACCGTGATGTCTGCCATGGGTGAGGAGCAGATCTGCGCTCTGAAGGATATTGGCCCCAAGAACTAGAATACCTTGTTACCGTGTTTGGCTACCTGTCTGGTCGCTTTAAGTTTGGAGCTGGTCTTGAGATTATATATAAACTTTTGATTTGAGCGTAAGTTAAGAAGACATATGGGCCGTTGTTCCATCTTGCGGTTTATACCGAATGATTTGGATGTACCTTTGCTATATGTAATGCTATTTTGAACCAGTAGTTTTACAGTCTTTATGGTTATTTATATACAATGTTCTTTGGGTTATATGCAAAATTTCTTGTAATCCATCCTATATTCTGTTGCATCATTTTTTGGGTGCTCTTTGACTTAGTCGAAGTGATCCTCTTGACTTCTTACGTATCGGTTTCGATTATTTTGGTTATTGTGTTGAACAATTGTGAATTTCTGTGAGCCATGTTTGCAAGTCCTAAACGGTCAAATTTTGCTTTCCACTTTCAAAATGAATCGCATGGAGCTTAGCTTTACAGGTGAAAATGGTCTCAGATTTCAATCAATGTCATTTTTGGTCAAATTTTGCTTTCCATTTTTGGTCAGATTTTCACCTTTTGGTGGCAACGTTGTTTTGCCAGGCGTGACAAAGTGAATTGGCCGCGCCAGGCCGTACCTTGTAGCCAAAAGGTTTATATTTAAAAATACTTTAGAAAAAGACTATTAATAAAATTAAAAATAAAGAGTCTAAAAAATAAAAATATTTTTAAGTTTGGATGTGTTTGCTTCATGCTAAAATTGGAAGTTTGGTTGAAATTGGAACGATGTGACGGAAAAATTGGAAGTTTATGCATGTAGAAAAGTTTCGATGCGATAGAAACTTTGGAAGTTTGACGAAGTCCGTGTGCGTCACCGACATATGGGTCCCTTCTAGCGGTGCAGAAAGTGATAAGGTTCAACCAAAGTCGCAAGTCCGCAACGCGACTGTGCACACGAGGCCACTCCACTCCTCTCCTTTGCGCTCGCTCTGCTCTGCCATGGCGGAGGCGCTCGTCGCCGTCCTCCGGCTCGCGGCGTCCGCCGCCGCCACCGCACGCCCTCAAAGCCGCAGCGGCCGCCACGGCTCCTGCGCGGCGCGCGTCCCCTGCCCCGGCCCGTCCCCGTTCCGCCGCGGCAGGCTCTGCGCGCGGGCCGCGGTGGCCGGCCCGCCGGAGGTGGACGACGACGACGCGATGACCATCGACAATCTCCGCCGCTTCTTCGACGTCAACGTCGGCAAGTGGAATGGAGCATTCTACGTGCGCGCTCGCCTCCCTCTAGTTCTTCTTCTTCTTCTTCTTCTTCTTCTTCTTCTTCTTCTCTGGGTTTGTAGTCTGCAAGACTGAGACGCTGAGTGTTCTTGTTCGTGTGCCTGTGTGCTTGTGTTCTTCTCGTCAGCAATTCGATGCGCACGGGAGGGTGCTGCAGGGGATCAGCACGCGGCTGTCAGTGAGCACCTACGGGGAGGACGACCTCATCAGCCTCCTGCAATCGTAATGACACTCCACTTACTCATGTTAAATCCTTTTTTGTTCAGTTCTGATAGCACACTTCAATTATCGCATTTTTTTATTTAATTCAGTATTGTTTCATGTGTTCCATGTTTATATCATATCCTTTGTGATTGTCAGTAATCAAGAACAATGTTTTGGCCGTTCTGTTGTGGCCAGGGATCCTTACGGCATATTTACCTATTGTGTTTTCCAGGCTGTATATCAAGCAAGCTTCTTCTCAGATATCGTTTGTAGATGAGGAGGATTCTGAAGAGTGGGTGGAGTACAAAATCAAAGAGACAAACATGTTCACTGTAGATAAATACCAGCAGGTGCACTGAAGTTTGATGATCTCTTGACATTTTTAAAAAATTTGTGTAGTTCTGAGTATTTTTAATGAGCGGTGTTGTTTAGTAGGTAGGATTCTTTCAAGAGGAAAAGGCATTTGCTCTGAGGTATCAGACTGCTGGAATGCTGGAGACTGTCCTTCGGGCTGGTGTGCTAGGAGAAGATGATACTGGTGAAGAATCCCCCAAGTAAACAACCTAGAAACATTGTTACATGCTTACTGCACTGCGATGCTTGTATAATGAGCTGTTACTTATCTGTTTTGTACTTCACCAGAAACTTGAAGATCCCTTCTCGTAAGCCATCTATTGTATGTGAGAATTGCCTTTACTCTCGTGAAGGCAATGGCCGAGTAAGGGCTTTCCACATCATGGACCCAAAGGGAGTGCTCGATATGCTTATAATTTTCCATGAAAAGCAGGGATCTGAAGTCCCACTTATGTACTCTTCAGATGATGCAGATGTGAGTTCTTATATAAGCAAATGCTATAGTTTCAAACGATCTGACAATGGGATGATGCTAAAAATAGCCCTTTTCTTTTGCACTAGATCACCAACAGTGATAGAATAGCTCCACTACTGGGAAGATGGGAAGGCCGTTCTGTGACTAAGAGGAGCGGGGTGTATGGAGCAACACTTTCTGAAGCTGATACGGTGGTTCTCCTTGAAAAGGACCGCAATGGTCAGCTAATTCTGGTATGCTGCAGAATTACATTTTGCGTATCATTATTCTCCTTAGACTTTTAACTATGGAGTATGGAAATATGTGCTTCTATAAAGATGATAATCCCAATCAGTGTCTTGGCAAAAATTGACCTAAAACACAGCCGTAAACCTATGGGTGATGGATTTCAAAATTTGCATGCAATGGGTGGACAAGCGGGTGTGTCTGCACTAGTATGTGCATCAGCATATTGTGTTCGTTCTTTACCTTACAGTTGCATTCATATAATTAGGTAGATTTATAGTTTACAGGCATTGGAAAATTTCTAATCAGGTCAATCTTATGATTTATAAAAATTATAAATGCACTTGCCTAAAAAGTGTTTGTTTTCAGTAGCACTATATCGTGTTCATAACTTGTGTTACATGTTGTTCATGCTGTTCATAGGATAACATGTCAACAAAATCTGGATCTAGCACAACAACAACTGTTCACTGGACAGGATCAGCAAATAACAACTTGCTTCAGTTTGATGGAGGATATGAAATGACCTTGTTACCTGGAGGAATGTACATGGGATATCCGACAGACATCGGTAAGATTGTGAATGACATGGATTCTTTTCATTTGGAGTTCTGCTGGATGGAATCACCAGGAAAGAGGCAGCGGCTTGTGCGGACTTATGACTCAGCTGGTTTGGCTGTTTCATCAACTTACTTCTTTGAGACTAAAGTATGAAGGACAACTTTTACTTCGATAATTCGTAGATTTTCTCCAATGATCTCATTGAAGTGTGCGTACTTAGTCTTGCGGCTTGTTACTCGGTATGCGATAGCAGAGTATATATTTTTGGACAGCTTCATCCTATGCGAATAGGAGAAACTTATGAGAGCAGTGTTTTGCTCTTCATTGGCTAAAATTCTACTAGCATGTCGCATTCATATATTTCCAAGTGGCTTTTTTTCCCTGGTGTGGCTGGGGTAGTTAAACCTTTAGGTTTGGAATTTGTCTCCCCTTGTAAATGCCGATATCATCCTGGTCGAATTTGGTTTTGTTGAATACAAGTATTTTGAAACTGAAAAAGATTATGGCCGTGGATCGTTCTTCATATTTCTGCTGCAAAACTTAGGAGTCAAAATTTCTGACCAATTCGTTATGGGGAGGGGGAAAAACTGACTAATTATGCTGGTTCAGTCAGTTGTTGTACCAAAGCCAATTTGAAACCATAGTCTAAAAGACAATGGAAGACATACTCTACCTAGTAACAAAAGGTGACTTTCTGTCTCAAAAAACAACGTCATAGGGATATATATGTGATATGGATGGAGTGATGTTACAAAGGCATACTCCTACCTCTGTGACTGCTGTTACCATCACGACATTCTAGGGTCTACCATATGATATGGATGGAACATAAAGGTGATTTAACTCCCTGGAAGGAAACCTCTGTTGGTAATCCAGGAATATTTTACTCTACAATAACCGTGTTCTTGCTTCTGTCTTGTAGTACTCCAGTGAAAAGAGATATACAGCTAGAAATTACTAAAGAATTAGATGTCTCTAATCAAGGAATTAATGTGTAATACTTGTTTGGCCACCAATGGCGCCAGCAAACCGCGTGGAAAGATCTTTACATAGAGCTGGAGAAAGCTGCTGTTTATCAAAGAAATGAAATATGGTATTTGACCATGATGGTTGCAAAAATATACTTTTGCCAACAGTTTGAAAGAAACGTGTAGCATTATAAAACTGCCTTGGGGGTTAGTGCGATACATGTATATATCTCATATTATAAATGTGCCAAGACATTCCACTGGCTAAGAGATACTGGTGAGGTTATATATATAGCGTGCACAAGATGGAGATTTTTTTTTTTAATCTTGCCTCAAATCCTCAATGTTGTAGAGAGGATTACACTTGTAAGTTTTTGGCTTTTGCATTTGATCCTATGAGAACCAATTGGTCCACGTTGTGCAATGCCCCTCCACAATTATCCCCCACACACAGCTCCCAAATCTCTGTTCTTGAGAAAATAATGCTGCTTAATTAGTTGTACACAGCAGGCAGAGGATGCAGCTAATCTTCCAGATAATCAAACTGTAAACTTAAAAGCTAGCTTAAGCTAATATAGGAACCCCATATGTCACATCGTTGAAGAGGCTCTCAAGTCTCAAACCTCATCATCATCTTCGTCGCCGTGTCGGCGACCATGGCCGGACACCTGATCTGAGCAATGCCAATCGTGTCGCCGGTGAAGGAGAAGGCGGCGATCGCTTTCGACGCCGGCGAGTAGCCGCCGTCACCGCCGCCGCGATCGATCGAGCAAAGTCACCGGAGGAAGGAGACAGCTTCCGTTGGTTTTGGAAATATTCAGCTCAAGCAGTTGGAGCGAGTCAGTCCAATCCCAACACATCTCGCTCGGATCCCCTCTCTTGGTCGGCAGCCGTCGTTGTCATCGATCGGGAGGCGTTGCCATTGCACGTTTCAGCTTGTTTTTGTCGCTTAGTAGAAGCAAAGGAAGCTAACGCGGGCGGCGGCGGTGGCAATGGCCGATCGGCGCCGCAGCGACGGCGGCGGCGGCATGCAGCAGCAGCCGTTCACGTCGCCGGGGCAGGAGAGGGTGTTCGACGGCGGCGGTGTTCCTGGGCAGGTGGCGGCGCCGTATGGGAGTGATTTTGATCAGAGCTCTTACATGGCGCTTCTCGCCGCCGGCGCCGTCGGCGTCGGCGTCGGGGTCCAGCCGACGGCGGCGCCGTGGGCTGTCGAAGAGGACGTCGCCGCGGCGCCTCCTGGGATTAGCTTGGCACCTCAGTTCTCCATGGTAATGTTGGTCTCTTGGATTCTCTTCTCGTGATTAATTTGGTGGTGAGAATTTGCTGCTGCTGATACTTACTTCTGATTAATTCTGAAGAATTCTTCTCGAAATTGGAATCCCGTGGTATACAGATATTTGATCGGTATTTGCTATCGGGTTATTTCATGAGATTCTAATTGCAAACAAAAGCTCCGTTTTATGTTCTTACTGAGATTAATTTGCAAGGTTTACTGTAGCAACTAGTTACATAATTTGAATTACATTTGTTACTTAGTTTGACACTTTGACCTACTTGCATGAGATATATACTTGCATCATCACAAGCAAAAACACAGTGAGAAAATTCATTCAAGAAAATTCACTGAAGAAAAAAAAAGATTTGCACCTTAATTTGTTCGCCATGGCTCCATGCACAGGCGAACTATGCGCCGCCGCCGTCGTACCAACACCCTGCAACCCTCGTCTCCCCGCCGCTCGCCGCCGGCCTCCACCCCTACCCGCCGTATCTCCACGGAGTCGACGCGCCACCGCCGCAATGGCCTCCACGACCGGCGCCGCCGCCCAGCTTCAGCGTCCTCGACCTCGCCGCCGCGGCTGCTCCGCACGAGCAGCGCCACAGCATGCAACAGCTGCTCCTCCGCGCCGCGGCGTTCGGCGGCGGCATGCACGCGGCGGCGGCGCCGGCGCCGGCGGCCGCCGCCGCCATCGAGCAGCCGGCGAAGGACGGGTACAATTGGCGCAAGTACGGGCAGAAGCAGCTCAAGGACGCCGAGTCGCCGCGGAGCTACTACAAGTGCACCCGCGACGGCTGCCCCGTGAAGAAGATCGTCGAGCGCTCGTCCGACGGCTGCATCAAGGAGATCACCTACAAGGGCCGGCACAGCCACCCCCGTCCCGTCGAGCCCCGCCGCGGCGGCGCCGCCAGCAGCAGCAGCTCCGCCATGGCCGCCGGTACTGATCACAATGCCGGCGCCGCCGCGGACGACGCCGCCGCCGCCGACGAGGACGACCCCAGCGATGACGACGACACGTTGTTGCACGAGGACGACGACGACGGCGAGGAAGGGCATGACAGGTGGGTCCAGCAATCGATCATCGTGCCGATGATTATCAACCGTCGGATCAAATTACGAGCAATTTTACACTAATTTTTTTAAAAAAATTGCTCTCAAATTACTGTGTAGTTGATGGTCGTGTGATTTTGGTTGTTAGGGGTGTAGATGGCGAGGTGGGGCAAAGGGTGGTGAGGAAGCCCAAGATCATATTGCAGACTCGCAGCGAGGTTGATCTGCTCGACGACGGCTACCGGTGGCGCAAGTACGGCCAGAAAGTTGTCAAGGGCAACCCACGACCAAGGTAAACACGTCTCTGCTAATATTTTGTTCTTCTAAAAACACGTAAAAGTTTTGCACGTCAATGCATTTAGAAAGGGGGGAAAACAACTGGAAAATCCATTTAAAACTTAGGTGCACATATATATACAACCATGCGCTCATCTTTTTCATATCATTATTGTCTGATCATTTCATCTATAGCAACATGTAACGCTTATTAACGATCGGAAAACAATTTATGGATAAAACTTTAAGTAAATTTCACAAAACCACATATACTTAAAAATAACTTTTGCAAAACTACAGATTTAAGACGGAGTGTCAACAAATAAAGATTGAGTAGTAAATTTATCACAAAACTACAAGTTTAGTGTCAAGTTAATCATAAAACTACAATGTTTACAACTCTAACAGACTGTAGTGCTCTGGATTTAAATTTTAGAATATGTAGTTTTATGATTACTCCAATATTAAATCTCTAGTTTTGTGATACTTGGTCTTAAATTTATAGTTTTACAATAAATTGATCGCTAAATCTATAGTTTTGTGATATAACGTCTTAAATATATAGTTTTGTAATAGTTTGATAAAACTATATGTGGTTTTGTGAAATTTACTCTAAATTTTTTATACATTTTTGTATGTGTTCTTAGTGGGTTAAAAACTAATGCCGGAAAATAAACTTCGGTAAAAAAATTAAATTAACTCTAAAATTAATTTTTGATAATTTAAATTTAGTTGTAGCTAATAAATTGGAGAGGAGATGGTCATATTTTTTTTTAGAAAAAACAATAACATATATTTTTTAGAGGAAACCAACAACATATTACAATGTTATATACTCCCTCCGTCCCATGATATAAGGGATTTTGGAGGGATGTGACACATTCTAGAACTACGAATCTGGACATGTTCTTATCCAGATTCGTAGTCCTAGGATGCGTCACAATCCTATAAAATCTCTTATATTACGGGACGGAAGGAGTATCACTCCACTAGTATACAATACCAAACTCCACGCACACATCCCCGCAGGAAAAAAAATATGGACATTGTTGGTACTATTCATGAATGAGTTTGTTTATTTTGTTTCTTGTTGTGTATATTGAATTTTGACTTGATTTTCTACCAGATTGTAGATGTATCATATATGCTAAATCAATGTTATAAAAAACTCTAGGAATTATGTCTTTTTAAATTGTAAATGACAAGCAGAACGAATACGCATATACTTGAGCTATAAAATCCATGTCCCGAAAGAACCCAATAAATGAGCATTGCAATTCACAACTTGAGTGTGACGAACCTGACACGCACGTTACAGCCTGAAACTCTGAACCCGCCCCCTGAATCCTGAACCGAATGTGCTGCGCAGGAGCTACTACAAGTGCACGGCGGACGGCTGCAACGTGCGGAAGCAGATCGAGAGGGCGTCGGCCGATCCCAAGTGCGTCCTGACGACGTACACCGGCCGCCACAACCACGACCCGCCGGGGAGGCCGCCCGCCGCCGCTAACCTTCAGATGCCTGGCCCGGCGGCCATGAGGTTGGCCGGCGGTGGCACGGCTCATCAGCAACCGAGCGGCGGCGCTCACCAGATGAAAGAGGAGACATAGCCGGGAGGATGAATTAACACACTCCTGTGTTGCACGGATGCTTCTGTCTGGTGATCTCTGTGTTTTCTTTTTCGCTGTGTGAATAATAATAGAGATGAATGGTGATTGATTCTTTAATTTGGGCAGATTTTCCTGCCGGCTAGTTGTTGTTGTTGTTGTTGTTCGTCTTCTTTTTTTTTCGCGAATACGCAAAAAGGCTTGCGTATTATGATGGCTAGTTGTTGCTGTTCATCATGATTGATTAGATGTCAGTTGTTTTTCTAGGGAGGCTGACATGTTGGTTCTGGCTGCAGTTTGTCTGTGGCTGCTTCTTGGCTTTGCTTTTTAATGGTTTGTACAGTAACTCTGTATATTTGTTGTTTTCCCTTGCATTTTTCAATGGAAAGATGCTAGGGTTAGAGTGGTGGCTTTAACATCACCACTGTAAATTGTAAATGGTTTCAGAATGCAAGCTTTTTTTTTCTTTTTGAGGAAAAGTTTCAGAATGCAAGTTATTCGATCAGCTGAAAATTAGATAATGGATTAGTGAAAAGTACAGCTTCTCACTGCAGAATGCTCCTGTTGTCATTCTTTGGCAAATAAATGAGTATTTACACGATGTTTATGCAGCTTAATGCATAAATTTGTGTTAGTTTCTACTCCACTCTCCCGATTTGTACAGATCTCTCTCTCTCTCTCTCTCTCTCTCTCTCTCTCTCTCTCTCTCTCTCAAAGTTAGTAAATTTCAGTGACATTAAAAATTTATTCGTCACTGGACATTATCAATGTTGGTATTTGCCCGCTGTCGGCAAAGTCGATCTTATTCAGCCTCATGCAGCACAAGACATGCTCAGGTAGCTCCTCTGCCTTCTGTGCCTGCATCAAGATCAGAACATGCTTGAGTCAGAATTTCAGTCAAGAACAAGTTTTTCTTTCAGGCCAAGAGCAAAAGAAAAGTACCTGAATGGTCAGGCCAAGATCAAGAACTCCATGTTTCAATCGTTCCCTGAAGGCCTCAAGCCCTTTCCTTGAAATGAAGCTGAAACGGTGGACATCGAGATCGATCTCGAAGTAGTTTGGCCCCTGCATTACAATGAACATATATTGATCTTTCAGTCAGAATTCGTAGTCGTAGAACATGAAGATTTCAGCATGTGTAATCAATTGATGTATAGATGGGATCAAGTCTGAAGATGCAGATTGCTATTACCTTGAAGAATTTGTGCTGGGGGCGAGACAGCACCGGTTTCTGGTTGTAGGTTTGCACAAGCTTCCTCTCAGCTGCACTGAGCTGTAAGTCGTCAGGGTTCACCAAACCAGCCAGAATTTTCAGCCTCTCAGTGTAGGGCACATTGCTGTCTACCGGAAACCCCTTAACTCTCTCCATTTCATCACCCATAAGCTTCTGTAGTACAACCAAGTAGCCATCAGCAATTTGGCCAAGGGGCACTGAAAAAGGGTGAGATGAAAATGCAAGCAATCTGAACATACCTTGATGCTTTCTTTTAGTTGAGGAGAAATTTCCTTGTCAAAACTGTCAGATAGCTTGAAATAAAGAACTAGGCTTATCCCATCGCCGTCGTTCTCGCCAAACACGGTTGCTGGATAGGTAGGCATCTGTGGAAATCAGTAGAAGTTGTTAGGTTCAGAGATGACCAAAGAAATTAATAGATGTTAGAAAAAGCAGTAGTTGAGTCCTTCTGAATTTACCTGAATGTTCACAATGAGGAGTGATGGGAAGGTCTCATGAGCCTTCAGAGATGGAAGAGCGAGATGCTGCGCAATGTGATTTATCTTCCTTGTGCAGGCAAACATGTCTGCTCCAATTGGGATGTATGGTGAGCAGTTCGGAGCTGGGGATTTCCTCTTGTCTCTGCAAAGCATTTCAAGAATTCAGTCAAGGATACTGATGAACATCATGCACAATGTGTGTTTATCGATGCAATTGCTTCTTACTTGAAGAAACTCTCCCCTCGGACTCTGAACACTGACGGCTCAATAGCTGACCAACAACCATCTGACAGTTTTTCGCCGGTCGAGCACGGCAACGATGAACCGGCTCTTGGACGGTACAGATAGTTCGTAGAGCCACCTGCATTGTTAAATTTGTCAGCAAAGTGAAGAAAGATTGATCGCGCACATCAACACGCTGCAAGATTAGCAAGCTGAGTGCTGAATTGCTGATGCTTTTTTTGAAGATAGAAAAGAAAAATTAGTGCTGAATTGCTGATGCTAAGACTCACTCATTTCAGTCATCTCGTCACCCTCGTATGATCTCCTCCTGAAGGAGAGCCTGACGACGGCGGATTTCTTCTTCTGGCTGTGCGGGCTGACGCTGACGATCGGCATCGGCTGGATCTTGTTGCTCGGAATCGACGGCGGGAATGGCGGCCGCGTCGAGCTCGCCGCCGATTCCTTCAGGCCACCGCCGCTGCTGCTGCAGCACTCGTCAGCAGCAGCAGCAGCGTTTGATTCTTCAGCTTTCCCGGGAGGATCATCATCCTGGCATGCCTCTGCGCTCGCGATGCTCCTCAGGCGATGCACGGCGTCGAGCAAGCTCGTCGACGTCGACGTCGCCGTCGCGGTGACATCCGGGAGAGGATCTGGGTTGGAATACGAGACGTGAAAAAGCTTTTGAGCTGTCTGAAAAAACTCTGAAACTACACTGAATTACTTGACATTTTTGACAGTGTCTGAAGAAAAACATTTTACCTCCACTGACGCTGGCGAAGTCGTTGTCGAGATCGTCGTCTTCGGAGTCGGCCGAGTCGAGGATGCTGACGGAGTCGTACCACGCTTCTTCACAGATCACTGGTTCGACCAAAAAAAAAGTTTCAGAGATTTGAGAAATTTCATAACCAGGAAGATTTTAAAAAAGTTTCAGAAAATTTGTATGCTATTGTTTTACCACTGCCTGCGTCCATCTGGCTGTGCTGCCACTGCAGCTGCGTGAGGTGAAGCGTCACGTTGGACACGGGCGCCTCGACGTGGACGACCTCGTGGCGCGCGAAGCAGTTCGCCGCCGCCACCTCGCCGCCGGCGCCGCCGCCGCCGCCGGAGCGGGCGATGGGCGCGTCGGCGATCGCCGCGGACACCTTCCGGCGGAACTTCCTCGCCGCCACCGACAGCTTCCTCGACCTCCGCCGCCGCCTCGTCGTCGACACGCAAGAACCCATGGTTACTTCACCTCACCTCACCTGAATCAACCAACCAAGAATCCAAGTTTTTACACCTTCAATTTGCAGAGTTAGCGAAAAATTAACTGTACTTTCAAGTACTCAAAGGACAAAAAAGATAGAATTACTGAAGATTACCACTCCAATCAATCAATCAACCAATCAAATGAGCTCCAATAATCTCTCCCTCTCTTTGGGATAATGCTACCTAAAACAAGAACAGGAAGAATGCTTCTGCAAGCTCACTGACGCCAATATAATCCTGAATTTTTCCAGCAACAATCCAAAACACCCAATCCTGCCTGTGCCTTCCTCTCTACTACTTGTAACTTGCAACGCATCGTCTCATCGGCAAGAACGTGATGTGCATGCCATTAGTTTAATCCGTGTATGGACTAAAGCATGTTGATATCGATCTCTCTGTGTCTGTCTGAGCTTTTCTGTTCAGCAAAGGCAATGGCATATAAATCAAAGGAGACAGATAAAAGAAAGGGGAAGAGGGAGATGGTACAGGTCGCTGTCACGCGTGTTTGAAGAGCCAAGCCGCCCGGGGCAGCAAACAGTACAACGACTTGGCTAAACAAATACTCCTACGGCCATGAAGGTTCTAAAAATTCTTGCTTGCTATTTGATGTTCTTGTATTCTTGTGGGTGTTGGGGACAGGGAATACCACTGGTTAGGTGAGACAACTGCAGATGCATGGTTTGATCTGGCCAGGCTTGGCACAATCCTAGTCAATGAATTGTAGGTGCATGTATAACATTCTTGGGTTTATTGTAAGAAAAAAAATGTAGGTGTTATCTTTTTTTGTATATCAACTTGGCTCAAAGGGAAGATATTGGATAGAAGGGAAAGGAAGAATTAGTGGAGAAAATCTCAAATTGGTGATTTTGGCATGGCTTGCAAATTTCAGCAACGTATATTGTACAGGGAGAGAAAATCTTCAGATTCTTTTGTTTGATGTGTGCAAAGCTAAGGGATTATGACCGGTGATGCAGACATCTATGGAAATACTATCAGAGTTGTATCAATTGTTTGATTGATGCTTTGTGTAAACACTAAATGCTCTCATGATTAACGATATGTTTGTGCTTGTTCAAATTAAAAATAAAAAGGTCTCTTTTTCCTTAAGGAAGCTGCATGCAAACTGAAGAGGGAATTTTGGGGCGTGATAAACAAATGGTTTGTAACCAACTGCTGAAAAGGTCATCCAACCTGATCATCAACAAAGCTTAGGGCCAGTTATTTAAACAAGGAGACATTAAACAATGATGCAACCAGTCAAAGTGTGACCTTTTCAAATAGAAGAGCACATCATACTACCCTCCTTTATTTCCCTGTTCCCCTGTCTGTTGGTGTGCTCTCCATGTCGGAGCACGCACATAAATGATGTGTTGTCAAATCAAGCTCCAATAAAAAGGAGAAAAAAAAAAAGAACAACTGTAATGCAGATAGTGTCAACCATGCTCCCCAAAAATGAAAGAATTGCAAGCATGCAGACAGTCTATCAGCAACTCTAGCGCAACATGAATGATATAATGCAACTTGCTGTATTCTCTGAAGACTTAACATTTCCAAACCAAACACAGCATTAAAACCCAACAGAAACACTAGCATTATGATTTTATGATTAAGTGAAAGAATTGACACTTCACCTGTTGATCACTAGAGTATAGTACTGTAGTGTAGAGTAGATGCCCTGCCAGTGTATGTGCTCACAAGAACCAGATGCTATAAGAAACGCCAATGCATCTGTGATAAACAGCTAGCAGAACAAGTAGATGATATTTTATATTATATGGACGCTGCGAAACAAGGCCTGGAATCTGGAGACGATCGATCAAGTCGCTCTCAGTCCTCTCTCTCGGCAAACTTGGTGGCTGCAGGTACAGATGCTGTCTCTTGATGTTGCCATTGCACGAGAAGCAGTAGGAGAATGAGAAGGAGAAGGACGACGGCCAATCGGCCATGGCTGTGGCTGATGGCCTAAAAAGGCTTCTCGAGACGGCGACGTGTGTGCAGTGCAGCCGCAAAGCGCCGCGCACTGCCCGTGGTGGATCGATGGCGGCCGGAGCGCGCGGGGAGGGGTCGTCTGCAGTGTTGGCTAGCTGCGTGCCGCTGCCGGTGGCCGCCGCGTTTCGCTGTCTCGAGTGGTTGTTCGCATCGGCTGCTGCTGCTGTGCAGATATGCTGATGCTGATGCGCTTTGGTTTCTCCTTTTGTCTCGCCTCGCGGCGAGCAGCGAAGGTCGACGTCGACTGCTCTCCTCGGATCGATTGGTTTGGCTCCTCGTTGGGGGAGCACGTGGCTGGCTCGCTGTCGTCGGATTGGAAGCGAGCGGTTCAGATATTACCCGTGTAGGATGTAGAGTGTTCGAGAGGAGAGGATCAGAGAATATACCTGAAACGAGATAAACCATTAAGTATTAATTATTTTATTTTATTTATAAAATAGATTAATATGGTTTTTAAAAGGAAAAAGTACGAATTACACCCTCGAACTATCGTGGTCGTCCGAATTACCCCCTGAACCACAAAACCAGACATTCTTCACCCCCAACTATGCAAACCGGACAAATTACCCCCATCGGTTCAATCTACAGTGGTTTTGGTCTACGTGGCGTACGCGTGGCAGTCCAGCCAGCATTGTATTTATAAAAAAAATTACGGGACCCACGTGTCATACTCTTCATCCCTCTCTTCTCTCTCTGTATGCCTCACTTTTCCTCTCTCTCTCTCTCACGGGTGGGTCGGCGGCGGCGGGCGACCACGGGCGGCGGGCGGGGCCGAAGACGGCAGCGAGCGGCGGGTGGGCGCGAGGCTGGCGACAGGCGGGGGCGGAGGAGGAGGCGGCGGGCGGTGGTCGAGGAGCCGAGGCCGGCGATGGGCGGTGGCGGAGAAGGCAGCGGGCGGCGGGTGGGCGCTAGGCTAGCGATGGGCGGGGGCGGAGGCGGCAGCGGGCGGCGGTCGAGGAGCCGAGGTCGCTCGAGCGCCGGCGGGCAGCGAGGAGCCGAGGCCGAAGGTGGCTGCATGCGGCGGGCGCGGCTCGAGCGACCTCCTTCTTGCCGCCCTCATGCGTGCGCGCGTGCAAGGGGCTTGGAGAGCGCCCCGCGAGCCCACCCGCGGCGGCGGACGAGGAGAGGCGGCGGCGACGCGAGGAGCCGCTGCCCCCGCGCGCCTACGACGAGGAGGAGGAGCCCGCCGCCCACCGTGCGTCCCCGCTCGCCTGGTCGGCCTCCGCCTCCGTCGCCGGCCGCCGTCATCCTCGGGCCCCCTCCGCCACCCGCCACTGGCTCCGCCCCCGCGCGCCGCCGTCCTCACCTCACCGCCGCCACGCTCCTCCGCCGTCTCCGCCTCCGCCTCCGTGCCGACGTCCACGCCGTCTGCGCCGTCCTCGCCGACCGCCCGTCCCCGCGCCATCCTCGCCGACCGCCCGCGCCCACCGCCCGTCCTCGCCGTGCGCGCTGTGCGCCGGCCTTCTCCACCCCCGCCAGTCGCCGCCCTCGGCTCCTCGACCACCGCCCGCCGCCTCCTCCGCCCCCACCCGCCGCCCGTCGCCGCCTTCGCCCCCGCCCGCCACCGCCGACCCACCCGTGAGAGAGAGAGGAAAAGTGAGGCATAGATTGAGAGAGAGAAGAGAGAGAGGAAGAGTATGACATGTGAGTCCCGCAAAATTTTTTATAAATAAAATGTTGACTGGGCTGCCACGCGTAAACCACGTAGACCAAAACCACTATGGATTGAACCGAGGGGGGTAATTCGTCCGGTTTGCATAGTTGGGGGTGAAGAATGTCCGGTTTTGTGGTTCAGGGGTAATTCGGATGACCGCGATAGTTCGGGGGTGTAATTCGTACTTTTTCCTTTTTAAAATAATTATTTTATATAATTTTTTTAAAAAAACGTACCGTTTAGCTGTTTATGAAACGTGCGTACGAAAACAGACATTTTTTCACTCGATTCTCTTCAATCAAACACAGTCGTATATAGACTATATTCCTATACTGATGTTGATTTATTTTAGAAGTGGAGTAGTTGGTTGGTAGTTCTACTAGTGTGGCGTGTTAAAGCCTTAAACAATTGTTGAATGGGATTACTTTAGTAGAGACGCGTAATCGGTCTGTAAGCTGGGAAGGCTTAATTACATGGCTTGCAGTTAGCTTCGTTATTAAGCATATGTTATGATTAATCACAGTTTGGTTAACTTCAGAAATCAAAGTTAGAATTTGGGTTAACCGAGCCAGACCGCTGATTGATGATGTATACTCGTCTATGGACTATGGTTAGGTAAAATTCACCAGGCGTCAGGGAAATATAATACGACTAGATAAAAGCCAAATCGCCAGTAGTGCACTAGTGCTGCTCCTTTTTCGCACACTGCTGGGTCTCCTTTTTAGGGGCTGTTTGGTTTCCAGGTCCCTGTCACATCGGATGTTTGGACACTAATTTAGAGTATTAAACATATACTAATTACAAAACCCATTTCATAACATTGGACTAATTCACGAGACGAATCTTTTGAGTCGAATTACGTCATAATTTTAACAATGTGATGCTACAGTAAACTTTTGATAATTATGGATTAATTAGGCTTAAAAAATTCGTCTCGTGGATTAGCTCTCATTTATGAAATTAGTTTTTTTATTAGTCTATGTTTAATACTCTAAATTAGCGTCCAAACATCCGATGTGACATGGGCTAAAAAATTTTAGCCCCATCTAAACACCCCCTTAGTCTTCAAAAATTATTGTTCCTCTTTTGGGGAAAAAAAGAAATGTTTGAGAGTGAAGGACATATACCTGCAGTGGTTGATCAACCCCACTAGTCCACTACTGTACTGTAGCTGTTCCTTGCTCTTTACACAGAAATTTCTTGTGGTTTTCGACAACATTGGATTCTGAAAAGCATGTCTTATCTAAAAAAAATGACTTTACTGTTGGTCAACATGTGTTGTCGTTGCCATGAGATCAAACCGCTCTGCATCACAAATTCACAATTGCTTTAGGATATACTGCCGGTTAAGTCAACACATTTGACTGTGCCCATATCGTGTAGTACTGTAGTGAATAATTGATCGGCTTCATATGAAATATCTATCCTATACGCACGCGCTATCTTTTAGGGAGGATCAGGCACGAGGGTTTTTTAGGTGAGGATCTTGCAAGAGTTTAATGGAGTAAGCCATTACATCCGTTCTCAAATAGATGACGTGTAAAATACGAACGAACAAGCTTAAAATAATATAATTTGGTTTCTATATATTATATAAATTTACATATGATATATGAAAATGTCATAAATATATTTAAACCACATTCATTAGTTATCTCTTTGAGTAAACATTATAAAATATATGATCAGATCAGAGAAAAATAATCAAGCATGTGCGTTAGAGATTGCTTCAAACATTAAGAAAAAGAAGGGAGATATTTACTTTACTATGGGTTGGGTGCTGTTCCCTTTGAAGCTTTCTCCCCTGTCGCATTGTAATCATGTTGATGTGGAAAGACGCTGCATTATGATACCAACGACAGGTCTCCATCAGCATGTCCTGAGTGATACTTATTACTACTACTCCTCTTGGTTACCCATCCGTTAATTTTTAAGCTTAATTACTTGGATGATAAGCTTAAGCTGCCCAAATCGATCCTTCACAAGATTATCCTTGCTTGTGACAGTAATTAATTAACAAGAAGAGTTCTCGGAATGTTTGATTATGGTGGGTATAGACGAGTTGATTGAGCAGCAGTCTAACTGTGGCGTTCCTTTGACAGGAAGACATCGTTCTAAAATATAAATACTTTTAAGTTGGACATAAGTATTAATTAAGAAAATAGGTACAAAGGAATTAAAATAATAGTGTTATTGATTAAGAATATAAAATATATGTAGAAATTAAATAAAGAATATTGCTTTGATTTCTTGATACCAGAATGAAGAACCTGTTATCGTGCTAGAAATAAAATTATTTTAGAACAGATGTGGTAAGTAGGAAGAACGGTGTGAACGTCAAGTCATCGTCTCGTGTGCACGTGGTAATTAACTAGGACCGTGTGGACGTCAGGACGTGTGGATTTTTTTTTTCCTTCAGGATTGTTTTTTTAGATAATGTTCTTCAGGATCATTTAAGCTCGTGTGCGCATGACTTGATGTTTGACGAGGTACATGATGATAGATCAAATGACTGGACAAACGCTGGAACAGTACAGTCTGGATAAATATTGGGTTTGGCATGGAGTTCTTTTTTGGAAGAAAACGAAGAACATGTCATGAACCATCTGTTTGTGATTTGTTCGAAGGAACTTTGGGTGTCCGGGAAAAATACTTTCAGGACAGATAGATACTGGGCCATCCATTTTGCTCACGTATATGTGGACGATGACAGTGCATAAACTCATTTAAAAAATTATGACGGTGCATACATAAAACAAGACAGCCTTTTTTTGGGTAGATACATCACAATTCAAAATTGTATGAGAAAATAAGAAAAAAAAGTGGACCATTCGATCATGCTATAGGTTGAAACTATAACAGCACACTTGATCGCTATATACGTAAACAAGAAAAAATATATATTTATATATCTTTCTTTTCTCTCTTAACTACTTATTCGCAAACGATATCTCTTAAGTCTTACTCCATCCATCCCATAAAAATCTAATCCTGAGTTAAATCTGAATATAGTGTATGTCTAGATTCAAATCCGGGATTTGATTTTTTATGGGATGGAGGAAATAAGTCTCAACTACTTTAAAAGTACATGCGTTATCCTTCATCCTTAAAAAAAAACTACCTCTCCTTAAAAGAACTTTCCCTAAAAAAAACTGCCTTGAAAAGTTGTCATGGTCCCGTTACATGTAACAAGTATAATCCTGAAAGATCGAATCGTATATCAAAATATCAAATCAGTATAGTTACATACTCCGACTGGCAGCATGCTTTCTTTGATGGGCCGAGCCCCGGTAGGCTGCAGCATGTTGGCCCATTCACCGGCCTACAAAACCCCATTCCACGGCCCATCGCGTGCTATACGACCCCACCAATAGGAAAAAGTACACCGAAGATCCCTCAACTTGTCATCTGGATAAAAAACGTCCTCGAACCGTAAAACCAGATATACGGGGTCCCTTAACTATACAAAACCAGTCACCCGAATTCCTTCGGTGGTTTGACCCCGGTTTTGGTCTACATGGCGGCTGAGTCAGCGTGAGACCCACGTGGGCCCCATATGTCAAGTGTCCACGTCAACTCTCTCTTTCCCCTCTTCTCTTTCTCTATTTCTCTCCTTCCTCCCTCTCGCTCTCTCTCGCATGGCATGGGGCTGCAGCAACTAGGGCACCCATGGCGGCGCACACGGGCGGAGGATGGTGAGGCTGGCGACGACAGCTCCAGGGGTGTCGTCGAGGAGGCTGAGGAGGTCGTCAGCCGTGGAGATGTGGAGGGAGTGGGAGCGGCGGCGGGCACGGGAGCAGCAGCCGCGGTGCGGGGAGGTGGCGGGCGGGACGGCGGCAGAGTGCGCCGCGGTTTTCTGCTGCTTCCCCTTCACTGTAATCAAGCTCGTCGTCCTCGCGACCGTTTGCATCCCCGCCGCGCTCTGCCGCCGCGCCGTCCAAGGTGGCGTTGCCGCGTCTGCTCGGCCTTGTCGGCAGCGGCGGGTCTGGGCACGGGCGGAGCAGAGCGACGGGGAAGGGGGGGCGCGGCGGCTCCGAGCGGCAGCCATCTCTGAGAGGCGGTGGGAAGGCGTGGGCGTCGCAGGTGGCGGGGAGGCGCGGGCGTCGACGGGGAGGCGAGAACGGCGCAGGCGTGCAGTGGTTGTGCGAGGGCCGCGACGCCGGTGGGGGAAGCGATGGGGCTAGGCGCGACGGTGGGAGAGGAGGTCTAGCGGTCGGCGAACTCGAGCAAACACATGGCATAGTCGCGCGCAGCATTCTAGATGGTGTCGTCCGGTGAGGAGGCTGGGGACGTCATGTGCGGCCATGGCGGGGGTTGGGGAAGGACTTTATGTCGACGTCGCGGCCGGTGAGGAGGTCGCCGCTGGCCTCCCCGCCCCCTTGCTTGCCCTACCTCCATCCTCGACGGCGGCCCGCCTCCGTGCCTGCGGCCTTTGCAACGGCGGGCGAGAGCGGTGGCGGTGACGCGTCGCCAGCCGCTGCTGTTGTGTCACCCGCCACCGTCATAACGCCCGTCATGTCACTCTTCTCCCACATCGCCCCACCGAAGTTAGCAGCCCGCCGACCCCCCTACCCAGCTGCCTACCCAAACGAGGAGAAGAGTGAGAGAGAGGGAGGAGAAAGGGAGAGGATGGGAGAGAGTGATGACGTGGCCAGCTAACATGTGGGGCCCACGCAGGGAGCTTGGGGCATCTGGGGACGAGGCGACCAGCTGCGGAGCCGCTCCTTCACCTTATTCTCCTTCAACATCGGTGGCTCGCTAGCGGAGGAGGCGGCCGCAGCTGCCGCAGCGCCGCATACCTGCGGACGGCGGCAACTTTTGCTGCTGCCGCGACGGATCTTCCTACCGGCCTTGACGAGCACGCGACGCTTGGACGATGATACACCAGCCAACAGGATGGGGCGGCTTAACCGTGAGGGCCAGCGCCGATTCCGCCGCGGCCTTCATCGCCCGCGGTTGCGGCGGCGCACCCCCCCCCCCCCCCCCCCGCGGGTTGCCGCCCCGTCCCGCGAGGCCTGTGGCGCGTCGAGCAGCCGCTGCCCGGAGATCCTCTCCTGCACGCCGATTGGGATGGGCAGCCGTGCGCGAGTTCACGCGGGGCTCGCCGGCCGCCGCCGACCCATGCACCGCCTCCGCCGGCCGAGTCGCGCTGTCGGGCCAGAAATAGGAGAAAAAGAGGAGAGGAGAGATGTGACATTGACATGTGGATCCCTCACGCCGAGTCAGCTGGTTAGACCGGATCAAAGCGCCACATCAGCAAATTATTTAGGGGCGAGGGGGAGATTTGGCCCCTATTTAAGGGAGTGAAAGTGGACTTTTTTTTTTCCATGCCCGCAACGTCCCGCCCAAAAATTCCCCAACTCCCGCTCACTCCGTCGTTCCCCTTTGTTCCCCGCGTCGCCCTCGCGCCTCAACTAGGTTTCCGACGCCCTCCTCGCGCCGCCGGCCGCCGCCGCCTCGCCGTCATCCGCCGCCATGTCCCAGCCCGTCACGCCTCGCCGCACCACCCGCTCCTCCGCGTCCGCCTCCCCCTCGCCCGCACCCGCCTCGCCAACATCTCCGCCCAAATCCAGGCCCAAACCCTCGCCCAGACGCCAGCTCCTCGCCGCCGCCGCCGCACCCCCGAAGGAGGATGGTTCCTCCGCCGACGCGCTCCTCGCCGAGCTCCCCGGCCGCCGCGCGCAGGCGATGGATATCCTCCGGCTCCTCGCGCCGGCGCCGGCCCTCCCCTTGATGCTCCACGGCGGCGCCGCCACCGGCAAGACGCGCGCCCTCCTCCTGGCGCTGCGGTACCTCCGCCCCAGCCAGCGCCTCGTCTACGCCGCACTCCGTTCCCTCCCTTCCCCTCGCGCCCTCTTCGCTTCTCTCCTCTCCCAGCTCAGCGCAACGCCATTCTCCACTTCCTCTCGCCACCGCGTCCCCGACAAGCCCTCCGACTTCGTCGCCGCACTCCGCGACGCCCTCAATGGTATCGTCTCCCAGGGCGAGGTCGTATACCTAGTGTTCGACAACTTGGAAGTTGTGAGGAGCTGGGATAAGGGTGGTCAGCTTCTCCCTCTCCTTCTCCGCCTCCACGACCTCCTCCAATTACCGCAGGTCGTGCTCGTGTATGTGAGCAGTGCAACGCCTGATGCGTACTACTCCATGACTGGCTCTGTTGAACCAAATTATGTTTACTTTCCGGATTACACAGTGGATGAAGTTCGCGACATTCTGATGCATGACCATCCCAACCCAAAGCTCTACTCATCCTTCCTGAGGTAAAGGTCACTGAAACAAGACTACCTTTGCGTCGATTGTGGTTGAAACTGAATTATGGTGTATTTTGCACAGCGCTGTAGCGCATGAGCAGCATGATTGGTTGTGATTACTAAAATGTGCTATTTTTTACTTGTGCTTGGCAGTGTGGCACTGAAGCCATTATTTCGCGTAACACGAAGAGTGGATGAGCTTTCGGCGGTGCTGGAACCGCTTTTCAGGAGGTACTGTGAGCCACTGGGTGACTTGAAGGCAGTTCCTGATGAAGGCATGAAGAGGAGGTTGTTTGAACATGTTCAGTCACATCTTGCAGTTGCGTTGAATGAGACATTCAATGTCCCCATGAGAGCTTCCATGGATGAAATCAAGGACGGTGGTTCTGCTGGGAAGGGCAGTGCTAAAAGGCAGTTTGCTGGTAAAGATGGACTCTCCAGTGAACTGGAGTTCCATATGTCTGTGTCAGCCAAGTACCTTCTGCTGTCTGCTTTCTTGGCTTCAAGGAACCCTGCTACTCTTGATGCAGCTTTGTTTGATTCAACTGGAGGCTTAGATAACCGCAAGCGCAAGAGAAAGTATGCTATGCTACCATCTCTTAGCTTATACACATTTTAAAGGCTTATTTCGATGACTCACATTATAATACTGCTCTTTGATGTAGGAGCTCCCAGGCTTCAATGCATATGAAGGATACCATAGTTGAAGAGATGCTTATGAAAGGGCCTGGTACATTTCCTCTTGAGAGGCTCTTGGCTATATTTCAGTGCATCACATCCGTGTCAGAAGATATACTTGATGAAATTGATTGCCCTGGCAATATGGCAAGTGAAAGTGGAACAACTGGTTTGATGTCGGATGTTCTACTACAGTTGTCAACATTGTGCAATTCTAATTTCCTCTCGAAAAGCCGGAGCTGCCCATTAGAGGGCTCAGCTAGGTACCGTTCAAACATTGATGAAGATTTAGCTCTCAAGGTGAGCATCTCACATCACTCAGCTGCAAGATCTCCAATACAATAACACCACAATTGCATAGTTTAGTATTTGCATCCTGTACTGAATTTTTTTTTATTAATTCATGCTTTTATTATTTGATAGGTCGCCAGGAGTGTGAATTTTCCCCTCTCAAAGTATATGTACAGAAGATAGCCTTTCGATATTTACTATAAGCAGCAAAAACTACTGGTGATGGTTCTCCAGTTACCTTGATTGTAGAGTATTGAGGCAAGTGCTAGATGTCCCCTTTTTCCTTTTAGTTTCTTCTGTTATTTCTCCTTCAAAGATTGAGTACTATAGCCAATTTTGAATTTAATGTTGACTGAGCAAGCTCCAGTTAACTGCCTTGGAAGTTTCAATATGTTGGCCATGTGACTTAACCATCAGTAAATCAAGGTTTCATACTGAAACATTTGGCTAGAATGTAAGCGTATGTTCTTCAAATCTAAATGTAATGGCAACTATCGTTGTTGTGTAATTCAATAGTTATGAGCTATGACTTGATAAACCACTTCTGCAATGTCATATTTGTTGGTAATATGGTAACTGAGTCAATATTTACTCCGTACACAATCATTAATTGTTCGAAATTACAATCCACCATTTTAACTTCTGTTTCTGTTTCCGTAGACAAATGATAAGAGCTGTTTATCATTGAGCTGTTGTTAAGTTGCTCCTATCAGCTGAGTGATCATTAAAGTACAGTTTTTTTTTTTGTGGGCTATTATGCCTTTCATGTGCTCTATCTGAATGGATCCATATAGCATCTCCAGATGTATGGAAATAAGAAAGTTTATGTTTCCAAAGTATCAATGGCAAATCTTGAACTATACGCATCCTTATCTTTAGTGTGTTTTTCCTTCTTTTTTTTTTGTGAATAATGAGATCAAATCTTCATTCAATATGCGCACGGATGATGCTGATTGCTGAACAACCCTTATCCTACAAATTATTATATTATTTGCGTGATGATGGTCTAAAATTTACATATATGTGAAATCTGGCATAAATAACGTCATAATATGAGCTATGGAGTATCTCATATCCATATTACTTGTACAAACTCCTTTTCTGTTCCATAATATATTATCACTGGCTGTTCTGAAGTTTACTAGTGGCAGATTGCAGCAGGGCTCTTCATGATTAATCTTCCTTTGAATTCTCAGTTTATTACATTAGATGGGTATTTTGTCAATGAAAGATCCTTTCTTATGTAGTTCTGTCCTGATAACTTCTGCCATAGAGATCTGTTACGTTTTACCTTGTTCCATTTCTGTTTAGGTGCATGCTATATGATGATTCTATATTACGATAGCTATTTGCATGGTGCATAAACTTAGAAATATTTGACACTAGTATTGCATTCAGCAGACGAGGGAGCATACTTTGCCTCTAAGCATGGAAAAATTATAATTATCTTCTGGTGTTATGTAATTTACAAACAGTTTGACAATTTTCTATAATTCAATAGCTGAAGAATATATTCTTAAATCATACAACACAATCACTACCTCTAGTTGTTCAAGTAAAAAAAGGCCATGGAGGATTTTCTGTTAGGAGCCTATCGCCAGTTCATTTTGTAGCATATCAAGGGAAAGTACTTCCTATTAAGGCAGTAGATATGTCTGCAACTCTGCATGATATTGCACTACAAAATACACTACTACCTTAATGGCTAATGCCTTTGTAGATTTTGATGACTCATCTTCATCTTCCTTGGACATAAGATGGAACTACATTGCCAGATTTCTCCATGCTATCACCACTTGTTACTTCTAAGCTCTTCATTGGGAATTGATTGCTGGTTCCATCAACAATGTCACCCTTTTCTTGAAGTTGCAAGGCAAATTCGAGTTTCCATAACACATCACCCATTGACGGGCGATCGACACCGTAGTCAGCAAGACATTTCTCAGCGGCCTCAGCAAATATTTCAAGTGAATCAGGACGGATTTGCCCTGAAATGTGGGGATCAATTATTTTATTCAGCTCTCCCTTGCGGTGCCATGTACGGGCCCATTCGGCAAGGTTCACCTGGTCTCTTGGAAGTGTTGGATTGATGGCTGGCCTTGCACACAATACTTCAAAGAGTACCACTCCGAAAGAGTATACGTCAGACTTCTCTGTCAGCTGTTGACGTCTGAAGTACTCTGGATCAAGATATCCAAAACTTCCTTTGACAGCTGTGCTGACATGAGTTTGCTCAAGGGATGGAGCAGCTTTTGATAAGCCAAAATCTGCAACTTTGGCTACAAAATTTTCATCAAGCAGTATATTGGTGGTCTTGACATCACGGTGAATTATGCCCTGAGCTGCACCTGTATGAAGATAATGCAGGCCCTTTGCTGCCCCAATGCTAATTTCCAGCCGTTGCTTCCAAGAGAGAGGCTTGATGTCTGTGCCACCATACAAATGATCCCTGAGCGGACCATTTGACATGAACTCATAAACCAGGATCATCTCATTGTTCTCATCACAGCAACCAATAAGTGAAACTAAGTGACGATGGCGAAGCTTTGATAACATTTGAATTTCAGTCAGGAACTCATTCATACCTTGATCAGAAGATGGATTTCCTCGTTTGATAGCCAGCTTTGTCCCATCCTCAAGAACACCAAGATAAACTTTTCCAAAGCCACCAACTCCAATAACAGCCTTCTCTTCAAAGTTTTTTGTGGCTTTCTGAATTTCCACAAAGGTGAAATAGCGCCCCAGTCCATATGCACTAGATGCAAAGATACTCGAAAACCCACTTTTGGTCCTTGTAGAGCCAAAACGATTTCTGGAGCTCAGCCTGCTGCAGGTGCTCATGAAGCTGGATTGTGTGGAGTTGAGTGGAAGGAACCAAGACTGGAAGCTATTTGTCTTCTGCCATCCAGGTCTATGGCGTCGCCTGCAGCACATGACTACAGCTAGAGCGGCAGCCATTACTGCCATTGCAAGCCCTATGCCAGTCATTGTCTTCTTGCCAAGCTGTGAACTTCTTTTTGGTGAAAAGAGCCCATCTAAGCTGTTTTCTTGGTTGCTTATCTTCATGATCTCAAGGCCATTAAGAATAGCATTGGGATTGCTGGTGTCAGTTGTGCCAGGGCCAATTTGCACTATGAGGGTGGAGTTGATGATACTGGAGGAGTCAATGATGAAGTCTCTGTAGTAGGGTACTGCAAGCCCCACTGTCAGGCTCGACAAGTCGAGGTTAAGGACACCCATCATGCCATTTATGTATACATTGAAGTAGAGGCTGTTGAGTGCCTTGCTGACAATGTCACAGAAATGTAGGCGGACAAAGTAGCTGAATCCTGGCTCAGTCACCATTTCCCATGTTATGTTGAATCTTGCATCCGACGTGTTTGTTGAGGCCATCTGTTGTGCGGTTGAGTAGATGTTTGCAGGAGCAATGAGGGGCGTGTTGGTCTTGTCATCTGGGTACTTTATGGTTCTAGGAGGAACCCAGGCTGCATTTGCTGCTGCCTGAAGTTTCAGAAATGGTGCATCTGGCAGCCAGATTCTACCTAGTGTGTCATTGAAGGCTGTAACCAGTGGTCCTCCCATGTTCAGCCGGTAGACAACCTGCAACGCATTGTTGGAGATGTCAAGTTGGCCCTGAGGAGCCATACCGGTGGTGGTATTTGGAATAAGGCTTGGAGGGGCTGAAACAACCTCAATGGCATTGATGAATGCTATTGAGTCCTTTTTAGGGGTAAAAATGATTTTCAAGGTGTCTCCCTGTGTTGCAACAATATACTCCCTAAGGACTGGGTTAGGAGGAGTGGCTATAAAGGAGAAGTCATGAAGAAGAACCATGTCATCAGTGGAGACAGAGAATGTAGCTGTAGTGAGGTTGTAATGGTCATCAGGGATAGGTAAAAAATGGAGACGAATCCAATGGTGACCAGGCTGGGAGATGAAGAAGCTATATGTCGAGATGTCAGAGAAAACTCTTGATGTAAGGTAGAGTTGGGATGATGGTGCACCTGAAGCCAGGGAGTTTTTAGCAGTAATCTTGATGTCCACCGGGGTGGAGAGAAAAGACGCCGAGTCGGGATCAGAACGGAACGTCCTGCCATCATCAAGCTGCACAGCAGCAGGCGCCCCGCAGCTGAGAAGGTAGTTGTCACGAGGTACGAACCTATCTGCTTGTGATGCAATGGCATAAGTGGTGGCTATATTGGTTATGGAAAGTATGAGGAGGATGGAGAACAATGGTACTCTCTTCCACCCAAGCATGCTTCTTGCCATCTTTGCCAAAGTTGGTATCAGAAGCATTGGCCTGTAGCATGAACTTGGTGATCTCTCATGAGAGGGGAGGAAAATGCTCTCAGGATTGAAGAGAGCAGAAGATGCAGGGACGAACGGAGTCTTTGATGGCTTTTGGAGGGAAAGCATTGATTCCTAACAGGGACGATGTATTGGTTGGATGCACGTTGGGATGAGATCAGGTCTCCATCTAAACATCATGTCTAGTGACTAACCTGTAGTATCTGCTTTAAGCTGTTATACAGAAATGACAGGTGGGTGCCTTAATGTGCTTTGCAAGGGAACCAGTCGACCAAACCATTCGCTGCAAAGTTCAATAATCATTCTGGAATCAGTCAAACGACAACTGCCCAGGTATGATTCTTTTTTTTTTCTAATTAATTATTGCTGTATCACGGTGGTTTTTCCAAGTTCAGATCTTTTAATCTTGGAGGTCTTGCGATTTTGTATGAGGAATTTTTCTGTGAGTCTGTCTTCTGTGGATATTAACACGGATTAATCAATCTACCTATCAATTGGGTGCTAGCGAGTAATTGCAATACTAAATACGAAAAACCTATAATGCCCAACTCTAAAACTAAATAGTACGGACGCTCCAAATATTTTATTTAGTTCCCCTTTGTAATTTTGTTTGATTTCATAACAATTTAGTGTTGCTCGCATGGGATTCTCTTTGAGAATATTATTACCTTTGTAGTTCATCTTACAAACAATTAACACTGGTTGCCCTGAAGATGGTGTTCATTGATTTTGCTCCTTGTCTTGTCATGCGCTTAAATATCGTTAGAGCAGATTGTGTAACTTGCTTCTCAACGAACGACACGGTAGATGATCAGTTTGTTGGACTGAATTCTTGTTCTCAATAGACGTGGGAGCCTTGTCCAGTTCAATTGTGCAATATCCTCCACCTGTTGGGAGAGCTGCAGCTGCGGATCATGTAGTGGCTGCCCATTCGCTCCGGCCAGGTATTTCTATGCTTGACCAGCTAATTAGTGGGTCTCCATTAACTTGTGCTGCAATAATCTTTTTATTATTTTCTCGATCTGATGCTTTAACCAGAAATACAACCAAATCATATGGTTTTTATTCAATGTCTTCTCGTATCAAACATAATCTCTGATCTATTAAAAGGTGAAAAACAAAGGTTGACCACCATTCGCTGTACGTCTATGATTGAGTATAGTTGTATGCAAGTACTGCCATTTTTTGGACGAGCAGCTTAACTGTATGTTGCTACCCTGTCTAAGTAAAAAACAGAAAAGTAATAATCAAACAAAAAAACTTAAGTAGAAAAGTAAAGCTTACGCTGAGGCCCAGCTGTGCTGAACGGAACTTAAAAGTTGATGGCCCATGTCTACACCCACGTTTGGGCCGGTTCTGTTGCACTAAGTTTGTTATGGGCCTTCTATACTGACTGGACCAAATCAATAATTGAAGTTGAGAAGTGTGTCGTCCCTTTTAACAATTGTTTCCTTTTCTTGGTTTTACTACATTATACTCCCTCTGTCCTATAATATAAGGGATTTTGGAGGGATGTGACATATGCTAGTACTATGAATCTGGGCATGCATCCTGTCCAAATTCGTAGTAATAGGATATGTCACATCCCTCCAAAATCGCTTATATTATGGGATGGAGGGAGTAGTAATGTAATTAGTGGGAAATAAAATAGTTCCCGGTGGAATCGATGCCCACCAGTTGTTATGCACCCAAAACTATACCAGTTTAAGGTCAAAAATGGAAAAAAAAAACTATACCAGTTTCATGCTTTCATGCATGAGTTTGATGTCTTGTAGTACAGTTGTTGGTCTAGTCTAGACTTTGCATTTTGCTGTTTAAATCTTTCATTTATTTGCATTTAATAAACTAGTACAGAGAGCCTCTGTTATCGCTCTTCTTCCAGTCATGTAGACACACTAACGGAATAGGAGGCCCGTGATCTATTGGACCATTCATGCACCTAAACTAGAGTTCTAGACAAGGTTGCTCTAAAAAAGGCCAAACAAGGTAGGCCACCTTCCGCGACCAGAACACAAGCGCGGACAACTTCATAGACTTGTCCTTTGGATTATGATGTCAACGTTAGCATACTTAATCCGTGCGAACTCGCTCTCATTCTACATGGACCCTTCACGAGCACCTAAAATCATGTAGCCATGCCGAAATGAACGCCTACTGACTGTACTTTCGTTTGGTACCGAATGACTTGTTTTATGTTCAATATATGCAGGAAAATCAGCTGCGAACGCTCCTCCCTTGTTTTCGAGAGTAAACTAAAGCAATATGTATTGTGCTTCTTGTTTTCTTTATGGTAGCCAATCCAAACAAATGATTACTAAAAGGTATGAATAGAGTCTAATTTAGGCTTATTGATGGCTACATATTTGACTGTTTCTGTCACAAGAAACGATTTTGGTTGTGTATTTTCCCTCAGGCCAATGATGAATGGGACCCTTCTTTGACGATCATGACATCAATAGCTCATCTTGCTGGAGCATCTTTGGTACGGATCCTGCAAACGTACTATCTGGCTAATATTTTGAGAAGTCCTCCAAGCTTATAATAAAAGTATATAATTCGTATACATGATTGCGAGTCAACGACCAATTTGTGCTAATTTGCAAAGGTATTTTAACTGTGAGCATGAAGGGGTTCGATTTGAACATTCTTCTCCCGTCACATAATTTCAACAATCTTCTTCCACCATATAATGATATAAGATACCACTCCTTTGTCATGTGTTACCCTAACATTAGGCACCGCTATCTCTGGAGGTTTGTTAGTGTTTGTACTCATATGCTTTCTTTTTTTCCAGGATTCGAATGGAAGATTCTTAATCCGTGGGGTTTTGTTTGTTGGGTAACTTTGCCGTCTCAGCTAGGCAAACAGGTAGTAGGAGCTAAGCAGCCTAATGACCTACTCTCCGATTATGATTTGACTCAACTTGGTGAGCATATCTTAACCATCCTCTCTACCTCTTGGATTTCTAAGCCTCTAGCTTTGCTTTTTTCCTGCATACTGCCATGGTACCATCGCCACTTTTTTCCTTGCATTTTTCCTGCATGCTGCCATTGAGGTTTTCACTGGTTAAATTACTTTCTTTATACTCCCTCTTTGTCCTATAATATAAGGGATTTTGATTTTTTTGTTTGTAACGTTTGATGTCTTATTCAAAAAGTTTGTGCAAATATAAAAAATGAAAAGTTGTGATTAACGTATTGTGGATAATAAAGTAAGTTATAAATAAAATAAATAATAATTCTAATTTTTTTTAAAATAAGACGAATAGTCAAATGGTGCAAGTAAATTGTTAAAATTTCTTATATTATGGGACGGAGGTAGTACTAAGCATATCTTTCCCTCTGCTCAGCTTCTCGTAGAGATACCCAGAGTATTGTAGAGTATACGGACGTATGGAGAGGCAGCCAGGGAGGGAGGCGACAAATCCAGGCGTGCTGAAGGTTGGAACTTGAACGTACGAAGGCAGAGACAAGCCAAGCCAAGGCACGCCCTCTTCTAGGCCTTCTCGGGCACCACATGTCGGTTTTGACCCCACGGTTTCCAAGGCCCAATCAACATTGCGATAACACGAGCACACACACACTAATCTCTACTCAATCTCTACTACCTGCTTGCCTCGTAGTACAAAAATATAGAAATACACGTGAGGTAAATACAAAGACAGAAAGCAGTAAAATAATAGGCCCATGGATCACTCCGAGCCCACCTGGGGTTCGGCCCGATAGGTGGTGATAGAGAGAAAGAGAAAACGAAACGAAATGCGAAATCCCAGTAAAGAAAAAGGGAAGCGACAAGTCCTACGCAAACATGTCTCCCCACCGTGGGCCCCCCCTGCGCATCGCGGTCGTTGGTTGGTTTGTCGTGTAGGCGAGGCGACGACGATGGGAAGGACAATGCTAGGGTTAAACTGCCGGCCGACCGACCAGAACCGAACCACGCTTTGCGCGCCTGATCATCGCATGGGTCTTCACAGTACACACAGCAGCATATTTGGTGGAGTAAAAAAAATGACGGTGGTAAAGCTTTTTGAACACAGTTTAATTCATGAGAACAAATAATTCAGGGTTCATTTGGAACACAAGAATTTTACGGTGCCTTCGTAAAAATCAGTTCGGTTCAGCTCATATGAAAATCCTTTAAATAACAAAGAAGACATAGGTGGTGTTTGGATCCAGAGACTTAACTTTAGTCCCTATATTTAGACACTAATTTATAATATTAAATATATACTACTTACAAAACTAATTACATAAATAAAAGCTAATTCGCGAGACAAAATTTTTAAGCCTAATTAATCTATAATTAGAGAATGTTTACTGTAGCATCACATAGGCTAATCATGGATTAATTAGGCTAAATAGATTCATCTCGTGAATTAGTCCAAGATTATGGATGGGTTTTTATTAATAGTCTACGTTTAATATTTATAATTAGTGTCCAAACATCCGATGTGATAGGGACTTAAAAGTTTTAGTCCCATCTAAACAGGGTCATACAAGTATAATAACGACTTACAGTATGTGCTAGCATTTCTACTTTTGATTCTATTTGTTTGTGTTGTTATTTTGAAAAAAAATATAACTTTAAAGTGTTCAATCCTTTATTTTTCCAAGTTAGTGTGGAGGACGGTAAGTGATAGGACTATACATGTTGATGCATCGGTCAAAGTAAGAGGAAACTAATTAAAATGGGTAATATTTCCACTTGGGGCCAAACCTGAAACAAGGTTCACAATCTATCCGACTTTTGATTTTCTTTCAATTCATTTTGCCCACTTCCCCTTCTCATAGATTTCTCATACTCCTTAACATCAATGCAACACACATAGAGATCACAGTCACACACATATGGCCTGTGCATTTACTCAATCATGGTTTGGTATGTGCAGCTGACAGGCTTTCCCTACACCCATATCAAGAGAGCCTTCCATTGTGTCATATAGATCGTGTTGCTGCCTGTGGGCTACCCGGTCTATACATGCAAAACGAGCCAGCAAGCGTCCCTGGTCCCCTTCCATCTGAACTCCCCACTGGCCTGTCTCCAATCTTGAGCAGTTCTCTCTTGCAAAACTTTAAAAGTTGGAAGAAGCCTTTGAGAGTTCTGCACTCTGCACGCACAGACAAACGCCACAGAGCGGCTGCAGCTAATACTAGCGCGAAACTTCTTTGACCCGAAGAAACATCCCCAACTGGTACTAGTAAAATCCTTCTTCTCTCTTTTACTTCTGATACCCAGCCATGATCCACCTTGTTGTTTTTCTTGTGTATCTTTCTCCTCTAATGCGGGTGTGACAGGCAGCTAGGTATCATGGTGAAGGAGGAGGAGATCATCACAGAGGCAGCAGGAGCAAGAGGCTACATGGAGATGCTTGGGCTTGGAGAGGAGGCCGCCGACTACCTGATGTGCCTGTCTCCTTCTTCCTACCTGTCTTCTCCTGCTGCTTCCACCACCACAGCTGTGGCTTCTCCTACCTGTGCCTCGTACTTGGCTCCTCACCCTTACCACCACCTGCTAAGCTTCAGTGGTCAGGATCAGTACCACGGTGATGACGTCTTTGGGTTACAGTATTACGGCGGCGATCAAGTAATTCCGGCGGTGGTTCCGCAGAAGTCCAGCCCGACCACCGAGTGCTCCTCCTCCGTCTCCTCCATGTCGTCCTCGCCGACGGCCACCGCCATTTCCAGCTCTAAGTCACCGGCCTTCAAGGTGCGTACTTGTCAGTTGTCAGTAAGTTACTCTTGGTTGCGACTGTACCGTTCTTGGCCTGTACAAATCAGATGATTTCTTGGAACGCCAATTTATTTGTTGCTGTTTCTTGTGTTGCCAAATGCCAGCTGATGCTTTTTTGGCTGCAAGTTTGTCATGGTTTTCTTGATCATTCTTGTGTTCTTGCATGGTTCATTAACTGTTCGATGGTCGATCTTGTTTAGAAGAAGGGATCGAGAGGTTGTGATCAGAGGAAGGCTACTGCTCCTGCTGCTGCCACAACCACAAACAAGAGACCCAGGGTGAGTGATGCTTCTTCTCTTCAACCTCATTACTAAGTAGTATTACTGATTCCGGGGCAAGTAAATATTGTGCCAATTAGCCGTGGCCAATCTTGGCTGTTGGTTAGGATCTTGTTCTGTCAACTAGTTCGTCCGGTCAACAAGACTCCTCGCAATCTGATATCCTGATATCTCTCCTTTGTGGTAGGTGAGGAGGGAGAGGCTCGGAGAGAGGATCATAGCGCTGCAGCAGCTGGTTTCTCCGTTCGGGAAGGTAAGACAGTGAAAAGGGCAGAAAAAGCCTCCATCTTTTGGCGATACGCTCTTTACTACAGCTTGTTGTACTTTGCCTTTCCGTCCTCGTGTAGGTGTAAACTGTAACCATATGGTAATTACTGGGCGCAATTTCTTATTTTTACCAACTCAAAACTTTTACTGGTAATCAGGCATCGAGACAACTGATGGCAAATGCAAGAATAATTTTCGTTTTTAAGGTTACAGTAGCAAAAACCCTTAATTACTGCTAGTAGGCTGCTATACCCTGCAAGCTTTTTAAGGGAGTGTTTAGCCCCTCTCTCAAAAACATAAGTCTCTCGGGGAGGAACTGAACACCCCCTAACCTCCTTTCGTCCCTGAAGAGCACGGAAAGCAAACAGTAGCTCAATGCAAGATTGGCAGTACTGCTGCCACATTTACTCCAGGGAACAGAAAGTGGTCAAAACTCAGCACCAATGCTCAAAAGAACCAACACAATATACACATTGACAGCGACATTTTCGTAGATATGGGAAGATACATGCTACCATCTCCATTTCATGTTATAAATTATTTTAACTGTTTTTCAGTCAAACTTTTTAGATTCATCAAATTTATAGAAAAAATCAATAATAATTTTAACATAAAACTCATACTCCATTCCAAATTTATCTACATATAGTTTTTTTAGGTTATTTCTAAATGATCTACATATACATATATATGTTCATTCATTAAGTCTATTCATTATTTGTGCATTGGAGTAAATGGACATTGATACAATTATTTATAACCCATATGCAATATCTTGATTTGCTATTGGCTAGGAAATAGTAAGGATGGTACATGTATTGATTTTGTTGCTAGAGTAAATATGATATGAGAGAATTATTAGCTTTTCTTAGTCTTGATGTACCTATGAAATATGTAGATTAATTTAGAATGAAGGGAGTTTTATTAAACTATATTAAATATTAGTTTAATAAAATTGATTTTAAGATTGGTTAGAAAAAAAATCAAAACAACTTATAATATAAATGAAATTATGAAATGAAAAGAGTACCTCTGATTCAAAATGCAACTACTTATGCCCGCTATAGGATGGTATTTTTCAGAATCATAGTGATAGGTGTAATTTAGATCGTTTCATTCTATATACCCCGTATCAGATAGTACGTCCTTCATCTACTTTTGATAGTTATATTTTAAGTAATTCTACTTATCATCCATTTAAACATGCTACTAGTTATTCTTCGTAAACAAACGATTTATTAATATTTACATTTCTCGATGTTTATGTTGCCAATCTTGTATGGAAGAATAGAGAATCATGCATTAAATTCGAAAGTCATTAATATGATAGATTGTTGGATTGAAATATGTCTATTAAAAATAAAATTTTCAGATTTAGAAATATGACTATAAAAAATAGATGGAGGAGTAATATTTTAGGGAAAATAATGTTTTAGGAGGGAGGTGGAGTAGTTGATGACAGGAATACTCCAGTAGAGGAGTAATTACTTATGCAATACAGAGCAGTACAGTAATTACTTATACCGTGCAACCTGTTTTTTTATGGTTAACCGTTAGCTGATGCATGGTTATGAACTGCATTGTCCGGCCTGCAGTCTGATACGGCCTCCGTTCTTCACGAGGCGTTGGGATACATACGCTTCCTGCACGACCAGGTTCAGGTGCGCCATCACTACTCCGTTTGCCCCCCATTTCTTCTTGGTCTTCGTCTTCTATGAGCTCGGAAAAGGCAGTACTGGAGTAGGGTACATTACACAAAGAAGGCTTTGTCCTTTGTAATAAGCTGTTTATAGTAGTACTGTACTACCACCACTGTGTCCGGGACTCATTGCCACCGGTTGCTTTTCGTGTCAGGTCCTGAGCTCGCCGTACCTGCAGCGCCTGCCTCCCTCTGCTCGCGTCCCGGTAAGCAGCAAATGACAAGACCCCGTACCAGTACTCGATTACCTCTGCTTATCGATGGCTTTGCAGGAGTTACACCGTGGTTAGATCTAAAATTTTTCTTTAAACTCCATCACGTCAAAACTTTCCTACACACACATGGACCGTGTTTAGTTTCCCTCCTATTCCCAACTTTCTATCACATTAAAAACTTTTCTATATACATAAATTTTCAACTTTTTTTCCAAACTTCCAACTTTCTTCAAGCTTCCAACTTTTTTCAAAAACTAAACACACCCACAGTAAACTTTAAAATTTTCCATTACATCGTTTCAATTTCAACCAAACTTTCAATTTTAGCGATAACTAAACACAACCTTAGTAAAACCTTTAATTGTAAGGCTCAGTTTAGTTCCCAAAAGTTTTTCCTAAAAACATCACATCGAATCTTTGGATACATGCACGTAGCATTAAATATAGAGTAAAAGAAAAAAATAATTACATAGTTAGTAATCTTTTAAGCCTAATTAGTTCATGATTAGCCATAAATGCTATAGTAGCCTACATGTGCTAATGACGGATTAATTAGGTTCAAAAGATTCGTCTCGCGGTTTCCAGATGAGCTATGAAATTAGTTTTTTCATCTGTGTCCAAAAACCTCTTTCGACATCCGTTAAAGATCCGATGTGACACCGAAAAATTTTCGAACTAAACAGACCCAAAATACCGCGCTTGTACTTGACGCCATGTAGTAGTAACTATAGTTAACTGTGTTGTGTTACTGTGCACGCAGGAGCAGGAGAGAGGCACGCCGGCGGCGGAGGAGCAACCGCCGGCGCTGCGGCCGAGCGACCTGAGGAGCCGTGGGCTGTGCCTGGTGCCGATCTCGTGCACCGAGCATGTCGCCGGCGCCGGCGCCGGCACCGGCCACGGCAACGGCGCCGACCTATGGTCGGTGGCGGCGGGCATGGCGAAGGCGACGGCGACCGTGACGGCCGCCGTGGAGAGGAGCAAGGAGGCAGCCGCCGCCGCCGCCGCCACTGCCGCATTGCTGCGTGCTGATCGTCCAGGGCAGCAGCTGGCCTAATCTGATGACTGCCATATACTCTACTCTACTCCACTTTCTTCACAGCTGCAGGGTTTTAGAACTAAGCCAGATCTTTTGGGGGGCTAATCTGTTTTAGAAATCGACTAGTACTACCTTTTGCTGTTCTTTTGGAGAGGCTGCTGCTGAGTTCATGGGAAATTGGAAAGTGGCGCAGGGATGCACATTCCATCGCCAGCAAAGAACTGAAGTGTGTAAATGGAGGGTGGGGTTTTAGCTGATTAAAGTACAAGTACTAATGCTCCTGCTTAAGCTTTTTTTAAGGTTAGAAAGACACTTGATGCGATGATGCCGAGATGCATTGGACACGAATGTCTCTGTGGCATCGAAAGGTACTCGATTGTGCTGGAGAGCAGTGCGGTTGGCAGGCTTCGATATCGGTGGTTTGTACTACTCCTATAGGGCTATAGGGGATATCTCCAGATTATGCTATCTTCCTTTATTGTCCTCGGTAGTCGGCTTGGCCATCCTTGGAAACTGCGCAACATGTTTCATCCGTTTTGACACTATCCAGGAGTAAAAAAAATACTCTCCAGTTCTAAAATTAAATTAAAATTTGTACCTATGATGGGAGTACTCCATGTTTACCTTCTACTCCCTCCCTCGAAAGAAAAAAAACATAGATTTTCGTGTTCAACGTTTGACTGTTCGTGTAATATAATTTTTTTATAATTAGTATTTTTATTGTTGTTAGATGATAAAACATAATTAATACTTTATGCGTAACTTATCTTTTTAATTTTGTTCATAATTTTTTCAGATAACGGTTAAACGTTGAACACGGAAACTCAGGGTTTGTTTTTTTTTGGACGGAGGGAGTATAGAGTAGGTACAATAGCTATTAGACATCTATAAACATATTTTAAAGAAATAAAAGATAAGAGAGAAGAGTGGCGAAGTAGCGGGCTTCAGATGTGTAGCCAGCTGCACCACGGACTCCACGACGAAATGTGTAGTAAGCAACTATTATATGAATTGACTATAAATAAGAATTGACTATAAATAATTTAAAGATAGTAGTTGGCTATACTTGCTCTTATACAGTTCCTACTGCCCGGTTTAGTTGGCAAAAAAAAATTATTTGAGGTGTCACATCGGATATACGGACAAAATATTGAATGTTGTCTAATAATAAAACAAATTATAGATTCTGTCTGAGAAACTGCGAGACCAATTTATTAAGCCTAATTAACCCATCATTAGCAAATGTTTACTATAGCACCACATCGTTAAATCATGGCGCAATTAGGCTTAAATTATCTGTCTCACAATTTACACGTAAACTGTACAATTATTTTTTTCCACATTTAATACTTCATGCATATATAAACATTCGATATGATAGTGGTCTAAGTTTACTCCTACTGAAGTGTTATAAAACTAACGTGTGCGATGAGCAAATCAGTAAACGTTGCAAAAAGAAAGTACTACTAGTGGCCCTAGTGGGCAGTGGCTAAGCAGGCCTGGAAGCACGCAGCAATGGAAGCATGGAGTAATCTTTTACTCCACACTTACACAGAGCCGCTAGACGGGACACGAATCGCCGGTGGTTCCAAAAGGCCAGGCAAGACGGCAATCATTCAAAAGGCCAGGGAAAAAGACTGTACTCTGAGCAAAAAGGACGGTTCTTCAGGAGTGTTTCATCTTGGTCTTTTATTTTTACGGCGCACCTTTGAAAATGGTCGCTTCAAATAATTTGACGGCGTTGATGCAACTTAGGTTTCTTACGGTCTGTTTGTTACGGAGTAGCTTCAACCGTATTTATTTTGTAACTTAATTTTAGGATTTTTATTCATGGTAGGTTAATTTTCAATATTGATTTTTAAATCACTAATAATACATATATTATAGGGATATATTTTCGTGGTGACTTTGCTAGTTTCAAGATATGACCAGTTTTTCGAAGATGCTTATAGGGATAGAATGTAGGGGGTTCGCGCGTTAATTTGTGAGCGTCTATATTTGTACCGTGTCTTTTTAAAATAGTATAATGTAAAAGTGAACCACGTGAATTCTAAAACACATTTACTTCCAATTATCTATCTCAAATCATTTTAGGGTCCATAGACAGTACAATATATTTGTTGCAAAAATAGTTGGGCCTTCTCTGATTGAAGAAAACCGTTCAGCCGGCTTGGGGACCTGGTGGGAGAAAAGGCATGACAAATGGGCCCGCTCAATATTAAAAGATAGGCCGAACCAAGAAGGACGGCCTAAACAGGCTTGCCCAGCCGTACAAAGTTGGGCATCCGTTTGGTTCAGAAGAAAATGGTTGATACTAAGAAAAAGGTTCAGTTTTACTCTCTGACTCATAGGTGGGCACGTAGGCGGCGAGCATGACGGCGACGCCCATGTCGCTAAGCCAAACGACGGTGGCGACGCCCTGGCTCTACCTAGAGCTCCTCAACCCCTGCGTTCAGCTTCCAGAGCTCAGGGTCGGCGAATCCGGCTGTGCCGATGTCAATGGCTGGTGGATCTAGCCTGCATCCATCGGCCTGGTGAACACGGAGGCGACTGGAGCTTTTTGCTGCATCAGTCTTATCTGAATCAGTTTATTACCTCTTATCTCTGCAGGCATTTTGTGTGAAATACACCTTGCGAATTTGCGATGAGGGCGAGAAGAGAGCCGGAGGTCGGAGGTGTACACCGACAGTACATGATCACGGCTCTTTGCGCGGTGAGTTGTATCTCCAACTCTGTCTTTCGAGGACCACTGAATCCATTCACTGGTTCATACACTCGGATGAATCAATCAGTGGAAATGGCACTATCACGAGCTCGCGTCGTCCTCCACCCGACCACCCCGACGTCCAATCGACCAAGCCAACATGCACCGTACGTGAGCTCGACGCGCGCGGTGGTCGACCGGACTACCGGAGCAACATGGTCGCCGGAGTACCCGCCGTGCCGTCGCTGCCTTACCTGCAGGCGTTGCTCAACGAGGCTCTCTTCGGATCGATTCACCCGCCGCCGACGGGCCGCTCCTCTCATGGCGCCACAGGGCCATGTCGAACACCTACGTCGACGGCCACCTCGTCCCGGCCGGCACCAACCGGGCTCGTGCCGTTCGGGTTCGCGGCGTGCACGCAGCGACGAGCTGACGCGGGACCTCCCCCGCCTTGCAGCCCAGAGGCGTGGATAAGAAAGAATATATATTGTATCATTGCCGGTCTCACATGATTTTTTTTTTTACAAAAAAATCTTCAAGTGCCATGTCAGTTAAAACTGCATTCAATACCGCCTTGGGACTATGTTTGCTCCGGTTTTAAAAGATATAAGAGACACATTATATATGGAATTACGGTTCAAGAACGAAATTCAGACTGCACGTCAAGATGAGGAATTTAAAATAAACTTATTCCAACTCCCACAGTATCAGGCTCTCAGCCCCCCAATTCCAGCCATTTGCCCTAGTTTGCACGCGTGGTGGGATGGAAAATGAAATCTCCGAACTCCCCACGGTAGCCGCAACGCATATTAGACGACTGGCGGTTCCATCAAGGAATAAGTTCACTTGTCATCCCTCATCTTTATATTCAGTTTAATTGACAACCTTAAATCATAATATTAGAAAATTTCACTTCTTATCTACCCTTAATTCACCAACTCACTCTTACACCTACATTACTCATTCATCAAATCTGATGGTCCAGAATCATCCAATCCAACGCCACATATTGTTGCACGTACCCACTCAACCTCCGCGCGCACGAAAATCACGCCGCTATCGCTCCTCCCACCTCAACCGAAAATCCCCAACGCGCTCTCCTTCCCCCAACCCAGATCGCTCCGCCTCCCTCTCCCAACCTACAGCGCTCCGTCGCCTCCCCTCTGCTACCACAAGCGCCGCCGCACTCCCCCCGGCAAACCCTAATCATCGCCACCACCTCCTCCTCTCTCCCATGCCGCCGTCGATTCCGACGCCCCGCCATCGCGTGCGACGCCGCCCACGCCCCGCCATCGAGCCGCCGTCGACTCCCGCCTTTAGATCGACGCTCCATCACACCTTCACATCGACGCCACCGGCGCCCCCTCGCGCCACCGTTGATTCTCGTCTCTCCACCTCGACCCTCACTCTGATCGTCATCGAATCCCGCCTCCAAATCGATGTCGCCGACGCCCCAACCAGCGCGTCGATTCCCGCCTCCAGATGACACCGCCAGCGCCCCTCACGAGGATCGCCGTCGATTCCCGCCTCCAGATTGACGCCGCCAACGCCCCCACACAATGCAGATCGTTGTCACGCGTCGTCGATCCCCGGCCCCTCATGCCGCCACCGGGACTGCTCACCCACGCGCCCCCTTCTATACCGCGACGCCGCCGTCGACTCCCTCGTGCCATCTGCTCTCCGTTGCGCCGCCACCTTAGCCCTCTCCACCGCGACCGCGAACAAGGTAATCATCGCTCGATCCCGTTCCTTCATTATTACAGTGTCATGGCTATTATGTGTGTACGTGCATAAACCTGTGAGAAAATAAATTATTATGCGAATGTGTGGGCAGTGTGGCAAAGAAAGTTATTATCTTAATATGTTTCTCTAATTTAGATAGCAGGCCTATTCTTTTGTCAAGCTAGATAGCGTAATATGGAATTGCGGAAGTACATGTCAAAAAATAAACTGAGAGGATATTGATTCTTTTGTTTGTTGAGCTTGCAAATTAGTTGAGACCTTGCGGCCATAAGAAACTGATGTTTGATGACCAAGTCGTACTTCACTGTCCAGTTCTGCTCTATCATTTAGGATTTTCGTTGCCCAGCCAAATGAAAATGCCATTAGTCTCCGGCCCAGCGAAAAAAAATGCCATTAGTCTACCCATGTTTCCTATTTTCTTCAAACTGATATTGATGATAGAGGAGATTATGTGAATGCTGTTGGGATTATACAGAACTTTGGGTGGCTGTTGGATAGGATAGGATGAGGTTCATTTGGTTTATGTTTAGCGATAGGACGTACCGGTTCATTTGGGTGCCTGTTGAATGCCTCGTTCGGTCAAAAAAATTTCCTTCATTGTGTGCATGGATTTAAAATTCAAATGCCAGTAGCAATATTTATTCTGTCTTTTTCCTGAACCTTTCCTAGACAGACGCATTTCTTTCACTGGGAAATTTGCAGGGTATATTTTCATCCCACAGGGTCATGCATGGTGGATGTAAGTATGGATTCAGATCATGGTGGATGTATACATCAAATTTAGGTTTTGGTAACTTGTGTTTTTTCTTGGTTGAGATTCAGTTCTGTAGTGATCTAGAAAATAATTTTGGACAAGCAATAAATAGGAAATGAGTACAAGAAGTATTTGCTAGCTCTAAATGCACAGTTTGACCAGTTGTGTGGTAAATCACCTATTAACACTATTACTTTGTCATAAAGAATATATTTTTCATTTAAAAAAACTAATCTTATACTGACATATATTAGTGTGCATGGTCCCCTTAAAAGTTAGGTTTAATCACAAAATGCGTTAAGGTGGCTGCAAGGTCTCTGCTGCCCTAACCGAATGGCCAGGAGTAAAATTTGGATCTACGATTCACCTCAGCTAACTTACTATATTTTACAAGACTACAATTACAGTTTCTGGTGCATTTGCCAAGCACTATTCAGCATGAGATTAGTTTTTTTGTGGTCCTGGTATATGTACATATGGGATAAATCATCCATGGTGGATGCACCGAACAGAAACACACCAACATGCCCACGTCAATAACCCAACCATTGATATTTTGGTGCTTATTTAGGATGTTTGCATGAATTAGTAGTACTATATTGCAACCAGGTCAACGCTCTTACTGAAAACAGCCATTTGAATGGACAGAAGTCTAACAGTAGTGGTAATCAAATCGATCATCAACCTTTTGAGGTTATATATTTTTCATCTGCTTCTGCATAAAATACATCAAATGCTAGACTTCCGAGTGAATTTTATCGAAATGCTTGCAGAACATATGTGTGTGCAGAAATTGGATTAAAACAATTATTTTTTTCTCCACGAGCTTCACATTCATGTGTCCTACAGAAACATACTACTAACTAAAGCATCTGTTCAGTTTGTCACGTTAATGACAAAAAATCGAAATCACCTTGCTGAGAATTAATTTGTTTATGCAGGCATTTATTACAGTCCATGATGCCCACACGCAGGACTTGTCTTCAGCACTGTCCAGGCATTAATTTTCAACATGACCAGGTAACGTCCCCTCTAGCTTTCGTACATGAACCAAAGGTAACAACAGTTAGTTATATACTTTTCAGGAAATAATTTTGAACATGAGCAGATAGACGTAAAATTATATACCCTAAGAGCATATGATGACAATGTAGCTAACTACTAAATTTGGACCATGCTGAATATTATAAGATGGAACATCTTGGTAGTTAGTAATATTATGCTGAATAGTTAGTGGCTTTGATTAATCTCTCTGTCTTCTTGCATGGAGTAGCACAATTATATAACCAGCTGGGTACTTGGTACCTTGTTGCCACCCTAAAAAAATGATGGCACCATAGATAAATTTGCTTGTGTTAAAATGTATTGCCATCATAGCGTTGTAACTTATACCTTGCCTTCATGGAAGATAGTAGTTTATTTTAAATGGAAGACAGTAATATGCTTTGTTCAAATTGATCTTCCAGATGCATAGGTTTATAAAATGCTATGATCTAGATGAATAGGTTTCCTGACTATTGTTGTTCACTTAAAATAGAACCAAATATGCTGAAACTATTCATCACTGAAAAAAGTCAAACAGAATTCTACTGTCACACTGCACTTTCATACGTTTCTATTGATACTGGATTTTATTCTCTTTATGTTCCTTTAGTATTTTATCTTATATATCAGAATTAAATAGTTTACAAGAATATGAGTGAGAATTATATTATTATTGATCCGTTTCTGCTGTTTGCCACTGTACCACCTATGCATGCTTGCCTATTCTCTTGAACCACATCGTATCGTTCTTAATTTTCCTGAAATATTGCATGCATTCTTTGGTTTTTTTCGGACTGCTTTCTGTTGTGCCTAGCTGTTGGTAGCGTGCAATATTGATGATTTACGCATCCTGTGTATTCGTAGGGTATAATGAAATTTGATCTGAACATATGAAATTTGACACATGCATTTCCATGATCCGAAAAGTTTATCTGCAGATTTAACAAAATATTCATGTTCATTTTACCTTTTTCAACTCATTTACATGAACAAAATTGGAGCCATGTAAAAGCCTATATATTTGCTTTCATACATATTTTTGCCTTAATAGAATCCAGGATATTTTGCCAAATATTTTGGGAGTTAAATTACTACTGCTAAGTGATGAATATGTCTTTATAAGCGTGTGCCTCGTGGTAGGCAAACACACTGTCTTCAATATGGTGCTTCTATTGATATGCGTTCGATAGAGAAGTTCTTGTGGCTTCTTGAGGTGCTCTATAAGGAGGAAGGTGACCAGTGAGGAGCAGAAGTTACAGAATGTTTCCAGGCGATGCATGTATTGAAAAATTAGCACCTGTAGAACTTGCAGGTGATATTTGTATCTATATGTGGTATAGAAAGTTAGACACCGTGAGCTATTGTTTGTGTTTTGAAATATTAAAATATTGTGGAACTCTATTCATGGCCAACTTTGGGAAGTTATTAATAGTATAATAATATTCATGAGAACAGTACAAATCTCTCTATCGTTATTTTATTTGTGAATCTTAAATATTACCTTTTGGTTTTTACATTATCAATTATCACTATTGCGTTAGCACGGGCATATTACTAGTCTTAACAAAACCGTTCAAGTTAGAATCATGGATCGAATAATTAGTTAGGAAATAAAAGATTTAAATAGAGAAGTAAGAAAGGATAATAAACTAGCAAGCTGTATTTTTCCGCATGATCCCGATTTTCATTCGCTGAGTCGGTCGACCGATTCTGAATATTCTCCTCAGGTTTACGAGGACAATAAACTACACCACGGATCTTGCTGGAAGCAATTGAATAATCGCACGCCCAACGCGAGTTGATTTTCTGTTTTCCAAAAGGGAACGTCTCGTGATAGTCGTACAAGTCTCGGTCTCACGAAGAGTCGGGGTGCGATTTGCCATCTGGAATCGAAGTGAATTGCGGACAAATTGGTGGAGAAGTAGATCTCGATCAACCAGAAAAGGCCAAAGCCGCACGACGACGACGAGATCTGATCCATTTCATCTCCTTCTAGAAGCACAAGCGCCACTCGGTATAAAGGCCGGCGCAATGTCACAAATGGCTGCAGTGCACCAAAGTCACGGAAACATCAAACATTCGTGAGCTCAGCTAGCCATGGATAACGCCTACTTCCTCCGTCCCCACAGAAAGTCCATTTCTAACATCCCAAGGAGAGATTAGTGAAGACTAAAAATAACCAAAATGATCATCATTATTGAAAAAACCAGTAATGTTGATAGGTAGGTAAAGGGTATTTAAGGGAGAAAACTTCTTATTTTATGTGCCGAGGTTAGGTAGGATGGTAGAAGTTGGTTTTTTGTGGGACAAAATTCAAACTCCAGAAGTTGAGTTTTTTTTGACGGAGGGAGTACATTATTGTCCTCTCTGTAGCTATCCTCTTCTTGCTCCACTCAGTGGCGTAGCCAAAAATTATTAAAGAGTAGGACTAACGTAGGACTTAATTAGCGAATTATTTATTTTCTCTTACATTTACATGGTGATTTAAGATAATTTAGCCATGTTTTTGGAGGCAGGTCTAGGGCTCAAACCCTAGCTGTTCTAGTCCTGCCTCCGCCCCTAGCTCCACTACTACCTCGTCGGCCTCGGCAATGGCAGGAGCAAGAGCAAGGGGGCGCCACGGAGATGAGGGAAAGATGCAGGGAGGAGATAAATCTAACGGGTGGGTTCCACGTGCAGATGAGGAAGAAGATGAAAAACGTGACGACGATAACATGGTTCTAATTTTGTAAAATTTAAATGGTACGGTTACGATAGACGAATTGTAATGATATTTATCTAAATATACACATTTGCAATGGCACATATCAAATTAACCCTTAAAAATATAATCATATATTTGTTTCAAAAAAATATAATCATTGACATGTTGTTGAAAAGATTTAATTAAAACAAGAGTAAAGTGCACGGGAGGTCTTTAAACTTATAATGGTGTGTCATCTAGATCCCTAAACTCTCAAAATGCATATCCAAGTCCCAAATCGCCACAGCCCCTTTCGGGATCCTACGTGGCGCTGATGTGGCATGCCACACTGACATGACGTGATAAATGGAAGCCATTTAAAATTTTTCCTTTTTCTCTTTTCTTTTTTTCTTCTCTTTTTCTTCTCCTTCTTCTTCTTTTTCCTTTCTCTGTTACCCGAGCAGAAGAAAGGAAAGAAAAACAGAAGAATGACAAGGAAAAAAAGGAAAAAGAAAAAGAAAAGAACAAAAAAAAGAGAGAAAATGGCACATCACATCCATGTGGCGTGCCACATCAGCACCACGTAGGATCCTAGAGGGGCTATATCGATTTGGGACCTAAATGATACATTTTGATAAGTTGTAGGATCTGAATCTGCATTTCGAGACTTTGGGGATCAAGATGACACAACCCTACATGTTTAAGGACCGTCTATATAATTTACTCTTAAAACAAATATGATGGTGCAGATTATAATTTGATTACTAATTTAGGAGAGGAAATGATTTAAAGCTTGTTATTTTGTCGGGGGATTTAAAGCGAGAGATAGATACAATCGTACATACATGCATGCACCCTTAATCAGGTGTCAGGGCACCCTTAATCAGGTGTCATGAAAGTGAGCATGCACACAAGTATTAGGAAAGTGAGTATGCATAAAAGTATCTTTAATAGATAGGGATTATCACTGGATAGGCCCGATTCTTTAGAAAAATATCTAGTCTCGTCGGAAATATCTACAGCCATGCTTAGCTTCTGTACGTATGCACATCTACCTCTTCATATATAAGTAAGCAGCTAACCGCTGCTGTGCGTATCCAATGAAGTACTCCACTTCTGTAACCATGGATAAGGCCTACATTGCCGTCTTCTCCATCGTCATCCTCTTCTTGCTCGTCGACTACCTTCGTCGTCTTCGTGGCGGCGGCACGAGCAATGGCAAGAACAAGGGGATGCGGCTGCCGCCGGGTCTACCGGCCGTCCCGATCATCGGCCACCTCCACCTCGTCAAGAAGCCGATGCACGCGACGCTGTCCCGCCTCGCCGCGCGGCACGGGCCGGTGTTCTCGCTGCGCCTCGGCTCGCGGCGCGCCGTGGTGGTGTCGTCGCCGGGGTGCGCCAGGGAGTGCTTCACCGAGCACGACGTGGCCTTCGCGAACCGGCCCAGGTTCGAGTCGCAGCTGCTCATGTCGTTCGACGGCACCGCGCTGGCCATGGCGAGCTACGGCCCGCACTGGCGCAACCTCCGCCGGGTCGCCGCGGTGCAGCTGCTCTCCGCGCGCCGCGTCGGCCTCATGTCGGGGCTCATCGCCGGCGAGGTGCGCGCCATGGTGCGGAGCTTGTGCCGCCGCCCAGCCGCCGCCGCGCCAGTCCAGCTGAAGCGGAGGCTGTTCGAGCTCTCCCTGAGCGTGCTCATGGAGACCATCGCCCAGAGCAAGGCGACCCGACCCGAGACGACGGACACGGACACGGACATGTCCATGGAAGCCCAGGAGTACAAGCAGGTCGTCGAGGAGATCCTCGAGCGCATCGGCACGGGCAACCTGTGCGACTACCTGCCGGCGCTCCGGTGGTTCGACGTGTTCGGCGTGAGGAACAGGATCCTCGCCGCGGTGAGCCGGAGGGACGCGTTCCTCCGTCGACTGATCTACGCGGCGCGGTGGAGGATGGACGACGGCGAGAAGAAGAGCATGATCGCCGTGCTGCTCACTCTGCAGAAGACACAGCCGGAGGTGTACACTGACAACATGATCACGGCTCTTTGCTCGGTGAGTACAAGTCTAAAAGTCTGCTCTCCGATGGATCGGGACCGTACAACTGATCACAGGTTGATCGAACGGCTAAAAAATATTGATTAAGCTTGACGGTCAATCGGGAGAAAGCTAAACAGTAAATTAGGCACAGCGGGTAACGCGAGAAGCGCCCCAGCCCGGGTTTGAAGAGGTTTTATCTGGAAAAATCAATTCAACCTTTAAGAGTATTTTTTTTATGTCACTTAAAAGTTTATAAAAAAATTAAATAAATTTAGTAAGATAGATCTATATGTGATATGTCACTTCACAAACATATAAATTCAAATTCAACTTATAAGTAGAAAAAAATAAATTTAACTATCAATAGAACTTATAATTCACGGTCAAATTTATTTTTTTTTTCAAATTGAATAAGTTGAATTTTAACTCGTATGTTTGCGAAAAGATATATCATATATTGATCTATCTTGATATTTTTTTAATTTTTTTAACGACATGAAAAAAAACAGGATGTTCCCTAGAGGGAAAAAATCCACTTCCATTTTATGTGCCTGCCTATTGAAGTATTGATTGCCATAATCTATACCTGCCTATCTTTTCTATGCAATCCTGGATATAGTACTGGTGCACCAGAGTAACTTTTATACGAAGAAATATCAATAAGTAATGGTGTATCATTTTCTTACTATCGGTATAGTTTTCTTAGAGTAACATGTAACCTCACATGTTGATATGGATAAGAGAAGAGAGAAAAGGGAGAAGAGCCACCCTTACACGTAAGGGAGCAGCAAGCTTTACCCAAACTCCAAGAGAGATGAAAGAAAAAGACTAATAAATTAAGAGCATAAAGTTATTGTAGTGTATTGTGGCAAGTGTTCCAGAATTTTTTTTTAAAAAAATCATCGTTTAGCAATTCGAGAAGCATACATGCATACACAATTTGCATGCACAGATATAATAATACTACACGTCAAACGAAAGGATAAGGGTTATATGCTGATTAATTTAATTTTTTTATTTTTTGTTATATGATGATAAATATGGAAGGAGGTAGTGTAATCGTGGTAATTATATGGGCTCAACGGTCGCTAGCATGATAGATTATTCAGCATGCAAAGTCATTCTCAACGGAGACTGGGGATTACTGTAGCTTCACTGAATATTGTCGCGTGCCACACATATTTTGTTCTTACTTTTATCCTCAGAAAAGCCAACAAACTCTTGGAACTATCATTACTTCATGACCCAGACGAAAAAAAAACAATTTAATTTTCACTCTATTAATTTTTTTGCCGCGAAGAACTTGTTAGGAGCAGGAACAGAGACAACCTCGACGACGATAGAATGGGCAATGTCGCTGTTGCTGAACCACCCAGAAACGCTCAAGAAAGCACAAGCCGAGATCGACGCGTCCGTCGGCAACTCCCGCCTGATCACCGCCGACGACGTGCCCCGCATCACCTATCTCCAGTGCATCGTCAGGGAGACGCTCCGCCTCTACCCCGCGGCGCCGATGCTCATCCCGCACGAGTCCTCCGCCGACTGCGAGGTCGGCGGCTACAGCGTCCCGCGCGGGACGATGCTGCTCGTGAACGCGTACGCCATCCACCGTGACCCGGCGGCGTGGGAGGAGCCGGAGAGGTTCGTGCCGGAGAGGTTCGAGGGCGGCGGGTGCGACGGCAACCTCTCGATGCCGTTCGGGATGGGGAGGCGGAGGTGCCCCGGCGAGACGCTGGCTCTGCACACGGTGGGGCTGGTGCTGGGCACGCTGATCCAGTGCTTCGACTGGGAGAGGGTCGATGGCGTGGAGGTCGACATGGCTGAGGGTGGCGGGCTCACCATGCCCAAGGTCGTGCCGTTGGAGGCCGTGTGCAGGCCGCGCGACGCCATGGGTGGTGTTCTTCGCGAGCTCTGAACATTTTGGCGTCGTTTGCATCTCCAGGGCAAACTCATGTATACTGATGAAGTACCAAAAGTAAGTAGCAATAAGCTTCTTGTGAGCATACACATGTTGTGAACTTGTGATGTGTAAACTACAGTACTACACGTAGGGGATTTAGAAGAGAACGACTGCTCTAGCATTACCAATTTGTATCGATGTGCAATAATCCTGTACAAAGTATAATTATATAATTATATACTTCCTATTGTTTGTGTGGTGTATGCGTTCAAATACTAATACGGTCAGTCGGTCAACAAAAGAGAACAAAATTAACATGAGCTTATACGACCAGTTCGAAATACAAGTCAGTGTCGCTGGTCAGTAAACTCTAGATTAAAAGTAGTCTTACAAATTCCTGATTCTTACACATCTTTTTTTATCTTTATCTTTATCTTTACTACTTAAAAAATTGATAGTGGTGGTCTTGATTCCTGACACAACAGACGCATCAGGCAGACACGTCTCATCCTAGCCATACGATCGTGAGATCCAACAGCTCAGATCAGTTCGTGTATCTCCCTCATCGCACTCCTCCTCCGGCCTCCGCACCTAACCTCTTCCGAAACTGACGCCCCCTCACGCGCTCCTCTCTACGCCACACCGTCCATCCGCCGCTGTCCCCCGTCACTCCAAGCCGCCGCAGCCCCATCCAAGCCACGGAATTGATGGCCTCCCTCAACACCGACCCTTCCCTCGTCGCTCCAAGCCGCCCGCTCCTCTCCTCAATGACGCAATAGGCAACAACTCCTCTTGACGGCGACGCCCAAATCCCATCGCCTCCAATCCTGTCTACAGACGGCCCACAGGTTGCCTCCTTCTTCCCTCCCAAGCCGTCTCCCGGTCCTTTGTCCTGTCCGTCAGGCCACCCCTTTGAACATTCTATTTTTCTGATCCATATGTTGTACAGCTCAATGGGCTGAGGGACTGCAGGAAGTCCTGCGCTCGGCAGGGCTCTCGTCGCCTCGTCGGCGTTGCCCTCAGGCCATTCAAATGCAAGCACCCACTGTGAGTTACCTCAGGATGAAGACCTTCTGCTCACAGTGCAAGCACCGAGTGGGACGCACAGTGCACAGCTTTACCAAATCAATCCCCAAACTCCTCCCTCTTCCCTCGATTTCTCCGGCTCCTTCCTCACTCACCACGCCCCGCCTCCTCCTCCCTCCTCACCATGCCGGCTCTCCCCTGCTCCCTCCATCGGCGCCGGCTCCCCTCCTCCCTCCGCCGGCGCCGGTTCTCCTCTCCTCTGGGCCAAGCGGCGGCGTCCTCCATGCCATGCGGCGGCGACGGCGTTCTCGAAGAAGCGGCGGTGGGAGGACGGCGGCGCGGTGGACGGTGGCGGCGGCGGCGGTGAAGGAGGCTGGGGACGCGGCGGCGGATCGAGAAGACCGAGGCGGTGGCTCGCGACGAGCTCGGCGTCTCGCGAGCGGCGGAAGGGAGGCGACGACAGATCCACGGTGCTGTGAGGCTGGGGACGCGGCGGATTGAGAAGACCAAGGCAGGAGCAGCGGAGCTCGGCGTCGACGGGCTCGATGCGCATGGCGTTCTTGGGATGGGCGGTCGACATCGCCCGCGACTCCGGCGCGTCGAGCTCCGTCGTGCTCACCTGCGACGGCTACGGCTCGGCGCTCTACTTCTCGCCGTGGGACAGTGTCCCGCTTCCGGCGACAGCTTCCCCCGACGACGGCTTCCTGCTGCCGCGTTTCCCGGACGTCTGCGTGCAGCGCTCGCAATTCACCAACCACCTCGCGCCGGCCAACGGCACTGGCGGCGGCGGCTCAAGAACGGGCGTCAAGGAGGAAGCGAGCGAGGTGAGCACCGGGTTGGGGTGCTTGCGGCCGGTGCGCGGGCGGCCAGCGGTTCTTGGCGGCGGGATACGTCCCCGGCTGCCTCCTCCTCTCTCCCACGCCGCCGTGCCTCGCCTCCCACGCCGCGGCGGCACACCGGGGACGCCGCCGCCGTGCGCCTCGCCTCGCCGGGGACGCCGCCGCCGTGTGTCGATTTGTTGCCGGGCACGGGCGGCGCGAGGGCACGAGCTCCACAGTGCGAGAAAAGCAGCCGTTTCCTCACCTCGCGAGAGAAGGATGCGCGCGGCTCAGTTTGGCGACGAGGTGCTCTCCACTGGCGCGCACCCTCCCTCCACGCAAGGCCGAGTCCTACGTGGCACCCCATAGCACCGGTCCAGCTGTGTGCACTGTGAGAGGCCTCAAATACTCCAAGGTACCACACGGTATTTCTATTTCCGATCACGACCTATGTAATCAACCTGTTGTGTTGTGAGCGTGTGTGCCTGATTTGGTTGCCTGCAGGTGTTGTCCTGGCCACCGACTTCGAAGCAATCTGTGCGCCGGTTGGAGGTGGCGGAGCACTGGTACCGACTCTACAAGACGGACAATCAACGGGTACCACAATCCGGCTCCACCTCGACGCGATTGCGGCAACCACGAAAACCTCACGCTCCAATCTGTGCCCTCCGCCCGTGCTCGCTGCATCTCGTGCCACCGTCTCGGACTCTCGATCCTCATGGCCTGAATTATCCTAATTCTTCGTTACCAGTTTTTTTGAGACTAATATGACTCCCATCAAACAATGCAGTTGAGAGTGAGTTCTTACCTGTATTATATAGTACATTGTATTTAAACCATAGTACATGGGGACAGTGGTGCGTTCATCAATTTATGGATTGTGGTAGGCTGGTAGCTGTTTGATTTGTCACTAAAATTGCACGACGACAACACTTTGGCCCTGTTTAGATTCTAACTTTTTTCTTCAAACTTCCAACTTTTCCGTCACATCGAACTTTTCTACACACACAAACTTCCAACTTTCCCGTCACCTTCACTTTAGGTTCCTAAGTTTAGGTTACCTTCACTTTAGGTTCCTAAATTTATCACTAAGTCTGAAATTTATCCCTAAACCAAAATACCAGGTACAACGGATCCCTCAATCTACAAAACTCAATCACCCAAGATTGTAGATAGTATTATGTCCGGTTTTAACTGACGTGTCAAGTTGAGTTAACGTGGAATCTATGCGGGCCCCACATGTAAGTGGCTAGTACTTTTTTCCACGTTGGACGAAACCGTCTCCCAAACCACTAAAGGAGGCGATATGCACCGATTTTGATAGATGGGGGAGACGTTATACCCTGTTTTATTATCAAGAGATGTGATTCAACCAGGAGCAAGAGTTGAGAGAGCAAGAATAGACTTATTCGTGAGCCCACAGGCTAAACCCGCCACGGCCCACAGACTAAGCCCGCCAACTCGGGCCGTTCGGCCCAGTTTGCACGCATGGTGGGCCGGAAACTGGAATCTCCGAACCGCAACGGAATCGACGACATCTGTAGCCACAGCGCGCACTCGACGGCGGGCAGCTTCGTCACTGGTTCGAGCTGTCTGCTGACTCAACGACGAACACACGTACTCCTGCTCGGTTTCTTCCTCCGTGTCGCACAAAAGTCAAATTGCTCTCTATTAGTATTCATTATTAGCACTTCAAACCTTTCTTTACGTTTTAAACGAACCAACTAATCAGGTTATGAGGACTATAATAATCGAATCCAGGGATCTTGCTGGAAGCAATTGAATAATCGCCCAACGATTGAGTTCATTTCTTGTCTCCAAAGCTGTCTCCTGATAGTCAACAGGTCTCGGTCCTCGCAGAGTCGCACTGCGATTTGGCCTCTGGAAACTGGAAAGAGATCTCGATCCACCACAAGAAAATGCCAAGCAGCACGACGACGAAGACGACAACGCCTTCCAGGTACGTAGCAATTGAATACGGAATACTCTCTCCGTTTAAAACGTTTGATTATTTTCCTAATCAAACTTTATCATGTTTGACCAAATTTATAGAAAAAAATAACAACATCTTAAATATAAAATTAGTATAACTAAATCTAGCATTGGATATACTTTCATAATATTTGTTTGTTTTATGTTAAAAATACTACTATATTTTTCTATAAGCTTAGTCAAATTTAAATCAAATTAAAGAAGATTAATTAGAAAAATAGCCAAACGATTTGTAATATGCAACGGAGTGAGTAGAAGTAATCGCCCAGCCTCGCCAACGAGGCAACGAGACCCGTAATGCAACGATCGCATCTGCGTTTCAGGCGTCAGCCATGGCGTCTGCAGAGATGCCTGGATTGTCTCCGCAAGATCTGATCCATTTCATCTCCTTCTAGAAGCACAAGCGCCGCTCGGTATAAAGGCAGACGCATTGTCACAAATAGCTGCAGTGCACCAGAGTCACAGAAACACATCACACATTCGTGAGCTCAGCTTAGCCATGGATAACGCCTACATTATTGCCATTCTCTCTGTAGCTATCCTCTTCTTGCTCCACTACTACCTCCTCGGCCGCGGCAATGGCGGGGCGGCGCGGCTGCCGCCGGGTCCACCGGCCGTCCCGATCCTGGGACACCTCCACCTCGTCAAGAAGCCGATGCACGCCACCATGTCCCGCCTCGCCGAGCGGTACGGGCCGGTGTTCTCGCTGCGCCTCGGGTCGCGGCGCGCCGTGGTGGTGTCGTCGCCGGGGTGCGCCAGGGAGTGCTTCACCGAGCACGACGTGACCTTCGCGAACCGGCCCAGGTTCGAGTCGCAGCTGCTGGTCTCGTTCAACGGCGCCGCGCTCGCCACGGCGAGCTACGGCGCGCACTGGCGCAACCTCCGCCGGATCGTCGCCGTGCAGCTGCTCTCCGCGCACCGCGTCGGCCTCATGTCGGGGCTCATCGCCGGCGAGGTCCGCGCCATGGTGCGGAGGATGTACCGCGCCGCGGCCGCGTCCCCCGCCGGCGCCGCGCGCATCCAGCTGAAGCGGAGGCTGTTCGAGGTCTCCCTCAGCGTGCTCATGGAGACCATCGCCCACACCAAGGCGACCCGCCCCGAGACGGACCCGGACACCGACATGTCCGTGGAAGCCCAGGAGTTTAAGCAGGTCGTCGACGAGATCATCCCGCACATCGGCGCGGCCAACCTGTGGGACTACTTGCCGGCGCTCCGGTGGTTCGACGTGTTCGGCGTCAGGAGGAAGATCCTCGCCGCTGTAAGCCGGAGGGACGCGTTCCTTCGCCGCCTGATCGACGCGGAGCGGCGGAGGCTGGACGACGGCGACGAGGGCGAGAAGAAGAGCATGATCGCCGTGCTGCTCACTCTGCAGAAGACAGAGCCGGAGGTGTACACCGATAACATGATCACAGCTCTAACGGCGGTGAGTTCATCTTCTGCTGTTTTACCTTTCTGATATCTGAATTCTCTCATTGGTGCGTAATTTTTTTTTTTTGGCTGTCATCGGTATAGCTTTCTTAAGCACTCAGTAGCCTTGCAATTATAAAAAGAAAAACAATCAGTAGCTTTTTACATGCTTTGAGTCAGTCAGTAGCAGTGTGGCACTATCAGCATTCAGCAGTATTCATGTTGTTTGCTAATCACTATCATGGTTTGAGTCAGCACAATCAGTAGCTTTTGACATGGTTTGAGTCAGCAGTATCTTTTCTAGGAACTGAATTAGTTATTCATTTAGTACAACTTGTTTGTCTGTCTATTGATTGCTTTAAATTATTTCTTCTATGCAACCCTCTAATCCTAGTATAGTACTAGCCTTTTATATGAAGAATCATCAATAATTTTCTTCTCACTTTCAGTGTAGCTTTACTTAATGAATATTTTGAAAGATCGCCTAGTTGCCTTATTATAATTGTATAAAAGGAAAACAATCAGTAGCCTTTTACATGGTTGAGTCAGCGAGTTATCAGGAGTACTATTGTTTATCATGGTAGTAGCACGATAGACTATTCAACCCGGGCGATTAAAATCCTTCTCCCAAATTTGTATTCTTTGTTTTTTCCTCAAAAATTCACCAAACTCTTGGAACTATTATAGTTCAGTTTTAGACAAAAAAAAAATGAAATCTTAGTTCCACCCTCTTGCCGTGCAGAACTTGTTCGGAGCAGGAACAGAGACAACCTCGACGACATCAGAATGGGCGATGTCGCTACTGCTGAACCACCCCGACACACTCAAGAAAGCGCAAGCCGAGATCGACGCATCCGTCGGCAACTCTCGCCTGATCACCGCCGACGACGTGACTCGCCTCGGCTACCTCCAGTGCATCGTCAGGGAGACGCTCCGCCTGTACCCCGCCGCGCCGATGCTCCTCCCGCACGAGTCCTCCGCCGACTGCAAGGTCGGCGGCTACAACATCCCGCGCGGGTCGATGTTGCTCATCAACGCGTACGCCATCCACCGTGACCCGGCGGTGTGGGAGGAGCCGGAGAAGTTCATGCCGGAGAGGTTCGAGGACGGCGGGTGCGACGGCAATCTCTTGATGCCGTTCGGGATGGGGAGGCGGAGGTGCCCCGGCGAGACGCTGGCGCTGCGCACAGTGGGGTTGGTGCTGGGCACGCTGATCCAGTGCTTCGACTGGGAGAGGGTCGACGGCGTGGAGGTCGACATGACTGAAGGTGGCGGGCTCACCATCCCCAAGGTCGTGCCGTTGGAGGCCATGTGCAGGCCGCGCGACGCCATGGGTGGTGTTCTTCGCGAGCTCGTCTGAATATTTTTTGGCGGCGTTTGCATCTCCAGGACGAACTCATGTATTGAAAGCACCAAAAGTAAGTAGCAAATAAGCTTCTCGTGAGCATACACATAACACATGTGAGCTTGTAATGTGGAATAAATTACACGTAGAGGATTTGGAAGAGAGTGACTGCGCTAGCAATCGCTCTTTGAGAGTTGTGTTTTACAGTTTTAGTGAGGAACCAATTTGTATGAATGTGCAATAATCATGTATAAAGTATAATTGTACACGCCAGGTATTTCAATTTCATATTGCTTGTGTGATGTATGCGTTCGAATACTATACAGTCAACAAAAGAGAACAAAATTACTATGAGCTTATACGACCAGTGTTCAAAATAATAGCCAGTCAATGGTCAATAAAAATTAAAATTAAAAAAAAAGTCTTACAAATTCCTGATTTTCTATCGTTTGAAAAAAAAAAACAACTTCGGGATATTACACATATTACATATTGATCCAATAATCGAATATTTCAAATACTTTCTTAACGACTTCTAACTTGGGAGGAAGGGCTTTCTGCTCTTTGGCTCCTGTCCATGCAGACAAGCAGACAACACAAGCAAAAGGGGAAAAAAGTTCATTTACATCCCTCAAATATATGTCGAGTTTCAATTGCGTCCCTCGATCGCATAACCAGATATAGAGCACCGTTGACTTGTAAAACCACGTCAGCTAGAAAAGCATTCATCCAAAACCGCCAAGGACCATACTCTCTCCGTTTCAGGTTTTAAGACGTTTTGACTTTAGTCAAAGTAAAACTGTTTCAATTTTGACTAAGTTTATAGACAAATATAGTAACATTTATAATACTAAATTAGTTTAATCAAATCAATAATTGAATATATTTTCATAATAAATTTGTATTGGGTTGAAAATGTTACTACTTTTTTCTACAGATTTGGTCAAACTTAAAGCAGTTTAACTTTGACCAAAGTCAAAAACATTTTATAACCTGAAACGAAGGTAGTACTTTACACTGATTTTACATGCTACGGATGCTCCATATCTGATTTTTATACTTGAGGGATTCGATTCAAACACGATTCTTGTTGTGAGGGACCTAAAGTGAACCAAGTAAAATGCGTTCATCTTTTGCATGCTTTCATGGGTCGGGGCCTCGGGGAGAGAAACCTCCGAGCCCCACGGCCCACAGGCCTACCCCGCCAATTCCAATCGTTCGGCCTAGAAATCTCCGAGCCCCACGGCCCACGTCGGCCACCGATGAATTGTGGCCGGCGACAACCATCTCTCATCCCCTCTCGACGGACGTCATCGGCGTTCCTTGACCTTGTGGGTCCAGATCCCCTAGAGTTGGGTATAACTCTACCGGGTAGAGTTGGCCAAATCTGTGCCATTCGGCATACGTCAAGGGCTGGGATTAAGCCACATTAATTTATACTTAAAACCAGTAACTGACCATGCAACAAATAAACTTACATCAACAGCTTGTCACGAGATCATTGTTACTGTATAATTAGCACAAAAAAAATTCAAGATTCATCTATTATTTAAAAAATCATACACATTATTATTGATATGGTTCGTTGTTTGCATATATGTGAAAGCACTATATTGATATACACTGACTGCCGCTTTAGAGTTGATGGACTATATCTGTTGTTTGGGGAATAACAAAACGTTGTTCTGTTACATTTTTTGGGAGTGAGAACTTAATCAAATCACTATTATAGAGCAGACACATGAAAAAACTAAGTCATAACCATTAATTTAAGGAGTTAATTTATTAGGTGAAATTTCCTTTAAAAAATTTATTAGGTTAAATTGATGAGGAATGATCTCAGCCGTAGAAAACAATAGATAGCACAGATTTGACTAACTTCACCCGGTAGAGTTATACTCAACTTCAACTTCAGGGGATCCAGACCCGACCTTTGTGCTCTGCTAGCAAATTAACCGGGGGTGAGGATTTGCTCTAATCCATTGATCAATCATCGACACCTCACGTTACAAACGTGCACGGATTCTTTTTCTGAATAAAACCAAGCAACTACGAGGCCAAAACATCGTACTCCATGATCCATCCGATGCAGATATCCAATTATTGGACTCCATGACAGCATGCACCGATCGCTTCCATAGACGACGTCACAGATGGCGCACGCAACACTGTAGCACTGTACCACAGCGATAGACTAGCTCTATCTACCGCTGGGGAAAGTGATTTCATCGCTCGTGAGAATAACATCTCGTTTCGTTCATGGCATCTAAATAGTCATAAAAGTTTTTTAAAAAAATTTGATAAGATATATTAATATGAAATATATCACTCCACAAACATGCAAAGTAAAATTCAACTTCTACAAGTTATAAGAAAAACAAATATATCTGCGAGTGTACCATAACTACTTTCAGTTTATTTTGTTCTTTTTATTGCAACTTATATAAGTTGAATTTGATCTTGTATGTTTGTGGAGTGATATATTTTATATTAATCTATGTTACCATTTTTTAATTATTTTTAATAACTATTTAGATTACATGCAACCAACGAGGGACATCCCCTCGAGAGATGAAAATTCATATCCCAATATACTCTCTCTTTTCCATAAAGGTTTCATTTTTGGGTTTTTTTCCAATATTTTTCTAACGTATTTTTGACCGTTCATATTTAAAAATAATAAAAAAAACAAGTCACATATAAAATATTATTTATATTTTATCATCTAATAACAACAAAATACTAATCATAGAAAATTTTTAAATAAGACGAAGAGATATACGTTGTATCAAAAAATGAAAAATGAAGCTTTTGTGAAACGGGGGAGTATATAAATAGCTAGTAGCCTAGTAGCTGCTATGCGTAATACAACTTACTATTTCCGTAACCATGGATAAGGCCTACATTGCCGTCTTCTCCATTGCCATCCTCTTCTTGCTCGTCGACTACTTCCGCTGTCGCCGCCGCCGCGGCAGCGGCAGCAACAATGGCGAAAACAAGGGGATGTTGCAGCTGCCTCCGAGCCCTCCAGCCATCCCGTTCTTCGGCCACCTCCACCTCATCGACAAGCCGTTGCACGCCGCGCTGTCCCGCCTCGCCGAGCGCCACGGCCCGGTGTTCTCGCTGCGCCTCGGCTCGCGCAACGCCGTCGTGGTGTCGTCGCCGGAGTGCGCCAGGGAGTGCTTCACGGACAACGATGTGTGCTTCGCCAACCGCCCGCAGTTCCCCTCGCAGATGCCCGCGACGTTCTACGGCGCCGGGTTCGGCTTCGCCAACTACGGCGCGCACTGGCGCAACCTCCGCCGCATCGCCACCGTGCACCTCCTCTCCGCGCACCGCGTCAGGGGCATGGCCGGCGTCGTCTCCGGCGAGATCCGCCCCATGGTGCAGAGGATGTACCGCGCCGCCGCCGCCGCCGGCGTCGGCGTTGCGCGCGTCCAGCTGAAGCGGAGGCTGTTCGAGCTCTCGCTCAGCGTCCTCATGGAAGCCATAGCGCAGACCAAGACGACGCGGCCAGAGGCGGACGACGCGGACACGGACATGTCCGTGGAGGCCCAGGAGTTCAAGAATGTCCTCGACGAGCTCAACCCGCTTCTCGGCGCGGCCAACCTGTGGGATTACTTGCCGGCGCTCCGGGTGTTCGACGTGCTCGGCGTGAAGAGGAAGATCGCGACGCTGGCCAACAGGAGGGACGCGTTCGTGCGCCGGCTGATCGACGCGGAGCGGCAGAGGATGGACAACGGTGTCGACGGCGGCGATGATGGCGAGAAGAAGAGCGTGATCTCCGTGCTGCTTAGTCTGCAAAAGACTGAGCCAGAGGTCTACAAGGATATAGTGATCGTGAATCTTTGTGCGGTGAGTGAGTACGTACTTTCGCCAGGTTTCAAATCATCTCACCTTTTCTTTTTACTCCCTTCGATCACAAATTGAAATACTTGAAAGTTTTAGATATGAACCAATTAAACTTACGTAACTTTTGACTATTGATGAATTTTGAACGCTTAATTTGAAATCATGCATAAAGAAGATATGTATACGTGTTCTTTTTGAAAAAAAAAAGTACTTCCATAATCTAATGTATCTTCTGGCTTCAACACGTGTCTCTTGATTTATAAGAGGAAAACGTTGGATAGGAGGCTTTGATATTCAGAGGGGTGGTGAGGGGTTAACAGGCTAATCCACCAGCTGTGGCTTCTACTATCTTAATACCATTGGATATGACTAGCTGCTCCTAACCTGCATCCTAACTTGTTATACATATATAAGACATAAACCAGTCACTCAATAAATGGATTGAACCCTTAAAAAAAATCAAACATCAAGTTTTTTTTCATCTTTTTTATAATGGAACAAATCCCAGCATATGCTTCAACGAAGTTACAATCACTTATTACATAATTCACTCAACTAATATTTCAAAATACGATGATATAAACTACTCTCTCCATCCCATAAAAAAACCAAACATAGTATTGGGATGTGTGTCACGTTTAGCACTAGGTTTGTTTTTATGGGTGGCATGAATAATAAATACCAACACTTAAGAAGAAAATATTTGTCCAAATCTATTTATAAATATGTTTATTGTGAGACTAAAGTGTTAATAGAGATATATTGTTCATTAAACTCTGTCAACTTACTCGCCTTCAATTTTTCATACGTTCTTTAATTCACACCCCTTTTCCTCTTTCGTGAAGGCATTATTTGCTGCTGGAACAGAGACTACAGCAATGACAATAGAATGGGCAATGTCGCTTCTGCTGAATCATCCCAAGATACTCAAGAAAGCAAAGGCAGAAATAGACGCATCCGTCGGGAACTCTCGCCTGATCAATGGAGACGACATGCCTCATCTTAGCTATCTCCAGTGCATCATCAACGAGACGCTTCGTCTATACCCTGTAGCACCACTGTTGATCCCTCACGAATCATCCGCAGATTGTAAGGTTAATGGCTATCACATTCCAAGTGGAACGATGCTGCTTGTCAATGTGATCGCCATCCAAAGAGATCCAATGGTTTGGAAAGAGCCAAATGAGTTTAAGCCAGAGAGGTTCGAAAACGGCGAGTCCGAGGGATTGTTCATGATACCGTTTGGGATGGGGAGACGGAAGTGTCCGGGAGAGACGATGGCTTTGCAGACAATTGGGTTGGTTTTGGGGGCTCTGATCCAGTGCTTCGATTGGGACAGAGTCGATGGCGCCGAGGTTGATATGACGCAAGGCAGTGGACTGACCAACCCTAGGGCTGTCCCGTTGGAGGCCATGTGCAAACCACGCGAAGCTATGTCTGATGTTTTTCGGGAACTCTTGTGAAGCATCATGGAAGCTGGGGCGGATCCACCAGGTAGGCTTCATCAGGCTCTAGCCTACCCTTCAATTTTTGCAAAAAAATATCAACTACATAGGATATCTTTCATAACTGCTGTTGGAGGAAGACGAGAAGAGGTCGGGCGTCAGGAGGAAGATGAACAGGAGCCCCATGGGAGCGATCTGATTGGGGAGAGGGTGAAGCGGTATGCATTAAAGGCCCAATTGGCCAATTCTGCATGGCCCATTAGGCACCAACTCTTTGGGTATTCAGCTTTAGGGATTAGATTGGACACAAGGCGATGGGGATGGCTCATTGCAATTGAGGGCTTGCGGCGGCGACGGCGCCAGTGGGCACGAGGTGCGGCGAGCGCACGGTGCCACAACGGCAGCCCAAGACCCGAGTGCCCACGGCTACGACGGGCGAAGGGGTGTTGGGCACTTGGGCGCTTGGCTGTGAGCCGTGACAGGCATAGGCACACGTGACTGAATTGGCAATCCATATCGCTTCTCGCTGCTCGTCTAGTCTGTTGTGCTGCTGCTACCTAAAGTGAGTCCTATCCTATTTGTATATTGAATCAGGTGATTTATCATTTATGAGAAATTAAGACTTAAGTTTTGTAGTTTCTTTATTAGTTGGTGGATTTGAAATGTAGAAGAAAACAACATTGCTTGATTACTTTACTAACTCTCCCCCACTGATGAGGCTATATATTGTTAAAACTGCTAGAATTTTATCCTAATGAAATCTTTGCCAATCCAACCCAACGAATACCATAGAGAATTATGCTTTGAAATTAGAGATGGGGTAGCATATTTGTTGAATTTGAGTTGTATAAGGGTGCGTGGTTGATTTTTAGTCTTGTTGACTTCGACTTTAAGCCCACCCTTAATTTTTATGCTGGATTCGCCACTGCATGGAAGTATGATTAAGTTTCACAAGGGGGAACACGGTCATCATCCAATCTCCTGCCTGGATGTTCTTTATGAAATTTACGCATTACATACGACCATGTGAGAATGAATTTATTACAGTTTTTCTCAAACAATGTGTGCATCATATTTTAGCAGAAATGCTGTTTAGAGAACCTACAAAGCCAATCCATCCGCATGTTCTTTAATTAGTGAAATGTTTTCTTTTAAGGAAAGGTAAAACTTTGCCAATTTTATATTGATAGGGAAGGAATTAGTGGAAATGTTGGCTTCTTGTTTAGTCCGTACTATATAAGCTCTTTCTTTTTCTTACATAATTATGGAAATGATTAATATATATTCAGCTTTTGCCCTAAGATACACAACCATAAGTTTGTTCAACAAATAAAAAAGAGACGATTGGTGATGGGAGAAAACCCCTAACTTTCCCTTATTATTAACTTTTGTTAAACCACATAGATTCAACCAACAATTCTAATGGAACAACACCATCCGTAATTCCGTAGTGTAACAAGAGATCCTTCACTACGAACTATTGTGCATAGTATCCAACTCCTCTATGAAAGCATCATAAACCAAAAGTGAAGCCAATAGAAAAAAAATGAAGATAAGCTACATCGGGTTTGACAATTGCTTACCACTAAAAACTTTGTCATCGTGGCAATGCCAAATTAACCAACATAAAACACTAGCTCTAGTTAATATCATCTTTTTTTGACCTAGGTATCCCTCTAAGCCAATCACCAAAAATATTTTTAGCATTACGAGGTGGAGAGTTATTGAAAGTAAAGAACATATAGCTCCAAACAAATCGAGCAATATAACACTCAAAGAAAAGATGTTGGATTGTCTCTTTTGCAAAATAGAAAACAATTTGTTTTGTCCTGGTTGGGACTAAAGTTTCCTTACACTTATAATATACTACTACATTCTCTACATTTGTGCCACCAACACAGTTTGTAATGCATGTGTTCCCTTTTTTGCTTTTAACTACATATTTGGAAAAGTTACTAAAAATATAATAATATAAAATGATTTTCATGATAAATCTATCGATGCGGTTTTTATATATTAAACCTAATATGTATAAAGACATATTATATCACACTTAGGTGCGTTATAATTAAAATGCACACAATGTTAGTAAATTTGTTTATTGAGAGTGCAATTATCATAAATCCCCGTACAAAGTCTAACAGTAAAATTTTTACTATCAGATATTTGAGAATATATAACGTGTAGTAAAATATTTACTATGTGAGAGACGTGTTTTATAGTTATTACGCACCAGGATATTAGTACTATTTAAGAGACGGAGCTAGTAATGCCACACAATCAGCATCTTAAAAAAAGACGAAGAAGAAGAAGAAAGTTTTTAAAAATAAGCCGGGCCAATGCAGCACATGTACGGATGTACCACTATGCACAATAAATATAAGCAACTACCGGTTGGCATGGAGAATATCTGAATATACTAGTATTATCGTGGGTACCCAAATGCACAATAAAACTGGCTAGCTAGCAACCTACCTCAAGGCTCAAGCATCATTATATTCCAAACCATGGTTAAGGCCTACATTGCCATCTTCTCCATCGCCGTTCTCTTGTTGATTCACTTCCTCTTCCGCCGCCGCGGCAGGAGCAATGGCATGCCGCTGCCTCCGAGCCCTCCAGCCATCCCGTTCTTCGGCCACCTCCACCTCATCGACAAGCCGTTCCACGCCGCGCTGTCCCGCCTCGCCGAGCGCCACGGCCCGGTCTTCTCGCTGCGCCTCGGCTCGCGCAACGCCGTCGTGGTGTCGTCGCCGGAGTGCGCCAGGGAGTGCTTCACGGACAACGACGTGTGCTTCGCCAACCGCCCCAGGTTCCCGTCGCAGATGCTCGCGACCTTCAATGGCACCTCTCTAGGCAGTGCCAACTACGGCCCGCACTGGCGCAACCTCCGCCGCATCGCCACCGTGCACCTCCTCTCCTCGCACCGCGTCAGCGGCATGTCTGGCATCATCTCCGGCCAGGCGCGCCACATGGTGCGGAGGATGTACCGCGCCGCCACCGCCTCCGCCGCCGGCGTCGCGCGCGTCCAGCTGAATCGGAGGCTGTTCGAGCTCTCGCTCAGCGTCCTCATGGAAGCCATAGCCCAGAGCAAGACGACACGTCGTGAGGCGCCGGATGCGGACACGGACATGTCCATGGAGGCCCAGGAGTTGAGGCATGTCCTCGACGAGCTCAACCCGCTTATCGGCGCGGCCAACCTGTGGGATTACTTGCCGGCGCTCCGGTGGTTCGACGTGTTCGGCGTGAAGCGCAAGATCGTGGCGGCGGTGAACAGGAGGAACGCGTTCATGCGCCGGCTGATCGACGCGGAGCGGCAAAGGATGGACAACAACGATGTCGACGGCGGCGATGATGGCGAGAAGAAGAGCATGATTTCCGTGCTGCTTACTCTGCAAAAGACTCAGCCAGAGGTCTACACGGATACTCTGATCATGACTCTCTGTGCGGTGAGTACTCTCTTCGCTAAATCCCCCATTTTCTGATGGTAAATACTCTAGTTTCTCGTGGGACGTTAAACTTAAGTATCAATAAATTTTAAAACGCTTGATCAGAAACCATGATAATGATATCTATATATAGGCATGTTTCGAATTGTACTTATATAGTCTCCTTTTTGTGAATAGCCATTGTTTGGTGCCGGAACAGAGACTACATCAACCACAATAGAGTGGGCGATGTCACTTCTACTGAACCATCCAGAGATTCTAAAGAAAGCACAAGCAGAAATAGACATGTCCGTCGGAAACTCTCGCCTAATCAGTGTCGTCGACGTGCATCGTCTGGGCTATCTCCAGTGCATCATCAACGAGACGCTTCGCATGTACCCTGCAGCGCCACTTCTGCTACCTCATGAATCATCTGCGGATTGCAAAGTCGGTGGCTACCACATCCCAAGCGGAGCGATGTTGCTTGTCAACGTGGCTGCCATCCAAAGAGACCCAGTGATTTGGAAAGAGCCAAGTGAGTTCAAGCCAGAGAGGTTCGAGAATGGCAGGTTCGAGGGATTGTTCATGATACCGTTTGGGATGGGGAGACGGAGGTGTCCCGGGGAGATGCTGGCATTGCAGACAATTGGGTTAGTTTTGGGGACTATGATCCAGTGCTTTGATTGGGGCAGAGTTGATGATGCTATGGTTGATATGACACAGAGCAATGGACTGACTAGCCTCAAGGTCATTCCGTTGGAGGCCATGTGCAAACCACGAGAAGCTATGTGCGATGTTCTTCGGAAATTCATGTGAAGCCATACACGGCTGTGTAGCAGGGAATAAAGTTCTGGTGACTATATACTCTCTGTCCAAACAAAACCTAATCTTGTATCCAAATTTATCTCTAGGATTAGATATTTATTGGGACAAAGGGAGTGGGAAAGACAGAAGCTATACTTAGTCATTTAAACAGAAGGGAATAAGATAGTCGTGCAGTGTTCGTCAAACAATGTACACATCATTTTAGCACAAAAGCTGCTCGTGGAAGCTATAACCACTATCCGAAAATATACCTATCTTGCTGGTTCAAATTAGTAGCTATATTTTAGATCCGAGGGAGTAAATTTCCACTGCATGTTCTCGAATATATTTTCATGAGATCGAGCTGGCTTTCTATTTAGTCTGAACTCTGTAAACTCGTTCTGTATCAGAAACATGCAAAGCCCCGTTGAAGCGTCTTATTCAAGCATGGCGAGAATGAGAGTTAAAAGCTGATAAGCCCCAGTAGACAAATAGCCTTTACCACAAGAATTTTTATACTATTGCCAGCTACAGGAACGTGCATCCACAGACCACAGCACATGATAAGCAGAAAGAGAACACCGTCCAACAGTCAATGGAAAAAAAAAACGCTGATGTACACGAGATGGGTTGTCGGGTTAATTGGGTAATTTCAGCTTTTGGATCTTCTGCATCACAACTGGAAGCTTATGAGCAATAAGATTCGGGTCTCCATATGCTGCAGAGTCGGAAGGGTATCCCTTCTGTATTACATCAAAGATGAATATTAAATGGATGTACTCCAAGTCTCCAATATGCTTGAGATGAACTGGTTCAAAATAATTTGTTGATTTTTAGAGAGCATACCGCAGACAGACTAGCAAATGTTGCTTCCCTCCAGCAGCATTCACGCAGTACAATGGGTTTTGCTTCGTCACTACCAAAAGAGCAATACACCCGGGTATCCCTCAATCTCATAAGTACACCATCAACCCTAAGCTGTTAACACAAAGGAGGGAAAACGCTGTTATGATAGTGCCATTGCAGTCTTTCAACCCAAAGTTACAGCTGCTTGTAGGTTGTCTTTTGAGCATAAATACTAGCTTTGGAATTTCGAGCCCTTTCAAAAGTGTCTCCTAGATTTCAGAGTAAATAAAGTTCTGTCACGACAGGAAGAGTAAAGTAGTTTGTAACTACTACTACACTGAGGACTAAACTTTGTTTGCATAATTTCTTTCTTAAAAAACTGGACTATTAGAAAATCACTGTTTAGATATTTGCTTACTATTGTCCTCAAAAGATTATATTCGTACTAAACAAGCACAAGTTATATAATACAGGCAGCAGATCATACCCAAAAACGCAAGAGCAGGAACCAACCAGTTGGCATCACCCTCTGTAGAAATGCAATCGAAGATCATATTTAGTATTGACTAAAAGTTGCTTTACCCATACATATAGTCCAATTAGAAACAAGGTTAGTTAGAAAAACACTTACCACTCGCACAGTGAGGAATGAAATGCCATTATCGGCTAACTCATCTTCATACAGGATAACCTAAATATATTTTGTGAGATGTAGACTATAGTGAGGAATGAAATGCCATTATTGGCTAACTCATCTTCATACAGGATAACCTAAATATATTTTGTGAGATGTAGACTATAGAGCAAGCATGGATAATTTTTTTCATTTTCATACCTCGTCATAGAAAAGAATTGGTTCTTTTGCTGAAAGGGCAACAAGGTCAATCCGATCCTCAGAATCCTCCCAACACAAATTGCGGGGTTCATCCAAACTTGTTTGAATCTGGAGAAGGCATGGGAAAAAGAAAGTATTTGTCTGAATGTGATACCAACTAGTAAGACAACAGGACAACTTAAGGCCACAGGTGAAACTGATATAGTACAGAGATAAGGCACATACACTATCTGGGTTCTGAACCAAAGCATCACTCCCATTGTACGGTGTCGTGAATGTATAGTCATAATCAAGTATTACTTGATCAGAAGGCTTACTGCATGAAAACACCCACCGCAAACTTGCTCTTAGTTTTCTCATTAATAAATCCAGAGCACATCATTTCTTTCCTTAAATGATTCTAGAAGGAAAGAAATTACAGGCATGTGCTATAAAACTCTTATGACAGACTAAAACGGGCATAAAAATAATACAAGCATCCTGGCAGTTTGTACAGTAAAAAGTAAACAAAGTCATCTCAATTTTTTTATGGCATTCATACATGGGACTATATAATAAAGGTCACACCAGGAAAATCCAACGGTTTTCACTAGAAACACTTCCTAGCATGCATCGAGTATAACTTTATAAGTGATAAAACAGAGTTATAGAAGAACCTCCTGAACTTCCACTTTGCTGCCGCAGGAACTTCAACAGGTGGTAGTGCTTCATGTTTCCATGCCTTCAGAGCATCAAGCGCATTGAAATATAATCTAATGCCAGTTTGAGCATGCTGAAGAGATAAGAAACTCTCCCCAAAAACCATCTCAGGTAAATGTGTTGTCTGAAGTTTATCTTCAAAGCTGAAGAAAAGAAGAAAGCATATTACAAACCAGTTTTCTTTATCTCTAAATCTCAATTAATTCATGTAAAATTCTTCCCTATGCTGGCAAGTCAATGATTTACAACCAGTGGAGAGATCCAATATCTGTATTTATGCAGAATAAACTCTTTTATATGATAAATCAACATAAACTGGAATATGTTACAGAGATTGTCTGACCAAGCATACCAACAGAATGAATGGTAGGCTAGCATTATTCATTACTCATTTACTCAATTCACGAATACTTATTTGTTCACAGATACTTAATATTCCCAATGTGTGTATTCTCATTCTTTCATAGTTCCATCTCTACATTCCACCCTGTTTCCTCACCAGTTCGATTAGTTTTCACCTTCTCGTTTCTCATGAGTATTTCGATATATACACAATTTACACTCAAGTAAACGAGCTTAAGTACCAGTTTTTAGCTAATGATGAAGATATTGTGGCGGATACAGAATTCAGGTTCCATATGATCCATTTAGAAGTATGCACAATTCAGTGCCATAATAAACGCAGAAATTTTGAAACATAAGTAGAAATAGTTTACTGTAATGTTCTACCTAATATTAATGTAAAAATTTCTACCCAGCGAATCAAAGTAACAAAGAGCAGAAAAAAAAAGGTTAGGGTTTAAGATGGGGAGTGGATCGTACAGCTGGAGCGAGGCGGAGTTGAGGATGGGGCCGTTGTGGGACCGGATGACCCACCCCTTCACCCGCACCCCGCCGGGGATCGCCTCCGCGCCGGCCGCCTTCAGCTCCGCCGCCGTCGGGCCCTCCCACGCCTCCGCCGCCTTAGTCATCTCCCGTGGCGTGCTTCGTCACGATGGTGCTTGGTTGTTTGGAGCTTCGACGCCCCCCGGCCTCCCAAGTGGGGTTCTCTTCAGGACTGCGCCTCAGCACAAGCTTCCCCCCCGGCCGTGGCAGCGCAGATCGACGGCGGCGGCGGCGGCGGCGGTGGAGGCGGGGGGATCGCCGGCGAGGAGCGGTCCGAGCGGAGGAGAGCGCAACACCGAGGTCGAGAGGCGAGCCCGACTTGATTATGGGCTCGCGTGAAGGGGAAACCGGTGTACTGGGCTTTCCCCAAAAGGTGGTGATATATTAGTTACATGGGCCAATGGGCTGAAATGTTTGGAGGTTAGCAAGTTTAGGCCCATGAGGCGAGCAGCATTTTCATCCCAGTAAACGTACGGAGTTTTTTTATTTTTTGCATTTTTTTGCTCACGTTTTACTGTTTGGTTTCAAATAAACGAGATTATCGTACGTGACGCAAAGCACAGTAATTTAGTTATGGAAATCCGGGTCCTAGAGCGATGATGTGCTGGTCTTCACTCGTTCTTGATACAAGCAACGCCAGAAAGGAATCAGAGGAGTGTCCAGTACAAATCAGAGATTCAGACTGTGCCGTACACGGTACAAGGCCCCTGAACAATGTGCTGCGGTCAGCATGTGTCGCTCATGGCATTGCTCGTTGCTCCACTGGTGTTTGGCGGTGTTTCTTATGAGAAGGGAAAACAAACACGTCTAGATTCACCTTATGATACTCCACAGAAAGCTGCCCAAAGCTAAACATCGACGCACTAGCCGTCAGCCCGTCAGAATGCAAGTTGCAGGCTTGCAGCCGAAGGAAAAAAATATTGATCGAGTATATAAGCCTTGTTTAGATCCTCCGGACTATTAAATAGCCATCCGAAATCTTATTATTTAGGATTATTAAACGTAGATTACTAACAAAACCGATTCCATAACCCCTAAGCTATTTTGCGAGACGAATCTAATGATGTATATTAATCCATAATTAGCGGTTGATTACTGTAGCATCACTGTAACAAATTATGGATTAATATATCTCGTTAGATTCGTCTCGCAAAATAGCCTAGGGGTTATGGAATGAGTTTTGTCAGTAATCTATGTTTAATACTCTTAAATAACAAGATTTCGGAGGACTATTTAATAGCCCTCCGGATCTAGAGTGGGCCTAGTATAGAATACAACACATGGTAACAGCAGTGCACTAATTTCTTCATTCCAATATATGAATACTCTCTTCGTCAAGAATCCAGTACAACGAATCTGGACAAAACTATATCCAGATTCATAGTACGTGTTCAGAATGATAAACTTAAAATATATAAAATCGTATACTGCATTTATATTTATACACATCCAATCGGAGGGGGGACTGTTTTAACGGCACCCGTGGATCGGTGGATGACGGCGGCCACTGAATTCTGCAACTTTTGCATCGGCGAAATGACCAGCGGCCCCTGTCAGCCACATTTAACGTGTGATTAATTAAATATTAGCTATTTTTTCTTATAAATAATTTAATATAATTTATCTAAGCAATTTTCGTATAATTTTTTTTTAAAAAAATGCAACGTTTCAGTAATTGAAAAGCGTGGGTGCGAAAAACTAGAAGAAAAGATGGGAACAGCCACTGCCCACTGCGGATCACAGCCCGGCAGCTCAGCTCGCTGTCTGTGGGCCGCCGAAACGAGCAGCCACCCACCGAGCCAGCGCGCCGCGCCGCCCACACAGTCCACTCCACGACGCCGCGCGCACGGCACGCACAAAACCCCACCCAATCCCCGCCTCCCACCACCACCACCTCGCCCAACTCCCAAAACCCTAGAACCGCGCCGCCACAATGCAGGCCGCCGCCGCCGCCGTCCACCGCCCGCACCTCCTCGGCGCCTACCCCGGCGGTGGCCGCGCGCGCCGCCCGTCGTCCACCGTGCGGATGGCGCTTCGGGAGGACGGGCCGTCGGTGGCGATCGTGGGCGCGACGGGCGCCGTCGGCCAGGAGTTCCTCCGCGTCATCTCCTCCCGGGGCTTCCCCTACCGGAGCCTCCGCCTCCTCGCCAGCGAGCGCTCCGCGGGGAAGCGCCTCCCGTTCGAGGGCCAGGAGTACACCGTCCAGGACCTCGCCGCGCCGGGCGCGTTCGACGGGGTGGACATCGCGCTCTTCAGCGCCGGCGGCGGGGTCAGCCGCGCCCACGCTCCCGCGGCCGTCGCCAGCGGCGCCGTCGTCGTGGACAACAGCTCCGCCTTCCGGATGGACCCCGAGGTGCCGCTCGTCATCCCCGAGGTCAATCCCGAGGCCATGGCGCACGTCCGGCTGGGAAAGGGGGCTATTGTGGCCAACCCGAACTGTTCCACCATCATCTGCCTCATGGCTGCCACACCTCTGCACCGCCACGCCAAGGTATCTCACAACCACCTTTATCTTTGTTTGATGGTAATGGATGCTTCTTCATTGAGAAATCAGAACTAAGGTGCCAATAAATCAGAAAAAAGAAGTGCCCAATTTCATTACCAGAAAGTGCTACTACCTCAACCAATGAAAAGTATCTAATTCCACTTGCGTGTAACAAAACTGATCTCACCCCTGGTATTTGAGTGCCTAACGCAAAAGTACAAGTGCGATCTTTTATGCAAATGATATCTTAAGCTAAAGGAAAAAAACCAACACCTTTGTAAGAAAATAAAACAGTGTGGATGAATTCTAAAATTTGTGCACCAGAATCGTGTATGTATTCATTGGATAGGGGAATCTTGGTTTGCAGTTTGATAACACCACAACCACTTCATTTCCAGAACATTTGTGGTTAGCTTTGTGAATATTCCATTATAGCAGTTTGAGCAAACAAATATATGCATTGATCATGCTTCTGCATTTCAGATTTAAAATGTCATTTTTCTAAACTATGATATCACTGAGTTCCTAGAGATGAAATTTGGTAATATCCTTATTACGATAGATTGATTCATATAGATAATTATTCTTATTTCTGCCCCATTGTCTGCTGAATTCTTAGTTTGCAGTCTGTGAGATTGAGTATTTCTAAAATATGTTTATTTCTGCTTGAGGGTGTGCAAAGCATATTTGATGTGTAAAAGTTTGCTTGCTTGGCGCATTGATGGGTCGACCAACAAACTGATGATTATCAATGTGGCAGGTGGTAAGGATGGTTGTCAGCACTTACCAAGCAGCAAGTGGTGCTGGGGCTGCGGCCATGGAAGAACTCAAACTTCAAACTCAAGAGGTAATATATTTTCCCTACTATGTTTCTCTTTCCAGTTCTGGTGCTAATTCAGTACTTGATTGCCATTTTACACTTTATTTAGGTCTTGGCGGGGAAAGCACCAACATGCAACATTTTCAGTCAGCAGGTTCTAATTCTATAATATCCTGGACACACGCCAGATTATTTTCAAGTCAGCTGAATTTGCTTCTCCTTGTGCAGTATGCTTTTAATATATTTTCACATAATGCACCAATTGTTGAAAATGGGTACAATGAGGAGGAGATGAAGATGGTGAAGGAGACCAGAAAAATCTGGGTATGTGAAAGCCAAATTGATGTCTAGGAAGTCATTGCATTACTCTCCATCCAACTTTTCTCTTTAACTTTAAGAAAACATAAATTACATCCTAACTTTATGCTTCTCTATTCCTAGAATGATAAAGATGTGAAGGTAACTGCAACCTGCATACGAGTTCCTGTGATGCGTGCACATGCTGAAAGTGTGAATCTACAGTTTGAAAAGCCACTTGATGAGGTTAGCATAAAATATTTCTTAATGATAAATTCTGGTTAGCATGAAGAATCCTTTCTGCTTGTGGTAATCCTATACCCTTCTTTTGTTAGGTATTAATATGTTTATCAGGTCCATATTATTTTCTACCATCAATTGCCCTAATTGGAATATTGAATTATTCCTTATTTGGCAGACCATCCTCTTTGCCATCAGTCAGTAGATTGGTCATTTGATTTTACTGAATGCAAAAATTGATAAGCACCATCTTGCAGTAAAAGTTATCTTGTGTAACTCGTTAGATGGGAAAGGGTGGGACAAAAAGGGTGGGGTCTTTAATTGTTAATATAATTGATTGGGTTATTTTCCTCCATGACAAGAACATTAGAGTCCAGTTGATTAGTTAATGATTTTGCTGGCAATTGTCATGGTCATGCTACTAATTCAAATTCTGAAACTGCTTGTGTATAAACTCTGAAGGATACTGCAAGGGAAATCTTGAGGGCAGCTGAAGGTGTTACCATTATTGATGACCGTGCTTCCAATCGCTTCCCCACACCTCTTGAGGTAATTGGCTTTTCTTTTCATGAACATCTTATGCTGGAGGGTACAGGAGGTACTGTTATCAATAATCATCATGTGCACTCCATTTGGTTTCTGTGTTTACAAATGAAGCATATGAATTTTGCATCTGAGAGTTAACTCTTGATTTTTCAGGTATCGGATAAAGATGATGTAGCAGTGGGTAGAATTCGTCAGGATTTGTCGCAAGATGATAACAAAGGGTATAATCGTGTTTAGTAAATTTCAATTTGGATATATCATGATAAACATTTATTTTTAAAAGCATTGTTTCGATAGCAATTAGCACCATGGACTTAACTAATTAGGTTTACATTTACAGGCTGGACATATTTGTTTGTGGAGATCAAATACGTAAAGGTGCTGCACTCAATGCTGTGCAGATTGCTGAAATGCTACTCAAGTGATTTTCTTTTCTGTACCTTTCTCTCCTTGCCCCTCTTTGCTCTAGTCATTGTTTGACGGATGTACTCTGGTTAGTATGAGATCAATTTTGATCATCTTTTGTAATCTATATTCCTAGTGAAATAAATGTAAAACGGTTTTGCTCTATCTTCTGCACAAGTGTAGAAGAAATCTGAAATTGGGAAATTGGAGTGTGGCCCTTGTTCATCCTATGTGTTGCATCTTTACAATTTACTTTCTTTTGCTTTAGGCTTTTATTAATTTCTTGGTACATTAGCTGGCTCATCTCAATTTTGGGTGGAATGGAGGCTGAAAGAGGCCAACCAGATTTGCTTTCGGGTGCAAAGCTAGGGCCTGGTGTAACCTGAACTAGAAAAGCTCTGGAAAACGCCTCCAAGCAGGAAGTTCCTGGTGCAGTTTTTATTGAAAGCAAACAGCTGGAGCGAAACACTTCTGTCCACTGGTCTTTTGTGGTTTCATGGTCAGCGACGTGTTGCTGTGCCTGTATTGGAATGTTACCTTTCTTGATTGATACTCCTAGATAGGGAATTAGAAGAGTATTTGTGCTGCTACAACTCAGTGAATTTAAGTGATTTGTCCTGTTCTTCGTAGCATTAGCTCTATATATAGATACGGATGACATTGAAAGGTCATCTTTTCCCTCCTTTACTGCTAAAATTAGTTGCACAAGAGGTTGATTGCATGTGCTTGCCGTGCCTGCGTCTTGTTTGTGTCCTTTGCTAGAAAACGACAGCAACGCGAGGCCAGCAGTATTCGCCTCAGAAATTACTCAGCCTTTTGTTTTCAACACACGTTAACCTGCATCTTGCAATATAGTAGTACACTGTAGTAGAATTGTTATCTGCAACCATCTAGAGATGCCATTTGTTTTTGGGCGCCACTGGCAATCTTTTAACGAAAAGACCAAGTTAGGACCTGGAACGACGGACAGGTTCATCTGGCCATTCGTTCTAGTTTTGACCAATGGTCCAAGCTGTGGCAAACATAGCAGCCAAATTGATGTTTGGTTCTCTCAAGCATATACCGTACATTGTGGCTTCCATTTCTGAAAATTTTTACACCGTGTTCGATGTGAAGAGGTGAAAAAAATGATGGCTCGCAATCTAGCTGACGATTGACAGTAAATTATACTTCTGGATGCCACAGTTTTCCACTTTGAGCTCAGAACCAGTATTGGATCCAGAGCACATCACTGCAACTTGGAATAATTGCAACAAACTCAGTAAAAGGCTTCATCAATTGCACAGTTGTGTGGGGGCTGGGTGACGAGAAAAAAAAAATCGTCGATGCGTCACATTCAGTTTGCACTAGTTTCAGTCTTTCAGGAGTAACTGAAAGAGACTCGGGTAGGCCAGTCCAGCTCACTTGCACCGACGCCCATCGCATGACTCCGAAATCACACTCCCACTAAAATCTGCACGCTAATCGGCAAGCATTTGGGCACACTAAACTGAACATGTACTACACCAATTAAGCCAACACTTTATTACAGCACACACACCATTATTATCACCAGGCATGCATGTATACATTACATATCCGATGTCATATTCACATGTACTCCATAGTAATTAACTAGCAGTAAAAAAAGAAAACCAAGAACATGGAAAGACTCAAGATCGAGTCGATCCTCACACAAACAAGCATACTTTGCATGGTCCATACGATCGATCATGGCAAGCATATGCATATATCTACTACTCCATCTCGATCATGAGCATGCATCATGCATGCAAAGCAACTACGGATGATGGCTAAGCATCATGTAGCATGCATAATGCAAAAATGATCATGGGCACTTGGGCCTCTTGCGAGCGCCATGGCCGGTGGTCATGTCGCGGTAGCAGGGGCACTCGTCCTTGTTGCCGGCCGTCCCCGACGGCACGCAGTTGCAGGAGGCGCAGCACACGCCGCAGTACTTGAGGCAGTCGTCGTGCCTGCTCGCCTTCGAGCACCTCACCTTGCACTTGCCGTCGCAGAAATCTACCAAAACATTCATTGTTTCAGCTCACCATGTTAACACCAAGAAAGAAAAACAGTGTACTTGTGCAGATTATTCTGCTAAAAAAAATGCCTGTGAAAACTGACCTGATCCAGCCATGGAAACTTGGAGGGAAGAGGAGGCCAAGAGCAGGAGCAGGAGGAGAGCCAGGGTGGTGGTGGTGTTGAGCTTCATTGTGCTTGTGAATGCTGGTCCTAGACTCCAAGCAAGCAGCTTCAGAGTTGGGGTGTTGTGGAGAGTGTGAGTTGGTGAGTGAGGTTTTGGGGTGATTTATAGGAGCAGAGGTTGGAGTACTCAGGATTCAGTGGTTTGTGTAGCTAAGCTAGCAGAGGGTGGTTGGGGCTAAGCTAGCATTGGGTTCTAACCCTTTTGCTTTGGGGTAGAGTGTTAGCTAAACTTGCTCCCTTTTTTGTGAAAGGGAAAAACAAGAAGCAGAAGCTAATTTGTTACTTGTCACTTGTGGCCTGTGGGATAACACTAGCTACCCCCAGAGAGCACAGAGGAGAGTCAGGCAGGGGAGACCACCAGGGCATGGTGATGTATTGATGAGCTGTGAGCTGGCATCCAAAAGGCAGACCTTTCTTTAAAGAGAGTCATTGGCTTAGGTGTGGCCACCCTACTATTTCCAAGCATTTTTTTCCTTGTCAAATTTTGCTTCCTAACACAGGCATGCAGTTACAAAGCTTTCTGCTAATCCCAAGTAGGGCTGATGTTTTAACATTGCTATGAGAAAATCGGTGTGTTTTAACATGTCTCTCCAAAAAATGGAGAGAGGTTAGCTAGTGGCCGGCCATGAGATCAGGAAAGATAAGAGGTTGTTTGGTTGCTGGCCACTATTTATCTCTAACTTTAGATATATTTGATGAATTTAGACAATAATTTGGTTATTTTCATAGTTAGCAGAAGAGACAGCTCTCACGCAGGTCGGTCGGACGGCCGCCCAGACTCTGCCGATGTCGTCTCCACTTCAGATGGATCCAGGTCCTCTACAGTTCAGCAGAGAAGAACTGCAGCTACAGTATTCTGAGTCTGCTACAGTGAATTAATGGACCAAACAGTGTTTCGGTACTGTAGCAAAGTAATTTGAAACAGTAATCTTTCTACTGTTTGCCTGATTACTGTTCCCATTTACTGTTTAGACCTACTGTAGCGATTTGTTTTAGGCCGTTGGATGTGAATCCAACAGCAAACAACACACCCTAATGCAGAGCACTGTAGCTCCCTCTGCATTCTCTCCTCCACTGCAAAGGATCTAAATTGACTTCGGATAGCTGTTGACGTCTATTAAAATAAGTTGATCCCACAAAACATTATTAGTTATCTGGTTATAACAATGGTGCTAGCTCCGTCACTGATCATAGTTATGGCAATATTTTATTCTAATAATTAGATTCTTATTTTAATTAAATATTTTTAATGACCCAAAAAAATAGGATAATTTTTTTTAGGTTTCTTATTTTAAGTTCGTAACCTTAGAGATACATGCTAATTAAGTGTGACAACTTCAGCTCATAAATGATGATAAACTATAGCCGGCAACGAAACAGACCCAAACAGCTCGTTGAGGAGCACAGCGTTCATGCACCTCAGTCCAGTGATCGAGTTGGGGACCGGTGGATCATCATGGCTAATGAGTGCCAAGTTTGGAGTACGACGAGTCGACGACGACGACCTGCCGGGATCAAGATGAGCTAGCTTAACAAGCTAAGCTCCCCACAATCAAGGATAACGCATGGCTTTGGTTTTGCCTTTGCCGGACTGCTTCCATGTTTAGAGGTGTCAGCACACAGCACGCAGTACTGTGCGCTAGCTGGCTGCCTTGGCCTGCTGCCGACGCATAACCATCATAGCCTCGAACCTTCCAGAATTTACTTTTCTTGCTCTCGCTGACTACTACCACACCAGTAGCTTGTGGAGTTGACGAGAGTAAAGTTGATGCTGTTCTTACAAGGCAAGTAGGCAACCTCGTTTGTTTTTTTGTTCACGCAGCTAAGCATGTTCTTTCTTTCCAGGATAAGGTCGGCCTAGATACGCCCGGTACATATCGAGCTCATGATTGGCACAATGACACTACAGTTCACTTTCTTTTCTTTTCTTTTCTTTTTTACTGTGACTTGACAGAGAGCGTCCGGAGTGGTGACAGTGCTGGGTGGGTTTCTGTTTGTTGTTCGGCGCGTTTGGATCGCAGCTGTCACGCGATGGCACACGGCGAGAATCTGCACGGGCACGGGCGCGCGCGGCGCCGGACACACACGGTCGACCGAGCGTACGTGGAGCCGGCAATGGGATGGGAGGATCAGGAGGCACGGGCGCGTCGGCTTTGGCAGGCGACGAGACGAGCCCCGTACCGCGACCGCGAGAGCTTTCCGCTGAGGGTGGTCCGCGTGCCGCGTGTGCCGGTGGTGGTGTGTGAGACGACGCGGTTTCCCCCGTTGGATTCTCGGATTCTCGCGGACGTAGCAGCACGGCGGCCGTGTGGAGACAGCGCGAGCGCACGAAGTGAATCAGTGAATCATCCACCGTTTCCACACGTACCGAGGCGCAGGGGATCGGAGGCAAGGGCGTGTGCGTCCACAGGCCACAGGTAAAGAAGAGTTGTTGAGAGATTTCGTCGGGATCTCATCTATTGGGGGGGGGGGGGGGGGGGGGATTTGGAGTAGGGGTGGTTGTAGTACGAGGGATGGGCTGGAACCGTGTGCCGAAATAAGTAGCCTCTGCCTCGAACGGGACGGCTAATTTGGTGGTGGTCTCCGTTCAGGTTGGCGCTTCTCAACTGGTCCAGGCGGCACCCTTCACTGTTCCTAAGAATTGTCAACGGCTCAACGTTTACTTGCTCCGACCCATAAAAACGTATATTTAGATTCATAATCACTATAATATTTTGCATTCAATATTAGATTGATTTTTTATGGGACGAAGGGAGTACGTCGGATTGGGCCACTAGCCTCCACCACAGCTCGAACAGTGAATAGCGTCGCAGTTAAAATGTACTCCCTCCATGTCCAATTCGTTGTACTGGGAGAGATCATATCCCCTTCTAGGCTGGGATTTTTTAGACTTTTTGGACGGAGAGAGTAAACATTTGGACTCCTCTCTAAGTCTAAATTGCTCAATTGGGCTGACTCCAACCTTGTTAGTGCATCTTCAACAGCCTCTCTAAACACCCATATAGCCAGCTCTCCAATTGATTTGGCTAGCCAAACTCATTCCTCCACTTTCTCTCCCTCTTCCTCCTCTCTCTCTCTCACTGTTCTTCTCTCGGACACTCGCACGCGACTGCTACCGTCCAGGGGCTGGCGATGGCGGCGGCGGCTCGCGATGATGACCTCGGCAACGGCGACCTCGACGACGACCTGTCGAATCCACGCCGCCGGTCTAGAGGTCGCACGGAGGCGGAGGCTGTGCGGCCCCCGATCCACGCCGCCAGTCCAGAGGCCGCACGGCTGGCCGAAACCGGTGGGGGTGAACGTCGCACGGCCGGCCGAATCTGGCGGGGGCGGAGGTCACACCGCCGCCGCCGCCACCTCGACGAAGCCAAGACGTCGACGGCCTTGTCCTCCTCAACAATCGGCGGCGGAGGAGAGCCTCCAGTCGCTGGAGCAGCGGGAGAGACGCGCGTAGCGGGATCCGAAGGAGGCGCGTGGCGGCGGCGGGCAGCAGTGGCCACGTTCACCAAGGTGGCCCCCTCCGCTCTGCTCACTGCATCGGCCGCCCAAGGTGGCCGCTACAGGTCTTCGCTCCGCTCGCCGAGGTGGCCCTCTCCGGTACCTGTCCCCCATCTCGCCGGCGGCAACAAAGCCAAGGCGCTCCTTTCTGACGGCGACGACGACGGTGAGCTCGGGCAAAGGATGCAAGCTAGCGACGACGCGCCTCCTTCCCCATGGTGGCAGCAGCACGAGCGGAGGGAGCTGGTGCACGGTGGCGATATGCAGAGGCAGGAAGGGCACGAGCAAGGGTCAGGGGATGGTGCGGCTGGTGGGGAGAGAGGAGGGAAAAGATGGTGGGGCCCACAGATGGCCAGTGGCTGAGGGTGGCCAAAGGCTGGCCAAGTTTGGCTAGCTCGAGCCCATGTTTGGCGATTGCTATTTTTTAGCTAGTGAGATAGCTATGTTATTGGAGTACATTTTTTTTTTCAAAGTTGCTAAAATTTAGCTTGAAAAGTGCCATGGAAAGGCTGTTGGAGATGATCTTAAGCTGCTGTACTAGGTTGCTCAGGGTGATAATTCACCAATTCCCCCAGAACACGTTCTGATTACATGCCGCGCATAGCAATTTGGAGATACAAACATCGAAAGCATACAAACGGAGTAGTGCTGCATCAGCAAAGCAACCAGCTACTTCCTCCATTTCACAATGTAAGACTTTCTAGCATTGTCCATATACATATAAATGTTAATGAATCTAAACACATACATATTTCTAGATTCATTAACATCTAAAATTCTAAATGAATGTGGGTAATGCTAGAAAGTCTTACATTATGAAACGGAGGAAGTATGAAATTTCCCACACGCAACACTGCAAAGCAGAGGTGCAAGCATATGCAATTCAGCATCTGAATTCCGAAGTGGAGTGGGACTGGCAAGCTTAGATCCCACAGGCCAGAACACATCTCCATTTGCTAATACATTAACACGGATACGTGCTTAAAGTTGCTAAGAACGTCGGTACTAGTGTTACTACAACTGCCAGAGGCACCCTACCATTGTCTCCAGAGAAATAGGTAAACCTACGAGGCTACGAAGTCGAGCTAACTCAGGCCAACAAAACCAATCTACGAACCCCCTTCAAGATCACTAAAAACCATCTAAGCTAACTCAACTCCACTGATGAGGGCAGTCACTTCACAAAATGCGGGTTCAGAAGCTTGGCGACCTCCAGGAATCCCACGCGCTCTTGGCCAGCAAACAGGACCTTCAGCTTCTCATCACACACGATCACCTTCTTGTCCGCAGGATCCTGGAAATTGTTAATCCAGTAACATAAGAACAAAAGCAAATTACGGTATGTGGGACATGAGCAATCATGACACAGGGATGTCTACGAGCATTACCAAATTTACAACTACGTTTGGGACACAAGCAATCTATGGTGAGGGAATGGACCTCATTGTCTTTCCAAGCCCCTAAACTAGCTTCGTATTAGGTGATGAAACGCTTCTCTATACAAACAATTGTACAAGCTCGAGTTGGATACTAATCCCTGGGAGTGTACTACAGAGTGATTGTGCCAATTCATGACCATGAGATCAATAAAACACTATATGGAGGAACATGTAGCAGTACAACATCTGTAAAATGGAAATTACAGTTGAATCATAATCTCTCTATTACCACCACCTAGCAGTGAACCGCAGCTCCACCTCACATCTGCCATGCAGCCCACTGACTGTCGTAGAACATACCCAACCCCAATCAAAATGCCACAAACTATGCCATTATTATCTTACATAGTAGCCCACAGACCAGCATGCACTTAGTCAGACAATAGCAGGCAAACTCTATATGCATGATGCATCACAAGAAGCCAATGACCAACAAGATGGGACATACAAGTTCCTCGTTTACTTCCAATAGAATCATTCAACATGTAAGTGGCGGTCTCAAATTATTAGCATGGACACACGGAGAAGTGCTGCAGTATAGCTACAGGCAAATGCTACACAATACATCAGCTATAATTTACTAGTTGACAATGTGCATTGCGCAATGTGTTTAGAAATGTTATAAGCTAATAAGCAGCATATGCCACACGCACATTGGATGCAACGATAAACAAAAACGTTGCACTATTTTCAATCTACACATATCAGCATCTGGTACATTTTCACCTGATACGGCCCCTTGTACTTATTCCAAACGGAAATATCAGATCTGTCCCTGTTCTATGCAATAAAAAGAGCCATACTTTCATCTTTAGTTGCGATTGCTCACCATCATTTATCACATTCAAGCCTACAAATAGAATCATAAAAAACTGCACATGGAAGAAATAGGGTTGGGGGTTTGCTTGAAGACCTGGAGGTTGTGCTGCTTGATGTAGGCCCAGAGGCGCTTGAGCGCCTCGGTGCGGGGGATCTCCGCGGCTCCCACCACCGCCTGCAGCGCCGGAGACACGAGCCGGGGCTTCGTCAGCCCGGTGGCCGCCCTCTTCTTCTGGGCCGCGGCCGCCGGGGAGTTGGACGCCGCGGCGGCCGCGCGCACGGCTACGGCGGCGGCGGCGGCGCGCCGCGGCAGAGCGAAGGAGGCGGCGGGGCGGGGCGGGCGGAGGGCGGCGAGCGGGGAGGGGGAGAGGGACAGCGACGCGGCGCTGAGCATGGAGGCGGACGCCATTTTTGGTCGGTGAGGAAGGAAAGCTTGGGTTTTTTTGGTTTGGATAATGGCTGCGGGAAACGGGGAGGGTTTGCTGGGGGTTTTGGAGACGGGGAAGAAAGCGTTTTAAGAACGGAGAGAACGTATTCTAAGAGAAACCGCCTTCTTAGTCAGAAAGCGGATTCGGACTCAGTAAAAGCGTATCGAAACGACATACCTCGTCGTCCTGTATGGCATCCATGTTGATGTTTGACCTCCAAGCGCAGAAATGTTGGAGGAATTTTCATTCAATTTATACATTAGTTTCGGTGAACTAACTGGTGGGATTTATTCTTTAAAAAACACCTACATCTCAAAATAATCCCTTTTTTTAAAAAAAAAACTCTCAAAATAATCCACGTATATGCAAATTTAGGGTGTATGTAAGATCTCCATTAAGATTCACCTTTTAGTTAATATAATCTCAGCAAGTTACAGTGTAATACCATTATACCACTACTATATTATCTTGCCGCACATAAATGCGGTAATTCCCAGTCAACAGTTAACTGCTGGTTCAGCAGAAATATAAACCAAAGAAGAACAGCAAAAAGTAATCTCTGCAATTAAATTAGCCCAAAAAGGAAGGAAAAAAAATCAAATATTCTTCCCCACATCAAAATGCCACGCGCCGCTACTAATTTATGTACATTCCCGCGTTTCTTCCGATGATGCCACTGCAGCTAGTGTTACTGATCAGCGGCTCTACATGTTTTTACTAATTAACAAGAGACCGTCTTGATCTTTTCAAGGGAGGCGTCCCAGTCTTCTTCTACCAACCGGAGCCCCGATGGGCTTGAAGAGTCTCCACGGATTGGCCGGAGTTGGAGGAGTAGATGTCGACGGGGGCGTTGGTGCAGTTGCTGCTCGAGTCGACGACCCTTGTGTGACGGCGACCGCGGTGGCGGTCAAGGTAGACGACGATGACGCTGATGTCGTCGTGGAAATGGCGCCTCACTCCCTTCTCTATCGTCTTCAGATCACGGAAGCTGACCTCCCTCTTCCTCGTGGCTTCCTTTAAAGCGGCCTTCACCAATCTGTTTGCTATACCCTGCATGAATATTCACACGAACTTGGTGTTATCTCATTGTGTAAGTACTCCTCGTTCATTCACGGGGAATATATACTCCCGGTGATGGAATGATCGAATGCTGTAGATGTTATCTGAACTTACCGTCCTTGGATTCTTGAAGACAATCTGCACCGCAGCGTCGTCACTGAGATGCTCCCAGAGACCATCTGAAGCAAATATCAGGAACAGATCATTTGGTTTGAGCTTGCGAACTTGAATCGATGGTTCTGCGCTAAGAGCTGGCCGCTTCAAAGGAATAGGGGGACCAACGTTACGAAACACGGGATCCATGCTATACTCTTGTTTCTTCAAGTAAACATCACCAATGGTTCTCGATACCTGACAGTAGAAGAGTCAAATATTAGCCCATGTCTCTAGAATTTGGCAAGATGGGAGAAACTTCAGAATAAAAAACTTATGTTATCTTAAGATAATTAGATAAGTGAACCGAAAGATAAAGCCTGATCAAAATTTCAAACCATGTCCAAGTTCATTACTTCTGCTAAGATACAATAAAAGTAGCTGTCATACTTTCACACTTGCTACTATAAATTGTGAAAAGTAAACTATGAAAACAATATAACTCGTTATTTTTCATTAGTTTTCCTAAGATATGCAAGAGTAGCTGTCATACTATGCACAGTTGCCACTAAAAATTGTGAAAACAAAAATACTAAAACTTGGTCATTTTTGCTCGTTCTAAAACAATGACAAAATAGTAGTCACAAGCTCAGAGCATCTTCTAAAACAACTGCATGCTGAACTGGTCCAAGTCCTGGAAACGTGTAGAACGACTTTTAAGTTGTGAAATCTACAAAGCAAGATCTCTAAAGACCCAAACAATTAGTCTAACACAATCTAGGCTGCACCAATCAAGTTATAACAAAGGTTGAGTAATTGACAGAAATGACCAATTCATTTTAACTCCTTCGGGAGTAAGCTCAGGGATTTCTGAATTCAATTCCTATGAAGCTCTGATACATCATATGAGAAGCTGCAAAATACACAAAATCACTCTACCACAGAAAGCTGTAAATCTAATCCACAAACGGCGATTTTCACCACCAAATCCTGGCATACATGCATCAAATTAATTAAGTAAACAGAAGTAGTATTTTCTCATCAAACTCTCACCTGAATGATCCCCTTCACCCTCCACGCACCCCTGGCGTGCACCACGATCTGCGCATCGTCCGGGTTGAGCGCGGTGAGCTCCCGCCGGACCTCCTCGGAGGCCGCGTTATGCTCGTCGGTGAGCCGCTCGGCGACGGCCACCCCGCCCCCGACCACGCGGCGGCCGAGCACGGCGCGGGAGTCGCCGAGGTTGGCCACGTAGAGCGTGTCTCCGGAGATAGCCCCGAGCAGGCAGCAGGAGCCCACGGCCGCCATCTTCGGCCGCTGCCGCCATGCCTGCCTCACCTGCTGCAGGAACTCCTCCTCCGCCGCGCCGAACGCCCTACGGATCACCTCCGTGCTCATCCCCCCTTGCTCCTTCTCGAATCCTGTCAAAACGATCGCAAAATCAGTAAACCACGAAACGCAAGAAGGGCAGAGACCCCGAGAGAAAGAGAGAGAGATGGCGTACGTTGGACATGGGGGAAGAGGCGGGAGCGGAGGAAGCGGGAGGCGTCGGCGCCGCCGTGCCCGTCATACACGCCGACGAGCGTGGCGGCGGGGGAGGCGAGCACCTGCGCCTGGTCCTCCATGGCCAGGTTCGCCTGCGCCGCCGCCATCGAGAACTCCCCCGCCGCGTGCGGCCTCAGCTCCGTCTGCCACAGCATCCCGTCCGCCGCCGCCGCCCCCGGCGGCCAGTGCCCGCAGCACCTCGCCACCGCCCTCAACATCTCCTCCCCACTCCGATCCAACACAAGCTTCGCTCGCTTCTTCTTCCTCCTCGTCTCGGCGTCCAATCCTGTGTGCTGTGTTTGATCGAGAAAATGGAATTGGAATTGGAATTTGATTTGGAGGAAGAAGACGAGGAGTAGGTTAGGTTATGTACACGAAGCGTGGGGAAAGCGCGTTTGGAGGAAGAAGAGGAGGACGAGGGGAAACGGGCGGAGGGAAGAGGGGAGGAGTCTACGGTGGTTATCCGGTGATGTGTCGCTTTATAGGATTGGTCGATTTGACTTGCTGTTCTTAGGCTTTTGAATATTTGCCGTTGGATTCGTATTTTAGAAATTTAGAAAATTGTTGGTTTCAGACAGGTGTAGTTAGTTGGGTGATAGGTGGTTGCCGCTATACGTATATTTCTTTTTCATTTTCCTCTAATGCTATAATACAAATATAATATAAATACAGAGTATACTTCACGAGAGTATCACCGTTCTAAAAATATAAGTAAAATATTCTAGTGTAGTAGTACATGACAACAGCATAGTTAGATGACAAATCAATTTTAAAGAGATAACGTCGACACATCATTCGTATGAAAAGATAAAGCGCAGCCGCACAAGTAGCACGATAAGGAAGTTGTATCTAGGAGGTGTGATGACGGATGAAATAGTGTGTACACATTAGCATGCTTTTAACTTTTTTTAAGATATGAGTAATAGATTAGCATGTTGTTAATAATGTACGGGGATTCGACTTGATTACTTGCAATATACACTTGCTCCTCCACTAGCCTTAGATTCCGGAGCAGACGTGGTTTTCCTTCCTTTTTCTTTAATTTTAGCCGAACAGCTGTATATGATGATAAGTAGACTTCCCGCCGCCTGAAAACCTGATAGGCAGGCAGGCAGCCATGCGAGTGGCGGCAGATATTTACGTGCTGCGCCGGTTAGCCCCCAGCGTTGGACAGCTGTCGCCCCCGCCGATGCTTCCAGAAAGGCAAAAGCGGCAGAGCTCGCTGAACACCAACGCTGACGTCACGCCGCGCCGCCCGTGACGCCGGCGGCGGTGTCCCCGCCGCCCGCCGGCGTGCGTCCCGGCGAATTCACATCGCCGGCCTCGCGTGCCGCTGCCGCCGGCAGAAGAATCGGTGAACAACTTGGGTTATTGTTAGTACTTGTACTGGTAGTAGTGGTAGTCGTACTCGTACTCGTACTTCTTTTTAATTTTTGTAATATGTACAGGAGTAATTTTGGTACAAGTTCACGACCAAGATCTGCAAGTAGCGGCAGTATTCAATGAACACGAGTACAAGACCGAGTGCAGCGACACGGATACTCTCCGGGCTAAGCAAGCGACCAAAGTGGTGCTCGTACACGACGCCCAGGTCGGCATTTTTTCCATGGACCACTCCACACGGAAAGGGACGTTTCTAGAAAGGCCTAGAACTATCACACATGAGAAAAAACTTGCTACGGTGGATGGTGCACTAGCACACTGCTGCCGTATTTCACGGGATCGATGGAGGTGCGACTGTTTGGTGAGATACGTGACTGCGTTAACTCCGTGTCGCTCCATACAAACAAAAAGAGGTCAAAGGAATGTAGGAGTAACGAGTTCGAACTATCCTTGTTTGCTGCAGAAAAGAAGAGAACCGCGTCCAGAACATTGAGAAAAAAAACTGGGAAAGCTAGGTGTTGTTCCCGCCTTTCCAGAACAACGACACGGGCGGCTTGGAACGAAAAAAAGAAAAAAAAACAGCAGCATTCGCAGACCTAACAAAATTGTAACATCACTGCCAAGAAAACAAAGTTTCGGTGAAAGTTCTCTTTCATTGGCTACAGGCCACAGCCGATAAGCATCTACAGGAGTAGATTAGTAGTCGATTGCAGTGGAAACGTCACATGCCCGATGGAAGTTCCAGCTCCGGAGATGGTGTATGGAATTCAGAAACACGCTTGAACAAACGTAGCAGCAGCCAAAGCAGCCAGCCATTGACGCTTAGCACAATTTGCTGGCCATTGACGCTTAGCACAATTTGCTGACAATCCATTGGATTATTGCTCCGGTTCTGATTCTGCTTGGCAAACTGGGAGGTGGTAAGTATCCAATTGCCAGTATTTCTGCTTCACCCCATTCCATATTTCCTCTGAAAGACAATCTTTGACTGGGAGCGGGATGAACTGTGTCGAGTAGCCAAGATTTGCCAACTCTAACGCTACGAGCTGGCAATACACAACGTGGAAGAAGGCATTATCGCCACAGAGGCCATTGAAATACGAGTAGATCCCTCCAGGCTTCAATAGCTTAGGAAGATGTTGGTGGAACTCTCTCATATCCTCGTAGTATTCTCCATAGGTGTCGAAGAATATACCTGCGCATTGTAGGAATCACAAGGCGTTAGACGAGATTTGGGCGTTTGGCAATGTCTCAGTAGCTTAAGTAATCAACAGAAATAGTTTAAGCAATTTCTCTATAGATTACTTTCACTCACCAATCAACACAAATGGGATCAAATACTTTAGAGTTTACATATCAATATATACTAAAATGCTATTTGAAAAGTGTACCAGCTTATCAAACTCCCCCAAAAGGCAAAAATACTAATAATAGTGGCCCACCACAAAGTTGATTACCATGCTGTTTTGTAATGAAATAAACATGAACAAACATTTTTGGATAGTAATGAATAAGGAGGACTGAATTATCCAATGCAATGATTTTATTGAGTATAGCATCATATTTATCACTGGCTGCAGAAATCTGAGACGAATCCAAAAGGTAGAAATCCTGTAAGCAAGTTGCAGATCCTTTTCAACAGACATAGCAAAATGCAATTTCCCAGTCACTTGCAGACTCCTTTCTTGCTTTACCATGATATTGTCAAAAAAAACTCCAAGAAAAGTAAGCTTGGGCGTGTGTCACATGAGCCTGCGTGAGTGCAGGTCAGAGTCAGGCATGGTTAACAGCACATGGTTTGACATAGCCAACCTTGTATTGTACAGAGGCACGCACTGCTGTTAATTTGAGTGCTCACAGTTCAATGAATTGCCATAAAGTGCAGTGATAACTGTAAATTGTCTTCATTGACAATTATGGTTACAACTTTCAGGATTAGCAAGCTTTGCTGATGAAAAAGACAATGAAAAGACACTATGCACCTTTTGCATGCACTCAATTTCTTTTTTTTTTCAAAAAAAAAGGGAAGATGCATAAGTATCATCTAGTAGATATTTGATATTTTCCTCCCAGGAGACCATGAGAGGTACTCACCAACTTTGAATAGATTGCTACACTACTCAAACGGTACCACAAGCTTTTATCAGCAACTGAAATATCAACTAGTTATAGTCATTCTAACACAATTGCAGTTTAAATAGGCATATATTAAAAATATAATAACTACACTCAGTTTCTTTTTTTTAAAAAAAAAAAAACAAGGCCCCATTTCAAAATTTATTTAACTCCAGACTACAGTATAAAATATTAAAATGTTTATGAATCGAAGAGAAATTCTTTTACATGGTATTGCAATTATATTGGGTATAAAAATATAAACAGAAATTCCTTTTGCCAATGCGAAGTCTCTAAAGATGTACTAACTTCTGAGGTCTAAAAAACTATCTAGATATAAACTCTTTAAAAATATCATATTCCCAGCAATCATAAAATACATAATCACCTGATTAGAATTTTTTTAGGCTCATTTTTAAAGCATTTTTCTTTATTTATTTAACTTGTAAAACACATTTTGTTCTTGCACCCTCTGTTCATAGATATAAGGCTCCATTCTAATTTCTAAACAGCTAGTTGGTTTAGCTACTTCCTTGCTTTTCGTTAGCATGCTTTATGAACTAGCAACATGTTTTTTGCAAATATTTTCTATATAGCTTTCTTTTAAAAATAAAATAAATCCATTTTTCAAGTTTGCAATAGGTAATACTTTTTTTACAGAACAACAGCTAATACTTAATTGATCTTATGCTGATGACTGTTCTCATTTTGTGTGCCACATATAAGCTCATCAATTCAGCTCTTTTAAACGGAGCCTTAGAATTAGCCTAGAGGCATATGTTTAGACACATACAAGTGGTACCATTGGATTCATATTTGACAGTTATTTCACATTATGCTAATTTTGTAGTTGTTGATAATGCACTCTAAAAGAAATTGATGGTTCATTGTTCAACGGTGAAAACCATATCACAACTTATATAACAGAGGGAATACTAACTTGCATAAGAAACAAATTACTAAAACAAAACTAATGCACTAACCTGCTTTGCAATCCCTTCAAAACAAGAGACCGACAACTCTGACGGTCCACAATGCACAACTACTAGATTAAAAGAGCTATCACACATGCATAAATTGCAAGCTACTAGCGCGCATGCACACAACAGATTTACATAGGAATCCTACCAGCTTCTAGCTTTCACGTTTGAACATTGTTGCTCTAGCTACAACTCCTAACCCATAAACCAAGACCATTGAAATGCTACTATGAAAATAAACCCTGACAGGACTATGAATTTGTGATTAAACCTGGACAACTCATCCTAATAACACCAACAACATTTGACAGAACAGTCTCAACTATCTATCCGCGTTCCCCAACAGCCCAAACGAGCAATCAAAGCAATGGCTCCGAGCTCACACATTGCAATGCTGAACTTAAGAAAATGAGAAAGATTTTCGTTATACCATCATAAGAGCCGAGCTGCGGGAGCACGTCCTGCCACCGTCCGAACACGACCTTGACATTCTTCTTCTCGCCCCAGCCGAGCTTGAGCATCCGGGCGTACACCTCCGGGTGGGCCTCGACGATGGTGTGCTCCTCGGGCTCGTACCTCTGGATCGCCGTGTCCACGAGCCCCATCCCGAATCCCACGTTGAGCACCTTGCCGCCGGAGCACACCGCCCGCGCGTGCGCCTCCATCAGCGGCCGCTCCCACTCCATCATCACGGCCTTGCTATCCGCGTCCATCACCCTCTCCTCGCTGAATGAAACCCTGGATTCGAGGTAGCTCTCGGCGGGGGAGTCCGCGGGCCCCGCTTGGCGGCGAGCGACGGTGCCGAGGACGAGCTCGGAGCGGAGGGCGTGGTCGAGGAGGAGGTCGAAGGTGGCGGAATCGGAGGCGAGGTCTCCCGCGGAGATCCCCGTGGGGGAGAGCGCGTTCCATGGCGCGCCGGCGTCGAGGAGAAGCTGCACGACGGCGGCGTGGCCACCGGTGGCCGCGTGCATCAGCGGGGTCAACCCGGAGGCATCGAAGTGGGTCGGGTCGGCGCCTTCGGCGAGGAGCCCGGTGATGGCCTCCGCGTCACCGGACTCCGCCGCCGCGCAGAGGAGCTCCTCCGGCGATTTCCCCGCCTTGCTCTCCGCCGCCGCCGCCATTTTCGGTGTGCAACTGGATGATACCTCTCGCCCTCCTCGAATTTTTTTTTTTGAGGTTTTAGCCGGAGTTGGGCCCATTTTCCGGCCCATTTAGCTTGTCCCAGCTGATTCGTCTACGTGGGCCTCTGGAAAATCCAACTGCCTCCACTCGCAACTTGCATCGTCCTCCCGCCGCCGTCGCTCGCCGCGTCGTTTCCCTTCCTCCCTAGCACCGGCACCATCGCCATCTAAGCATTCACGGTCGCCGTCGCCGTCAACCTCTCCACCCTTCCCGTTGCCGCCTCTTGGAAGTTGGAAGTAATCGCGGTATGGGAGGCGTTCGCCCCACCTTGTTTGATGCACGCAAGGTGTTTGTTAGAATGCTTAGCAGCGGTGTAGGCGGCGGTGACGCCCTGGTGGACACCGCTGACCCTGCTAAGCGCCTGTTCAAGCTGATCATCTCCTGCCGGAAGGCCTCAGCGGTCGAGCACGAGCTCGACCACAGCGGCGTCCGCGTCACGCCCGACGTCGCCGAGCGCGTCCTGGAGCGCCTCGACAACGCCGGGATGCTCGCGTACCGGTTCTTCGAGTGGGCGCGCAGGCAGAAACGCGGCGGCTGCGCGCACACCGTCCGGTCGTACCACACGGTGGTCGCGTCCCTCGCCAAGATCCGCCAGTACCAGCTCATGTGGGACGTCGTGGCTGTCATGCGCCGGGAGGGCGCGGTCAATGTCGAGACGTTCGGCATCATCATGAGGAAGTATGCCCGGGCGCAGAAGGTTGATGAGGCAGTTTACACCTTCAACGTCATGGAGAAGTATGGCGTGGTACCTAACCTTGCCGCGTTCAATAGCCTGCTTGGCGCGCTGTGCAAGTCAAAGAACGTGCGCAAAGCACAGGAGATCTTTGACAAGATGAATAGCCGGTTCAGCCCCGATGCCAAGACCTATAGCATCTTGCTTGAGGGATGGGGGAGAGCGCCTAACCTCCCAAAGATGCGAGAGGTCTATAGTGAGATGCTTGACGCTGGTTGTGAGCCGGACATTGTCACCTATGGCATCATGGTCGATTCACTCTGCAAGACAGGCCGCGTTGAGGAAGCTGTCCGTGTGGTGCAGGACATGACCTCCAGGGGATGCCAACCGACAACTTACATATACAGTGTCTTAGTGCATACTTATGGCGTTGAGATGAGGATCGAGGATGCTGTGGCAACATTTTTGGATATGGAGAAGGATGGGATTGTGCCAGATATTGTTGTCTACAATGCACTTGTCTCTGCCTTCTGCAAAGCGAAAAAATTTGAGAATGCCTTTAGAGTCCTTAATGATATGGAGGGCCATGGAATCACTACAAACTCAAGGACCTGGAACATCATCCTTAATCATCTGATTAGCCTTGGAAGGGATGACGAAGCATACAAGGTATTCCGCCGCATGATTAAGTGTTGCCAACCGGACTGTGATACTTACACCATGATGATAAAAATGTTCTGTGAGAATGACAAGGTAGAGATGGCACTCAAGGTATGGAAGTATATGAGGTTGAAGCAGTTTCTCCCAAGCATGCACACGTTCTCTGTACTGATCAATGGGTTGTGTGACAAGCGTGAGGTTAGTCAAGCTTGTGTTTTGCTTGAAGATATGATAGAGAAGGGCATCAGACCTCCCGGTTCAACATTTGGCAAGCTAAGGCAGCTGCTTTTGAAAGAAGGAAGGAAAGATGTGCTTGACTTTCTTGTTGAGAAAATGAACATCCTGATTCAGGAACCTTTGTTTGATTGACCATTCATATCTTATAATGGTATGAGCACTTGATCCACGGTCATATGTTTTCATACACGCCATTAAAATTATATCAATGTTCAATATGTTATGCACTTTATTTCTTCATTTGTTATTTTTTGTGCACTAGTCCATTATTTATGCTACTCCTAAACATTTTGCTGCTAATTTCAGGGTTCATAAATTTTGATGTGCTGCAACACTTTTTTTTTTTGGAACGATCACCGGAGGGGAGAGGTTCCCCACCTGAATTTCCATTAAATAAACAAGCAAGTCTGATACAAAGGGAGATGGATCAGCAGAGTGCAGCGACACTGCCATTACAGTTAATCAGGAAGAAACAAGTAGGGGGGAAGAGAGTACATGCTTCCAAGCGGAAGCAACCTGTCTGTCTTGAATTTTCAGGCGTTCGACCCAGAGAGTGGCGTCATCTATGCAGCGCCGAAGTAATCGTTAAAAGGAGGGCTCCTGGTTTCTGAAGATTACATCATGACGATGATTCCAAATACCCAACAAACAAAGAAGAATAAAGGAGCGATGGTGAGCTGCTGGGATGTTCGTTGGCCGCTGAAAAAGTTGTAGGTTTCTGATGTCGTCGATGCCCGGTGTGATGTGAATTGAGTCCCAATGTGCTGCAACACATTGAGATGTTTGCTATTCACATATGTGAGTGTCCCCGGCAGGAGGATGAGTGGAGGTCCAATCAAGGCTTGTTTGGATTGGAAGGAATTGCAATTCATCCATTCCATTCGGATCAACAGGGATTTTAGTCAACTTCCCTGTTGAAAGGGATTGGACATGATCCAATTGCATCCAGAATAGACCTTAAGGCTTGGCCATGGTATCATCATCAAACTCTTCTGTACAACGTATTGGCAACGTACATACCAGTGGTCTGCTGATCACAAGGTTTGTGCTTAAAGTGCTCAACTGCTGACTGCTAACCAGCTAGGTGACTACTTGCTGCAATATCAGATTGAGACTTTGTCATCATAAAGAGATCAATATGCACTAGCTGATCCAAATGAGCTATTAGGTGCAAGCATCCTGCAAGAACTTGTCAGTTAGGAATGATGATGTTCTCAATTCATGTCTTCATGCCATACTGCAGAATAACAAATCCACTATATCATCTATGTTGTACAAATGATCAGTGGAGCATGAAGAACTGAACCCTTGTCCATGAAAAGTTGGAGAATTTGTTGAACGGTTGAACCTCAAGATGAAGAATTTAAGAATTATGCAAGGAAATTATTGAGCTCAAATTTCACTGCAGGATTATAATTCATAGAGCAGAAGGTGACATCAAAATAACAAAGGACAATTGCTCATTTGACCCTGTGCTGAAGCTAGGCACTGCACAGTATGTACATGTGCTGACAAGCAAGGTAAACAGTAGAAAATTTTTCATATGTCTTCACTGCTTTCTGTGTGAGTTGTTACAAACAACTGGGATATTATTGTGCAAGAAATATAACTATACCTAACATTGTCGAGATGTGCTGTCACCTGGGATATTATGCTAGTTTAAACTATCCCTTGTGCTTCTGGAAACACAAAATTGTTATGTTGTGCAAAACTAGCTCGCACTCCTATAAGTGTCAATGTGTCATCACGCCATCTTAGCGTGCCAGAATGAACCTTGCTTGTTACTACTCTGCTAGGCATACTATAGCAGTGAGCAGATCATGATGTATCGATCGTCCGGAGTTAAGAACTGGAGTTAACTATTCTTACGGGCCAACAAGTGATGGACGCATGAAGGCAAATCCTGCTAACCAGCCGGGCTTGGCCTGTTGTGGACCATGCGTGGCTCAAACCAGCCCGTTCTGCTGTGATGCTGAGCTCATGGATGCTCCTCTATCTGTCTGCAGTCTGCTTGTTTTGTTCTGTTTTATTTTGTGGAAGTTCATTAGTTAGTCCACACTATGATGCGAAAGGAAACAGAGATGTGATGAATCTTGTCTGTTTTCCACGTATAGTACACCTATTTTTGTTTGTAGCATCAAGGATTTAGGTTGATAGGGTCTGTTCATTTGACACATTTGCTTCTCTGAGCTGTACTGCAACTACTTTTGGTCGATATACTTGATAGTACAAACAACAACTGTACAGAGTATGTAGTGTTAAAATGGACAGCGACTGAGACACTCATGGGTGTTTAGATGGGGCTAAAATTTTGTAGACCATGTCACATCAGATGTTTGGACGCTAATTTAGAGTATTAAACATAGACTAATAAAAAAACTAATTTCGTAAATGAGAGCTAATCCGCGAGACGAATTTTTTAAGCCTAATTAATTTATAATTATCAAAAGTTTACTGTAACATCACATTGTTAAAATTATGGCATAATTAGACTCAAAAGATTCGTCTCACGAATTAGTCCAATGTTATGAAATGGATTTTGTAATTAGTGTATGTTTAATACTCTAAATTAGTGTCGAAACATCGGATGTGACAGGGACTTGGAATAAGTCCCTGGAAACCAAAGAGCCACTCAAGCATTGTGATCTCTTTCCCTGCTCTGCTCACCCCCTCTTTCAGGACACACGAATCCACGATCAGATCAGAAATTCGTTGCAGTGCTCACCTAAATTTCACAGTAGCGTGAGCACCCCACCCACAAGGCCACAACCAAGCAACCAGCAACAGGCCGTGGCAGCATTCATTTTAGCGTGACACTGCCCACCGCCCCGGCGGTTCCCGTTGCTTTGAGACAAAAGCAAAGACGAATAACGGTTACACAGGTCAAAACGGTGGCGCCACCCTATCCCGTGCTGGCTGCTGCGCTCACCCGTATTAAATTTCCGCTGTAAACCAACTTCTACGTACTATTTTAGGGTGTGTTTAGTTCACGCTAAAATTAAAAGTTTAATTGAAATTGAAATAACGTGATGGAAAAGTTAAAAGTTTGTGTGTGTAGAAAAATTTTGATGTGATAGAAAAGTTGAAAGTTTGAAAAAAAAAATTTAGAACTAAACTCGGCCTTACATGGATGAAAAAGATAAAGAAAAGTGAGCAATGTTTGTTCTCATAAAAAAACTATCTATACACATGCTTTAAAATATTTACATTGAATTCATCCTGAAGGAAAAAGAGGAGGGAAGAAATAGAATCAACCTTATAATTAATTTATTATACATTTATTAACACTAATGTAAGTTAATAATCAATACCCTCTCCGTTTCATAATGTAAAACTTTCTAGCATTGCTTATATTTATATAGATGTTAATAAATCTAGACACATATATATATTTAGATTTATTAATATCCATATAAATGTGAATAATGATAATGCTAGAAAGATTTACATTACGAAACGGATGAAGTAGTTAGCTGTAAAAATTGCTCTCAAGCTCGGTTCGGATGGGAAGCTGGGAGGTGGGTCAGGGATCGGTCTGGTGGCGCCCGCCAAGACATGCCCCGTCGCGAGCACGGCGCGACATGCGCGGCAATCGGTGCCAGTGCCGACCGCTCGAGGAGAGTGGGATCCCCCAGGATCAGCTTTTGACCGCAGCTTACTGTGGGCGGCAGCATTGTTCGTCGCTAGGGGTTGGTTTGGTTCGTAGTTTAAACAGGCCTTACTAAATTTTATCAATGTTAAATTTTAGTAAGTTTTAACATGACTAATTTTGGTAAGATAAAGTTGTGTTTGGATTGAAGCCAAAATAGCCTAAGTTCACTATTGAAATGGCCTATTTTTTAGACATGCCAAAATTTGGCTTCAAACCAAACAGACACTAAACACTATTAAAATTAACAAATATTGGTAAGTATAATTTAGCCCTCAAGCAAACCAGCCCTAGATGCGGATCGGATGGAGTAGTAGCAGCACAGTGTACTGTTGTCCAACGGCTAGTCAGGTCAGGGCACAGCACAGCACAGCGGCGTCGCACATCCGTCTCCTTCCTGTAGCCGGCACGGTGGCATAGGAGGACCTTTTAATGGCTTGTGGGTGAGTGTGCTCTGGCTGTCCTAGATTGTGGCCATACAGAGGGGAGAATATCAAAGTGGATAGCCTCCTCGTAGCCATTATCGTGACTTCAACGACGAGAGGGCCGATTCACTTCGTGCAGAAATGCCGTCCGAATGAACCTGATAAAAAACTCCAGCATTTCGAACATTTTTAAGCAGAAATTTGTGCTATTTGATGTTCTCAAAAGGTAAAAAGAAAAACAAATCCCTATGGTACGAGGACACAGATTATCACTGCTGCACCGCGCCACACCAAGCATGATATCACCACTGTTGCGTGCGCTGGGATGCAGGGTGCACAATGCACATCAATGCGTAACGCTTGTACCGTCCAAAAATGCCAACATCTATATCAACTTTTGTTTACAAGGAGTATATACCTATCCGATGATAGCGTTTCTTCCCAAACATAAACAGACCAAAAAAAAAACATCTCAATCTTCTTTTTAAGAACTCCATTTTTATTCTCATGTCGTTTTCACTCTTTGCTACTTCTTCCGTTGTAAAAAAAACTAAATCTAAATTTAAGATAAGATATAATCTAGTATAATGAATCTAAATGGATTGATTGGTTTTTTTAGTGAGGGAGTATTAACTGATCACACAGACAGCGTCGAGTGAATGAAACCGATACAGTGTCGAATGAATGAAACCGATACCGAAAACGAGCGATGCTAAAGCCACTGACCACAAATCACGCGTTTGGGCTGGGCGAGGAAAAGCGGCGAAATATCTATGATCCGTCCGTCCACGGTCCATCCATCATCCAACCTGGGACCGCGGCGCCCGCACGGACATGCATGTGAAGAGGTCGCCACGAGCATGTGGGAGCTCAAAACCTGAAACCAAAAAAAAAAGCTCAAAACCTGACGTCCATCATGCCAGATTGCCACGGATGCTACCAGCGAAAAGGGACTCACATGTGTGTACTAGGTAGGGGGGGGGGCCGCAGCTGTGTAGGAGTACTATCCAGGCAAGCAGGTGGTGCCTAGAGCAAGTTTAATAGGACAGCACACTACACTACTAGCTCCAATTCATTTATAGTCAATTCATTTAGAAGTAATAACTAAGGGACCGTTCACTTTTATGCTATTTTCAACCATACCATTTTCATTAGCAAAGTTACCAAAAAATATATATATTTAGTTTGTTGCTAAATTTAGTAAATATATAAGAAATCTTGCCAAAATTTTGGCAATATTGCCATCTTGCCAATGCCAAAATTTGGTAAGGTTTATTTTGGCTACAATCTGAACATGCCCTAATTCATACAATAGTTGCTTACTATACTATTAATATATGGTCCCACCTGCCATACACACATTGCATCTTCTAGTCCGCGCTGCAACTGGCTACGGAAAGGAAATCGTTTAGGACAGCGACACGGTGCCCAAAACACAACTTTAACTTTTTATTTCTATAAAAATATTTATTTTAAAGTGATATATGTATACTTTTATGAAAGTATTTTTCAAGACCAATCTATTCATATAATTTTTATATTTTCAAACTCAATAGCTTGAGAGTTATTTATGATTATATTTCCAAGGTTTGACTTAAACATTGTCCTAAACGATTTCCTTTACGAACGACTTCCTTTACGAATTCCTTTACGAGTAGCTGCTGCTCTTTTTTTTTATCTTTTATCTCATTAAAATATATTTATAACTGACTAATAGTCTACTTTTGTACATGCTGTAATCGCAAGGACAAGGTACACTCGCCCATGATCCAGCGAAGAAAAGGTGTAGGGATTTCGTCTCATCAATCAATTGCCGCGTTTCTAGCAGGTTTTAATGTGAGATTTGTAGGCGAGTTGGGAGGAGATTTTCTCCTTTTTTGTTTCCCTTTCCCTTTTGTTGTTGATGATGATGATAGTGATAGGTCGCTCTCACTCACTCATGGCCGCATGCATGCGACGATGATACTGTCTGGGGTCAAGTTTGGTTTTGTACTACTCCGTACTAGTATTCGTATTTTGTTCATGGTTCAGGCTTTGGTCAGTTAAACATCCTGCAAAGACCGACAAAAGTGCCGCTGAATGCTGTATGGAGTTCGTGCCTAATTACAGTATCCAATGCTTTCGTGTCCAACCTAAGACTGACCACTGTCAGCTAAAATGGAGTATACAACTTTGATTCTCCGCGGTTTCGAGGCGCAGATGATGAACGGGAACGGAACGGACAATTTGTTGGCAGTCGTTAATGGTGTACGAAATGCAGATATAAATCACCTGAGATTGATCTGTACTACTACGAGCAACCACTTGCTTTGCTGGTCCATTCATTATCCTTTAATTTTTTTGGACTCCTGTTAGGAGTGGAGCTAACTCGGATCACTCTCACTCACTCACTCACTTCCTCGCTATGCCACAGTTCGAACAACTAAACAAGGCTGGAGCTAAGAAATTGAAACGATACTTCGCCACACTAATCGGCAGATTACACGCTAATTATCCCGGATAATCTCTTGCGCCCGCCATTGATGGATCATCCAGAAGATCTAGCTATGAGCGCGACGACGGTCAGGTCCATGTCACGGCGATCGGGCTGGAGACGACGTGGTGGTCGCTGGACCAGACGAGGCGGCCGAACCCGTTCGTGCCGGACGGCATCGCGGCCGCCGCGAAGCTCACCGTGTAGCTCTGCTTCTCGCCGGACTTGGTGAACGTCAGCGTCGACGGCTCGACGGACACCGTGACCGGCGTGCTGCCTGCGGCGGCGCTGGCTGTCACCTTGTATGTTCCGGGCTGGCCGACGTTGGTCACCGTGCGGGTGTGCTTCTCCGTGCCGCCGGTCGCCGGGAACGTGACCGAGAACGACGGGTAGTTGAGCGCGGTCACCGCGTACGTGCGGTTGCCGCTGCAGGCGTCCGTCGTGTGCTTGGTGAGCGCGGCGATCTGCATCGGCCCGTAGCTGATGGCGCAGAGGAAGTCGACGTAGTCGGCGGCGGCGATGTCGTAGACGAGGCCCGGATCCACCGCCTTGCTGGGGTCGACGTGGCCGGCGCCGACGTCGAGCGGCGTCGCCGGGAGGCCGGTGGCCACGTCGAGGATGCCGTTGCCGTTGGGGTAGCCGTTGTACGACGTGGTCATCAGCGCCGAGCGGATCGCCGCCGGGCTCCAGTCCTGGTGCGCCGCGCGGAGCAACGCCGCCAGCCCGCTCACGTGCGGGCACGACATGGACGTCCCGGAGATGATGTTGAATCCGACGCGGCGGCTGTCGCCGGCGAGCCCCGAGGGGCCGACGGATCCGGACCACGCCGCGAGGATGTTGACGCCGGGCGCGATCAGGTCCGGCTTGAGGATGCCGGGCGTCACGGTGTTCGGCCCCCTGGACGAGAACGCGGCCACGACGGGAGATGGCTGGATGCCAACCTGTGTTCCGGCGAACACTATGGAGGCCGTCGGGTTCGGATCGGACAATGCGTACGCTCTCATGGTGTCGCCGGCCTTCTGCCCGACACCGGCGCCCGGGAGGACGTGCGCGTCAGCGACGAGCTCCTCGCCGTTCGCGGCGGTGTTCGCGAGCACCATGCCGGCGCCACCGGCGTCCTTGACGACGAAGCCCTTCTGGACCCTGGCATTGGTGCCACGGTCGCAGAGGACGATCTTGCCGGCGACCTTCTCCGGGATTAGGCTGCCGGACATGCAGAGCGCGCCCATGCTGCTGTTCGACGCGTTCCCGGCATAGATGAATGGGACCGGCGTGGTGGGCAGCTGTTTGCCGCTGTAAAGGGAGACGCCGGAGTAGTTCTTGCCGTTGCCGAGGACGACGTGGGCGGGGAAGTCGCGGTCGAGTGTCCCGGCCCCGACGGTGGTGATCCATGGCGCGCCGTTCGACAGCGTGGCCGAGCCTGGCCCGGCGTTCCCCGCCGAGCAGGACACGAAGATCCCCCTTTCCATGGCGCTGTAAGCGCCCACAGCGATGCTGTCGCGGTAGTAGTCCGCGGTGCCGCCGCCGAGCGAGAGCGAGAGCACGTCCACGCCGTCGTTCACCGCCACCTCCATGGCCTTGAGGATGTCGGAGCTGAAGCACCCGCCGACCCAGCAAACCTTGTACGTCGCGACGCGCGCGTGCGGCGCCATGCCCTTGGCCGTCCCGGCGGCGTACCCGAGCAGGTCGGCGCCGCGCACGGCGGATCCCGCCGCCGTGCTGGAGGTGTGCGTGCCGTGCCCGTCGTTGTCCCTCGGCGACCGCGACTCCTTGGACGTGTCGACGGGGCCCTTCGCCGCCTCGTACCCGGTCAAGAAGAACCTCGCGCCGATGAGCTTCTTGTTGCAGGCGGAGGCGTTGAAGTCGTTGCCTTCCTCGCACTTCCCCTTCCATCCCGCCGGCACGGGGCCGAGCCCGGCGTCGTCGTAGCTCGGCCTCTCCGGCCACACGCCGGTATCGAGCACCCCGACGATGACGTCGCTGCCGGTGTTCGACTGCGGGAACAGCGCGTCCGTGCGGTCCAGCCCCAGGAACTCCGGCGTCCGCGTCGTGTGCAGCTCGTACCGCACCTCCGGGTTGACGAGGAGCACCCCGGGCTGCGACTCCAGCGCCTCGGCCTCCGCGCGCGTCAGCCGCGCCGAGTAGCCATGGACGATGGTGTCGTAGGTGTACAGCACGGTGGCCGCGTCGGACACCGACTGCAGCGACGCCGCGTACCACTCGCCGTGCTCCACGAAATCGTTCGGCTTCGCCGACCGCGACATGTGCACGATGTACGTCCTCCTCTCACCCCCAACGGCCGCCGCCGCCGTTGCCGTCGCCGCCGCGACAAGAGCCACGGCGGCGACAGCAAGGATCACACATCTCTCGCCATGGCGCCACATCGTGGGAAAAAAAAGAGAAAGCTGTGTTCCTCAGCAATGGCGGTGAGCCGATGGCGGATCGGAGCCTCACTGCGTGTTTATAGAATCGAGCAAGGAGAGTGAATGATTGCAAGAGGACAAAGCGAACAGATGGACGGATGCTTCAGCGAAGGGAAGGCGAGCGAGATAGAAGAAGGAAGAGGGTGAAGCACATGGCGTTGCTCTCATTTTATCTCTGGTTTTTTAGCCTCTCCACCACCACATGACCGTTTTCAGGACCAAAAAAGATGCTCACTTTGCAGTGCAGTGACTGTGAAAAGGTGGTAACCGGCCAACAAGCCCCTACTGGTAGTGGTGGTGGTCAACAACAGTTACCACCTTGTGAATTGTTTAACCGCGACGCTGCATGCTAATCCCATGGGTCCAGCCAATTTGTGCTGTGCCTCAGTGCCTGTGACTATTATCTCCATTAGATATGGAGATAATGAACTCCTCCCATTGCTCCATCTACCGTTTTAATTAAGAAAGGCCTGTGAATATTATACCCGCTGACAGCGTTCGGAAATGTTATAGTAATACAGTTAGCTCTTCGCCTAATCACGGGTGCATGTGCTTATGTGCTGCAGGATTGTGTGCTTCCTTTGGCTAACGTCAGTGGCTGGCTGCTGGAGTGCTGGGTGCCGTGGTGGACTGGCTGTGTAGATGTGTCCGCTTCGCTGTGCGCCGTGCCCGTGCGTGCATGGGCAGGTTGGTGGATGATGGCAAACGGACGGTGTCTCGATGCGAGAGCTAGAATACAACGCTTGCTTTTGTTAAAAGCATGGTTAGCTTCTTGTTGCCAAGTAGTAGCCTACGAGGTCACGCGACTGTCACAAAACTGCTTGGCCGTATCGACCGCAAAACAGATCAACTCGTGAGCATCGTCATCGTCAGCAGAGAAAATGGCAAAACAATATCTTCGGTTTTTACGTGTGCGGTGCGGTGCGCCGTGTCTCGTTGTGTGAACTGGGAATTGCAGTGTGGAATGGAGAAAAACAGAGAACAGTTGGAGACGGCGACGGCATGTTGGCTCGGGAGTCGGGACCTCTCACTCCCCTCTAGCGTGGCCGGGTTGAAGGCCGTCAGCCTGAAAGTGCGGCTCGGCCCAATGTGGGGCACTGTTCAGTGTGAGGGGGTGTTTGGTGGAGAAAATGGCGATTATACCATCGTTAAAACAAGGCTTCGCTGAAATGCCGAGATTCGTCCTAATACCATTTTCAACTGGAACCAACCCACTCTAATACCATCCCAAATCATTTTCACCAAAATTAAAAGAATTTAGTCCTCTTTTTTACATTAGTTGATGAAATTACGCCTCATCGAAATTAACGAGGGGAACAGATCGTATCTGGGCGCAGCCGCAGCCGCCGCCATCCCCTCGCCCCATCGCGTAGCCCTCCCCTCGCGCCGCTGCGTCGTCCTGCCCTCCCCTCGCGCCGTCGCGCCGTGTTGCGGGCCTCCCCTCGCGCCACCGAGCCACGTCACGTCCCTCCCCTGGCGGCGACCAGGTCACTGGCTCGCCGCCCTCCCCTCGCGCGGCGGCCCTCCTCTGGCGCCGCAGACCTAGCCACCGCCTTCCCCTCACGTGACCCCGCCGCGGCAGTCCTCTCGCGGCAAACAAGTATTTGGATAAAACATCTAGGACAACCAGGGGCAGTTTGGTCATTAAAATTAGGAGAAAAGGGATAAAATGCTTTTGATTTACTAGTAAGGAAGAAAATGACATTTTAGTAAGCTACTCCCAGTTGAGAGTGGTATTTAGACGAATCCAAATTGTAGACTGGCATTTGAGTGAAGCCTCATTTTGATGATGGTATAATGGCCATTTTCTCGTTTGGGTGAGAGCTCTGACCACCCGCTGAATCCATCGAGTCTGCACTGCAGGGTGCGGATCGTTGTAGTGGCAGACTGGACGAGGCGTTCCGGTACAAATTTATCCACAACAAACTTCTTGTGTTTTTTTAGGGTTAGGAATCTCTTCTCTTCACACGTACAAGAGATAAATAAAATTAACACATAATTAATTAAGTATTAATTATAAAAACAAAAAATGAATTAATATATTTTCTTAAAACAACTTCTCTTAGTTTTTTTTACAAAAAATATAATGTTTACTAGTTTAGGAAACATACGCACCGAAAACTATGAAAATGAGTTGGAACTCGGGCTAAGAGCAAGTTTAATAGTATAGCCAACTACTAGCTCTAAATCATCTATAGCCAATTCATACAATAGTTGCTTACTATACTATTAATACACGATCACACTTGTTATACACATATTACGTCTTGAAGTCCGTGCTGTAGCTGGTTATATATCTGTAGCCCGCTGTTTTTTTCTCTTTTCTTTTATCTCTTTAAAATATATTTATAGCTAGTTTATAGTCTCTTATTGTACCTACTCTAAAGAACACAGATAACACAGCATTTTCGTCAAAGAGAATGGTAGGAGGAACAACTTATGAGTGTAGACCGTTTTGCAAGCATTCATGGTGATGAATAAGCAATCTCTGCGTGTACCTTTCCAGCTTCCATCCCACTCTATGAACCGTTTCTGGATTGCATCACCGCCTCGATCACACCAGCTCACAGCCCGTTCCCTTCATTCGTCTCTGCTAGGTACACCACACGTCCATACGGTTATGCATGCATGTGCCGCGATGTGCGTCGGCCGCAGTAATGTCTCGGCACGGACGATCTCTGACCATCCCTCCCGTGTGATGTGAACGGCACGGGACGTACGGCGGGTGGGGGGCCACACGGCGAGTCGGCTCCGTGCTTTGCCTTGCCCGGCCATTGTCTGTGAACCTCGTGACCGACCGGCTGTGACTTTGTGAGCACGCACGCGGCCAGCTTTGGGGCGTGGAAGAGCAGGCAAAGCGGGTCAGTTATCAGAGCGGGGCATGGGCATGGGCATGGTGACTGCATTTTTGCTCGATTTTTTTTACCTTTTGATGGGGCATGGACGCATGGTGACTGCATTTTTGCTCGATTTCTTCACCTTTTGATGCGGCTCTTTTCGGGCACACGCGCGCGTGCTTTCACAGTTCCACCAACCTAGAGCAGTGTGTGTTGGTGTTGCCCAAGCTGTGCGTTGCGTCTGCCGTTGCTGTGAAGTGGATGGGAGTTGAATCAAGAATTACACAACTGAGCTAGCTGATGTTTTCACACATACCCAACACAAATGTACACTACTCTACTACTCCATGAGCCCGCAGTTCCCGAAGCGACGCATGTGTTAGGGCTGTAGCAGTGCAAGCACCTCATTTGAGTTACCTCATATGCCACATAGGACAAATGCACATCGAATACATTTCTCTCATAGTGCAAAATGCTTTGACAGAAACCCCAACCTAACATTACTTTCACCAGGACCTTTGTTGTTGCTTCCTTTTTTATGAATTGCTCTGCACCTGCATGGATTTGTTTTAGCTTTTTGAAGTGAGTTCCTCGCATCCTTGCTGAGAAACGAAGACCTTTGTTAAGGGATGAGGGCCCACACTTTTTTTCCTCCACGCCATCAGGCAGCTTATGTGGACGCATGAAGCAACGCTCGAGGCTGGAGCACCGTGAAAGCCCTTAGTTTACGTAGGACGACGGTGAAGGTGGCAGGACAAGACAAACGTGCCGCATCGCGCCTCGTCAGAGCAAGGTCGGAGAGATTTAAAAAAACTTCTAAAAAAGGTCGTTTACAATGGCACTCTCTCTCTCTCTTTTTTTTTTTACAGAAACAATGGCACTCTCTTACAAATGACAATGATCACCGATTAAAAAATCAGACTCTCTGAAGTGAGCATTGTTAGAAGTATAATATGTTAGTTAGAGATAAGAGATACAAATATAGAGATAAAGATATATCTTAGAGATAGAATCCTAGAGATAAATCTACTTTTATTTGTATTGTACTCCAAGTCTCTATCCCGTATGTACTCCTATATATACCCCATAAGAGGGTCGATGTAATATATTAGAAAACATCAGAATACAACATATTAGATTTTTCCACAAGCATACCTTAATTGGGTAGATTACTTGTGGTAGAGTCTGCTCATCCGGGTTCAAGTTCTAAACTTGACACGGATGTTCGTATTTATGGCTAATTATTTTTTTAGTGATAAGCGATATACCTATTGATAGTGAGACGTTTGTGGTGACTTTGTTATTCTCAAGATACGTTGGCTTAATCTTCGGATATGCTTATAGGAGTAGAGTGTGTGTCTTCGAAGATCCTGGACACATATGTGTGTTGATAGGGGTGAGTATGCGCATGCCGTGTTTCAAAAAAAATGGGAGTAGCTATATTTATGGCGCCATATTTTTCACCAAAAAATAGTCGACATGTATTTACATTGTAAGTTTCTAAATTACACATGTAATTTTAGTGTACTTATAATGTAAGTTCCAAAATTACATATGTAAGTTCTAAAATTACATATGTAAATCCTAAAATTACATACTAATTACATATGTAAGTGGTATATAAGTGAGGTGTAATTACTATAGTTATATAGAAATTACAAATGTAACTATAGTATAATTACACTGTAATTATATATGTAACTGGAGTGTAATTAAAAACAGACATTGACGATGAGCTTCCTATCTTCCCTGCTTCTACTTTTCTTATCCTTTTGCCTGCCATCTGTGCATGGAATCTTGGTTTTTACTCCGTAATGATTAGAGATCTGAGATTAGTATCAGCAATAGTAGTTACGATGGCATTAGAGTCTCGGACATGCACGAATCTCTGAACTAATTGCACAGTGAAAGAATCGACTGCAAACTGGAAAGAAATATGGCGCCATATTAATAGCGATTCCGAAAAAAATGGGCTCTCTTTATCAAATTTTTTTAAAAAAGCAAAATTGCATCTGAACCGGGCTGATCTACTAATCGATTTCCATGTTTCCAACTGACGGCCCAAAAGCAAACTTGGGCCGGGCAATAGTTTTTCGATTTTGCTATATCTCACTCGAAAGATTTTTTCTTATCTCTCACTCGATTTTCTGACTCAAATTTACAGTGCATTTTCTTATAAGTTACAGTGTAATTTATAAAACTTACACTGTAACTTTTGTAAGTTGCACTGTAATTTTTGAATCTTCGCATGTAAATTTTAAATTTTGTATTGGATTTGGTCTTTTTCTTGAGGATATGGTAATTTAGTGTCCATTATGGTGTTTCTTAATTGCTTTTTGCTTTTTATTATATCTATCAGATTTTAATCCAAAGATTAAAAATCTGTGTGATACGATCGTAAAAATCTTTCGAAAGATGTATAGGTACTCCCGGACCGGTGACTGTCTACGTCACTCCGGCCCCACGCGACAGAGCAACGGCGGGAGCGAAGTGATGGCGCTTCGGGCGGCGGAGCTCCGGCGACTCGTCGTCCTCCTCCGCGGCGAGGCGGCCCTTCCGCTCCCCCTCGCGTGGCGCGGCCGGCCGGTGAGCACCGCCGCTCGCGACGACGAGCTCGCCGGGAAGAGCGCCTATGAGGTGCTCGGGGTCGGGGAGACCAGCTCCTCCGCCGAGATCAAGGCCTCCTTCCACCGCCTCGCCAAGGAGACCCACCCCGACGTCGCCGCCGCCGCCGGGTCCAGCCGCTTCCTTCAGATCCTCGCTGCCTACGAGGTGTTCATTCGATTCACTTGGCTACTTAGATAAGGGAATGGGGCTACTAATGGGTAATTGGGGGTATCATGAGTGCAAACTTTCAAACCCTACCATATGATTATAATTGTTATGATTGTAGTATTGATAAATTGAGGGGGCAAGACTTTGTACTATGAAGGAATCAAAACATGGAGAAATTTAATGGTTAACAATATTGTTATGTTGCAGATCCTATCGGATTCACAGAGAAGGGCTCACTATGATATCTACCTGCGATCGCAGAAGCGAGTTTTGCAGAAGCATCCTAGGCCATCTCATCATGTATATCCAAATCCAAGTGGTTCAGGCATTGTAGTAACAAGAGAAAGTAATGTTGTTGAGTGGCTAAAATGGTATAGGCTCACTATTGATGACATAGTTACAAAGAAGAGGGTTGCGACAGGGTCAGGTTACTTTGATAAGCTTGAAAGTGAACTGTACACAGCAATCCATGCTGCATACTATGGTCCGGATGTTCGGTCTGTGGATCTCCTTCCTGATTGCTTTGAAGCTGAGGAGAGGTCTGTATATGAGACCCCTGAGCTATTGCACCTTGTATCGGGTCGTGATCTGTTTGGTATTGTTAGTCTAGCTGATAGAGTTCAACAGCTGCCAGATGCTTTTCAGGAGAAGCAGACGCTACCTGGTTTTAAAACTTACGGGATTAGTCAGCATGTTTCAACAAACTTGGAGAAAGGCACAGTACACGCCAGTCCTGTATATATTCACAAGAGAGAGATTGACAAGAATGATGGTCCTCATTCAGATGCCTACAAGGATATTGAATTGTGGATCTGTGGGAAATTAGTAGCTACTGCAACGAGGAGCCCTAAGTGCAATTGTATTGATAAATCAGATGTGGAAGATCACATACATGTATTTCTTGTCCCAAATGAAGTGGCTTCATCTGATTTTACACAAGAGCTTCCTATCCTGGGAACTATTACTGGCTTGGCCACCACTGGGGAGGAAGGATCTTGCTGTGTCTATGATAGCCGTGGGATAAAGACACATCTAATTGTCAAGCACAGAACATTAATGGTATGCACAGCTGTCCACATTTATCACATTTTTCTATACACATTCAAAGTTTCTTTGGTACATTGTGTAATACATATGATCTGCCGATGGAATTCAAGCACCCCCATCTTTAGCATGCACTATCTATTGCTGTATAACTGTATGCAGTGCAACATTAATCTTCAGACACATACCGTGTTAAATGTTGACTGTACTTCCTTTACAGGTCAAACACATGCACTGGTATCAAGTTGGAGATGAAATTTCTCCATGTGAGTGTCGATGCAGTAGGGCTCGGTTGCCACCTAGTAGGTATGCTTTCCTTTCTATCTTCTTGTCTTGGCTGCACTCACGCTGCATGATCTTACAAATAGCATTGATGAACTCAAGCCTTAAATGTCATGGTCGTTTTGGGCTAACTGGTTTAGAAATCATAATGCATATTGACACTAATTTTAGCATGCTTTATAAAGTCACTGTTGTAAAAAATATAACTTCACTGCATCTGTTCTTATATCAAATGAATGATACAATCCTATACTTCTCCCTTCAAGGACCGGAGAGGGCTAGCTTCGGATAGGTTTTGTGATACTGTGGAAATCTATCTGTATACGGTTTGGTAATAACAAACCACTTTTAGCTGTAACACTCCTCTTTTCAGATATTGGCTTTTTGAGCCTCGTTGTTATATGCATGACACTGGTGGCTGGTACATTGAGACCTTTGGAAGGGACAAGAAAGGGAGGAAAATTCTATCACCAAGACAATGGGATGGTTCCAATGAACACTCTGAAAGGTGCGCTCAGATTGTTTATAATGTTGTGTTACTATCAAGTGGAAAGGATTTGGTAACTTTCCTTGAAAATGCACATCTTTCTGGATATTATATTGCTTCAGCCTTGCTGCATTTAGTGGCTGAGAAAGCTAATTTCCTAAAGTTTGCCATCTGTCTAGTTTTAAAGTTAAAATACTGCCTTTCACTATTTGTTTATGTAATATGTTGTTGTCGTTGCAATTCAGCAGTCTACCTTTTTATCTAACAAATCCTCGTTGATGCTGAATGCATTGGAGTTTTTTAAAACTATTACTTTTTACATAAGGTTGGGTGGGGGTAAGCTTTCCTTAATTGGTTGACAATTGCACAATTGCATGTGCACTTGTTTTGATTTTTGCACGTAAGATTCTTTTCAAACCAAAATTTCAGGAGGTTGCATCCAGCAATGTATCTGGCAGCTCTAGCTTACAGATCTTTGGATATTGAGGATGCTCAACGAAAGAAATGGAGCATTACGACCTTCCTGGAACTGCAGTCATCTCATATCTGTCAATTGTGCAAAAAAATCTTCAATGGGGGAAAGGAAAGTTCATGAGAACACCATGAGAAATGCACAGCAGTTTCAAGAATTTGATCTTTGACAACTCTGATACTATGATGCCATGCCTTGTTCACCCGTTGATCATATCCTTGAGATTTTGGTGTGGCTATGTAGCATCATGGCACTGCACTGGAAGATATATAGTGCACCTCTAGAATAAGCAAAATTATCTGAGGCTGTTCATTGTGCTGATTGTTGGATGTGGCACCCCTGGTCAATAGCTTTTTTGCTGTGCTGATGTCAGAATTTCCACACCATTTGCTATGAAAGGACAGACATTATGGTAAATAAGCTAAACTGTTGCATTTCTCTACTATTTATAATCTTCGCAATTCTAAGTCTGTGCCCTTCATTGATTATACTTGCACCTTGTAACCACGTACTGTTTGGATGAGCATTCAACACTACATACAACTAAGGAACCGTGCACATTACAACGATATGGTTCATAGCTGAAAGAAAGCACCTAAAGTTTTGTAAACTCGTCTGTCTGCCATTTCTTTCTGGGAAAAAGGAATGGCTGGTTTGAACTCTTTTGGAGAAGGGATGCTACCTTAAACATTGGCAACACCATCTGGTCATCTGTCATCATGCTCTTTTGTCTTAATCCACAAGAATGGTTCGATAAGAGTAACTTTATGTTACTGCAGATGTATGCATTTTTTTTTTATAAATGTTTTACACCAGAACATGAACTAACTGTCGCGCCGATAGAAAACTTGAAGACATGCTTGCCTGTTATTAAGTAGCAGAAATTTTACCCGAGTCCTACAGTTGCACATTTGCAGTGGCATGCACCTTCTCCATGGTTATTGTTATCCAACATTATGCATGTATGTAATGGTACACATGTGTACATTTGCAGTTTGCAAGAATTTTAATCCAAAATTACGTTGAATTGTTCTACAGGCTTCAGCCATGGCCAGTTAACTTGAAGTCTGTCTTATGACCAACGGGTGGGAATATGGGAGAAAGTTAATAATTACTTGGCTTCTCGACTGGAGTTTAATCTACTTGGCATATTGATTTTATATTAGGCGAGCACCCTCTAAATTTGGTGAAGGTGAGAGATGAAGCAGCCACCGAGCTTAGCGTGAACATTCTAAGGTAGTATGTTATTCAGATAATACGCATATTCTCATATACTTTTTTGAGTATTGTTAGCAAATTACAGGAAATTCCTAGGATTATGTTTGATTGTTCTTCAAATTAGGGGAAAGCTCTGATTTATTTTTATTTTTTTAGAAAAGGGGAAAGCACTATGAAAAAGCACCAGCAAGCAGCAACAGCTCTGCATGGAGAGGGATATTGTATTTTCTTAGCCTCTTAGGTGTCGACTGAGTTGCGCATGCTATTGTGGGCAAGTTGTTTATGTTTGAGACAATGAATTTTGCTTCTATAGTTCCACCTGATGGAAGACTACACTTTGATCTCGGCACACTAACTCTCTGCAGTTGACCTTCATACGGAAACTTTGGCTCTTCGGTAAAACTTAGTTCAAGAAGATAATAGATCTGTTAGTGTCTGGTTTAATCATTGTCTGGGAGGTACCAACTAGGCCATTATTCCCCAGGAACCAATCTAGTCAAATACTTCATATGCTTGGAATTTTCTGAATTCACTGACCAAGAGACCTAAACATTTTCTGGAGAACACATGCTGATGCTGTGGTACACTAAGTTAATTCAAGTTCAAAGTACTTGGTCTAGTTTGATGCTTCGTGATTGCATCCTGATGTTTATACATCACTGGTGAAGAAAGTGCCAAAGTGTCTCATGTTCACGGGTTGGTTTCGAGTAGTACAGGTTTGTTGTGTTCAGGACCCCAGGAGTTGCTTTTCACCATATGGATGCAATCATGTACATATGCCTTTTCTTTTTGCCACAATAATCGTTGTAAGCTGTGGTTTCAGGCCCGTTCTTTGAAATTGAGATGACCAGCAATAGTGCAATACGAAGTTACTCCCTCCGTTTCACAATGTAAGTCATTTTAGCATTTCTCACATTTATATTGATGCTAATGAATCTAGACATATATATCTATCTAGATTCATTAGCATTAATATGAATGTGGAAAATGCTAAAATGACTTACATTGTGAAACGGAGTACAAACCTGCCGCATATCTGTCAAGGAGGAACATGGAATAGCGAAGCAAGACAAACAAGTGGGGCCCCAATGTTGGCAATGGCTTATGTTTATACTTATAAACCAAATTTTAAATTTTAAAATCTAATTTTGGAATTGATTGTGTTTTTTTTCATCGTAATTTATTTAATTGTATTTGCTTTTGAATCGTTAAGGACATCTATATAGTAGTTTTACTCACAAATTATTTTTTGGTTGCCAATGAGCCGTACGAATAAGGATAAGCGAAACGATACGAAAATCCTAATTAGTGATTAACGCACGCTACGAGGTCCATTCCTTTTTTGGCACTATGCGGCTTTTTTTTTTTTTTAAAGTTTACACACCTAAACTTTGGACGCCTAAAGTCTGTATACCCAAATTTTCTACATCTGAAGTTTATAAATTAAAAATGTATGTGCCTTATTTGAATTTGAATTTGGATTCGATTCAAATGTTGTATACGGAATGTTACTATGTCAAAATTATAAACACGAGTATAAATGTTTCTTCAGATAATGTATAAAATCTATACACATGAGTATTTTCAAATATTTTTTTCCTTTTATTATTTATTTTCAAACTTATTTTTAAACTCGTTTTTTTAAAACCCACCCAGATTAAGGGCGTGTTTGGTTGGTCTATTATTTCTAAAATTTACCTAAGTTCACCATATTTCTATTAGCTAACATGTCGAACATGTGGCCAATAAAATTAAAGCCATACTTCAGCCATACAAAAACAGTTTACAATACTTTTTATGTGCCAATGGCATGTGGGACCCATGTCATGATGAAGAAATCTTGCCATAAGTGTGACAACCAAATAGACGCCAAACTTGGTCAAAGGTGCCTACCTTGAGTTGTGGCATGGTGAGGTAAATTGTGATAGTGAATCAAACAACCCCTAAGTGCATACGTGAAAAGACACAAGGAACGACACAATGATCGTGCATGCGCGGGGACGCGCGGCTATCGCGCATTAGTTGTCCCCCAAAACGATGGGGCTGAAGGTGTTCACGAAGATCCGGTGTATCTGAAGAATACTCTTTCAACCATTTGGACGGTTGTGATCTACCGTGTGAAAACAAGAGATAATCGGTGATTGTGTCATGTAGTAGTACTCATATTTATCTATCTATTATAGCATTTGGGCTGTTATACAACGGAATCCCGTTCGGACGGGATGATACCGCGGTATCAGGTCGTGATACCTATCAGGTATCATGCGATTCTACCACGTATTAGGTGATACTTGTGAGGTATCATGTGATATCTATCAGGTATCATGCGATTCTTACTTACATAAAAGGTGATACTTGCGAGATATCATGTGATTCTTACCATGTAGAAGATGATACTTGCGAAGTATCAGGTGATACCCACTGGATATCAAGTAATTTCAATTGGGTACCAGAGCCTCGGGGTGGTGTACGGCAAGGTGGCAATGGCGCCGTTGTACGTGTACAGGAGCGTGTTTGCTGGCGGCGACATCGAGCACTCGGTGGGGAACGAGGAGATCTACGGCGTCCTCTCGCTCGTATTTCTGGATGTTCACCCTTGTCCCGCTAGCCAAGTACGTGCTCGTCGTGCTCTGCGCCGACGACGGTAGCGAGGGCAGCACCTTCGCGCTCTACTTCCTCATCTACTGTCGCGTTCGCGCTGGCCTCCTCCCCTGCGTCAGTGCCGGCACCACCGGCGAGGAGCTCGCGGTCGCGGGGCTGTGCGTCGACGATCTAGCCGTGGGTGCCGTAGCGTCACCACTCATGTCGGCCATGCGCGCGTGCTGGAGAGGCATCGTGTCCTGCAGAGGCTGCTGTTGCTGCTCGGGACGTGCATGGTCAAGTATTGCTCCTCTTTAAATAAGCAAGGGGACAAAAGGGATCCTGTCTGGACGGGATTCCGGTATGTAGCATTAACAACATTGAAAAAAGGTATCACATTCGCTATGGAGACTATAAATTTTCACATTAGTTGGAGAAAAAGAATACATCTTAGCCGTTAATAGATCACAGTGATTCCGGATTATAACGGTATAAATTGATCTAAGAGTTGTACAAAATACAATAATATCCAGAAGTCTAAATATATAGAAATAGAATCTAAGAGTTGTATAAAAAAAATCTAGACCTTATATAAATCCAGAGATTATAGAAATAGATTCTAAGAGTTATATATGAAATCCAGATATTATAGAAATAGAATCTAAGAGTTGTATATGAAATTTAAGGATTGTAAAAATAGAGGCTAAGATATGAAATCCAGAGATTATAGAATTAGAATCTGATTCTTGTATATGAAATTTAAGGATTGTAAAAATAGAAGCTAAGAGTTGTATACGAAAGTAAGATATTATAGAAATAAAAGCTAAGAGTTGTATATATGAAATCCAAAGAATCATATAAATAAAAGTTAAGAATTGTTATGAAATCCAGGTATTATAAAATAGAATCTAAGAGTAGTATATGAAATCCAGATACTCATAGAAATAAAAACCACGAGCCGTATATGGAACCCAAATAGACATCTAAATATAATGGTACCTTTAAACACAAAATTTCAGAGTTGTATATTAATTACACAGGGCAATCCTCTAGTTAGTACTCATTAGTTACACATTTAACTGTCTTTTATTAATCTCCCAGTAACTTACTTTGAAGCAATATGGAGTAATACTTTTACTGCCAATCTAAAGGTTAAAACAACAAAAGCTTTTCTATCATCACCATTAGAAAAAGTTGTACGTACTATATTGCCGACGAGACTGGTTCCGTAGTCACTAGCCAGGTACAAAATGGCACCTGCCGACGTTATCCCGTTCCACGCACGCAAAGCCAAGGCCCCCACCCGTCGGAGATTCGCCGCACGCGCCACGCACGCTTCCCTCTCCTTCCACTTCCACCTCCACACGGGACGACCTCTCTCTCTCTCTCTCTCTCTCGTCTTCTTCCTCCTCGCCACCCGCTACCCCGCAAAGCAAAGCACACGCGTCACCACTCACTCACAAGTCACAACTCCGACGAGACCCAACCCAACCCGGGAAGGCGATGAAGGGCGGGGTCATCAGGAGCGGCGGCGGCGTCGGCGGCATCGGCGTCGGCGGCGGCGGCGGAGGCGGGGGAGCCGGCGGGGGGCTGATGCGCACGCGGCTGCGCCTCCCCGTCGTGCTCCTCTCCTGCTCCCTCTTCTTCCTCGCCGGCTTCTTCGGCTCCATCCTCTTCACCCAGGTAAGCGAGGCGTAGCGACGGCGAGACCCCCACCCCACCGCCACCCTCGTTTCGTTTGTCGGGTTCTGATCTGGGTGGTGGTTTTTTGGCGCGCGGCTGTGTTGTTCCCGAGGCAGGATCCGCAGGGGGAGGAGGAGCTCGACACGCCGATGAGGAGGGAGCGGCTGATGGAGGCGGCGTGGCCCGGAATGGCGTATGGCGAGTCCGGCGAGCCGGAGCCGTCCTTGATCCCTTACCAGGTCACGCCTCGCTTCGATTTCTCGATTGGTTGCAATGTTGCATTGATGTTGTTTATTTCTGACGGATATTGACGTTTTCTTAGAATAATAGTTTTGGGTTGAGGTGACTAGCATTGGGGCGGTAGTGTTCTTCGTGAATTTTACGTCACGATGAGAATCCTCTGTTCCCATTATTTGTTTTGTTTCGATAGTTGGTTTGTTGTGATGGACACTTGCAGGGGAAGTAATTTGTTTGGTGTAAAGTGCCTGCCAAATCCGAACTTACTCTCTGTATGTATAAAAGAGATTTTGATGTGATGGTGCCACGGTATATTTGCTAGTGGGGAATTCCGAATTCAGGTTGTTGTGAGCATGCAGATGTCGTGTGCTTGAATGTGATGGCTTGATGGTATACTCGTATGCGTGTGGAATGTGTGACCGCCGCGCACCTGTGTTAGTGACATTACATAACTTACGAGTGAAACAAGTTTTTTTTTGTGAGAATCACGTAATGTGCATGACCAAAATCAGTTTGTTTTTCTACCAGTTGAACTAGTCTGTTAATTTGAGGTTTGTAGTACTTCTACTTCACCTATACTCCGTATTGGACAATGTGCACAGGCTGTTGCCTATGTAAGGAAAGTTATTAGCAATAATTGATGGAGCTGCTAGATTTCATGCCCTGTATGGCTGCAACCTGCTTATTTATTGCTCTAAGTAGGTCCTTGGGTTAATTAATATACTTTATTTGATGTGTCCTAGCCCTGAAGAACAGCCCACTAGTCCTTTTACTAAGTATGCGGTGAACTTCTTTTGTGTCTGTGGTATGAGCTTACTTATGTTAAACCACAATCTCAGTTGCATTAATTAATGCTGCTTATCACCTTCTAATTTTCTATTGTAATCTGGTTGGTGGTGCTTTAGTAATGTAAAGTTGACTCTTCTGCAGATTTTGAGTTGGCAACCTCGTGCACTATATTTTCCACAATTTGCAACATCGCAACAGTGCGAAAATATTGTAAAAACTGCTAAACAAAGGCTTATGCCATCGACATTGGCTTTAAGGAAAGGAGAAACTGAGGAGAGCACCAAAGGAATAAGGACAAGGTACTGATTAATTAAAGCCACAAAGTGCTTGCAATAAATAAAAAAGTGAAGATAACCAGGCTAGTGATCATTAGGTAGTTATGGTGGATTTATGATACTTCTATTGTGGTAGTATCATGGAAATTCTAAGCAATCATCTTTTGTTTTGTTTATTTGCTTCCTCTAGTGGGAACACGATACTTGTCTTCAAATTATAACCTCTAAATAAATTTCTTTGGTTCCAAATGGGAATTAGTAATTTATTCTATTTCATGTATTTCTTATTGAAAAGATTTGACATCTCAGAGTGCTTGGTCATATATTTCATTTTGGCATGCTGATCCAATTGTAATATATGCTTCTTGTAGTTGCAGCTTCAGATTTATACTTTGCCATGATCCAACTGGAACCCTTTCAGAAATGACTAGTCATTATGGTCTTATCTAATCTTGCATTGCACTAATGGTAAATTGCTATTGCCAAACAGCTCAGGCACATTTCTAAGTTCTGATGAAGATCCAACCGGAACCCTTGCTGAAGTTGAAAAGAAGATTGCAAAGGCCACCATGATCCCTAGACATCATGGGGAGGTACTCTTTTATGAATTTTGTGATCACGCACAAAATTATAGCACTCCTCTTTCCAATTAGAAGAACCAAAGGAAAATATTCTTTCTAGGATTCCATTCACATGTTCATTACTTAGTTGATTCATTCTTTCTGCTAAGTGCACTGATGCTGGCAGTGGCATCTTGTATCAAAGAAGACCCTTGGAGCTTAAATTGCTCTTTTTCACATGATATTTGCATACGAAGAGTATCTATAAATAACAAAATCATTTTTGTGTAGATATGCAACCTAACTTTAGAAATAAATTACTAACTGTTTGCATTAATGAACTAGAAGCAACATGTTTCTGTGATTTTGTATTGGTCCTTGCAGTACCATAATTTATGCACATTTTAATTCGTTTTTACCCTTTCTTGAAAAGAAATGTTGACAGTGATATAAGAATGCAAACCTTGTGGTGTTCTTCTGTGTAATTGTTAATTTTTTGTCCTCATTAAAGTATTAAACATTTCTATTGCTACCCATATGAAATATAGTTTTCGGATCATTCAGATTATGAAAAGAAATTTTATTTTACCATATTCATTTGTTATGTTACAGCCCTTTAATATCCTGCGCTATGAGATTGGACAGAGGTATGCTTCGCATTATGACGCATTCGACCCAGCTCAGTATGGTCCACAAAAAAGTCAAAGGGTATGCTCCTACATTTGCTTGCATTTTGCCTAACCTATATTTCTCGGTTCTAGATGTCTTGAAGATTGGGCTCTTTTTGTTATTTATGTGAACAGAGGTGCTAAGTCTGCTTAATGGACCACTAGATAGAATAATTTAGGTTGAATGATTTGACAAGAATATAGCTAAGGAACTATTGAAATGCAAATTTTCAGGTCGCGTCTTTCTTGCTTTATCTCACGGATGTTGAAGAAGGCGGAGAAACCATGTTCCCATATGAGGTGAGCATTGAGGATTTTACCATGTATTCCATCAACAGATTCTAATTTGTTCTTTATTGGTTTGCAGAACGGGGAAAACATGGATATAGGGTATGACTATGAAAAGTGCATTGGCTTAAAGGTTAAACCAAGGAAGGGTGATGGTCTCTTGTTTTACTCCCTTATGGTAAATGGCACCATTGATCCGGTATGTTCTTGCCACTCAAGTTGTTCGTGACTTCCCATTTTGTGAAAAGATTCTAAGTTAGCTACATATGTCGTTGCAAAATCAAAGATTTTAGTAAATCGAGACTCATATTCTATCTGTACTGGATGCTAATTTCTGTGCAAGACATATCTAGAGTAACACTAGTTCAATTATAATACTGATTCTAGATGTGTTCGGGAAAAAAAAAATACTGATTCTAGATGGCTTTGCACGCCAGGCATCGTTTGGGATTTTAACTTTATATTGTGGGCGTACTGTTTGCAGACATCTCTTCATGGTAGCTGCCCAGTGATCAAAGGAGAAAAATGGGTCGCCACAAAATGGATTAGAGACAAGAGTAAGGCAGTGTAAATGTGGTATAGGAGTCTCCACGCCCCATGTAGATCATAGGCATATATATACTAAACAATCTTTGTACACGTTTCTGTACGAACATTACATTTATTCAATTTTCATCAGCATGAATGAACTAGTGAGAAATGATGTCACTTTCTCCTTTTGAGTCTTCGAAGAGAAGTATTTGCACTTGTAGGTCTGGGTGTTAATTTTTCCACACTTGTAGGGCAAGAAAATTTGCTGCTATGGGTGACCTGATCTTCTGCAAGTCTTTGGAGGAGCTGGCTTGTACTTTCTCAACTTGTACGGCACGTCGATTAGTCTGAATAGCTTCCTCTGGGCCAGGGGCAGGTGCATATTCGCAAGATGTATATGGTACTATCGTCCAGCATCTCCATCGCTCTAATGTTTTTTCGTCTCACTAATCACTATGAGATGGCTTTCTAGTGGTCCAATTTTTGTCCTCTCTGGAAGAAAATAAATGGAGAAGAAAGGATTTCATGTAGTAAATGCATTCTGAGATCTATGGACTATGGTACAATGCATCACAATAAGTAAAATATTAAGAGGACCTTCGATCAAAATCCGTGAACCTTTAAAAAACGCATCATTTTTTTTCTGACATTTTGTGTTTTTTACCGTAAGGCTATAATTTATAAGTTATAACCTTCTACCAAAACCTGTGAGCAATAAGCTTTAAGAAAAACATTATTTTTTTTACTCCGACACAAGATTTCAGATTTCACTAGTATTAGCAATGGGATCATTATGCATGAAATTTATGGCCAGTAACACGAGGGAAAAATATTTTGCGATATTTTGCCTTCGGGGTATAATTTCGTGACTTATATAACATTCGGTCAAAACACATGAGTATTAACATTTGAGGAAAACAAACGTATTAATTTTTCCCTCCGACCAAAAATTTAATTTCATTAGTACAAGTACTGGGATTTGCACACGGAATTTGTGACATAACATGAGGACGAAATATTTCGTGATATTTTTCCTTCTGTGAGTTATAACACGGTTCAACCCTTAAAAGAACAGGGAGAGAGAACACGGTACCTTCACCGCCCAATTTTGGATGCTGCATTTACGCCCCGAGAATCCATGGTTTGGTCCATTTAGGCCCCGCTTATCCAACCGATGGCCCATGTAAGGCCTGATTATATCTCATGGTAGGCCTATTTATGGGCCCATTTGAGGCCTACCTGTGCCATGAATGGTCGGTTTGTATATTTAATGGCCCGTTAAAGGTCCAAATAAGTTAGTGGTGAAATAAGCAGCCAAATTTTGGCCCCAATATTTACTACTAGAGTTAATTTTAGTAATTTGAACCGAGCTAAGACATGCACTTCGGCCTCATTTCGAAACAAGCTTAACAAGGCTCATGCTGTCATACAGGTACCTGTTGCATCTTAATCGTTGTTATGGTAAAACATTACAGAAATAAATAATTATGTGCATGTCACGGCATTCATCAAACGCAACCAACGGAGTGAATTACAGTTTACAAATGCAAGGCTACAAGCACATTCCACGATCGTTCACACAAACTCAAAGTAGTACCGTCGTGGATCATCAGCTGGATCATCATTTTAGCAGGTACACAAGATCATTGTGGTCGTGCTCTGCTATTTTCTGCAGCTCTCACTTGGAGGAAGTACGGATGTGCCTGCAAGTATTCATGATTATGGCATTAATTTGAGAAGTCCAAGAGTAATCAAATAACAATTTGTTCCTCCTACAACTGGCCAGATACTATGTGAAGATGAAACGTTGTTCATTGCATACAAAAGCCAATGTGGCAGAGAAATTTGAAGGGTTTCTATCTATTGCCAAATGCACCATTTGCCAAATTATATTGGGTTGAAGTTAGCGATGCGAGTAAGCAATCCTGTTACCTGCATAAATACCTACAACAATTGAACTAGAATTGAGATAAACAGGCAAAAAATAACCGATTGCCCGCTCCACTTGCATCCCTAGTTGAAGTGTACCTATACAAATGCATAACTTGCCAACTATTTTTGGTTGAGGGTCAGGAAAATGTTTTATGATATTGTCATAATACAGAGCAATAAGTGAAACAGAATATGCCTAAAATAAAAATTGAACAGAGGTGTGATAGGATAGGAAGATGAAAGTACTATTATGACATCATTGATGTAATTCTTATGACTAAAAAGGAGGATATATACTAAAATATTCAGCAATAAACTAACAATCTCAGTGAACAGTCAATACTGTTACATAAATAGGAAATATCCAGTCAAACAAAATCAGTATCTTCTTGGAATGTAACAAATATTATCTGTCGGGGTAGACTTACCATAGCTTCACGTGCAGTGAGCCTATCTTGGTGATCATAACGTAGAAGCTTATCAAGAAAATCTACAGCCTACAAATGTACAAGCATGATGTTAAGCAAACATTATCTTAAGGTTGATTTGGAAACAGCAAGAGCCATTGACAAACCTCAGGAGATACTAGATGTTGGTTATCAGCATTAATGAATTTCGACCATGGTTTTCTACTATGCCTGCATATGTATATGTAAGTGTTATACTTCTGAATCTTCCCGTTCAAAACCAATATCTAAAAGCATGGCAACGTACCTCCCAACAAGAGCTTCAAGCTGAGGATCAAGCTCAATATGGTACTTGTTCAAATAAGCATTTAGTGCTTCTGTTCCAAGTACCTGAGAATGATGGGGAAAACACATGGATCAGATACCAATATTTCACATATAGCTGTTTTATTGTTATTCCAAAATAAGCACTTATATAAACCACTAAAACAGATCAAGAATAAAATTTGCATAGATATCAAAGTACATTATGACATCTGCCTTAGTCCGATATCAATAGCATAATGCTGGAAAAGTACTTAGTTTTCAACTGATGACAAGCGAATCAACACTGCTGACACACACTCGAGGCATTATTGGATGCTTAAAACATCTTTAAATGCCAATAACCGTCCTAGTAAGAGTTCGAGAGCAACAAATAAGAACTTCAAAAATCACAATTTACAAATGAACATAATTTATTTTGACGACATCACACTGCTTATATGTCAGAATAACATATGAGTACTAAGCTAAAAGGAGCACAAACAGCAATTTTTTTTAGAAACAAAGTAAAACATGTATACCAACCAGTCCAAAACACGAGTTGCATAACTAAACATTTTATCAGGCATACCAAACCATTTTTTTTCCCTTGAGAAATGTGAGAGGCCAGAATCAAACTGGGACTTACCTTTGCGATCTTGACAAGTTGATCATGGTTATCATGACCATAGAAGAATGGCTCCTTGCGGAATATCTGCATCATAGCATACAGTTAACTGAGTTCAGACGTCAGACTTATTATCAATACAATAGTACATTAGATATCCAGACATTGACCTAGACAGGCGATATTTTTTACAGCCACACATACCATCCCAGCAAACATGCAACCAAGGCTCCACATGTCCAAAGAATAATCATAATCTTGCAAATCAACAAGAAGCTCAGGCCCCTTGAAATACCTGAATAAAAACGAGAAACCATATGCTCAACTCAGGTACCAAAGCAAAAATGAGCAAAGAATTGACGCATTAGTAAGCAATAATTGCATGATCTATTCCAGTGATAACATGCTTACAAAAATAATAAAGTCCTAGTAATGGTATCTGTTTTATTGCCTTTTTTCAGACGTACACCCAATAATTGCATGATATACTCCAGTGATAACATGCTTACAAAAATAATAAAGGGCTAGTAATGGTATCTGTTTTATTGCCTTTTTTTCAGACGTAAACTTAGTTGTTTAAGGGTAAACAGCTTCATTGCTTAACTTTCAGCATTTCGTAACATTAATGTTGCAAAAGGACCACTAGGCAATTCAGACTTCAACAGTAGCAGTGAATTCAAACCAAGTAATTTATCGGTTCACGTATTGCTTCTAGAGCCAAGTTAGCAAACAAACTGCAAAACAGGGATGCTACCTTCTTAAGTTAGCTTCCTCTCATGATTCAAGTGATTATCAGGGTGCAATCCAATTCAATAAAAAAGCAAGAAAATCATAACCAAACAAGTAGTTTGCTTGTAACTACACCAACCTTGAAGCAACACGAACATTATATTCCTTCCCTGGATGATAGAACTCAGCCAGGCCCCAGTCTATCAATCGAAGTTTTCGGAGCTCATGATCTATCATAACATTGTGGGGCTTGACATCTCGATGCATAATGCCTTGTGAATGGCAGTAGTCTAATGCCTGGGGCCATAAACAGAAGGAAAATATTGTAAAGAAAATCAACTAGATTCTTTAAACAAACTTAACACACAGGATTAAGGGCAAATGATGCTACTGTTCTTGGCTAAGAATATCGATATGAAAAACACACACTGTGTGTTAACAGTTTATTACCCATGGATAGAAGGCATGACCTAGCACATACGTTAAGATGCCCATTGATGGCTGAATTCTTAACACCAACATAGTGCTGAACTTAGAAATGTATAAAACGACACTTCTCTTCAAAATCCCAGATCATAAACCATTATAGCACATATGCAATTCAGGAATTCTTTTGTCATCTGTACATTATGAAGTGCAAGATGCTACTATAATTAAAACTCAAAACAAAACTGATCCATAAACTGCTTGAGATTGTGACAAGTTTTAAGCCATGTAACTTAGAAAATAATCAAGTTCATATATACATAAATAATTAAAGATATGTTGCAACTTGCAAGCAGTGAGAATGGTGATATTTGTCTAGGATATATTACAAGTGTGTTTAGTTGGATCTTCACATAATAGGAAAGTAATTGTGAAACAATTTCTATAAGAGATACATCATTCTACAGATCCACAGAACAGGATGTTTTACTGAATAGAGTAAATAAATAGGGATGACAATGAAGGCTCAATGAAGACCTTGAGTAGCTCATATATGTAGTAGCGGATATCATAATCTGTCAACGTGGGGTACAGCACTTTGAAGTCTGTATTGTTGACATATTCAAAGATCAAGCTAGGAGTCTTAGAATGTTGATCTCTGACAATATCAAGAAGCTACACAATGTTTGGACCTCCACAAAGATTCTGAAGTATTTTAATCTCCCTTTTGATCTGTTCAAACATATGAAAGGTAGGTTAAGAACTTCAACACTAGCAATTAAAAAAAACAGTCAATAAGATCAATTAAATACCTTCTTTTTCTTCACAGGCTTGAGTATCTTGATGATGCATTTCTCATTGTTGTTAACATTGATGCCTTCAAAGACTTCACTATATTTACCTCTTCCAACTTTCCTGACAACTTCATAGTCATCCTGCTCACTGTTAAAGATGCACCATAATAGTTAGCGAGGTATTGTGTAAGTCATAACATGCTGCCAGGTCCCTCAATGACTTGAGGTAACAAGAATTAAATGGACAAAAGATGGGAGATATATGGCAATTCTTAGTGTTGGTGTGTAAACTGAACAAACTTCGAAGAAAGCTCAATTCTTAACAAGTATTTAACATCAGGTCAGGGAAAACACCACTGCTTTCTATAGTTTCTCATAAAGTTCAAGCAGACAAGGGATCATCAATGAGCTACATATTGTTCATCTCTTCTTTTATTTTTCTTTTTTTTTTGTCACCAGACAACTTATTTAATAATTCACCATAGATAAGGAATACATCTAGAGGAAACACAACTGGTAACAGAGTCAGATTGAGAAAAACAGTGCACTTTTGGAGTACCAAAATTAAACAAGCACACTCCTACCAGGCCTCAACTGTCATCTAGGTAGCATGACATGTACAGAATATACTAGGGCTGTAACTTCTACAGGGAAAAGAAGATGGGTTGTTAAGGACAGTATTATATGTGTTGAGTTGTTTGGCACCATATTACTCAGCATGTTACAATCATATAGGTAGAAACGAAGTTATATTTGATTTCATTGATTGCTTTCAGGTAGTATATTCTAGGGTGAGTGAAGGAAAACACAATGTTAAATTTGAGATTACATAAAAGCATAGAACTTGGTGAATGTTCAGTGCTAAAGAAGATTAGGCCCAAAGCACTATACTACCAAGTTATGCTTTACTCATCAATCTTGGTTATCAGATGATGCAAAAGAAACACCCAGAAACCCATCACCAACTTACTTTGTTCCAATGATTAAACATAAAACTGCCTAATTTTGCCTTAACTTAGATTTTATCCCCAACAAAAATAGGATCAATACCTACAGCTTGCCATTCACAATCAAACAAAGGCTCTTAACTGAACAACACTAGTATCAACTTTAAAAGGAAGATATAGTGAGATTGATTCCAAAATTAAAATCATAACCTTGCAAATTCATAACAATTTCTTCAACCATTCGGTAAACATGTGTCCCCTACTCCTATAGTACAAACATGTAAAACTACCAAAGCAGTCTTCGGTATTGAGTTCGTCCTAATAGAAACAGAAGCAATTCAATCTAACCTTCAAGCTACAATAAATTCCCAATTCCCTGACCAAAACCAAAATCTACAGGCACAAGCAAACCTACGCATAACCCAATAATCCAACCTAATCCCAATAAGCAAACCCAGCCCAGGTGTACGGGATACGGATCGCGAACTAAATCTGGAGAATACAAGCTACGGCCGCTGATCAGGGGGCTCAGGAAGGTGACGTCAGCTGGCTGGCTGTGCTACCTACCCCCATTGAACGGTGAGCGCCTCGTAGTCCCAGTACTCCTTGGGGCGCAGCACGTTGACGTCGGCGTAGACCCTCGCCTTCGACATGCCGACCCTGGATCCCGCGGCGACCGGGGCGCGCCGGGGCGGCTGCAGCAGGGCGAGGAAGGAGGACGCGAGGGCGGCTGCGATCACTGCCGCCGCGGCGGCGGGCACGGCGACGCTGCTGCTGGGTGGGTGCGGGCGGCTCCTCGGCGGAGGCGCATCGGTCATGCGGCCATTGCCGGCGGCGAGGTCGCGCTAGGGTTTCGGGGGTGGGGGAGAGAGAATATTTTCGGGAGCTTTGTTTTTTTTTTATTTCACGTGGAGATAGATAGAGGCGGCGTGGGACGGCGACTCTGGAATCTGCTGGCTTTTGGTCACTGACAGGTGGTTTTGTTCCCTTACGTGGGCCCGACCTTTCCCTCCAGGAGAAGACGCCTTCCAGTTGATTACGCCTTCTGCCTATGAAAGCTCCATTTGCGCATGCGTGTCCGGATCTTTTTTGTTTCTTTTTTTTCTTTTTTAAGAATGTGTCCCGATCATTGAGCTGTTGAATTGGAAGTCTTCTCAAATTCACACGTAATTTTGCCTCTTAAATTTTAATTACTTCCTTTAGTCAAAAATATTTTACGTTTAGTACTAGTACAAGATATGGTCGAACTTTTTAAATTTCTGATCATCAATAATTTAACAAATACCTCTACTTAGTTTAAAGATAAGATAAAAGATATACATATATTTATCTCAACAAGTGCTATCATAAAATCACAAGCTTATAGCGCTTCATAAACTTAATTTAATATAGAATTGATTTGTTAGAATTTTAGAAGTTTGATCGGATCTTGTCCTAAACATCAAATATTAATAACTGAACGGAGAATGTTTACCACAAGTTTTGAAAAAGACTTACGTACAAAGACCGTTGTTTGTGTTTTGACTTATCACCCGTAGCTAAAATATAAATGTTGAAACTTAATTTTAATTTGATTTTAAGTTTTTTTATCGTGGTATATTTTTCAATACTACCATAATTAACTAATAATCTTATACATTTTTTTTATCGAAGGGAAAAAGGCCCTCCATTTCCATTAACAAAAATGCATCAGACTATAAAACAGAAGAAATAAACAGGTTCTGGCACTAAGGCCAGGCCAATAGTGTGGGTAGGGATAGGTTTGATACGTAACAGAGCACTAATAATCTTAACCATAAATTGTTTTTTTACTAATAAGCCAGCAATAGGCCAAACGAATAAGCTAATATATAGTTCAATGAGGTTTTGATCTTCTACATCTATTATATTATTAAAAGAATAGAAAAAGGAGCCTCCACGTTCGCTCTTATGGCATAGAAATTCTCACATTAATCGGAGAAAAAAAAAACAGAGTTCATATAGAAATACAATTTAGAAATAGTTGAAATTCGGAATTAAAAAATAAGGAATATTAGAAGAGCAGACTAGAGTCCATATAGAAATACAATTTAGAAATAGTTGAAATTCAGAATTAAAAAATAAGAAATATTAGAAGAGGATACTAGAGTCCATATAGAAATACAATTAGTAAATAACTGAAATTCGGAATTAAAAATAAGGAATATTAGAAATAAAGTATATAGTCCATATAGAAATACAATTTAGAAATAGCTGAAATTCGGAATTAAAAATAAGAAATATTAGAAGAGGAGACTAGAGTTCACATAGAAATACAATTTAGAAATAGTTGAAATTTGGAATTAAAAAATAAGAAATATAAGAAGAGGAGACTAGGGTCCATATAGAAATACAATTAGGAAATAACTGAAATTCGGAATTAAAAATAAGGAATATTAGAAGTAGAGTATTGAGTCCATATAGAAATACAATTAGGAAATAATAGAAATTTGGAATTAAAAATAAGGAATATTAGAAGTAGAGTATAGAGTCCATATAGAAATACAATTAAGAAAGAAAATAAAAATTTGGAATTAAAAATTAAGGAATATTAGAAGTAGAGTATAGAGTACATATAGGAATTTAAAACTAACTAAAATTTGGAATAAACATAATAAAATTAAAAGTAGACTTTAGAGTCCGTATAAAAATACAATTTACAAATAACTAAAATACAAAATTAATAAAAACATGGGAAGAAGAGTTTAAAGTTAATATAGGAATACAATTTAGAAGTAACTGAAATTTGAAATTAAAAATTAAAGAATATTAAAAGATGGGTTTAGAGTCCACATAGAAATACAATTAGAAATAATAAAAATTCAGAAATAAAAATAAATAGTATTGGAAGAAGAGCAAAGAGTCTATATGGAAATACAAGAAATTTGAAATTAAAAATTAAAGAATATTAAAAGATGGGTTTAGAGTCCACATAGAAATACAATTAGAAATAATAAAAATTCAGAAATAAAAATAAATAGTATTGGAAGAAGAGCAAAGAGTCTATATGGAAATACAATTTATAGAAAATTTGGAATTAAAAAATATATTAAAAGACGAGTCTAAAGTCCATATAGGAATATATATAATTTACAAATAACTAAAATTTGATATTAAAAATAATTAATAACTAACACGTATATGAAATATAATATGAATATTACACACTAGTTGTTTTGTAAAGTTATTGCAAAATTTAAAATTATATAATGAGAAAATATATATGCTATTATATGAGAGAAAATATAATGATGCTAGCCGCGGGCCACCATGCTAGTTCTTGTTTATTGTAAAAAAAGGTTAATTGAAACTCGAAAGTCCAGTGGTTTCTTTGGAACACAAGGAATTTATAAGATTCTCACATGGTTCGGTTCAATTTATTTGAAATCCTTTGAAAATCGTCCATTCCAAATGAGCCCTAAATAAGAACATTCCTGCCATAAGAACCTCGTCTTCCTCCCTCAATTTAGGAGCAGTGGTGTTTAGTTAGTAGTATTCTTATTTTTTTTCTAATATATTGACATGTACTCCGTCCGTTATAAGACGTTTTGACTCGGGTTAAAGTCAAACTATTTTAAGCTTGACTAAGTTTATAGACAAATATAATAATACTTATAATATTAAATTAGTTTCATTAAATTAATAATTAAATATTTTTCATAATAAATTTGTTTTATGTTAAAAATATTACTATTCTTTTATATAACCTAAAACGGAGGGAGTAATATTTTTGCGCGATCGTCAAAAATAACTTCTTCTGAAAAAGCTCCGTACATTCTCCTCCCTCTTTCGGAAAGTAGCTTCTTCTTCTACATTGTCCCTCAACTACAAGTTAACTTTATTTTTCTAGAGTTGATCCATTAACCAAGCGGGAAGCAAAGCAAAGAAGCATGGTGGAGTACAACTCAACGACGACAAGAAGTCAGCTGCGTGCTGGCTGACACTGCCCGCCCGGCCGGCCATGAGACAGTACATGCATGCACGCGTCCGTGCTTCTCCTTCCTCTCTCTCTCTCTCTCACGCCATCCGAAGGCTGAGCCAGTGGAACAGCAGCGGCGGCGGCGGCGGCGCCGCCTGCACGGCGCCGTCGTCCACCTGCACCACGTCGAACGCCGCCGCCGGACCCGGCCTCCGCTTGTGGTGGTACGGCGGCGAGGCCGCGTCCGCGTCCCGGACGCCTGTGACGAGCACGTCGGACTCCGTCGACGACGACGAGAAGCTCTGCCCGGGGGAGTGGTGCTCGTTGCGGCTGTACCTCTTCTTGGCACTGGCGGCGTCGCCCACGGCGAGCGTGAGCTCCAGCTCCGCCGCCGCCGCCTCCTCCTCGTCGTCGGTCTCCTCCGCGTCCTCCTCCTCGGGGCTCTGCGCGTACTCGACCGCCGGCACGAGGCTCAGCGCCGCGCGGGCCGCCGCCGCCGCGTGGTGGACGGCGGCGCCGCGGCGAGTGGCCGCGCCGTAGCATTGCTCGTAGGAGCGCATGGCGTCCAGTGCGGCTCTGCTGTACTCGGCGAATCCGTTCGGGGAGGAGGTTGACATGTTGCTCTGGTTCTTGAGCTCCCTCTTCAGGTCTCTCATCAGAAGCTTCTGAATTCTGTACAGACGATGGAGCTCATGAACCTGCAAATCAAAATCAAGAAACTTAGTCAGTACATTGTTCTTTATATGAACAAATTCAAGCTTTTGAAATATCGAGGCATTTTTATATCACCTGCTGTCTGAAAGTCTCTTCATGCTTCAGCATGGCCATCTTTAGGGTGTCTTTGTCGTAGTGCTCGAAGACTTGCTCCATCGGCATTGTCATTTGTGAAGGAAGATATGCTTCTTCGCTGGGTCTGCGTGAAGTAGCAGATAAGCCTCTCTTGTATCTGTAATATACTACTATACAGTTTTTGAACGTAATGAACTTAAAAAAAAAAACTAAGAACAAAACTGAAATCTTTGGTACAATGCAACTACAGGGACAGAAGTATTGGGATTATAATCTAAAAACGCAATAGTAGCATAGTACATTTAGTAGGGGGGAAATGGAAATGGAAGACCAACAGTAGGCTAAAATCTTTCTGTTGGTTCTCTGGTGAAAAGAACGATAGAGTAACTGTATTCTGAAATAAGTTCTATTCAAAGCATGCTTCACATATCAGGTTAAAAAGCCTGAAAAAAGACCAACGTCATAGCAAACTCCACTCCAAAGCTCAAGAATGATTGAAGAGAATATTGAAGATTGATGAGCAAATCAGATGAAGGAAAAGGAATGAGCACCAATTTCTCACCTATAACTGCTCTATCAGTTTTTATGTCAGAGAAGTGACTCCAAGACTGTTTCCTATACTGAGCTCTAACTAACTTAGCTCTCTCCTCCTCTCACTCTCAATTTCTGATCATTGTATGCTTCCAAAGGCCACAGGCTTTCCCTTTTATACACAACTCAAGCCTCAGACACCAACAGAAACAGACCATCATCTCCTTCCTACTACCTCCATCCCTATCTCTGAAAAAAGTTTAAGGGGACAAGACATGAATGATGCAAGATTCCTTTCACAGTGGTATTTTAATTAGTCACCCCCTGTAAGCATGCCAAACAATGCAGTACTGTGGCATTGTTCTTGCAGCTGAGCCGAGCAGCAGGAGTGAAAGCAAAGGAAGCAAGCAAAGGGACATGACATGGATTAAGAAACTAACTACCTGTATTACATGTGTCAGTAAAAGATTAAGCATAGAGGAAAAAGGGTGTGTGATGAATCCAAGCTTTTGGAGCCAAATGGACAGTACATTGCTTTTGGATGACAACCATACGTCATTGAACTTCTTTTGAAATGTACGTACTACAGATACATACACAAGCCGGCAACACCAACTTTAAATCGTTTTCTACCGGACAGTCCTGTTCCACCATAAAAACCTGTTTTAATTTCAAAGTAAGAGCTTGGTAGGTACAGCAGGAAGAGCTCTGTAACTCTGTTATACTGGCCATGTTCTTGCAACTTCAACTTGTTACCGGAGAAAGATCAAGTACTGATTAGGTATACTCCCTTTAAAAGAAGTGTGCTAATCAGACATATGGTGGCATGGTGCTAGGACATGAAACGCATTGGAAGAATGAGCAACTTTTCTCCAATGCATGCAACTAGTTCTGAATTCTGATTGCTCTGTTACTAGATCTTAATGGACAGCATTTGGCTGCTTTAAAGGTGATCAAGCATTGTTCATGATGGTGAAAGAAACACTTCTGTGACATTTTGTGGCTCCATGACCAGTAAGTGGGTGTACAAATTTTCCATGGACCATTCAGTGGTCATTATCATGCATGATTTGGGGCAAGGGTTATCTAGTATCCGGTCAGTGCTTCATGGGGGCCAAGCAACCAAAGTGGTCCAGCATCTAGCCATTCTGCCATTGCTCCTCAGTCCTCACACCTGAGGTACATTCCTAATTTCTATCTAATGGCAATTGGGAGCTAGTGGCATTAGCAGTTTAGCACAAAACAAAAGTGTTTTGAGCCAGACAAATTGTGTGTTACTAGACTAACAAAAAGTGCCTTTTCAGCTTCAACCATCATGTCACGTTGTTACTCCCACAGGCCATGTAGGGCAAGTTAGCCAAGCCCTAAGTGCGCTTACAAGAAAAGAAGAGCTGAAACCTGAAAGGTGGCCATGCATATGCATGGCCACGTAAGATTCAGCGAAGCAACTAAACAAGTCCCTGACGAATGTAGTGGTGAATGCTTTAGTATTTGGTTAATTCAAATCGGCACTTCCTGGTTTCTTCCCCACAATTGAAAAGAACAGAATAGTCTTCTTTCAAAAGAATGACAAGTAGGTGTGCTTTGCTTCATTTGGTCTGATTAACAGAACTGACCTTTCTTATTTTTTTTCTGTCGGTCAGCTCCTCTTCTGCTGTTCGGCGTCAGAGAAAGCTAATCCGCGACTGGACCCGTGTCGCGCGTGGAGGGGGGTGGGGGGGGGGGGGCGACGGTGCGTGATTTTTTTTGGGAGCGGTTTCTTTTTTTTTCCTGTTTTTTCCGTATCTGAAGTTTGCGATTTTCTTTTCTTTTTCTGTTTTTTCTTTCCGTGGTTTACGGTTTCTGTTTTTGTTTGGTTGCTTTTCTTTTTTTCTTTCCGTACCATTATTAGTTTTTTTCGTTTTTTTAATACGTTATACATGTATAAATATAAACTTTGTATACGCATATATAAACTTTTTATACTCGTATACCAACTTTATATACGCGTATGCAAAGTTTACATACGCGTATGCAAAGTTTGTATAAGTATATTTTTTAAGTTTTATACGTATGTACACAAACTTGGTATATATATATATATACAAAGTTTGTATAGATATATATTTTTTTTTGTTTTTTATATATAAGCACACAAACTTTATGTACATGTGTATATTTTTTATACAATAAAGTGTATATATATACACGTGTATATATACTATATAAACATATGTATAAACTTTGTATATATAAATATAAAGTTTATACGCATGTATATATATAATACATATATACATAGTACTCTGTATAGGAGTAGAGACTAGAGAGGGGGGGCGCTGATCGCGCGCGTGCGCGGCCGCGCGACTAGTCGCCGATCAGCACCCCCCGTCGGCGTCGGCTTTCCAACGGCGCTGAGGCGCGTGTGCTGGAACCGAGGGTGAGCCGGCCGACAACGGCGCACGCGCTGCCGCAAGCGAGAGGTGCACTCCGGCCAGGTGGCGGGGCCCGCATTCTCAATGGGCCTAGAGTACATCACCAGCCCATGGGCCCGGTTTACTGGGCCAGATCGGATTCTCGGCGCCGTCTCACTCTAGGCCACCCCGTGTGTCTTCGTATGCCTCGGCTTTGGCAGTTTGGCTCACATTTTTATCTAAGGGGTTGGGGCCAGCTGACCACGAGACTATTTAGATTGTAGAGTAAATTTTGACAATGCCAAAATTTTAGTAGGATTTCTTATGTATGTATTAAAGTTTGGCAAGAAACTAAATGGAAGCATATATTTGAGAACCTAAAAAACATGTTATGGTTTAAAATGACATTAATCTGAATAAGCCCTAATAGGGTGGATAGAACTTACTGACGGTGTAGACACACTATCAGCATCATGTCATCACGATGATTAGCTTGAAGAGCAACCCACGCACCAATTTATTGGTATTCTTGGCCCCAATGGAGATGCAGCGATTGACTAACACATCAGTTATTGAAGGGATGACTGTTGCAAGACAAGCAATGAGGCGCCAAGGCATCTCACGTATGCTCGTTAGGAGCAATACAATATATATCTTGCCATCTCTCGTTCTCTCTTGTTTTAGACTACGGTCTACTAGCCGATATGCTTTTACATGAACAAGTGAGGGTCCCTTCTCCTTATGCCAAGTCGGATGAGTGCTACCCGTCTCCCCGGTGTAGTGGCTTCTCCATTTTCATGCTTAACAAATTGATTAGCACACTTTATAAAAGAAATATTAATATTTTCATAGGTACGGCAACGAGATAACTACTATTACGAGTTAGACATATGCATTTCCTCGTATGATTGAAAACCATAAAATTTGAAGAAGTTTGATAAAAGGATACATTTGACTATGCTCAAAACACATGATGCATGTGAGGGTTAGAACATTCTCCCTTGTTTTTTTTTTGAAACCGAAGACAACCTAAGCTGGAAGTATATTAAGGAGGAGAGAGTATTTACAATATCACCCAGAAAGGTGAAAGAACCTGGGGAGGCGAGGGAAGAAAAAAAAACACAAAATAGAAGTTAAACACAAAACATTCTCCCTTGTCACAGCCATATAAAATCCATGGCTTCAAGTACGCAGACACAGCTTTGACTGAAACACTGTGGAAAGAAAATGGAAGGTTGACAAGCTTAAAGAAGGAATCAAAAGGAGCAAAACAGCAGAAAGTTTGTGGAAAGGGGAGAAAGCCACTGTCCCCCTTGTCCTCCTATCCCTACAGCCACCACCACACTCTCTGTAAAAACAAGTAACCACTTTGGCAAGTAACAGCCAGAGGCACCAATGCTTCCTCTGCTGAACTCGGTTTGCATCATGGCGCCGTGCAAGATGCACAGTCCAAGTGTCCAACACAATACAACTAATACTACTAAGAAATGCAGTGTATTGAGTTGATCAGTTTGGGAACAGTTCGATCAAATTCAGAGCAGATTAGGATTGTTTATTTGTTTGGATAATTCTGACAGTAGTTTCCGTTTGATACGGCAGTGAAATGGGGAAGAATGATGAGAGCGATGCATGCTTGGCAGCAATCCACAAGCTAAACCTATAGCTACTTAAATTCAGTGCTGAACTTTTCCCCAAAAGCACATTGAATCCAGTGACCTAAATTCCTTGGTTGTACTACGGAGTACTACTAAACAAGAACCAAGCCTGCGTTCCATGAGTTCCATCTGCAGCTCAGTGACCTCACCATGCCATGAGAAACCCTAACATTCCACTTATGCCTTGTGCCGAGGCTATCATGTTCAGCCGTTAGGGATCATCATGGAGATGGCCAGGCGCCAGGATAAGAATATATATAATAACTTAATTACTGACAGATTATTCTTTAGCGATAAGCCTGATAGCATCATGGCATGATGCTAAACTGACAGTCTCCCTGGTGTTCTCTCTTGTATATATTCCCAATCAAATCAGTGCAATGAAATGGTTACTTTCATGTTATTCTCTTATCTTTCTCTCTTTTCCCCCCTTCCACAATTGTGTTGTTCCTTGTCTTTCCAGTAAAGCACAGCAAGAGCCCCTTTCTTGACATCAGAATGTTCCTTAAAGCAACCACATCCATTGGAGTAAGAAACACAGTTATTTTTCTTCTCCATATTTTATTGTTTAATTTCACAAATTAATCTTGAATTACATAGAATCTAATCCTCTATTCAACAGCATCATCATTATTTTGTACCAGTCAAACTGAAAACACATTCTGTATTAGTAGGGAAAAGTGTTTTCATCCCTCGAGAGAATACCATCACACTTCTTGCATGTCATCCGTATGATTATAAAACTTTTGAAGAAAAAAAAAAGACAAGATTGATTAACATGACAAATATTACCCCACGAATACACAAGTTTAAATTCGATTTTTACAAGTTGTAACATAATAAATTTAAATGTGAGTGTATGTTAACTAGTTTCAGTTTAATTTGTTCTTTTGTTAAATATCGCAAAGGTCGAGTTTGACATTGCATGTTGATGAACTAATATAACTATTTAGGTGACATATAAGAAACAGGGGATGTTCCTTGAGCAATAAAAATGTATATCCGGATTAGTAATCTATATATATCCATGTCAAAAAAGTAAGTAAGAAAGAAAGTGATCCATATGTACAGTGACACAGTACATATGCAGTGTTCAAAAGGGAATATACTGCAACCTTAAAGCTAGCCAGGCCAGCAAAAGCACCACGAAACATGCGTCTTGTAGCCCTCGCAAAGCACAGCACCGGATGCAGAGAGGATGACTTGTTGTCGATGAGGCGTTCGCTTTGATCAGGGCAAGAAAAGAGCTAGGAGTAGTAGTACCCCACAGGCAGCAGCAGCAGCAGTTCGCTTTGAACAGCAGCATAGCGCACACACACACACACAAAAACATGGGTCCCAAAGCCAATATGATCTTGACACCACTCAGCTTGGAGATCTGTGATCCATGCGCAGATGCAACAAATGCTAAGCCTGAGATTTTCTGCTTGGCTGAAAATGGCTCTAGTACTATGTTTTACAGTTTGAAGACTATTCAAGGAGTGACTTAGTGACTGATCTTTCATGTCAGACTTCAGAATGCAGAAATTCACCTCTTCCGTGTCTCGGATACCATCATTCTGAAAATGACATTCGATTCTGAATGTGCAAGTGTTAGACTGAATTTACTCTACTGTAATTAGGTGAACCGTACGTGTTACTGTTTGTCAAACACTCAAACTGCATGATTTGTTACACTAAAGTGGAGCAGGTTTTGTATGGATTTCCCGGCAATTATCCACTGTGGAATGGAAAATTTGCACTGCCTTTTTATCGAGTTATAAAAAGGTAGTTGGGCCTAAATGGTTGGACCGGGCCAGCGGCAAGGCTGGACTTTGGGACTATGTCTTGATTAACTTGACCACTATAAGTTTTTCCTAAGTTTTTAGGCCATGGTCCATGGACCCATGGATTTGAAAAATGTTAGCATTTTCAAATCGTGTGTTCGAGTGGTTCATGAATGCCGACTGATCTTACTCGGTTTCTCAAGAAACACAAAGTGCTTTACACCTCGCAAAGAAAGGGAACTAATTACTTAAAAACTTTATCTTGGATGACAATACACGTATGTTGCACAGAAAATGTTGGAATATCTCCTCAAGTCGCCATGTTTTTTTACATAAAAAAATCTCTCCAAGAAGCTGACTTGGCTACTTGACGTTCGCTTATTTATTTCTCGGAAGTATGTACTTATTTTTGAATCTTATGATCAGTTTTCTCGCAGTTCACGCGTGGCGTGTCATCGATGTACGTTGGACAACTGGTAAAGAGAAATCATTTTATTATTATCTAAACACCGTTTCTCAGTTGGTTAGATACATATCCAAGCCACGTAGCAAGGCTCTTAGTCAGATAATTGCTTCATTCATGTATAAAAAAATGCTATTACACATGATTAAGTCAATTTAAGCCAAAATGGCCATGAGCCAAGACAGCAGAAGCATCATGGAGCAATATAATCTCAATCTCACAAGAAAGCATCTATAGTTTATCCCCTGCAATAGTAGTGAAAGATATGATGTAGTGCAATAGATTTGCAGGCAAGCTTCTTGATGACAATAGTCATGTGACAGTGGATTGATGTGCTATCTCATAAAAACACTATCATCGAGCTAGCTGGATAAGTGAAAAGGACCTGGATTTTAAAACTGCTCATTGAATTACCACCGTATTAATTTTTTAGTCACAAGTGTCATACTTTGGACAAAGATGTTTACAAATGCTAAACTTCTACAGCTTGATGCATGCGGCCTGGATGGATTCTACACAATTGCAACCAGTAATTGTTAGCAAGATTTTGTATGCTTCAACATGTTTCTACAAAGTTGCCTTCACACCTGTCAGGGTTTAAGCGATGTTCCGATGCTCTATACTTGTATTATTATATTACCGGTATTATTAGAGGTAAAATAGTAAATTATTAATACAATGATTAGAAGTTACTTTATCATTCATGTTCTTTTTCTGACTAAATCAATATATGATCATCCATTGCGTTGGCATCACTCATATTTCATCGAGAAAGCTCAAAAAGAGGGAAAAAAGTTTAGTCACTGCTAAATGAAGATTATATCCCTCCACACCTTTTTTTTGGACAATAATGTCCCTCCATATTTGTACTACCGTTAATTGGGATGATAGTGTAAATAGATCTGAACACTTTGATCAAACGAGATCAATGGTTCAGATTACCTTTTACTACTAGTAGAGAACACTGCAGTGAGACTCTCGAGGTTTATGTCCTAGGAATGGTATGCATGGATATCAACTTCCTTGGGTGAATACTAGTGTGTCTAACTGTCTATCCATTTTCTTGAAAAAGGAAAAGAGCATTTTATTCATCATATGTTCTATTTGATAAATCTAGACTTTCAGTTAGTTTATTGACATAAATTACCGCCATAAATCAGTAAAACACATAATTTTCAGTTACTTTCCTTTGGACATAAAACAGTGAACATCGCTATTTGTCGGTCTATTCGTATGTGTGTGAGCATGAAGCAACTTAGTCCCAGAGGCTCACACTTAATTCCTTGTATGATCAACAAGTAAACTTAGCTAATCAGCTAATGCACAAAATTCATTCCATGACGCAAGAACCAACAAATCATTCAGCGTTCCTTCCATCAAGGTTAAAAAAGAAAAAGAAAAAGAAAAGAATCAAGAAGCATCTGTATGCATGCATATGGATCAAGAATCAGTCTTAAGAGTGGACAAAAATACACGCACGAATACAACAATAACACACCTCTCAGTGAATCATCAATGTCAACTTTCTCATTTTCTTTTTCTTTCCACAGTGTGACAAAATCTTGCACACCACACTTGATCATCACTTTTTTTTTCAACGAAAACTTGTTCGTCGCACTTCTCCTGTTAACCACCATATAAATCTCCCCAAAAGTGAAGTCTTTCACCACTTATGCATGCCAAGAGGTTTAACAAGATGGCTCGGCCGTCGTCGTCGTGGTGGATGGCGCTGCTCGTCGTCGCCGCCGTGGCGCAGCTCGGCGCGTCCGACCTGAGGACGGACTACTACAACAGCACGTGCCCCAACGTCGAGAGCATCGTGCTCGGCGTGGTGAAGGACAAGATGCAGGCCACCATCCGCACCATCGGCTCCACCGTCCGCCTCTTCTTCCACGACTGCTTCGTCGATGTACAAACACTTTGCTTGATTGATTAATCGGCGATGTGTCAAGCATGGCGATCTCGATTGACTGACGTCGTGTGTGCGGCGTGGCGTGGCGTGGCGTGCAGGGGTGTGACGGCTCGGTGCTGATCACGTCGACGGCGGGCAACACGGCGGAGAGGGACGCGCCCGACAACCTCTCGCTGGCGTTCGAGGGATTCGAGACGGTGAGGAGCGCCAAGGCCGCCGTCGAGGCCGCGTGCCCCGACCAGGTCTCCTGCACCGACGTGCTCGCCATCGCCACGCGCGACGCCATCGCCCTGGTACGCTACGCGCTACACCAACTCGCACACGCTCTAGAAGTAACCGGTGATGCCAAACACTGCAAGATTCGTGCAGAGCGGTGGGCCATTCTTCCCGGTGGAGCTGGGCAGGCTGGACGGCATGAGGTCCAGCGCCAGCAACGTCGCCGGCAAGCTGCCGCAGCCGAACAACACCCTCAGCGAGCTCGTCGCCATCTTCAAATCCAACGGCCTCAACATGTCTGACATGGTCGCGCTCTCAGGTGCGACATAGACACACACTATACTATACAAACCAATGCATCCCCCGCCATGTGTTCGACGCAATGACTGACCGGACTCGGTGTACGCATGCAGCGGCGCACAGCGTCGGGCTGGCGCACTGCAGCAAGTTCTCGGACCGGCTGTACCGCTACAACCCGCCGTCGCAGCCGACGGACCCGACGCTGAACGAGAAGTACGCGGCGTTCCTCAAGGGCAAGTGCCCCGACGGCGGGCCGGACATGATGGTGCTCATGGACCAGGCCACGCCGGCGCTCTTCGACAACCAGTACTACCGGAACCTGCAGGACGGCGGCGGCTTGCTCGCCTCCGACGAGCTGCTCTACACCGACAACCGCACGCGGCCGACGGTGGACTCGCTGGCGGCCAGCACGCCGGACTTCTACAAGGCCTTCGCCGACGCCATCGTCAAGCTCGGCCGCGTCGGGGTCAAGTCCGGCGGCAAGGGCAACATCCGGAAGCAGTGTGACGTCTTCAACTGAGAAAAATGGCACTACGACGGCGACGACTACGGACCATTTGTAGATTGTGTATACACGATCGATTGAAAATGTGTGTGTTGACACGTATATAAATTGCAAAGGAGTGATTCGTTGGGTTTGCCAGTTTTCTGTTTGTACATCGATCGATCGGTCTTGTTCAATTCGTTGTGTTAAAATATGTGTGTTTCTGCACATAATTTGGATTCAATGAAGTAATAAGTGAATAAATACTACACTATCAACAAAAGACAGATTTTGATGTGTGATGACAGGATTAATCTAGAACAGTTGCTTGGATGGAACTGCAGAGCAGTTAGTGATGAATTGCTTATGTTCTCAATCTCAAGCCGCAACATTCCTCTGACGAATTCGTGTACAATCAATCATCATATTCTTGATATTTCCGATAAATTATTGGTGAGACTGAATTCGTCAATCTACGGATCAATTATTGGGCCAGAAGTCGACTTAAGGGCTAAGGCACGGCACTACTCTGTCATGGTGATGGTGGGTAACAGTCTGAAAAAAAAAAACAGTCTGAAGAAAGTGAAAACTCCCAATATAATTCCCCTGCCATCTAGTCTTCTATCAAGTCCACTGAATACTAGTAGTACTCAAAACTTCCATCCTTCCATTCTTAGTTTCTTACCACAGCAAGCCTGATTAATTTCAGAACAAATACCCAATGACATCCCCCAAAACTTGTCCCTTCAATTATGCAATTGTCATTTATATATATATATTTTAAAAAAACAGAGCCAACCTTGACGGTTTCAGTATTTCAGACAACGAACGACATGACCAACAGACCAGTACAGCTAGGCGACGTTTTAACGTGAAAAAAAACTTTAAAACGATGTGATCTTTTTTTTTCAAGTAAACGACGCACGCGCGTCTCGCAGAAAAAGTGTACTAACACAAATCCTTCGGTGCCGTGTCATACATGGCGCTTCCCCCCAACTCCAAGTCCACCACCGCCAGGGCAAAATCTCTGAAGCCGCCCCGTGCGAATGGCCAAATATTACGGTGATTTGCTACGCCTAGGTACGTACGCGCGCGTCCCCCTGCAACCGCCGAGGAATTGACGTCCCAACCAAACCCAGCAAAGTCGCCTCGCTCCGTTTCATTGTTTTCGTTATCTTTGTCCCGTGCCGGATAACTTCCACGGCCACATCGATGTAACGATCAGAATCCGTGACGTCTACTACTGTCCAAAACTGTATTCGAGTTTCATATGCACTTCCGATTGATCGGCAGCCCAAACTGTTGCTGTTACATGAGTATGAGTGTTTGATTTGTTTTGCATGTCGTTTTCGTTTGATATGATATGTTTTCTTTGGACTTTTCTTTGTAAGGACTCAGGATGTCACGCTGAAAAAAACCCGTGTGGAAAACCGTGGGCCGGCGGCCCATCTACAGTGGGAGATTTGCAAAACGTTGATGATATGATGGAGAAAGGAAACGGCCTAAAAAGCATTGAGCCGTTAGTGGGGGCGCGCCGGGGGGGGGGGGGGGTCGGAATAGAATGTGTGACGTCGTTCTCACAGATCAAGACGATGTCATTTCTGTACATCAAAGGTCCTTTTTAATCCACATTGCGTGGGTTACTCAGCTAATGGAACATCATCATGTTCCTGGAGGAAGTGTGCAAATCAAGCTGATAATTAGCAGATCATAGCTGCCTAGTGGTAACATTTTCTGAAGAAACAGAGCAACTCTTTGATGAGGCGAAACGCTGATGGGTACAGACGTACAGTACACACAACGACACCAATTATACGTGCCTCCTTTTCGGATGCCTACTACTACTTGTAATTGTCAATCCAGAATTGTGACGCCGGTAGGAGTACGTGTTAGAGAAGAGTAGCTGGGCCTCGCCGTCTGCAATAATACAAACCTGCTCCGGGACGCACGACGAACCTACGAACAACTCACCATTCTTGGCCGCATTTGCCTTTCCAGAGGGGCAGCAGCACACAGAAGCTACCATCCGCTGCATCGAGTGTCGCGTCGGCTAATCGGAGTGTACAGTTGTGCACGAAACTGCAATGTGCGCTTTGACCGGTGCTGGCCGGCTACATTGCGTGGTACATGTGCCTTCATCATCAGTTCATCACATGCGTATCTTCAGCCTCGTTAATTTCCATGTTACTAGTATTTCAAAGTTCAGATCAAGTGCTCCTAGAGCTTGCATTTTAAACAGGTTACCAGATCAGTCCCAATGTACAAAACAGTACGCTTAAATTTAACCGTAAATCTACACAAAAATAGCTCTAATCACACACGAAATCTAACTAAACTCGCTGCAATTAAGAGCTGCCGCTGCTCGTGCCGTTCTTGCTGCTGCTGCTGCCTGCAGGAACCGGAAGTTTTTAATGCGCGGAGCATATGCAGCTACGCACCAACCGCGCCATGTGCGGGGCGGGGCGGCCGTGCTTACACATGTTGGCAACGCACGCGACGCGACGCGAGCGCCCCTCCCCGGACAGCCGTATCCCTCCCCGTCTACCACACGCCCGTGGCCGCGACCGCGAGAGCCCAAGCCGCCCCCGGATAGAACACGCGCATGTGGGCGAGACGTGGGGGCCAGCACGTCGCTTCTAGATCCCCCTCTCCGCTCGCCGCGGCCGTGGTCCGTGGACATGGCATGCATCCACCGCACCGCGCCGCGCCGCGCACGCACGCATCTCGGCGCGCGCCGCCACGCTAACTACCCCGGGCGACGCGAGTCAGTCCATCCCCTCACCTTCCCCCACTCCGAGGAGACTTGGAGTCTACATCACTCGACCATAACTACGCTACCAGCCACTGCGCACGCACGACTCGCACACGCTCCTCGTCCCTTCTTCTACCGCGGCCGCGCGCTGTGTCAGTAGTGCGTGTTGGTTTGGGAGAGCTAGCGCGGCCGGCACAGCATGGGAGCTGGGATTCGGATTCTGGTGGTGATGTTGGCGGTCGCCGCCGCCGGGAGCGGCGTCGTGGCGCAGCTCAGGCGGGACTACTACGCCAGCGTGTGCCCCGACGTCGAGACCATCGTGCGCGACGCGGTGACCAAGAAAGTGCAGGAGACGTCCGTCGCCGTCGGCGCCACCGTCCGCCTCTTCTTCCACGACTGCTTCGTCGAGGTTAGCTAGCTCACACACATCCATCGATAATCGATTCCTCCACGGATTTCTCGCTCGAGTCAGGTCAGGAGAATGAAGTGGCCTGGGTGTGAATGTGGGTGCAGGGATGCGACGCGTCGGTGATCGTGGTGTCGTCGGGGAACAACACGGCGGAGAAGGACCACCCGAACAACCTCTCCCTCGCCGGCGACGGCTTCGACACGGTCATCAAGGCCAGGGCGGCCGTCGACGCCGTGCCGCAGTGCACCAACCAGGTCTCCTGCGCGGACATCCTGGTCATGGCCACCCGAGACGTCATTGCGCTGGTACGTGCACACACACATGACACAAATCCTCGACAAATTAGGCTCCTTTCTTCCGAGATCCATAGAAAAGTTTCCGAGCTTTCGGAAGATCCCCTGTAAAGTAACACTGAAAAGGCTCTGTTTTCTTTTTTCTTTTTGGATCGTGCAGGCCGGCGGGCCGTCGTACGCCGTGGAGCTCGGGAGGCTGGACGGGCTGAGCTCGACGGCGAGCAGCGTCGACGGGAAGCTGCCGCCGCCGTCGTTCAACCTGGACCAGCTGACATCGCTGTTCGCCGCGAACAACCTGTCCCAGACCGACATGATCGCTTTATCTGGTAAGCAACTAATCATGCAGTTATTTAACAGTAACCGCTATCCAGAAATAATTTCACTCCACTTTAGCTTCTGTACTAGTGGAATTGTGGAACGCAACTTGTATAGACTAGTTTCTCCATGTGCTTTGTTTCATTTCATATCTTACAAGTGAAGCAAAGGGGCCCAAATCCAACGCTCAACTGTGCAATTAAAGCCAGAATTTTGAGTGGGCTCAGGAGAATTGTTGGTCAGTACAAAAACGTTTAATCCCCACAGATTAGAGGAGCAGACAGCATCATCATAGTGAGCGAAAACATTGGGTGAGTGACACTGTAGCTAGCTGATTATTCGGTGATAGTACTTAATAATAGATATAAGAGGAGTCAATGTGGAGACTGGCTGGAGGACGCCTGGATGCCGTTGCTTGCACGTGAAAAAGAGGTCAGCCTTGTATTATTGTACTAGTGCTATCAGAAACCCTGAAGGCAGGTTGCCGCTGAGGGAACGTCCAACTCCTTAATGTCGACCCGTTTATGACTATGGGCCTGCCAAATGAGCTGTCAAAACAGAAGAAAACTAATCCTCTGATATCAGTGCCACGTAGTACTCCTACAAACGGCAGGATAGAAGAGAAGCAAATTCAGGGTTCTCCTGAAAAACGCATGAACTGTCATGCTGCCAACTAGCCAATCCATTTTACTCAGTTGTTCTAGGTAGGAGTAGTTCATAGCATGAGTGGAAAACGTTTCAGTTTAGTTCAGTGTTCTGTTCTACTAGTAGCATTGCAATTCTGCAGCTGTTTCCACAGCAGTACTATATCATCCAAAATAGGAATCAACAGGTGTGGGCAGAACTGCATGTGTTTGTCTGTCACAATGTCCCATTTCTACCTTGGAATGATGGATCATAACTTCACGAGATTCATAACTATGATGACTCTGTGATAAGTTTAACATGTTCAGATAAACTAAAAAAAAGTTAACATGATTTATCTGTGCATCTGTAAACTCGTAATTTTGTCCACGCTTTCTGAAGATCTGTGCAGAATTCTGACGGAAACACTAAAAAAAGCTTCGTTTTTTTCTTTTGGCAGCGGCGCACACGGTGGGGTTCGCGCACTGCGGCACGTTCGCGAGCCGGATCCAGCCGTCGGCGGTGGACCCGACGATGGACGCCGGGTACGCGTCGCAGCTGCAGGCGGCGTGCCCGGCCGGCGTGGACCCGAACATCGCGCTGGAGCTGGACCCGGTGACGCCGCGCGCCTTCGACAACCAGTACTTCGTCAACCTCCAGAAGGGGATGGGCCTCTTCACCTCCGACCAGGTGCTCTACTCCGACGACCGCTCGCGCCCCACCGTCGACGCCTGGGCGGCCAACAGCTCCGACTTCGAGCTCGCCTTCGTCGCCGCCATGACCAACCTCGGCCGCGTCGGCGTCAAGACCGACCCGTCGCAGGGCAACATCCGCCGCGACTGCGCGATGCTCATCTGACGCCGCCGCGGGCGGCATGGTCGTCGGCACGACGACGGCGGTCAGCGGCGGCCACTGCGGTTCTCTCAATTGTTCATAAATAGTTTTAGCTGCAGCCTGCAGCGCTGAAGTTCTGAAAAATATACAACTAGCTTTTTAGAGCAAAAGTTTTAATCAGTTAATTATATTGGAAACCAGGAATTAAGATTATTTTGTGCATCTGATAGTGGTGAATCAATTAAATTACCTAGCTAGGCCAAATGTATTGTGTTTTTTAACTATGGGAGCAAGATAAATTATCTGAACATGTTGTCATTTTCATCTGCATGGCTGCATGCGTACGGATTTTTGGGTGCATGGGCATCACTTTCAGCGACGATTGAAAATAAGATCAGGCAAAATCACAGGCTTGATCCAGACAAGCAGCGAGAAGTAGAGCAGAAATGCAGTATTACTAGTCAGCTACGGTATTTACACCAAAGCGTGCACAGTTGCATACTCATCAGAAAATGCCTTGAATACAACTATACAAGGATATGGCGTAAATCAATCCACAGTTTCCACACTCAAGTGCAGCAAATCCTAAACTGGCACAGGACGGGAGAGTAATGCATTTTCTGAAGCCACTTGTCCATTACTTATTTATTTCTCCTGCTTGACAAGTTAACAGGGGCTATAAGATTATGGCGTCGTCTAGCATGCATCAATGAGTTCGAGACAACTACTATAGTACTCTCCTGTCTTAGAAGAAGACAACTTCTCAAAGATAAATTTAGATAATAACATGTCTAGATTTGTTTTCATTTATTTAGAACAAAGAGAGTACATGTATTCTAACAGTAACATTCAGTCCAGCACTCCAGCAGAATAAAACCATTAACTTTCAGCCTTAAGGCATTAATATATGCCGAGTTGCCAACTTTGACATGACATCCACGTTGTCATACACCCAGAACTAAACATGGATGAGGCCAGCCGGATAACTTTGTCACGGTGACCAAGGGCAACAAGAAGAACAACAAAAGGTTACAAACATGTAACTCCGTGGAGTCAGATACTCAGATAACCACAAAAAGAACAGGTAAAAAAAGGACATTTCGTCACTTCAGCGTCGCCCAAAAAGTTGCAAACTTGATTTAATTCATCATGCTAAATTGTAAATTAAGTTGATCGTCAGAAACCAATCTATGCATTAAACCCATGTGTCTGAATTGTCTGCCTTCTTTCAATCCTCTTCAGCCCTGACACTCAAAGTGGTTTACTAGTGGATAAGCACCGCAGTTTCAGGCGATTAAAGTATCAAGTGGTGCGCCGCTAGTAGCAGTAGCCTACTAATACTGCAATCCTTGATACGATTATGATCATTCGATGCCTGCTTTAATTTGGTGAGTGGTGACATGTAAGAGTCCAAGCAGAAGGCCACAAATCGATCCACTTGTACATTACGTATGTTCCAAAGTTCAGATATCCGAGAATCTTCCACCACAGCGTCAGAGTAAACTAGGATAGATATAACTGAATCCCAAGAGATTACAGCACAGCATTCGTGCAGTTCATGATTGGACACACAAGCAAGCATCATCTCATGGCGCACATTCGCAGGTTGCAAAAAGGAAATCAATCAGATCAAGTATCACTGTATCAGTTGGACTCCACGCTGGTGAACGCATCATCGTTACCCAGCTGCCAGGATGAACTGAAGAGATTGATGGAGTCTAGCTAGCTATATCCATCTTGATCTTCGCTAGTGGGTCATGACTGTTTGGAGACGCATAAAGCGGGCACCTTTCCGGAGCACGGACACTACCGGCTACCGCACGCACGCGCAGGACGACGACGGAGATGGCGTGACGCCGACACGGACATGATGCGTCCAAGATGGACGCACCGAGGCAGTGCAGGGCATGATGCAGCTGTGGCAGTTTACCCTGGGAGAGATGCGCCAGTCGACACGATCTCCCAACTGTTTCATAGCTTGACGTGAGCGACAGCCAGCCGCGGCGGCGCAGCGCGCGACGGCCGGCATGCAACAGCGCGGATGCATGTTCACATCGGCGACGGCGACGCATGAGAGCGACCCACTCGGCGGCGGCGCAAGTGGGATAACTGACTGAGATGACCGCGCGCATCCGACGCACTCACAGAAGGCAAAGCAGTCAAACGTATCTATCTACCGAACTTGTAATGTAATCCAATAGTATCATTTTTTTCATTTTTCCGCCGCTAATTAAACTAAGAACCTTATTGTTTCCCTTATACTTATATTTATACGAACCGTTTATTAATGATTTAAAAATAGTTTCTGATGGTAACTTTTATCTACATGTTCTTAACGATATATAAAAACAAATATGGAAAAACACAAAATCATCTTTAAAATTAAGTATTAAAATTTAAATTTTGACTTATAAGTATAGACATAAGTGAAAAGTATAAGTGATACGATAAGACTAGGACTACGTACAAAACTTATGATAAAAGAACACATTTTACATCATGTAAATTCTAGACGGTTGAATCTGTTTTAAGATTCGTGTGCATGGTAATCTTATCATTTTCCTTCCCTTCTCACACGCATGCAACAAGGTAAGTCTTTCTACACCCAGGTGCCATAGCACCAATTATTTACATGCGACTCAAATAATTATAAAAAAATTGAGAAAAAATCAGTAACATCAATTGTGATGATATAAGTTCATAAACATGCAAGACTATATTTGATCTATAACTCGAGAAACAAAAATAATACTAAAATCAGACAGTAAATAGTTCATGTACAACATAAACAATTTGTTATTTATGTTTCTTCATGTATAGATCGAATTTAGATCTACATGTTTGTATAGTGTATTATATTATCGTATTCTATCTTATTAAATTTTATAAAATTTTTATATGACTATTTATTTAACCAATATACGTGTAAGTGTCATGACACCTAATTATAGAAAATACTTTTCCGAGCAAGTCCTCCAGCGCCGCAATCTATAGATGATACGTTTACAGTCTACTAGAAGAGGTGGTATTTCAATTCGGTGAGACGAAATCATGCCCACAGTTTATTACTCGTAGCTTATATGATGACACTGTGTCTGGTCATGATTAATTTCCAAAATGGACATATATAGGCCGATTAAAAAGTGGTAGCTCATTGCACTATCTCAGCAGGTCGGCTAACCTGTCACGACGGGAAATGCATCTGCAAACCCCTTTCCATTTCCTTTTCGTTCGATTGTGGAATTTGCCTCGTGCCTTTTCATATCGTGCAGCCGTATGGCCGTACTGAAAGGTGAATGAATTGCAATGAAAAAAAAAGGAGACACTGACGAGACATCTAATGTTGCAAACATGAGTAGGCCGCCATGGCCCATGAGCACTAGCTAAAAAGGCACTCCCACATTGCGGCACACCACATCGGATGTTTAATTTCTTCAAGCGGGCGGTGGTGATGTCCCCCGGAACTTCTTCTCGGTGGAACGAACAAGTGCGTGCCTTTTCGATTAGTAGTAGTACTAGCTAGTTGAACATGAGTAATGGCGCCGGCGGTACAATGAGTGATATGAAAGGTTAAAGGAACAAATAAACCATTGTTATTTGCCAAACTGGATGTTTCTATATAACGGCGAAGATTAAGTGCGAGTATATGTGTCTCTCTTAAAAAAAGAGAGGAAGAAAAATGACCCCTAGTTTAGACGGTCTCCAACAAGTGACCCATAAGGACACCCAAACCCAAAATGGGTATCTGATAGTACTATTTCAGTCTCCAACAGAGTACCTATATAGAAGACTTATTTTACGTGCTATAAGAGACATAACCTAAATCTGAGTATCCTCTATCCTGAAGACCTATTTGCAATAAGGGTTCTCTTTTAGGTCTTATTGTTGGAGAAGACCAAAAATAGGTATTGAACTAGCGCTATGCAAACGTGAAATGGGTCTTGTATTTTGAGTTTTATTGTTGGAGAAAGCCTTACTAGCTAGTCGGTCGGTCGAGGCGTGAAACGGTTTTCTCGGATTGATACATAGTTATTAACTGCCACGCTACGTGTATACCGGGCGCCATCGCATTCACGCCACGGCAGAGCAGTAAGTCAAAACTCAAAAGCACGTACGCATGTGAGTGTTTTTTTTTCGATGTAACATGGATGAATCAGACAGGTCGAGGATCACGAAACGATACAGTAACACCTCCTCTCCTTTTTTTTTTCGGTCTGAAAAGGCCAACTCGAAACCAAACTTGACTTCCAACAATTTTTTTCCTTTCCCCATTTCTTTCTTTTTCCTTTTTCTCGCGCGGATACACGGAGGAGCAGTTAGTCGCAGTACAACTACAGCCCAGTTTACCACCAGCTCACGCCGCGCACAGAGCCGTTGGATGATCCATCACGCGGCACCGAGACCGAACCCGCGCGGAAGCCGCGCGCACGCACCTGTAGCACAGCCTGCACGCATCGCGTCGCGACTGACTGCGTGCAGCCGCGCGATCGCCCGTCCAAATCAGCGGATGGCGACGCCGCGCCGACGGATTCCCCACAAAAAAGTTTGTTTCTGACGATCGCACGCGCACTCGGCTACCTAGCTAGCCCGGCTCGTCTGTCTCCCCAATATCTCGCTCTCCCGCTATAAAAGCTCGCGGCCACGGGTGAAGCTGGTCACGGCTCTGTTGCATCGACAGGGCAGCGCAACCAAGCACAAGCTAGTCAGGAGCTTCTTCTTCTTCAGAGCTAGTAGCTTGGACGACACACTCCCGGGTTTCGGAGAGAAGAGAGAGAGCCCAATATGTGCATGGACCGAGCTGCCGTGCCGGTGAAGAGGGTGTGGCTCGGCCTCGCCGCGCGCCTCGGCCTCCGGCGAACCAGCGGTACGTAAGCCAGCTCTTCGCCGGCGATCGGTTAGTATTTCGGGGGGATATTTTCTGATGGATTTGGTTGTGCAGGGCTGGGGAAGCTGAAGAAGGAGGTGAGGACGTGCGAGTACCACGACGTGCACATCATGTGGGAGATGCTGAGGAAGACGGACGCGCCGGTGCCCATGGCGGAGAAGGAGGCCGCCGCCGCCGCGGCCGTCGCGGCGGCCGCCGGCGCCCGGAGGAGGAAGGCGGCGTGGAGACGGTTCCTCTACTACTGCTGCGCGTTCTAATTAGCCTCAGGGATGAATCAACAACACCAAAGATCAATCGAGCACTGCTCGATCGGTTGCTTTCTGGCCTCGCCGCCGCCTCGGTTCTTCCCAGCTCGGACTCGATCGGCTCCCGGCGAGCTTCGAATGAAGCTCGTCGTGTTCTTGATTCGAGGCTGTCCCGGCGAAGTTTTGCTGAGACCAATCGTCCCGGCAAAAGAGGGGCTGCGAACCAGAACGAAATGGCACATATTGCAGAGGTTTTGCAAACTTGAAATAATAAGTATAGAGACAGAAACGATGATCACGATCTCGAGTCGATCGATCATCAAATCGAGATGTAAAAAGTCAAATAAAAAGATTTTGGTTTTCTTTTTATCTATGTCAGTGAAATTTCTGCTCATCACAACCAGAAGATCTTTGTCAGTACAGAAGAGATCTTCCACGTTCTCCCAACTTTTGCATTAGGTTTGCTTCTCCTATTGAAAACCTCGTTGACTATCGCTGTACAGGTGTACCTAGAGATACTATAGCTCGAGTACAACTGGAAACATCGGAATGGCGCGTACGAGAAACCGAGGAAGATGAAAGCATAGCTGTTCTTCTTCTCCGCGAGAAAGGGAAGAAAAAAAAGGAGAGAAAGAGATAGCTGGGCGATTGCTAACCTTTGCACTTGACGTACTCATGAAGTCAGGTGTGAACCAGTGTAGAACTGAAAAACGCTTTCTTAATTTGAAGGACAGCAACTTCAGCTTTAAACTTGAGATTGTTTATGGAGAATCCCCGGAGCTGAAGATTGTTTGGATCCAACGGAAAGCGAGCTGTAGTCAAGTGAAAAAAAAATTGTTCAAAACTATTACGAACAGCAACATCAAGTGGCCTCTACTGAAAGAACAAATTGTTCAAAACTATTACGAACAGTAACATCAGGTGGCCTCAAGTTTCGGACGAATGTCTATACGATTCACCTAATAGATGGGCTACTCATATGGAGAAATTTCGTGCAAGATTAATTAGTGGTGCGAATAGAGCATATGGTTTTCTGAAGCTTTTTATAAATCGGAACTGGTTTAGGACCAAATATTTTCTATTTTTGGATTAGGCAGCCGGCAATGTACTTTTTATATATAGTCGTTTTCATTGCAAAATACTATATCAAAGATATGTCAGATTTGTGGTCAAATTCCTGTAGAAAACAAAAAGACAAGTTTCAAAGCATTTTCCAAAATGGTTTGTGATGAATACTGTTGAATTGATATCAAAAAATTATTAAAACCACATGCATGGAAGCATCGGCTTATGGATATGGAACAATGATGAGTAATGCTCGTGCACATGTTATGCATTAGAAAATGATGAGGAAGAAAAAGAAGGAATCTCTCGCTATATTGATTGGACGAAGACATCTCCATTTTCGTTCCGAGCATTTTAAACTATATATCCAGAGATCCGAATATAAAAATGCAGTGTACAAAAAGGACAAGATATATGCTTGTCCCCCTGTCCAAATCAAGTTCATAATTGGCTCTTGTCCCTCGTACCAGATAAAGAAGATCTGTCTGGTTCCGGTTTCGTAGAAACCCATAATATTAGTATTTTGATAAACCTGCAATGAAATGTAGAGCACAAAAATAACACATAGTTTAGCAGAAAATGAAACCAACATGTTCTTTCTGCAGCATGTTCTTGGTACCTTTTTTTAGAATTAGTTAATTGTTCAAATTCTGATGGGTAAATTAATTTGAGAAGATAAACAGGAACACCGAAAGGGAAATGAAACAATGATATGGGAGAAGACTACCTTCTCAATTCAACTGCAGAATAGCTAGACTCGTAGTATTGTAGTAACTGTTTAGCTTTACTTACTTGGAAACTGGATTATAGTACTATGATAGGAGAGGGCTAATTTAGTCTCAAACTAGATATAGGATTTAAATGGTAAAATTAGGTACTTATCTTGCAATTTTACAAAATATCGGCCGCGGGGGGGGGGGGGGGGGGGCATGGCCAAAGTTAGCCCTAGAGAAGATCCAACTCTGAATACTTACATTCTCAGATGAAAAAGACTTGTCTGTGTTCAGCTGCGACTGGAAGCAGCAGTAATCACAAACGCTGCAAGGCCTGCGCAGTTCCAAAACAGTTCCAAGTACATCACAGATTTCATCATTTGAACAATGGAGAAGTTGATGACATTAACACATAAAACATGGGCTAAATTGCACCTTGCTGAATACCATAGTCCATGAGCTTCAACTTTCGGGGGATAACAAAGACCTGAAAAATATCAGAGGATATGCTAATTACAGAATACTACTATCTATAATCAATCACAAGACTTCTGAGCCACTGGCAACTTAGGGTCCAGGAGACCTTTCACATCTAGGGAACTTCAGTCAACCAATCCTCACATTTCCAGACAGCGATTCCAAACAGCTTTCCTGCTTTGAGAGTACAGCTAATTCCATAGTTTAGAAGAAAATAAAACCAACATGTTCTTCGTGCAGCATGCTCTTGGTACCTTTTGCAGCCACAGTTAACTATAATATTGTTTAGTTATAATATTGTTCCAATTCTGATGGGTAAATTAATTTGAGAGGATAAACAGGAACACCAAAAGGGAAATGAGACAACGATATGGAGCAAGACTACCTTCTCAATGGGACTAGACTCATAGCATTGTAGTAACTGTTTAGCTTTCACTTGGGAACTGGATTAGTACTATCATAAGAAAGGTTAATTTAGTCTAAACTCTGTATAGGATTTGATTGGTAAAACTAGGTACTTATCTTGCAATTTTACCAAACAATGGGGCGCCATGGCCGAAGTTAGCCCTAGAGAAGCTCGGACCCTGAATGCTTATATTGTCAGATGAAGAGAACTTGTCTTTGCTCAGCTGCGACTGGAACTGGAAGCAGCATCATACGGACAAACGGACAGCTGCAGAGAGCCCTGTAAATATGGCAGAACAACGTACAGCTGCATATCACATTAAATATAAAAGAGTAAATTTCACATTGCACCATATATTTTGATCAAAGTTTCACAATAGGCAAGGTCCACACCAACCTTTTCACTAAACACCATATATGTTTGCACTAGTTGGCACTTTGGACTAGGGTTGAGCACATAGAAGGAAGTTGCCAGAGAAAAGATAGTTAAAATCATCAATTTTAGTGCCACGGTATTAAGATAAATATCTTTAGAAAAAAATAGCAAATCTGAAAACAACTTTTTTCAGCAAATCACACTAAAATAATGACGTGAACATGTTTAAAAGTGGCACAAAATGATCTATACATTGTGGTAAATGAATAAAAATAAAATAGAAAATAAAACTAGTTAACTACCACACATGAAAAGAAGGAAGAAAACATAAAGTGTTTTGCCTTTTATAATTATCCATGTGTAAATCATATGAAGCTCTCTCACATATTCCCTTGTTTTGCTCATCCCTAGTTCAAACTGAAAATTTATGTAAAGATGTATGGTGTTAAGTGAAAACATTGATTTAACCCTAGTCCATTATAAAACCTTGGTTAAAATATGTGGCCCATTGTAAAATTTACTCTATATAAAAAGAGTCCAACGCTGTTCATTTTACTGAATTTCGATTGTGTACAGAAAGGAGCAAATGGCATCACAGATTCACAGGTTTGGGCAATGGAACAGTTGATGACATTAAGACATAAGACACTGGCAAAATTGCATCTTACTGAATACCATAATCCATGAGCTTCAGCATTTCTTCCTTTCCTTTTCTTTTTTCCTCCCCCCGCTTCACCCCCCTTTTCTTCAGACAACTTTGTAACTTTTCATTTCTATAATGAAATGGCTATAAGGTAGAGCTGGCTCTATCTTCTTACATTAAAAAAAAAAAAGAGGTTCAGTATTCAAGCCATAACCAAGACCTGAAAAATAAACAACTTCAGTCAACCAATACTCACAATTCTAGATAGTTATTCCAAGTAGCTTTCCTGCTTTGAGAAGGCAGTGTATTGTATGACAAACTCAAAACAGCTGAGAGTACGAATAAATGCTAGGTGCACACGAAATCGTCAAATTGTAGGGTCTAAACTGCATTTCTCATACCAAGAGAATATAACAAAAAAATCAGTAGTTAAGTTACGCTTCCATTAATTCGTTGAACTTACAGATAGAGCTCAGTTCTGCTGATGTGAATCATACCACACAGTTGGTTCAGAACATAGCCAGTCCAGCTACATGCCCTATAAACAGAAATATCGGCAAGAGATGAACAGGAATAGGGATCTTACTATCTCAGTATCTTACAGTCATTTTGTTAGTCCACCAAAATGCAAGGGGAAACATTAGTCAGGACAAGCAATTGTATACATCTATAAGCAAGAAGCAAAAGGTTTGATCAATGCCAGCCCAATTGCCTCACTGAGCCAAATTGACATTCTAGTCTACTAGCACAGGATATGGAAAATGAATCTATTGACAAGTGGGCAGGCATCAGCACAAACTAGGAGATCTACAAAACTGATCAAAATGAAACTGCAAGTATCATAAATTAGTGAATTAGTATAAATATTCTGAACGGTGACGCATGAAAATCAGTTACACTCATGTGGTTCAGAAAAGTTACCTCAAGACACAGGAGAGATTTGGACATTGAAGACCAAAAGAAGTTTATATATTTATTCAATAGGCTAAAAACTTGCACCCTGATTACAAGCAATAGTTGCCATAATCTGAATACAATGTACAGGAGCAATGAAAATATATCACTCTTATGGTCACTGCAAAAAAATATAGCAACTCAATCTGAAACAAGGAAAACTATGCTCTATTACAACATCACGGAGAAACCCTAGAAGCACTATCAGAATGCCATGTGTTACATGCCAAGCCTATAAGTGTTTATCGACAAGTTGCTCAATTTGTCCCACGACATCAACCAGCACTATCGATTCTCTCGTTTATACCAACTGCCATCAATTCTCAAGGAAGAACTCATGACATCTGTCCATCACAGCTCCAATTGGTCACTTGTTTCAGCTTTGCTTGCTCATGAGTGAAGCAGCCCTGAGATTTGCATCTGGTGCTCCATAGCTCCATTTACTTCAGTGACAGTATTTTTCAACAGACCACGCCTCTTTTTGAAGGTTTATCAAAAACAGGGCAATCGGGCTCATTCACCAAACGACGTTGCCTGTATCTTTTCAAGCTGTGTAGGCCAATTGGTCCCAAGCAAATGTGGATCAGATTCCATAGCGACAGCAAAATCTTGTAGTGTTGTACAATGACCATGATTGGCTTGTTGCAAGCCATTCATCCTAGCTGCAAACATAGCATTGCCTTTGGTAACTCTTCTACCGCTGGACCTTGACCTGGACAATTCCATGCATGGTTTAATCAACCTCCGCAAAAACTCATCTAATCCACGATTTAAAACTTCAACACCCTGCACCGACACTCCAATGCCATCACTCTCCAACCGACGCTGCAAACCCTTGAACAGAGAACCAGTGTCCAGCAGATGGTGGGAATCGTAACACGACACCATTGGATCATCCAACCTCCATGTCCTTGCACCATAGGTTGGCGTAGTCGAAATCCCCAATGGGGCAGTTATCGGGCTTCGGCTCTGCACACATGGAGCAGACCTAACCTGCTCCACCTCCTCCCCATCCTCCACCGACAACACCTTGCCGGCAACCGCCCGTTCCCTCGCAAAGTCCCCATCGCCCGAATCCACCACGGCCCCTACATTTCGGGCGCTCTGTAGCGCGATGCCGACGCACTGCCCGCTGGGAGCCGTGGTCGTCCCGGACTGCCCCGTCACCGCCTGGCGGCTGGGCGGGGGCACCCCGGACAGCGCATTGCTGATGATCCCCCTAATCAGGGCGTTGTGCAGAGCGATGTTTTCCCTCCCGATGGTGGCGTAGCAGAGCTTGTCGAACTCCACCTTGGTGAGCTTCAGATTCAGCAGCCTGGTGAGGTGCGCGAAGTACTGCCCGGCGCGCTGCCGCCCCAGCCGCTTCACCAGCCGCTGCTTCAGCTCGGCGATGTCGACGCGGGCCAGCTTGCGGGACGTCGCCATCTCCTCCTCCTCCTCCCGCCGGAATGCGGCCCTCGCGATCGGAAACCCTAGGCCAAGCAAAGCAAGGGCGCGGATGTCCCGGATCCAAATTAGCACCCAAAATCCAGCAGAAAGAACACGGGGAATGAGCGATTGAGCGGTACTTACTTCGGGGCGGGGGGGAGGGATTTCGCCCGCTAGGGTTTCGCGGGCGCTGTGCGATCGGGGAAGGGGGAGGGGAAGTGGGGAACGGAGAGGGGGGAGGAGGAAGACCGGGTGTACGACGAGTCGTGGGCGGAGGGAGGGAGGGAGGGAGGGAAGGGGGGGAGTGTCAGAGAGAGCGGGCGTATGGTGTCGGGTGCAGGAGGAGGGGTGGTGCACCGGTGCGGGGCGCGTTGCGTCGTTGGGTTGGTTGGGGTCAGGATGGGAACGGCGGCGGCGGTCAACTGCACGTGCAGGTTTGGGGTGTGACAGCTGACGACAGCCAGTTTCAGATAATGATCCGAGGGGTCACTTCAGTTCAGTTTTTTTTATAATGGAATAAAATCTCGACCTTTGCTCAACGGCTGTGTTTAGTTCAGTGTAAAGTTTGGATTTTGATTGAAATTGAAGATGATGTGACTGAAAAGTTATGTGTGTATGACAGGTTGATGTGATGGAAAATGATTGAAGTTTGGATCCAAACTTTTGATCTAAACACAGCCAAAGAGCTACAGCTAATTATTACACCAATTCAAACAAAAAAAAAGTAATAAAAACACAGGTCTAAAGTTCAGTTGTTCTTGTACTAACCATCTTGGCAGTTTTATATGTTGAGATCTATGATTAGGAAGAGAGAGATCGCCCAGGGCTTTTGGCATTTAATCGGGAGAATAGGCACACGGTTATCGAAAATGAGGAAATGGTATAGTACTAATATTTTTATAGGCAGATTACTTGGTACCATCAGAACAAATATATGGAGTTCAAAGAATAACTTACTGTTAACGACCAAATTTAGTAATATCAACATCGGAGGTATCTCCCAAGCCTTGTGTTTTTCGTCAAACACTTACACGTTCTCATATATGATAGTATTTTATTACTTGTGTACCTTTATAGTTGTATTTTTCAAACTTTATCAAAGTTTTACTATCATGTTTTCATCGAGAAAGAAACGCTTCCAACACTTTGACACATACGCCACATGGAAGGAGTGATAATTGGAGAAACTTATGAGTGAAATTAAATAATTAGGAATGATACTATTAGATGAAAGGGATAACTCTTATATGGTTCTAGGTCTAATTTGCTACTAGTAGAAACCAAGTATCTCTCGTAGCCTTGAACTGGTTATCTTACTTTAGTAAGAGTAGTTGAGATTATATTTCTATAATCCTATATATTTCTCTACTCAAATAATTAGATCTACCTCATGTGTAGGTCAAATATGTTATGTGCGGTGTAAATTGTCTTGTAGAAATCTTTTTGGTAAATATCACAACCTCTAGACACTTACAGATACAACGTCATGCGAGTGCTTTTAGATTATTTTTTTTATCTCTACCCTTATAAATGCTACATATTTCTAGCACATGTAAATGGAAAAAAAAATCACTTCATGCGGGATGAATGTAGCATACGGCATAACATCGCATCCAACATTTCCTGTGGATAATCTGAGTGATGCTATTAAGCTATAAAAAAACAAAACAGCCAAAAAAATTTATAGCTAAAACTTTTATACTCAGAGCAACAAGTATAAAATATACTACAATGTTTTTTTTAAAAAAAAATCTAAAATCAACTCTAAATTAATAAGTCTCAAATATTAAAGTTTGTCCGTGGGTAACAAGATAATTAATATGCGTATAATGAGTTGTTGTCATCTACTTCCTCCGTTTCACAATATAAAACTTTCTAGCATTGCCCACATTCATTTAAATGTTAATGAATCTAGACATATATATGTGTTTAGATTCATTAGTATATATATGTATATGTGCAATGCTAAAAAGCCTTACATTGTGAAACGGAGGGAGTATATGGTAGAGACTTTAACATATAGGATCCTGAATGACATGGAGGAGAAAAAGAAGATAGAAAGATGATATTCTCTGTTAGTAATTAGCAGGGAAGATCTTATAGAGCAATATGATTTGTGAAGTAATTGTTGTCTTTTGTTCCACTATCTTAGCAGGCGAGGATAATACATCTCCGTGATGATTGATCTGGGCCGGTTTGGTGTGGATGATTGATCTCCCCATGAGCCCAGGCCTAAAACTAGCTAGATTGCTCCGTGGTTGTCTGTCACTAAATAAGCTGGGCCATATCAGTTAAGTGTTGATTGGGACACTAATGTAGTTCACCCTTTGTCAAGTTCGGAGGTACAGGCGTGCAGCCCAACTTCATGATTGAGTCCAAATAGCAAAATCTTAAAAAAAAAATGACCAGTAGGGGAATGACCACACTCATGGTATTTCACTAAGAAGAGCTCAACCAGAGCTCGGCTAAGAAAGGCCACGAAAGACAAAAGCTAGCCCCTATGGTTCGAGTCTTAACCCATGCTTTGAGGCCTAGCCCCAATGCCCCATATACGAGGTCCTGCCCATCATATGTCGGTTCACACATGCCAAGTAGAGGAACCAACAAGTGACCTTAATTTTTTACCTAATCTGAAATTCGCTCTATTAAGACCACTACAAAACCACTAGGCTACATGCCCCTTAGCTAAATAGCAAAATCTTATAAGTTCTCTCCCAAAATGCCAACTTGACACATATTCACTCCCAATTTAGTGATAGCAATGTAGGATATATATACTACTCCTCGTTTAGATTCCTTTTTCATTTGAAATGTACATGGTTCAAAAATGTTTCTTCACTCTAACTACACCCATATAATGATATTACACACTTTTTTCTTCGAAAGATCATGGAATGATATACACTTATCTAGTGGTTAATAGCCAAGTAAATAAGCCATGGACTGAAACTGACGTCTCATCAACGTAGTAACAAAAACATTTGTGGATCCCTTCTGGTTTCCACTCTGAAAGTGCACTGCGCATGCAACAGTGACGAGCATTTTCGTTCGCAAACTAAAGTACATGGCCAGCCTAACCGCGATATATATAGCATCTAAAGCCGTTAGATTGATGCATTTCTTCGGCCACAAAACTAAACGGGAATAAGGTTGATCAGAGCAATTATTGCACGCACAAAACAGTGATCTGATCTGATCTGATCTTCCAAAGTGTTGTAGTACTAGTGTGTCGGCTGTTCGGGGGCTTCCTCCTTAAGCAAGATTAACAAAAGAAAAGTTAAGAACTGAAGATTCAGGGTGCGTGGCTCAGGACATCACTTGACGCTTTGACAGCTCCGTTTGACGCTCGATCAGTCGATCTGCATGCAGCTACTATCTACTAGCACAGGACAGGAGATTCCGAGATTGCTCAACCACTGAAAATGGATCTAAATGCCTGTCATTTTCACGAGGTTTAGTCAGTTCTAGGTAGTTGAAAAGCGTTCCTCCAACCACTTGTCGGCAAAATTTGAAGTTCGCAACTTTGCAAGCTGTTAACAACTTTACTAGCACCAAACACAATGCGTGCAGCGATCTGGTGTAGCCAGTGATCATGCTCAGCGGCGAAAGCTAAGGGAGAAGTACTGGATGGAATATCTGCGTTGTGCAGTGAGTTGGAAGCTTGGAACAGACTGATGGTTACTCCCTTCCTTCTGATCTCTGAAAAAAAAGGTTAATGCCCAAGCCATTGGCCGATCAATCAAGCACAAATAAGCTCAGCAAGCTCTGCCGCGTACTCCAGTGCTGTGTCACGGGCGCTGACACATCAAGCCATTGATTCCGCAGAGCACGTCAAAATTCCATCCATCCTCCATGCCACCATGCCCAGGCACGCATGTCTGCTGCAGGTAGCCAAAACTGAAACTTAGAAATCCGTGTACGCGTCGCTTAAGTGCTTCGGCTTAAGGATGGGCATTCGGTCAGGCTGAAAAATTCGGTCTCGGTTTTTAGTTTTTTGGTTAGTTCGGTTTTTGAAAACTCAGGACCGAATTTCATCACAAAAATCTCATAACTGATAAATTCGGTCTCGGTTTCGGTCTCAGTCTGACCGAATTTTTTTCATAGCCACTGAAGAGTGCAGACGGAGGCGACGCCAAGGAGGTGCCGACGCCGGCGCTGGAGGCAGAGGCGGAGGGCGCCGGTGCTGGGCGGAGGCGGCGGAGGCGGCGCACATGGCGGCGGCGGCGGCGCATAGGGCGGCGGCGGTGCACAGGGCGGCCTGCGGTAGCTCCACCGTCGCCGTCGGGCTGCGGGAGCTCCACCGGCGTCGTCTCTGCAGCACCTGCACGGGGGATGGGGATGGGGATAGGGTATGGATGGAGAGGATGCTTGTGGTGGTGGGTGGATAAGGTTTTTCTTTTGCTGTGGTCTGTGGAGGTATTGGGCCTAATGGGCCAATGCAATATTTCGGTTTTTTGTCAATTCGGTTAACCGAGCCAAAAAACCGAATTGACCGAACTAAATTTGGTTAGCTGAAACTGCTGACCGAATTTGTGACCGAATTTTTCAGTCTCGGTTAGTTCGGTTTCGGTCTCGGTTATTTTGGTTCGGTTTTTCGGTTCGGCCTTTTTTCCCACCCCTACTGCGGAGAATGCAGCGCGATGGGCCTCCAATCTTTGTCCTGCCTAGCTCGCGGCGGATGTGTAGTTGCATGATCCGAGCAGATTTGTCGTGGCGGCGTGCGGTCAATATCGGGATCAGCGCAGTGGCCGACGGCGCGGACACCGGCAGAACGTAGCGGCCAGCGGGTTCGCGGTTGATCAAACGGCTGGGGGTGCCCGGTCCACGTCTCTTTGACGGTATACGTACATATTCATAATATCATATATTTCATTTGATATTTTTCCCTCTGTTTCATATTATAATTCTATTTGACTCTTTTTTTAAAGTCATTTTTTTCTAAATTTGATTAAGTTTATGTAAAAATTTAGTAACATTTACAACACGAAATTAATTTCATTTAAACTAACATTTAATATATTTGATAATATTTATGTTTTATGTCAAAAATATTGTCAAATTTTTCTATAAATTTAATCGTTCTTAAAAAAAATTAATTAGAAAAAAAATCAAAACAACTTAAAACGAAGTTTGAAACTGAGGAAGTACATTATCATATTTTAAGACGGTAATAGTTACTACGAAAGAGCAGCCCGATTAACGGAAAAGCAATAGAGAAGAACGTACGAACGTCGCGTGCGCGAAAGGAGGACAGAAAGAAAGATCGATCGATCGATGGATCGGCCAACGCGAGCGAAACGTCGTACACATGTACACACAGATCACGAGTTCACGGCTCATGGGTGTCGGCCCTTCTTTTGTCGAAAAGAAAAATTGTTGCGTGACTGAATGGAGATTTCAGATTTCTGCGTGCTCGGTTAGTTGATTACAAGTACTAGTTACTAGTATACGCAACAGAGACGTACGTCGTCTGCTGCGATCTCAATATCTCATGCTCACGTTTGGTGGTGGTTGCTGTTCGATCGTCCAGGTATTAATTGTCGAGCCATGCATCCACGTGCACAGGGTATCATGTTTAATTCGTGACTTACATGTCCTTTATGGTTGATGTCTCATTGGATTGATCATTTTCCTGGGAGATAATTAATTACTTACTCCTACTCCCTCGGTCCCAGAAAGAGACGATTTCTGGAGGGGAGGATTTGTCCAAAAAAAAGCAATTCCTCTACAGAAATCAAGAAAACTTCAAGTATATCGTATCATTATGGGCCCAAGTGGATAGCGAATTCTTTTTCTCTCGTTCACATTCACCCCACAAGAATCTTATCGCCTGCCCGTCTCTCGCAGTCTCGCATTTCTCTCTTTTTCTCTCACGTTTCTCTCCCGTTCCCAAATCGATTGCATCGATGTGGCGGCGGCGGAGGCGACGGGGAGACGCGGCTTCGTCGGCGGCGGCGGAGACGCGGAGGCCACGAGGAGACGTGGCGTCGTCGGAGGCGGAGGCAACAAATGGATGCTGCTTCGTCGGCGGCGGGGGCTTGTATGCCTAACTGCTTATCATCCCCGGAAGAAGATCTGATGCGGTTGCCTGATGCACGAGCTGCGTTGTTCTTGTGTTCATTGTGTTCATGCACTGCATTTCTTTTTCTTTGGGTTCTTGCCATGTTCATGCGTGCGTCAGATGCTTATGCAGAGAAATGACAGTAGCAATAGCAAATGGATGTTGTCACGGAGGGCATTTTCGCCTTTTCACGTGAGTGCTAAATTTGCATGGGAGGTACAGGAATCGCTTCTGGATGGAGGGAGTACCTGGTTCTGTTTAGGATCTAGTGCGTACTTTGTCGCAGTCAAATACGATTGGTGATGGTGAAAGTGAAACCTGCTTGATGTGAAATCAGTTTGTTTCCAACACATGTTCAGTTATGCTTTGCCCTGTTTTCACTTTAATACTACCTCCGTGTCAAAATAAGTGCAGCTATAAGTTTTCGCGTTCAACTTTAATCGTCCGTTTTATTTGAAATTTTTTTATAATTAGTATTTTTGTTCTATGAGATGATAAAACATGAATAATACTTTACTCGTGACTTATGTTTTGAATTTTTTTTAAAAAAAATTTTAAATAAGACGAACGGTTAAAATTAGGCGCGGAAAACCATAACTACACTTATTTTGGGACGAAGGAAGTACTACGCTAGTCTTATCCAGATCACTTTTAGAACTTGGGTGGTTAGATTAGATTCGGTCCAAATTTACTATGTGCAATTTGCTTATACGGCATACGCATGTCGTTCGCACAGGTTAATTAGTAGTACTACTGATAATTATAGTGCTCTGCCTCTGCCTCACCTGATGATGATGCCTGAACAAGATCTACAAATTGCATATTTTCACACACTTTTTAATAGTATCAGTATCATGTACTACACCAATACTACAATAGTATACTGTACTGCTGCTATGAGTAACAATGTACAGTAAGGCTGCAGAGATGGAAGGAATACTAAGCTGTAACCATACAAAGAAAGGACAAGCAAAGCACATAATAAAAGAAGCCAACATCGCGAGCAGTGCAGCTGTAGTATTGTACACGCACATGGACGGGACAAAGTCTGACCGAGTTGACTCGGCGTGACATTCTTAAACACAATAAAACAGACTAACCACACATCGTTAACACACTAGTTAATCAGCCTCACCTCGAGACCAGTTAACTAAGGATTAAGAACTGCACACACATACTCCCCGTCTAAAAAAAAGACAAAACCTAAGATTTTATGTCCAACTTTAACTGTCTGTCTTATATGAAATTTTTTTATAATTCATATTTTCATTATTGTTAGATGATAAAACATGATTAATATTTTATGCGTGACTTGTCATTTTATTTTTTTTTATAATTTTTTAAAATAAAATGGACGGTCAAATGTTGGGCATGGAAACCAGGGTTTGTTTTTTTGGACGGAGTAGTACAGCTTCTACTTTATGTGTCTACACTCTACAGTACAACTGTACAAATCCTACTCCTACGGAGTACATAGTAGCAGGCATATCTTCAGTTTACTCTTGTTAGACTATTACCCGGAACAGTGGCTGCGTCTGCGTGCATGCATGCCGGACACCTGCATCCGGCCGTACGTCAGTTGTCACGTTAACATCTGTTTCAGCTGATTCACAGGTGAAACCACTGTTCCTGCACGCTTTCCTTCTCTTATCGCCATTCACAGCAGAGTGGTCACATTCTCGCATTGTCACATGCCATGAGAGAGAGAGATACTCCACATACGCCTGGTTTTCAATTTCAGACATCCACCATGCTTTGAATTTTGCTGGTATTTTGGTTTGTTCTGATTATATATATATATATATATATGCGCCCATATCAATTCATCCATGTGGAATATATCATTGGCGATATCTTTGTGCGTGAAAACAGTCCAAATCGTTGTTTAATTATTTTATATACATGTACCTATTCATGCCTTTGGAAACAAAAAAAACTCTAGTAGAGTATCTATCCAAATATTTAAAAATTTTAAATCTGAATTTTCTAGCTAGGTTAGTGCATGGGACGAGGATAGTGAGGCCAATCACGTAGAGCATAAACTAAGCAGCAGGAGCACATTTCCCTCTGCAAGCACTTGTTTTTTCAGCCTCGAACGGAGGCCGGCCGTGCGTTTTCTCTTCATCGCGTTGGGGAAATGGAAATGATGGTGTCAGGCCGTTTCCCTACGTCGTTCTCCGCAGGTTATACTATGTATTATCGTCAAGTAGGCAAACTGAAAGCCATCCTCTGTACCTTCTTTTTCCAAAAATAAAAAAAATATAGTAGTATCTTCGCTTTTTAATATACGGCGTCGTTAACTTTTTTTTTTATACGTTTGACCATTCGTTTTATTTTTTTAAAAATATGTAACTATCATTAATTTTATCGTGACTTAATTTATTGTTGAATATTTTTTAAGCATAACTTTTTTTATTTTTTTAAAAAATTGAATAAGAAGTATATGCATGAATGGTAAAACTTTTATATCTCCATTAATTCATGGTTTAAAAGTTAATAAAAAACTAACCAATATCTATAATTTAGAATTTGGCTAAGCCCGATAAGCAAACAACGAGATGATCACACAATAAGAGTCTATAAATACCATAATTTAATAAAAAAAGTGTTTTTTATTTGTAAGAATGAGGCTAGTTTTGCCCTAAATCAAACTATTATATATGTGACCAAATCTGTGGATGAGAGTATTGATATTTACCATATCAAATAAATAAATAACGAGAATATATTTTACAGCAATCTAATGATGCTCTTTTGATATCATAAACAAATATTATTATTTTCTCTCCAAACATGACTAAAACTGGAGTTGCTTATAAGAGTAGGATGTACTCGTATGTGTTTGAAGTGATAAGTGCGTTGTGTTTATGCGAGCTTTTTTGTTTGTACTGTAGGAAAAAGAACTGTCATAACTGAAAATGAAATAGGCTTGTTGCCTTATTGGGAATACTAGATGATGCTCCACGCTTTGCTGCGGGATATATGTTAGATATTGTAGAAATGATTAAATAATTTGGATTAAAATATTGTGAATATGATTTGAGAAGGATGATTTAGCATGTGTATTTTTAATTTTAGAATAAAATAAATTATAGATATAATTACTATATGTTTGCATATTAGTTTTAGAAGTGCTAATAAATACTATATTTATATATTGAGTTTTATAGATATTTAGTGGGTATTAGCTTTATATAAAGAAAAGATACGGAGTACAACCCCGTTTTCTTCATTTCCAGTTAAGCATGGAAAATTTTCCGTTGGAGACCAGCTAGCTGGAAACGGAACGGAACGAGTTGACGGCGTCGCCGGTGGCCATGGCTCCCCATCACCGCGCGCGCTTGCCGCCGTTACTTCCTCCTCCATGCGGGGCCATGCCCCACAACCCACACGCTTTATTCCGTCCCGGCCTTTTCCGTTTTTACCCTTCCCCCACCACCACTCACCACCTCCCCCCTCCCCCTCGCCTTCTCCCCGTTTCACTCCACTTCACTCGCACTCCGAACCGAGTCGGCCGCTCCGCTCCTCCTCCTCCACTTTGTCCGCCTCGGCCGCTCGCTTCCCATCTCGAAACCCCAAATCCCCACGCCAACGCGCGCGGAGATTTCCTCGAGATCTGCCGCCATGGTCGCCGCCGGCGCAGCGGCGGCCGCGGCGGCCGCGCCCAGGGTGAACCCGTCGCCGTCCCCGCACCGCCGCCGCGCCTCCTCCGCGCTCTCCCCGTCCAAATCCGCCAACTCCAACGCCAACGCCAATGCCGACGCCGCCAGGGGCGGCGGCGGCGGCGGCGGGAAGCCCAAGGGTAAGGCCGTCCCCTCCCGCTACCTCCTCGCCCCCTCCTCCAAATCCACCTCCACCTCCTCCTCCTCCACCACCACCACCAACTCGTCGGCGACCTCCAACTCCACCTCCACCTCGGCCTCCACGCCCTCCCGCCGCTTCGCGTCGCCGCTCCCGAGGCGGTCCTCCTCCGTCGACCGCCCGCGCCCCACGAGCAATGCGGCTGCTGCTGGTGGTGACGCCTTGGGGCCCAATGGCGCTACCACCACCACCACGAGGAGCCTCTCTGTTGCTTTTCAGGGCCGCGCCTACTTCCTGGAGACCAGCAAGGCGAAGCCGGCCACCTCCCCTTCGCCGGTGCGGCGGCCGGTGGCGGCGGCGTCCACCACGCCCGAGAGGAGGCGGCCCAGTATGGGCACAGTGCCGGAGAGGGGGAAGGTGTTTGAAGGTGGTCATAGCCAGCAGAGGTGGCCAATGTCGGCGAGGGCTGCCCATGGGTTCGAGGGGAATCCGCTTACCAAGAGCTTGGACTGTTCTCTGGACAAGAGGGGTGCTGCTGTGCTGGCTGCTGTGCGCTCACTGCGGCAGTCAATGGTGTTCGAGGAGGGGGTGCGGCGCGCCTCGTTTGATAGCGGTGACTACTTGATGTCATCGGACACAGAGAGTGTGTCATCAGGGAGCAATTCTGGGTCTCAGGATGCAGGCATGGGCAGAGCACGCTCGTCCCCAAAGGGGATGAGTGTGCCTGCGCGGTTCTTGCAGGATGCTGCGGCCAGCAGGCCGAATCGCCTTGCAGATCCAAGCACACCATTCATGACACATAGCTCTGGGTTTGCATCATCTCCCAGGACAGCACCAGTCAAGAAATCGTTGCTGAATGGCTTTGTTTCGTCTCCACTGAATAGGCCAATTAGGCAGCCTTCACCAAGTAAGCTTGTAGGATCACGGAGGATGTCAAGCCCATCCCAACCAAGGGGCTCTGTGGGGGTGAGTGCATCATATGGAGATCAGCATGGAAGAAGTTCATCTGGTTATGGGTTGGATAGTCAAGTGAAAAGGAGGTGGCTTGGGTGTAGTAAGGTTGACTGTGAGCACCTATTGAGGATTTTATGCAATCGACATTTGCAGTGGCGGTGTGTAAATGCACAGGCTGATGCTGCACTTGCCGCGCAGAAGATGACTGCAGAGGTGAGTTTATCACATGTTCACTCTGCTATTTGACAAATTGATGTGAATACTCAACATGCTATCAGCTTTTCCATTGCAATTTGTGAGGCGGTCTGTTCCTGTGCAAGCAAAATCCGTAATATATGTATCTAGAGATTTATCTCTATGCATGTTGATGCACATTTGAAAATTAGCACATATGCTTGTGGATTTTAGACTTTACCTCATTCCTGCCAATCTAGTAGTTTCACTGATAACTTGTGTAAAATACAATTCATTGAATCCAAGGAGATGGGTTTCATACCATGGCTTGTACTAGTACACAAGGTTGTTTGCTCATGCTTATAGTGTGTACATCATCATATTTGAGTAAATTTAATAACTTCTTGACCATAGATACACCAAGAAACGTATAACTGTCAATCATATGTCTGGTATTTTATCAGTTTTGTTTTCAAGTGAACAATTGTTGCCATAGCATGGAAAATAAAGAACGGACACAAGGCTTTTAAGTTCTTTTAAGGCTTTAGTTCAAGATGTATTTGAATATTTAAAAATTGGAGCTTGAATTTTGCATTTGAGTCAGACAGTCTGTCTATCATCTATAAGTGGTTAATCGAAGGAGCCAAGTGGCCATCTTTAATCATCACTACACCTAGATAAAAAAAGAAAGGTCCATACCGGCCAGATTATTTAAGGCAATGTTATGTTTTCTGCCTTATTTATTCGTTTTCTGCTAACATTTCGTTCTTTCTTTTTTCAGAAATACTTAAGTGATGCATGGATTACTACCTTAGGAATGCGTAAATCTGTTGCTCTTAAAAGGTTTCAGCTACAACTATTCCGGAACAATTGGAAACTCATGACAGTTCTAAAGGGACAAGTAAGAACTGTATCTTGTTTCTTCTGCAAGCTTGGGTTTACTGTTTTTGTTACAGCTTCACATAGCCAATATTTTCTTGGTTAACTTTAATACTTATTATGATTCCTGTTAATTCCTCCCATTACCTTGAAATATCCTGCTCATTTGGTTGGCAGACATTGTTAGCAAGAGAATTTTTTACCAACAGGAAATAGAAGACTCTGAAATTACTCTAGGACGAGCTAGTTCTATTCAGGATTATCTGAATACAGATTTCCTTTGTTTGCATAACTGCTCCACGCGGGCCTTTTCTTTTCACATAATGGCCTTTGTTCAATACATTGCACATGGCCCTTTCATGTGCATAACTGTAAAGTTGAAAAGGAAAAGGATCAGCATGTGGCCTCTGCAGTGGGACAGAGACAATCTACAGTATCATTCTAGGTCATAGCTTGACCTGGTAGAACTATTAGCTTTCTGTAATAGCTTTGAATTTCAGTTCTCAACACTATCTTGTGACAGAAATTCTGATAGAATTTGATTTATACAGATGGACTTTCTGGAGGAGTGGTCTTTTTTAGAGAGGGATCATGCAAATTCTTTATCTGGGATTGTGGAAGCTCTAACGGCCACCATTCTTTGCCTTCCTGTTACTGATGGAGCAAAGGTTGGCAATAACTTGTCAACTAATAGCTAATTTACTTTCATGTATTTCTACTTGCCGATAAAATCTCTGATCCTTCTTTGTACTTTCTCACTTGCAGGCTGATATCCAAGATGTCAAAAACGCTGTTGGCTCTGCAGTTGACATCATGCAGACAATAGGAAGTTCAATATGTACTTTGCTCGCTAAGGTACTATTTGTTTTATATTTCTTTTATTCATTTTTATGCATAGTGAGTTACTTATCTACCGATTACATTTCCTTATGTTAATGATAACATTATCTCGATAACATATTTAGCACCCTATAGACACCTTTGATTTTTTGTCATGACAAAAGATGTACATGTAGTTCTTTCCATGGATATATAAGAAAATTTCGAAGTCATCTGATCTGTTGAATGGTTGGATTGGGCAATATCATCAAGAATTTATGTCGATTAGGCTGATCCTAGTCAACCATACTAGATCAGATGGCTTCAACAACCTTGTTGAGCTTCTGATTTATGAATAGAAGGCTAGGATAAACGCAGGTCGTTTTGTCTTACTTTTGTAGTTGGGTCAAATTGGAATGTTACAAATTCAATTCATTTCAGAGCTTCATGCATTGCCACAAACTGTCCAAACGATTGTGCCATGCATGGATTCTTAAGAGGATTTAATAAGAACAAAATTACATATAGCAACTTTTAGGCTTGTGGAAATATATATATTCTGAAGGCTGCAGCTTTCTTCCGTTTAGCTGAGTAATCTGTCACTGTGCAGCTATCTGGGACAAGTATTTTGGTTTCTGACCTCGCAAAAATCGCTACACAAGAGCGCACTTTAATGGACCAATCCAGAGAATTGCTGTCCACACTTGCATCAATGCACGTAAGTGATACAACCTTCTCGGTTTTATTCCCATTATGTACACAACTGTTAGAACGATTATTCTAATTTGCCCATCACGACTATGATCAAACAGGTCAAATACTGTAGCCTACAAGGGCAAAGAGTACAGACGACAACTCACAGGAGGCGTGTGCGTTCGTAGAGCAGACAACTCTTGACTCACTAACCGAAGAGTGTAGGTGCAGTTGCAAAATCTGGTTGGCTTGCTGGACACCGAGCGATCAGACTCTTCTGAAGAAGCTATCGTAGTCTGCCGATACAAGTTCTAGCGCTCTTTTGGCCCTTTTTTTGGTTCGGTAGGTTCTTATTGCTGAGTTGAGCTATGCCAAGCCTATGTAGAACAGATTAAATGCAACTTGTATATAGCTGTAATTTTAGGTGAGCATTAGGTCTAACTAATTTAAGGGTTCTTTTTTTGTTCGTTGGATGACCTTCCGCCGTCGGCGCCATCAACCATGTCAATGCAATGCAGTATATCCTCTATTCTTCTATGCCAAATGTTAGGATCTAAACCTAGCTGGTTTCACTCTTGGCAGCCATCATTCATTTCTTGTTCCCGTGGAATATGACATGGTGAACACCGTTTGAGAGCAGCAGCATAAATGGAGCAGTAACACTCTACTCACGGGGAACGGGATGCATGCCACAGCCATTACAGCAGTGAGCTGTTCCCTGCCTTGCCTCCTTGCCCAGCTGCTGACATCTCATCTCCCAAGCCGTTGAGTGCGTACGAACGGTTACGCCGGGGAGCCCTCGGCACGGCAGTGGACGCCGACGTGAAGCCTGTGCCGGCCAGAGACGGCGTCAATTTGATGGAGAAAGCACGGCCAAAGCCGCAGCCGACACACTGGGCTGTGGCACCCGGACACACACAGCCCGACCAGGGATGGGTTAGTTAGTTGCTTCCTCTCGATCTTGCTACATTGCTGCGTCGTCTTCTTTGCCGTGTGCTTGTCTCCTCCACTCGAAAGGGGTTCTCGAAGATTCTAGACAGACTGCGTGTGCTTCGCGTGCAAACCATGTTCGAGATGAATTTTGGTGAGCCATGTTGAGATGTTAAGCCTAGCAAGGCGGCCGGCGCCGTCAGAGAATCGGAGATGATACAACGCCACCGGCCGGGTCGCCTTCAGATCGGCCTGGTTGTTCCACTCCAAGCTGTCGCGGATATTTGGCACAGCTCCAACTTTAGCTCCCATCTCTCCTGGAGTTATAGCTCAGCCAAATAATTTCAGCTCCATCTAAAATGGAGCGAACCTGGGTGGAGATCTCTCACAAAATGAATTAGATAGTTGTAACTGGGGTCTGTTTGGCACAGTTTCAACTACAGCCTAGCCAAACAGTTTCAACTACATCTAAAATAGGAGTGGACCTAAGTCGAGCGCTCTCACAAAATAAACTAGAGAGCTGGAGCTGGGTTTAGACAGCTCCACAACTCCACTCTAGACTCAACTCTAGAGCTAAATTTAGAAGTTGGAGCTTACCAAACATGCTCTAGGTTTAGGTTTCGATTTTGCTATATATTTGTCGACAAATTTTCCCCCCAAAATTTGACAGATGTAATTACAGTACAATCGTAGTGTAATTACACTGTAATTTGCATGTAATTACACTGTAACTATAGTGTAACTTGTATGTAACTTTCAAAAATCTCTCCGTTACATGTTATTTCGGTAAAATGGAGGTCGTGGGAACAAATTCTTTCACATATGTGTGTGCTATGATTTGTTTTCTTCCTCACCAAAACAAATCTTGTAATAGATCCAACGATTCAAAATTATGTGAAACTTACATATAAGTTACACTGTAGTTACATGCAAGTTACAGTGTAATTACATATAAGTTACAGTGTAATTACACTACGATTGTACTATAATTACATCTGTCAAATTTTTAGGGAAAAATTTGTCGACAAATATATAGGTAGTCCCTTAGGTTTAGGCTGCTCCGTAACTTCACTTCGGACTCAAACAAAGGCAACGCGGGGACTTTACATTGGATCGCACCAAATGGGCCATCACTCATGGGCCGGCCTTTATACTTTCGGCCCACTGTATCTGTGGTACAAGATCCCATTAGGCTCACTGTCCCAGTACGGTTAGTATTATTACAGAGACAGTACGGCATTAAGGACAATAATGCGCAAGCAGATAGATTTTTAATACCCCTACATGGAAATGCTATGCCAATAAGGAATATTGATATTTGGTTTATATTGATATTTTTGCACAATAAAATATCAATATTTTGCTTGTATTAATGGCAAAATAAATTTCATTAATACAAAACTTTTTTTTTATTAATCACAAAACGTGCTGGCGGCGACGGCGCCGCGACGCCAGGTCTGGCGCCCCTCATCAGATCCGGCCCCCCTTGTTTAGATCTAGCCTAACCTGCGCGGGAGGGCGGCCCCCCTAGTCGACGGCGGCGGCGAGACGGCAGGGCGATGGTGGAGGCCGGTGAGACAGCGGGACGTGGCTGTGGAGGTGACGGTGCAGACATCTGAGGCGAGAGATTGGCAGGAGGGGTGTGACGACACGACGGCGACGGCGGCCACACCCATGCGGTAACTTTGGCGGAAGGAGGAGACGACGACAGGGATGGAAGAAGCGGGGTGCCGGCTGGGAACGCCATCGGTTGAACGGCGGGCACGACGAGGAGGCCGAAGGCGGTGGACATTGCAAGGAGGTGTAGCCAACAGCAGAGGCCGGTACGGTGCGAAGGCTGGCCGGTACGCGCTGATAGAGGATTGATGGTAGTGGAGCAATGGTGCGTCAGCTGCGGTAGGCAGGCGGCGGGTGAGTCACGCCCAGAAATTTAGCCCAAATTTCCAGACTATTTTGTGTATTAAATCCCTGTCCAGAACCAGCCAGGGTACACAAAACGACAAGTAATAAACAGTTCCAAACGTAAACAAAGCGTAAAATACTTACAGAAGAGGCACTTAGTCCTCACACCAAAACAAAACGACAGCAGCGAAAAAAGGCGATCCAGCGGGGCTTCAGCTCCACTCCACAGGCAAAACTCAACTGGGGTCTGAGCCTTGGTCCTCTAACTCCATCTTTAGCTCAGAAGCACTACACTTCTGAAAAAGGGGGAATAATAGCAAGACTGAGTACAACCACCGTACTCAGCAAGCCACACCAACGATGCAGACGTGCAAGGGGATACAAGGATGGCTTGTGGCTATTTGCATAAAGGCGGTTGTAAAACATTTTATTGAGCAAAACAGTAAAACTGTTGAGTAATTAAAGTAACATTAAATCTCCACTTATCAACGCTACACCACGTTGAACAGGCCCAACCAACCCACCTGAACTACAGTGTATTGGGTCGATTTATTAAGATGGGACTAATCACGGTGAATCTGGTCGATCGCCCATAACCGCGGGCACGGCTATTTGAATAGTTTTACTCTGGCCAGAGGTGCACAACTGTACCCACAAGACACAACCCACCGACATGTCACCGCGTCATCATGTGCCCATGATGCTCACGTCACCATGTCGAGTGATTGTGACGAGACCCTTCGCATAACCCTCCCCTAACCATCCACACCACGCTAAGGTTTCACCCCCACTCCTCAAAAGGCAGTGGGCGGTCCCCTCTTGCGCCGCGGTGAATCCGGCAGCTGGACAACCGGACACCCCGGCCGACCCAACTCCATCACGCCCACCCTCGCCACCGGTGCCTAGGAAAGGGTCGAGCTATACTTCAGATCAAGCAGTTACCCACTCCCGCTTGTGGCAAGCGCTGTAAGACTTCCAGGGTTTCCCGTGAACCGGTCCTTAATTGCCATGGGTGCAACTCACAAAACCATGCACCCACAGCCCACCATTCAGTCACATTTTAGTTGGATAATTACGACCATGAAACATGGCCAGATGTCTCGAGCACGCAGCTCAACAAGATACTAGAATGTCTAATACTGCAATTATCCCATCGACTGAGCTAGTGGTAATTAAGCATGGCTAAGCATATAGTTCTAGCTAGGTCATCAAAGTAACACAAGCTAGGCGATTTATTACCCACGGTTGACAAAGGACAGATATCAAGTAAACATGGCACAAGCGAGCAGATAGGTAAAACCCTGACCCCATGTAATTAGCAAAACATGCATATTTATTTGCAAACAGTAAAACATTTGTAAATTGGGATCAACATGCTCAAGGGGAATGTGTGACTTGCCTTGCTTCTTCACTTGGATCTTCTGAACTCTTATCCTTGCGACCGCAGACTTCCGAAACGACGGATTCTACACGCTAACACGCAAAACGAGGAAAAACTCTAATAAAAACCAAGGAAACAGTACGTAAAAACTAAACAAACATGTAGAGCTCAATTTTAGATGAATTTTGCAAGTTGAATGGCTCAATTCGGAGTTCGAATGAATTAGATATGAATTTTAGAAGCTTTGAGCCATTTAAATGGATTTCTATAATTATTAATGATTTATTGCGCAATTATTAAATATTTTCACAAAGGAAAAGGACCGCCGCTGACGTCAGCAAGGGGCGCCGGCGCCGACAGGTGGGTCCCAGGCGTCAGCGGCTCAAGGGGGCTCGGTCCACCATGGACCGGGATCACAAGGGCGGTCCACCGCCCGTCCACGGGATGGACGGCCCAGATCGGCCCAAGCCGATCGGGCGGCTGAGGAGAGCGGTGGCCAGGCACGGGCACAGCCGGGGCTGGCCCGACCAACCATAGAGGGCGGCGGGGCGCAGTCACCGGCGACGGCGGGCGGCGGGCGGCACAGGGAGCGGCGGCGCGCAGCGCGGGAAGCGGCGAGAGGAAACGGAGGCAGTGAGGGAGAGGGAGGTGGCGGAGCTCACGGAGGGGCACGGCGACGGCGAGAGCAGCCGGCGGAGGGAGGCGGCGGCGCTCCACAGGTCGACAATGAGGAGGGGCTCCCGGCGGCGGAAGGCGGCGATCGGGCGGCGGATGGGGAAGAGCGGGACGCGGCGAAGCCGGCGATGCAGCCGATGCGTCGCAGCGGCAGCCGGGGTGAAGGCGAACGGCGACCGGAGGCGGAAAAAGGCGGCCGGTAGGGTGGTATGGCGGGGAGGTGGTTCTGGTGGTGGAGGGGAAAAAGGGATCGGTGGCCGGGCTTGCCCGCGCGGCGGCAAAGCCGGCTGCGGTGGTGGCAGGGCGCGGGAGCGGCTCAGGCGGCGACGACATGCGGCTGGAGGCGGTTTAGGGTGGTGGCGACTCGGGTGCATGGTGGAAGGGGAGTTTCGGCGGAGGTTTGTGCAAATGGAGCGGTGGCCGATGTGCGGCGAGGCATGGCGAAGCCGGCGGTGTAAGCGGCGCAGCGCGGCGGTGGCTACGGCGACGGCGGCGTGCAGCCGGAGCTCGCGGGAAAGCAGCAGAGCGCGGGCTCGCGCGGGGAACACGGGAGAGGTAACGAGGAGCTCGGGGAGGAGAGGGAAACGGAAGAGGAGAGCACGAGGGTGCTTTTTATAGGCTCGGGGAGGAGAAATCGTGGCCGGACATGGCGGATTTGAAGCGGCAACGGCCGGCGACGTGGGCGACATCGTGGGCGAAGTGGGGCTCGATTTGGCACCAAAAATTGGTGAAAAGTGGGGGATTTGGTGGAGGAGGTAGAGGGGAACCGATTTTATGCGGTTTGGGCGCGAGGGCGCGAGCGGGAGGAGCCGGAATCGGCGGCGACGTGGGTGGCAATGGCGGCAATGGCGGTTTCGGCTCTGGAGGCCGAAGGTAGAGGAAGGACCTGACAGGTGGGGTCGTCGGGCCCACCTGTCGGGGAGGGAGAGAGGGAGGAGAGCCAGGGGGTTATTTAGATTTTGCGCGAGGGGAAATTGATCGGGCCGAAAAGGGAGGGGTCGGCCCGAGAGGGAGAAGGGAAGGAGAGAGGGGCGAGCGGGCCAAGGAGGGGGAAAAGATCTTGGGCCGAAAGCGGCCCAAAGACAAAGAGGGGAAATTTTATTTGTTTTCTTTTTATTTTAATTGATTAAATGAAATTTGTGCTATTAAAATTATTTCTTGAGCTCCGAAAATTCACGGGAAATTTCAGAGAGTATTTTAGGGCACAAAGAATATTACAAAATATTCCCGGCCAATGATTTTTAAGGGAAAATTTTAATTCTCCCAATAATTCACTTGATTAAGTTGATTTAACTTTTATTTAATTTCTAGAAGATGTATTATTAATTGATTTTTATTCCCGAACGAAAATCGAGGCGTTACAAAACCTAGCCCGGTCTTGGCCGGGCCGGCAACAAAGACGCTTTTGAGCATCGCTCTCCCTCTTGAGGGTGTTGTTATTCCATCCCATCTCCTCTCGTGGGGCTGCCGGGTGAAAACCCAGTCTCGGTTCTCTTTGGGACCTCGATGGACGGCGGCGGCAATGGTTTCATCGCTCCTCTCCCTGGAGATGTCGTCTTGGCAATCCCCTTGCTAAATTCCTCCCAGACTTCCGGTGCAAACTCGCTCTAGATTCCAGTCCTCTTGTATCAGCGCCCTAGCTTATGCAAGTTGGCCACGTCAGAGAGCCTAGGTGGGAGAGCGGTTCCATTCTTCTCTCTCACCCTCTCTCCCTGAATCCTAATGATGTGGATAGAGTGTAGTTTTGCGTCGGTTGTTAGGGTGAGTTTTTGGGCGATCTCAGCTGTAGCTTCTTTGTGGGCCTAGCGGCGGCCGGGCATGCTTAGCGCTGACCAGTCTGATGCTAGCCTTCTCCCGGGTCGGTGTGTTGGTGCTATCGATGCGTGGGTGGTGGTTATTTTTTTCCCCTTTTCCTGGTTATGACCTCTAAGTATTGTAATCTTGTAATTTTTTCCTACTCTATCAATATGAACTTCGTTCAAAAAAAAAAGTTTTTTGCCTGTCTATCCAAGTTTTTGCCTGTCTATCCATTTTAGCGTAATCCATAGTTGTTGAGGCCTTGCCATTTTCATGCGAAGGCATTACCAGTTTCCTCTTTTTAGAAATTTCGTTCTGTTCTGGACTACCATGGAGCCTCCCATCACCAAGATTCTTTTTTGAAACCCCCCATCACCAAGATTCCTCCCTTAATGGTGTATCGGTTTCTTGTCCAGTGAAAGAATTAACAAGCTTCTCGGCACCACTAGCGATATGCAAAACTTCAGCAGGAATGACAATTTTTTGCACAACTTTAGGGTTCAACATGCCATTCTTCATCTCTGAATCTGCTACATGATATCAGTCATAGCATCTTCTACAGGTGTGCTGATAATGTCCTGCAGATTGACTTCTGTCATGGACACATCAAGCGGATCTTCTTGGCGGTGAGAATCCTCAGTCCGGTCGTTAGTGCCATATCTGAATTACCTGTATCCTGCTGCTCAACAACAATGGAGAGTCAATTATCCCATTGCTTAATGTACTTATCATGGTAAGTAGACCAATCCGCATCCGCTTTTCTCTACATTGTAACTCGCTCAACTGCCTCAACTGGGCCTGGGATGTGCTGTATCATCCCAAATTGTAGCAAGACATGATCAGGTACATGTATTTCCACAATTTGGAAGCAGATCAATGGAGTTCTTGATCGCCAAACTGCAGATCCAAATTTGCATAGGGCAGACAGCCCAACAATCAGACTTGGCGTGTACGGTTCCCATGTGATAACACAACGATAGCATTGTACTTCTGTGTAGCCAAACATACCTGGTGATGTGATATAGTATCTAAATATCTAATCCATGCATGTAAAACTCATGGTCCATGGACCGAACATTTTCACGGTTCTTGAAGGGTACATTCCACCTAGTTATGAGAAGATGCAGATGTTCATACAAGTGAGAATGAATTCCACCTAGTTAAAGAAGTTTTAGCTAGAAAACCAAAAGAGATGTAAAAATGCATACATTTGTGGGTTGATTACTGCATGCTAATCAGGAGAACACGTGTCACAGTGCACCTGAATGACTGAATCCTATCTTGACGCTGCAATCTGGATCGGAATTAGGAAACGGTGACGACTGAACTTAAGCGCAAAACATTTGTACACCTCAGCGGATCGCACAGCCACCCAACCAACCAAACAAGTGCCTCCCTGCCAAAGTCCCAAAGAGGCCTCCTGGTTTCCCAACGCCATGCACATTTGCCAACCAAACGCTCAGCCACAAGGACGCCTCGCGTTGGGCCGAACAGCCCACTTCTCCATCGCTGGCTGGGCCATGAGTGCAACCTGGGCCGAAGATTTTTCACGCTCTCTCTCTCTCTCTCTCTCTCTCCTCTCCTCCTCCTAGCCGAGCTGAGCGGCGTAGGTCGCGGAGACCAACCCACCCATCCCTCGCGCCGGAAGAGAGGTACATGGCCTGGTGCGCCGCGCGCAGCCGCCTCCTCCCCCTCGCCACCGCGCCGCAGCTGCTCCGCCGCCTCCTCCTCTCCTCCGCTGCGGCCCCGCGCTACGCGCACCCCCACCACCACCACAGCAACAGCCGCCGCCGCCGCCGCCCCCTCGCCCCCACCGTCTACGCCGCTGCCGCGGCAGCCGCAGCCGAGGCGCCGCTCCCCATGCCGCCGCGCATCGGCCGCGCCACGCGGCACCCCGGGGGCGCCGCCTCCGTGGCGCGCGTCTACGCCGACGCCAACTCCCAGCGGCCCAAGGAGTACTGGGACTACGAGTCGCTCGACATCGAATGGGGGTATGTATGAGCCATGGTGGTGGCGGGGGAGCTGATCTCGAACCTCCAGATTTGGGGGCTAGGGTTTGTGCTCTAATGGGGATGCACTTTGTTGTGCGTGTGTGTAGGGAGCAGGATGGGTACGAGGTGCTGCGCAAGCTTGGGAGGGGGAAGTACAGCGAGGTGTTCGAGGGATTCCGGCCCGGGGGTGACGAGAGGTGCGTTATTAAGATCCTCAAGCCCGTCAAGAAGAAAAAGGTAGGCTTTGCCCTCATCAAAATGTAGTATGCCTCTGCGGTGGAACTTTCAATTGTATGGTCCAAATTTAGCTTCCCCACAGATGTCTCAGTAATATTTGTCATTTCTGTTAGACTTACATTGCCTGCTTGAGGAATCTAGGGTACACATGAGCATTAGGAAATGCAGTTTAGGCTGATTCCTCAGCTGGTCGTAGGAGTTTGGGATGATGTGGCTCCATGAGTGTTATTTTGCCTTGTGTGATAAACAAAATCAGTAGAAAAACTTGTCACTTTCAAATCTTATCGATGTTAAGTCTTATTAGAGGAAAGTGTAGTTCAATGAGGTAGGTGTTATGTTTTTTGCTTGGTTGCATAGTGTTCTCGTTGCATCTTTTACTATAGTTCATGTGTATTCTTAGCAATCCTTACTGAATTCTTTTATGATGATGCAGATAAAGAGGGAAATAAAGATACTTCAAAACTTATATGGCGGACCGAATATTGTAAAGCTACTTGATGTTGTCAGGGATGATGAATCGAAGACACCTAGTTTGATCTTTGAATATGTCAACAATACTGATTTCAAAGTACTCTACCCAACACTATTGGATTACGATATCAGATACTACATTTACGAATTATTAAAGGTAATAATCTGAATTGCAGAATCCTATGTCTGTAATAATCAATGTTTTTATTTATGCTATCTTGTCTATGGAACATTTCTTTGTACTGATGGTATTTTGAGAATTTTACATGCTTGGTTCTAATTTCTAAGAATGTATCATATCATTAGGAGTTTGGTACCAACTTGTCAGATATAATCCACTGCTTATGTATTTTTCTTCAAACATCACAATGGATCGTAGGAGGTTACGGAGTAAAATAATGGGACTGAAATCTATGCTCATGTATACTGTATGCTGATAAATAATTAATTTAAATTGTCATGGTAGTTTTTATTCCTAGATACCTTTCCTGTTTAAAGCTCATATGCATAGAAAGTGGTATGATGGATGGGTCGATTGCGTCAATATGACTTGGACAAGGTTTGGAAGATAAAACGATAGTTTGCCTACATGACAATGATGTAACACATCTGTTCGGGAAGTTGGGGTTATGTTCCTATCGATTGAGGCGCGTGTGCAAGCACCCAGAAAGAAGTTTTGCTTAAAAAAAATGTAAAAGGGGAACAATCTTCAATGGCCGTGCGAGCAATCATCATTAATAAACCTCTGGTTGAATTAATCATGACATTTTGAATAACATGTCTATTGGAGCCAGCCTTGTAAATTCTAGCGAGTTCAAATTAATTAAATCAATACTAGAGAATAAATAGTAGTAAATAAGATTAGCACGGGGTATCTACTACACAACATCAACTACATTACTTCTTAATTTTTCTTCGAAATCTATTCTGTAGCATTTTCTGACCTGTAGGTTATCTGTCCGACCAGTCTCTTTAGTAATGTAAGCATGACATTTGGCAGGCTTTTACCGTGATGTCTTTTGGCCAAAGTTTGCATCGTGTAAACTTAACTTGCCAACGATAAGGACAATCACAGTGCACTATGCAGACATTTGAGTCTATTGCAAATTATCTGTAATGCTTCTTGGTTCTCCTGTTTTGAAACTTTCAAAGAGAGTGAACATACTACCGTTTATATGTATTTTATAACTGTGATAGATATCAGAAGAGACCATATTTCACATATTCATAAGCAGTGAGAATGAAATTAGTTCACTTGATTTATTTTGGAAGAACCATAAAAGGCAACAGTTGATGTTGTCAAGTTTTGGTATTTTTCACATCTATTTTGTTCTGTGGGACTACTTCTGCCAGATTAAATTCTGCAAACCAGATTCCCATGTTCTCGATTAATGTGCTAACGCGGTTTACAATCAAGCCCTCATCCTATTTACATCAGAGATCAGACTACCTTCATTTTGATGGTCTTTAACTTATCCAGGTGTGTCTGTAGGCACTAGATTATTGTCATTCACGAGGCATCATGCATCGAGATGTCAAACCTCACAATATCATGATTGATCATGAGAAACGCCAGCTTTGTCTTATTGATTGGGGTCTAGCAGAGTTCTATCATCCCAAGATGGAATATAATGCTAGAGTTGCTTCAAGGTTAGTCTCCCTTGCATTGGAAGTTCAATGTTTCAGACTTGTTCAGCTTATTAAGAAGGAACTTCACTTGCATGCCTAACCCTCTGAGATCCTTTTATGTTGGATCTGTATTTGAGGAAATTTCAAGATCTCTTTTCCATAACTCAATGGAAAGGGTCATGCAGGGAGTGAGATTCACTTCATTGTATGGTACCATTCACATATAGTTATAGGATAATTTCATTTACAGCAAGCTTTCTTAATAATTTCATTATTCCCCACTCAAGCTGATCCAGTCGGTTGCTATTCTATAGTATCTTCTGTAAATTTCCCATCCTTGACTTACTGCATGTGTGTGCTCTCGTGCTGTGTTATTGACAGATCTTATAAGGGCCCTGAACTTCTTGTGGATTTGCTAGATTATGATTACTCGTTGGATTTGTGGAGCCTTGGTTGCATGTTTGCCGCAATGGTAAGTGCAAGTTTAGGGTCAGCCATTTATCTTTGATAACAGAACCTTATTGATATACATTATGGTAATCTTAACAGATATTCCGAGTCGACCCTTTCTTTAATGGTCAGGATAACTACGACCAATTAGTCAAAATTACCGAGGTATGTCTGTCCGTAGCTTCTTAAACTTCTAAGTATTTCTGGCAGCTTTCTTGTGTTGATTTATGCTTGACTTGTGCTTTGGGACATGTTTAGCTAGGGTTATCTTTAAATTTAGTAAGATTTTCTGTTATAGCTCTAACAGAAATGCTTTAGCTACCTACTGAATTGAAGTAGGAACTTTTTCTATTTGGTAACTGTGACCAAACCACTACGTATACAGATGTTTACCTGCCTTGTGCAAAGAAGCAAGGCTTCGCAGTGCATTTCTCAGAACTGAAGCAGCTACTGATTACAAAAAAATGTTTATTGTGAATGATATATGCAATATGTCATTATCGTAGGTTCTTGGAACAGAAGATTTCTACAATTACCTTGAAAAGTATGGTCTTGAGCTTGACCCGCAGCTTGAAAGACTTGTTGGAAGGTCATGCATTACTTTGGATAATCTTAAATATACATCATTCTCATAACTTAGCATGATCTAACTGAATATTATTTGCTGCAGACATAATAGGAAGCCATGGTCAATGTTTGTTAACTCGGGGAACAGACACCTAGCAAGCCCTGAGGTGATTTGCGTTGCCTTTCAATCAACCTACTGGCTTAGTCATCTCTTATTTGATGTATTTTGACATGTTTCTACCTATATAGGCTATTGATTTTGTAGACAGGTTGCTTCGCTACGATCACCAGGAAAGGCCTACAGCAAAGGAAGCCATGGTGACAATCCCTCTCCTACTTTATAGAAGCATATGCCATAGAAATCCTAAATATATGTGCTCTAAATGCATATATTTGCTGTGTGCAGGCTCATCCATATTTCAATCCAGTGAGAAGCACTTAAAACGGCAGGAAGAGTGCCCAATAGTGGTATGCGGCATATTTGACAATTTTTGCTACGGTGTCAAATATATAGAGGGAATTTAATTTTCAAGGCTGTATGGTTTATCCAGAATAAATCCTTGACCAACATGTAACCGTCACATCATTTGTGTGAATTAATTCATTCCTCTCTGCTAACTTGTTTTATGATCAGTTTTTATCAATAATAATTCATCTCTGCACTTTCATCACCTATAAATGTTCAGCCCCCATTCGTATTCCCAATTATTTGCTCAGATGTTACTTCATTATTGGAATCCGGCGTATCTCATTGTATGTGGTGGTAGCTCTGGTTTTTTGTCTGATGGTGCCTGTATGCTTCTGGGCTTCTCGGCCACTGATATTTTGGTATGCTATGGTTCCCGATTATCCGCGCCCTGTTCTGCTGGGACTTGTAAGCATCTGATAATCTGATATGCCTTCGCTCTAGTCAATTTTTCAGTTATCATGGGACTCTGACACACTCTGAACCTGGCAAAATAATTTTTTTTATATATTTTGTAAATCGATAATTGCATATTCCCGTCAGAGAATTCAGAAGATGCCACGGTGCAGTCGATTCGGGTACTTGGGTCCCCCGCTGTTCATGTACCTCTACTAGTATCATCAGTATCACGACTTGTCAAAAGAAACTGCTCTGCCACCATGTTCTTGCGAATCAGATGAACACTTTGTCACGTACGGTTCCATTGATCCATTCCATCATCTTTGATCCACGCCTTGCCAAAGGTAAAAACACCCTTTTTTGAAGTGCTCTGCTCCTACGTTGTTCGAACGGGATAAGGGCTCTGTGTTCTCGACTTTACAGATGTAGTGAGGACTCATCTTTCTTTCTCCAGATGCTACCACAGTGAAATCTGAGAAAAGTTGCAAACCAAAACAAAAAAGAAGGGTGAAAAGTTGGGCACTTGGGCTCTCGAGCCTGTCCCCTACCACAAACCTCTCTGTCTCTCTCGTACACCTCTAACACACGCTTGTCGAGTCGAAACGGCCGGGCTTATCTCCAAGTGCAAGCCCTGCCACCACCACCCGTTCAGGACTTTCAGGTGGAAAAAAAAATCATGAAACATAAGCAGCCTTTTGAACCCACAAGGCCACAACGGCACAACCAATTGCCCCAAGCCCCACTCAATCAGAGATGCCTTCCCCTAACCATTTCGTTATTATTTTTCTTAAGAAAAAACTCAAGAAGGTTTTAAATAGATCATGCTGTTTACTTGGTATCATTCGTCTCATTTAAAAATTTATATAAAAATATAAGTCATACCTAAAGTTTTTTAATGATAAATCAAATCATAATAAAATAAATAACAATTAATTTTTTAGAAAAAAAAATCTAAAAATGCACCAGCGGTTCTTAAACTTGTCAGGAAATTTCACTTATGTAACATCCCGGCCTAGGGCTTAATATGATTAATAGAATACTCATATCAACAAGTTGCAACTTCTTTTCCGGAAGTCAATCTCCAAAGAACTCCAGGGTTAAGCGTGCTTGGCCTGGAGCAATTTGGGATGGGTGACCGACCGGGAAATTCTTCCCGGGTGCACACGAGTGAGGACAAAGTGTGCAGAAAAGACATGTGTTGGTCTGTGAGGGCAGCGCGGTTTCACGGGCGCGTGTGTCGCAGTTGCGCAGGCATGGTGCGCATGGCTGGTACTGGACACATGGACGTGCATGGCACATGCGCTGGTACTGGACACATGGACGTGGCCAAGAGAGGACGTTCCTGGCCTAGGGTTGATCGACGGGGGCGTCGATCTCTCTTAAGGGGGTGAGGGTGTAACATCCCGGCCTACGGGCCTAGGGTTGATCGACGGGGGCGTCGATCTCTCTTAAGGGGGTGAGGGTGTAACATCCCGGCCTACGGGGGCGTCGATCTCTCTTAAGGGGGTGAGGGTGTAACATCCCGGCCTAGGGCTTAATAGGATTAATAGAATACTCATATCAATAAGTTGCAACTTCTTTTCCGGAAATCAATCTCCAAAGAACTCCAGGGTTAAGCGTGCTTGGCCTAGAGCAATTTGGGATGGGTGACCGACCGGGAAATTCTTCCCGCGGTTTCACGGGCGCGTGTGTCGCAATTGCGCAGGCATGGTGCGCATGGCTGGTACTGGACACATGGACGTGCATGGCACATGCGCTAAGAACTCCAGGGTTAAGCGTGCTTGGCCTAGAGCAATTTGGGATGGTTGACCGACCGGGAAATTCTTCCCGCGGTTTCACGGGCGCGTGTGTCGCAATTGCGCAGGCATGGTGCGCATGGCTGGTACTGGACACATGGCGCGTGTGTCGCAATTGCGCAGGCATGGTGCGCATGGCTGGTACTGGACACATGGACGTGCATGGCACATGCGCTGGTACTGGACGGGTTAAGCGTGCTTGGCCTGGAGCAATTTGGGATGGGTGACCGACCGGGAAATTCTTCCCGCGGTTTCACGGGCGCGTGTGTCGCAGTTGCGCAGGCATGGTGCGCTTGGCTGGTACTGGACACATGGACGTGCATGGCACATGCGCTGGTACTGGACACATGGACGTGGCCAAGAGAGGACGTTTCTGGCCTAGGGTTGATCGACGGGGGCGTCGATCTCTCTTAAGGGAGGGTGTAACATCCCGGCCTACGGGGGCGTCGATCTCTCTTAAGGGGGTGAGGGTGTAACATCCCGGCCTACGGCTTAATAGGATTAATAGAATACTCATATCAATAAGTTGTAACTTCTTTTCCGGAAATCAATCTCCAAATAACTCCAGGGTTAAGCGTGCTTGGCCTGGAGCAATTTGGGATGGGTGACCGACCGGGAAATTCTTCCCGCGTGCACACGAGTGAGGACAAAGTGTGCAGAAAAGACATGTGTTGGTCTGTGAGGGCAGTCTATGACCTATGAAAGCTATCAGATGTAAGTGGGCCCGGTGGACCCGGCCTGGGGGAGGCGGGACGTTACAACTTAGGTCCACGAACTTGCAAAACGCACATCGAGATCCCTAAACCTGGTTTATTATATTATCCCGATCCAAAGCCGCGTTTGACCGTGGTCTTGCCTACGTGGCACGCCACGTGGACGATGACATGGGATTTTTTTTCCTCCCTTCTTACTTCCAAAAAAAAAGAGAAGAAGGGAGGAAAAAAGGAAAAAGGGAGAAAAAATCCCATGTCATCGTCCACGTCGTGTGCGTAGGCAAGACCACGGTCAAACGCGGCTTTGGACTGGGATGATACAATAAACCAAGTTTAGAGATCTCGATGTATGCTTTGCAAGTTTGTAGAGCTAAATGAAACCTGCTGACAAGTTTAAAGAGGTGTATTTTACTTATTAATTTATTACAAACTTGAGGGAGCACTAATATCACTAGTTTTTCATTTTTCGTCCAATTAAGCAGTTCATACTTTCGCAAGATAAAACAAAAAAAAAAAGCTTCATACTCACCGGAGCATGCCAAATGCACCCCCTGAAAACCGTTGGTCCTCGAGATCGCGCGCATGGCACGGCCGGCGCCGACCACCACGAATGGCGATCCACGCGTCCCGTGCCCTCCGCCCCCTCGCCCGTGGTCCCTCCCCCTCCTACGTGCTCAGCAACGCACTCCCACCGTGTCCCCATCGCCACAAAGCGATCGCGCATTATTCACGCTACACGTACAAGCCAAGCCTAGGAGGGTGAAACGGGTGAAATCCGCCGAGTGGTACGCGCGCGCGCGCGGCGCGGCGCACATGCGTGCTCGCGCGAACGCAGCCGCACCGGCCGTGGCGCGGCGCGCGACGATGGGGACAAAACATCAGCGGCATTTGGATCGATCGATCAATCGGCGCAGCTAGCACTACGTACTTTGCCCTGCGGATCACTGCACGCAACACTCCCCGGTGTTTCTCCCCCTGGCACGGTAAAGCCCCAGCACCTCCCCGACACGCATGCGGTCCCCCTCCCCACACCACATACACACACACACCATGCATGGTCTTCACCTGCAAATAAAACCATCGCCCGGCGGTTCAAAGCATCTACCGCTAGTAAAGTCGTCTACTACGGTACTACTCCCTCCGTCACCAATTTTTTTTGGATGGGAGCATGGGACATCACCTTGTGCTATGAATTTGGACAGTAGGACTGTCTAAATTTATATTTATAATACTAGGTTATATTTTGGGACAGAGGGAGTACTTCCCAAGTGCCCCCAAGCTAGTATAGGATCGATGCATCATGCATGCATGCATGCAATGTTGGCGTCGTACACTCGTACAACGTAGCTGTGGACCTCTGCCTCACACATTGCGTGTCTATCACCAAGGCCCAAAGGTACGTGTAGTGTACTACCTGCACCCCGAAACTAATCCTTTTCTCTTTGTCGTTTTCCCTTCATGAGAGTGGACTCCGAAAGAAAAAAACGCGAATACACTTGTGGTTTTCCGATCTGCCACGCCTCCCATATGTTTGGGGCCGTTTGAAAATTGCATTGTTGGTAGGGTAGGCCGAGAACCTGAACATGCTGCATTCTACTACACACTCTGTAATCTGTATGGCCATGTTGATGTTCCCGACCAAAGTCGTTGGATCGTAGTACATATATGCATTATTGTTTCTGCTGGTTGGTCTAGGCGGATTAAATTTTGCGCTAATATGTGGTGGTGAACCGGACGATGATTCGTGTTTCTCTCGTTTGGATTAGCACGAATGCACGATGATTGATATTCTAACAGCAAAAGGGCATCCCTGTAGGAATCGTGCGTGACAACGAATGATATATATACGTGGGGATTCTGGGGATTCTTGAGTGCCATCAGCCCATCATATATACGTGCTCTAGTGCCTGGCTGCCTGCAGCCACGTAATGTATCATTTTTTTATTATACGGAGGACATACGTACACGTACGTACTACTAATATTCCATCATCTGTTCTCTTGTCAGACGCTTAACAGGTGCATTGGAGCTATAAGGCTGAGATCATAATTATTACTAGCTTATAAGAACGGTTAGTTTCTTGTTTATGGTGAGCATATTTTTCCAAATTACCAAACAATACTCTCGTAGTAAAAAAAACTTAATCTAGATGAATATCCCAGTACAATAAATCTAGAGGATATAGGTCACATCGCTTTCTAGTTTAAGTTATTTTGGGACATAGAGAGTATATTTCGTGATAAATAAATAAATAAATAAATAAATAAATAAATATATATATATATATCAAAA